GTCGCAGTGACAACAACAATATCCTCAGCATAGGCGAAATTCGCTCCGTGGTAAAATGGAGTATTGGTTGTTCCGGACGTCCATCCTGGGTTATAGTCAGTTAGATACGTGAACATGCATCGGCAACCTACTCCCGCCATGGAAATGAACTAAAACAGGCTTTAAGGTGTAACTGTGTGTCCTCTTGCTCCAAACATTTAGGGTCAGGCAGTCCTCGCTGTGACTGTTATTATTTGATGAGGTGAAAGCGCTCATTATGTTATCGAACTGTGGTGTTTTACGGGGGTAATTAATCGTTGACCCCACAGCGTATGGGCAGTCACTATACGTTTCAGATGGAATACATATCCGGTCTTTTCTTGTGCAACTTACAATCCCTGCATGGCATATTGGTCAATATCTATAGGGAGTGGAGAGTGTGGCATCGAAAACCAGAGACTAGATAGACTTACATAATGGCTCGCATTATACTGTGACCCGCCTTTATATGGCTGTGGTGGCTCAAAGCGCAATTTCCGAATCGGTGGTGCAGCATAGGGAATCCCAAGATACTCAACCATGTTGGGATATTCGTGCGATCTATGCCCAATTATCTCACCGTTGGATGTTTGAACAACCGGTCCATCTACCGAGCGTGCAACTGCAGGGCCACAAAGTCCTAGCAGAACGATAGGTATAAGAATGGCCATCGTGATAATTTGCATGCTTGCTCAACCTTTAACCTCAATAGGGCTCTTGGTGTAGGATTGTAGGGGTTATAGGGGTAAAGAGTGCGTTGGCCTATACGATTATCCTCACCCCCTCGTATGACAGGTATTCAAATCCTATTTTCGCACTAAATTTGGCACCGCCGGCAAATCCCGGTCAAGCGAATATATATATACTGCCTTCCGACCTCGTGTTTGGTTAGATCTCTCCTTTGCAATGTCTCCTCTCACCTGGATGCTTCTACTTAGAAGACTTTGATCTAAGATTTATATATGCACTGCCTAACGATGGATAAGCACTGAATACAATAGAAATGTAAACAAGCCATCCATGAACCTCAGTTAATGTCTTGTTGATAAACGAGCCAATGGTATGTAGGGTACAGTCTCATTGCCGACACTAGGTATCGTTAGTGCCGAGAATCAATTTCCAAGGCGAGGAATTAAGGCTACAATGAATTGGATATTGGTATCAGGTTTGTTATTCTTTCTGCTATAGACTAGATGCTTGAGGTTTTTGAATAACAATCAAGCACCCTTCCATCCATTCTCCCAGCGACCGTTCTCCAGGAACCCATGCCTCCAATTCTGCCATGGAGTTGTGACAAGCGCGAAAATCCACATTTCATCCTCAGCTCACTATGTATGTACAAGCTTTCAATGACTCAGTCGAGGAACGCGTTCTGTTTCACGCGTTGTGGTAACGGGAATGTGGCAACAAACCCTCACATCCCTTCCATGCAAGGTGCCGCTCATGCTGGGATTCAAGCCTCACCTATACTCACAACGTTCGTAAACACTTGACTAGCGACTATTTCCTCTATCAGCTTTCAAGCTTTCAGGTGTATATGTCTTGAGAGGCTCATGGTATTTTTTTGGTGCGGTCTTCATGAGGTTGTCCCTCTTTTTATTTGCTGAGCTTACCACCCAAGCTAAAAGTTACTTCCGTAGTCGACTTACTGCTCTTTAATCAAGATACAGTAAATGAAGATAGCCAACACAAAATGGTTTGCTTGGCATAATTCTTTCGCAAAGAAACTTGCATAATGTCAAAAGCTTGTGCGGTGTATGAAACTAAGCACCCCGGGAAAAATATATATCAGAGTTCTTTGAAAGAGATGGGTTACCTGCACATCCCATACAGAATCACTCCCCCCGTAGAAAATGCGTGCTAAGAATAACGACATAATAGGAGCTCATGGAGTTTCTGCTGAAATTCTCCTGTATGCTACAGAGACGGGTTCAGGAATAATATTGACAATAAGGCCAAATCGTAATCTCATTGATCAAGAAAAAGTCCCACTGTATTTAGGATTCTTTATTGGCTGGCAGCTGTCAAAGCCACCGAGTCGAGCGCATATGAATACAATAGAACCGTAAGGTTTATTTTCTCGCAAGATGGAAGGTCAGAAATGACGCGAAAAACCTGAAAGTCACCGGGGCAGCACCAGTGCAGCGATCGTCGTCACAGCAGAGACATTGTAGTAGCTGAATGATCGGCTCCCCGTCGATATCAAGATAAGGCAAGGCTTTGGCGAATCTTAGGACCGGCTCGTAGACCCACGAGTAAGTAAAACTAGACTAACCGCTGTTAAGCTAAGGGTAGCTTTGCGCCAATGACGCGGTCCTGGAAAATCTCGCTTCGCAAGTCAAACTCTCCCAAAACGTGTGCCTGGGCTAGTGGGAGCTTTGCCTTGATATGTAAGTTGAAGATCGCGGGCTATAGTTTAGTATTGTCCTCATGGTAGCACCCCCACGCCGGCTAACTTGCACAGTCTCAGCTTCACTGCTTATATATCCTCGGCCGAATGAAAGTGGGGCTTTGGATACATCGTTGCATTCTTTAGATATGTCAGATCTGATTTCAAAATTCAGTCTTGACATAGATATCTTATCCAGGAAGCGTTTTAAAAGACGATAAACATACATTTGATTAAGATTTGTTGGTTTCCCAGAAAGGAACAGTTCTATAGAACCAAATGCTGTTCTATCTTGTGCATACATGTAGTAGTACATTCTTGAAAAGAAGAAAACATGACCAATCATTTCCCTCAATCCGGAAGGACTGTCTAAGACGCGTAGAGGCTTCTTGAGAGTAAATAAAATTGACGATGTGTACATCCTGCGGTTTCAAGCAATAAGAACCCCACCAGAAGAGTTCTAAGAGCGATGCCACTAAGGCTTAGATTCTATGATGACCCAACCCGCGTCATTGAACCTTCCGTAGCTGCAAGGCTAAGGCGTATCAAGTGTTTATGCAAGCCGACACAACAAATACTGTACGCGTGACCTTCAACTTTTCATTTGAGCCTTACAACGCATGATTTCGGACCGAGGTTTTGTTCGTGGCCAGGCAGCTTTGAAGTGAAGCCAAGAGCCACGGAAACATGTCCCCGTCCCGGAAAGCAGTCGGAGATTTAACAACAGTTTCATCGGACGAAAGCTCCAGCAACTGATCAGCCCACTCTGCATGTTCGCTGGAAATAACAAGAACTTCAGTTCGTATACAACCCTTGGTACTAAGGGCGTCTGGGAGCCGGTCTACTCACTGAAAACCCCCGTTGGGAGAGACAAAGGCTCTGATCGCATAGTCGGCAGTGTTCTTACATCCTGAAGCTACTGCAGCAGTCGCCCCAGTTTCCTTTCGTGGAAGGGCTCTGAGATGTGTCGATGACAACAGCTGAAATGGCATACGTAGTACATACTCCCATGGTCGGTGCTTTTTAACGAAAATTGCCTGGAAAGGAAAATGCTAGACATGCGGGTACTTGCCAAGCATTGTGAAGAATGGGGCTTGTATCTTATCCGCTTCAAATTTTTTTTCCCTTACTCGCTTGGCTCGTCAATGGCCATACAATTTGCAATTTATGCAAGGATTAGCGTCTGCATAAATCTGCTAGTTTCAAGTCCGGTCCATGGTTTGCCATCGGGTCGGAATCAGAAGTCCATCCTGCTGTTACGACCGGAAAGCTTCCGAATTTAAGAAGCTTAACCACAGGCCTATTAGTGGCAGGCACAGTTGAATCCGCTCTCCATTGCTACCCCCTGGTAGTCTCATTGTAAGTCGTACCTGATGTCTCACAAAGGGTGGATCGAATTCAGCAGTCTAGCTCTACACAATACGGAGTGACCATCACACCATAATTCCCTGTCAGGGGGGGCTATATGTCATCTGCAATTGCTATTTAAAATTTTATCTGCTGTATTCTTCAGACTCTCCATATGGAGGTGTTTCCTGGGCCACATAAGCTCGACAAGAGCGAGAACAGGTGCCGAGGCATTTTTGAGGCATTCAACATTACTTATGAAATCCACTGTGTTTTTACACTGTCAATTTTGCAGTTATATTGTAATAGGGAAGTCTATCGGAGTGTCCAAAGGAGTAAAAGTAGAGAAAGGGAAGGGAAATCCAGATAGGGAGGCTATGAGGACTCGCCTCTTAAATTGATGCCTCGGAGAAACGATGGGGAAATCACCACGATTAAAGAATAATTAGCGAGCGGGTCTTCTTCCACATAAAACGAAGATCTACATGGCCAAGACACGCCATTCTGCGGTCGCTGCCTGAAATTCGCCTTGGGTGGAGAGTTCTATCTACAGATAAATCCAACGAAGAGCATTGGGCAGATCACACTGGTGGTACATATATGGAGCTGAAGCTATCGAATCCTTCGTGCCATCATCCCGTTCTCCTGCCGCGTTGGTATGTCCTTTATGTAATGCAGCTGACAACGGCCCGAGAAATAGACCAGCTGCTCGAAAGTTTGCTGCATATCGATGCGCTGCTCATATTCGCCATATCGTATTAAAAGGTGTGTCATATGATATGGAATCGTAAGGCAGGTGGTTGCGCGATGAGTCTATGTGTATCCACCCTTGCCTTTAAATCTTCGACGTGGGACTGAAATACAGAAGACGCTCCAAAAGAGTGGATTCGAGTATCAACAGTCACAACGGCCCAGTACTAGCGTTGATCTGCTTCATCCTTTCGTTTCCACTGGATCCAGCTGCTATTAACTAATATAACCCTGGGCAAAGCCCTGCAGAGATCATGGTGTAGCGCGATCTCATCTCGGCTGGCTGCCTGACTCCATTTTCAACGATACATCTACCAAGTTTACTAACCCACTGTGCCTACATGGATTCTGTATCGTCCCTAGTTATATACTAGGTGGGGGCTGCCCCTACACGAGTCCGAAGTCGGGTTGCTTTTTCTATTTTCTGATCGATGTTCTCACCTCGATCTCTACTGCAACCCCGTCCCAGGCAACGGAAGAGGCAGACATTTTAACAATGTCTGCCAGTGTGACTGATACCACTGATACTCATGATAAAGGCCCTCGGATTCTTGCAGTGGTTTGGACATTATCAGCCCTTACGACTATTGTCGTCGCTGCACGTGTGTACATCCGTCAATGGTTGATTCGCAATGCCGGTATTGATGACTATATTATTGTTGTGTCATTGGTATATGCCCCTGGATCACCTTCACACGTCAGAGCGTTACAGCTGACCGCGTACAGTGCCTTACATTAACATCTGTTGGAATGACAACGGCAAACGTGCATATGGGATACGGAAAGCATGCTTGGTTGCTGGAGGCGAGCACCGTGGAGACGATAAGCTTAGTCAATACCATCAGCTTCGCAATCGGCATTTTTTGCTTTACCGTTCCAAAGGTCGCAGTAACGGTTCTCTTGACTCGGATCCTCAACCCAAGCCGTGCACAGCGCATATGGCTATGGAGCATGATTGGACTCACGGCTTCGGTGTCATTCGCATGTATATTTCTGCTATTTGTCCAATGCGACCCCCCTCAGGCCGCATGGCAACGCCGCCTCGTCACCGAGGGCAACGCAAACTGCAATGATGTGCAAATTTTGATTAAATATGCCATCTTTAATGCCGGTAGGTTGTTCTCAGCTCCCATTGGAGAATACAGCTGATTATGTGCTAGCGCTATCGGCAAGTGTTGACCTGTACTTGGCTATATATCCCAGTACTGTCCTCATGAAACTTCGCATGCCTTTGCGAAAACGTCTAGCACTTTGTGCTGCTTTGGGTATGGGGTCCATGTATGTTAACCGTCAACCACGTTTGTTAGACGATAACTAATCGATGCAAGTGCCGCGGCGACCGCTATTGCAAAAAGCACGCAGTTTCCAGACTTTGCGAATCAGGATGATTATACATGTGAGAACCCCAAAACGCATTCCGTCAGCTAATGCTAACAACCCCAGATGAAACCGCGGATCTTGTCATGTGGACAAAGTAAGACAGTCGTATTCTCTCTTGATGAAGCTCATACTAACCAATCCAGCGTCGAATCCAATGTTCTCATTCTGGCATCCTGCATTCCGACCCTCCAACCCATCCTCGAGCTGACGCTTCGGGGGCACATTCGCACGAGAAGCCCTCGAGGGAAAGACGCCAACTATCCACGCGATTCCGCTTTCCAGAGAACCGGGCATAAAACAAACCGACGGTCGGATCGCTCGATCACGCACGTTGAGAGCCAAGAGAGTATCCTTGGTGCTGAAGAACGGCAGAAGAATAGCCATCCTCTCGGTGCTATTGTGCGGACAGACGATGTTCAAGTGGAATTCAACACTAGATCTACGCATAGCATGCCGGATAGACATATGACGTGGCAGATTGCTTAAGAATCCGTGCCATAGGATCTATGATATCCATTCGGGGTATGGAGGAGCACCTTCTTTTCACACCATTTGTTTGTATATGCTACATGTTGTTTGAGCCGGGCAGACATATAGATTTCTCTTGTATGACATTCATGACCTGTATACCTATTTTATCATCTTGGTCTATGTCTACTATGAGGACGGCACAGCGTGAGATCCACTTCATGAGGTTATCTGTATTATCAATCAGATACTCTCAGCCCCTGAGCGCACCGAGATTTGAATATTCCCCCCAATCTATTTCTACCACTGGAGCCCATCCATGTGGACCGGTTGTCTTACTTTGGGCCATATTTAGATCCATATTTTCCCTAAGTGTCTGTGCAAAAGTACGGGAGTCATGTTGGTAAAAATCGGTCGCCACTCGGAAGGATTCAACTCTCAACGGCCGTGGACTGGCGCGATCCTTTGGTCAGCTGCTCCAAATTGATGTTAGTTAATAAACAGGACGGGATTCTTTGACGATAACAGGGGCTGATTTCTCTCTACAAGGCTCCTATCTATTATACTTAGCAGACCACAGACTCGGATCCTATATTACGCCTCAAGTCTTGCAAACTAGTCGAACCCTCGAAGGTCTAGATGTCATCCAAAACTACCAGAAGCACACCGACAGCCCAAGCCATCAATAGTACATTGCCTATCACATCTGAACCGTCTAGAAACACAGAAAACATAGCTCACGACGAGCCATGTCTGCGAGTATGAGATGCCACAAAGAAGCTAGACGCCAGAGAGCAATGAATCTAGACTGCAACGTCCGGGCCCTCCTCGGTTTCTTGGTAATCCCGATGTGTTTCCCTCGGCATGTTCGGTCTCGCAGTTCCACCCGGATCGGCAAACCGGGAGCACATTCCGTGGGTCTCTTGGCATGATGCATTTTCCCTTGAACAGCCAAACTTCAAGTGCATGGTCAAACTGATAGTTCCTTTGGGGTTCTGGAGTTACTGTTTTAATGCCCCAAGAAAAAATGGCAACAAGTCACCAGGCTGTATCTGTCCTAGACTCAGGAATTGGAGATGCAATATCCACACCGGGTGAAACCGGGATGCCGACAACCTCCACACGTGACCACATATCTAATGCCTTAGGCATGAACAGAACCATCGAACTCGATAAGATAAGCGCTGGGGCATCGTCATCCCAAATCACCGTCATTGATATCGTCCTCTTTAGGTCCTTTCTCTTCCTCCTCGAGACCGAACTCGAAGAACGGCACCAGCAAGCAGCGAGGAACGCATTCAAGGGACCCCAACGAACCCCGTTTCGATGATATCATAATACTCCAACCACTCAATCCCCAACAGTCACCCCCACCAGCAACCCAAACCCTTATTCACCGAAGAAGCCCCAAAGGGCAAAAGCAACATCTCCGCCCCACAGTCCCATATAAGAACTCACAACTTAGCTCCATTACCCCTCCAAACCTCCACGTTTCACACCCGGAAGCAAATCCAAAACTGCCCAAAATGGTCTACACAATCGTTGTCCGTACGTTATCTCCCACGTCGCAGCCTCAATGGCTTTCTCGGTAGGGCGTTGATGGATCGATACTAACTCGCCCGGGTGGCATTATAGACATGCGCGCGAAGCCCGACGAGGAGTCTATCTCCAAGCTCCACGCCAAGCTCCTGGAGGCCTCGGCCGTTTACTCGAAGGACAAGGAGACTCTCTCCTGGTTCGTTATGCAGTCCGTCCATGATAAGCAGGATTTCTGTATCGTCGAGCGCTATCTCAATGAGGGCTCGCAGAAGTACCACCTCGAGAACCCGTACTGGAAGACTTTCGATCCCTATGTCATTCCTCTCCTGGAGAAGGATATGGATCTCCGCAGATTTGAGGAGTTGGTTCCTGAGGGTGAGGAGAAGAAGTAAATGTGCTGGGGCTGGATGTTATGATGTATAATGTTTACGTGAGGATCAAACAAATATCATGTCGTACATACATATATATATATATATATGTTTTGATGTAGCATGCTGGGTCTCTAGGAGGAAAGTGGACGGGGATTCTCCCAACTGTTGTAGGCGCTAAATGTGGAGCTCCTATTATATATATCAAGGCCACCCAGCAACCGTTGACCTCTCCTCACACTTGCTGTAAAGAAAGTCATTTAGATTTTACTATATTATAGTCCCTCATAATGCAACATCATCCGGGCAAATCGAAAGAAGATAGATTTCACCTAGGTGAAGTTATCAGTTCCTCCACTCGACGATGCTAACCAGGTTATCACGTCTACCCAAATCTTGTGGGCCATGCACTTTCCGACATGTCTTCTTGGAGTGTACTGCGTATAGTATTATCTAGATGGTAATGGGTCGTCCCGAGCCCAGAGACGTAGGGTCGTACTAGCCTAATACTGTCGCACCTTCGGTTTGTACATACGAAGCTTGAAAGACTTACCCCGCATTATCTAGCCAAAGTCAATGCGGTGTTCCTGTGAATAATATTTGGGTCGAAGCATACAGCTTTCGGCGATAAAGTTAATTCCGTGGATGATAGGAGATTAGGGCCGAGCTCCGATATAGATAGTTTACTATCATTTGACGAGAGGGCCGATCATCTCGACCGCAATGATAGGTAGGGCGCACAGTAGGGCGTACGGTCACGATGTCACGTGAGCTTAACAAGAAGCTCCCCCGGAACGCTGCATATAACAGATAAAGATATCTATCTCGGAAGTATATACTACGAAGCCGGGCCTTTGTGTTAAATCACTTTGTCCTTACCTGATATCAGGCTCTGAAGCATCATGGTGGACCAATCGCCGAAAGAGATGATCCTGTGCATCGAGGACATCAAATCCGCCGCGGGGCAGAAGTTACCCGCATCATCCAGAGGTGCGGGGTGATACCGACATGAGCATCCCACGCACAATGCCATTGTTACTGATTACGAGGCGATCTAGATTTCTACAATGCAGGCTCGACGGACCAAGTCACCGTAACAGAGAATTCCACAGCCTATGGGAAGTACCGTCTGCGTCCGCGGGTACTCGTTGACGTCTCGCAGACAGACACAAGCACCACGCTGTTCGGACAGAAGATCAGCTTTCCGCTATGCGTAGCGCCGGCGGGCATCCAGGCAATGGCACATCCAGATGGTGAACGGGCGACAAGTCGAGCGTGTGCTAAACAACAGGTCCATATGGGGGTTTCGTCATTCGCAAATTATTCCGTGGAGGAGATCCGGGCGGCTGGGCTGGACATCGGACCGATACAGCACACCATGCAGATTTATACCATGCAAGATCGAGCACACCAGGAGCGTATTATCAAACGTGCCGAAGCGGCGGGTTGCGTCGCGATCTTCTTGACGGCGGACAGTCCGATTCTTGGCGTCCGGTACAGCGAGCATCGGAATGATTTCCGCGCGCCCGAAGGCCTCGACTTTCCCATGCTGGAGAAGACATCGGAAATGATTCGTGCTGAGCGACACGAGGATGGATTCACGGGAGTCAATTCCAGCTCACATTCATGGGCCCGGGAAATCCCCTGGCTTAGAAGCGTGACCAAAATGCAGATTTGGATCAAGGGTGTGCTGACGGCGGAGGACGTGGAGCTTGCCATCCAGTACGGTTGTGAAGGAGTCGTCGTGAGTAATCATGGCGGCAGACAGCTAGATGGCACTCCGGCCACGATTGACGCCCTTCCGGAGTGCGCTAAAGCTGCGAAGGGCAAGATCCGAGTACACATCGATGGGGGGATCCGGAACGGAACGGACATTTTCAAAGCCCTGGCGCTTGGTGCGGAATGCTGCTGGATTGGACGGCCGATCATCTGGGGTCTTGCGGTAAGTCATGTTGCTTTTCCTGTCCCCCAAGCAGCAGTGTCGCTGATCACGTTCTCGCGGTAGTATGACGGAGAGGCTGGGGCGAATAAAGTGCTGGAAATTCTGTATGCGGAGTTCAAACGCTGCATGCAGCTAACGGGCTGTAAGAGCATCGCGGATATTTCTCCGGCGTCGTTGGGCGTGGTGAGAAGTGATGGGCCATTAGCCCGGTTGTAACCTTTGCCGCCAAGTCGCAATTGTGCCCTTCGCTTCCCTGTGGTTCCTGTGCAATTTTGGCAGTGTTCCATTGTTCAGTTGCATAGATACGGAGTCCTTGTGGCTATGTTAAAGACCGGATAGATCGCAATTTAAAAAGGGGAACGAGTTGACGGATGCGGAAGTCCCGAGAGCTGAAAGAGTTGAAAATCATTCAAAGGGGAAAGGCGTCAGAGCACGTGCCCCGCTAGTTACTTTTTCTCAGTGGAGACGATCCAATTCTTGAGTCGCGATTTCATTTCCCTTCCGACGAGAAGAGAGTCTCTCTTTGATCATGAAAAGAAAGTAACCCAAACAATGTATGCGTGGTGGTGGGATCTTGTTCCTTTTTGTAAACGAATACGACCGTCATCTGGTCGGGTCTAGAATGCCGGTTTCAGTGCTATTTATAGCAAACTTAGGTACATGCAAGGAATTCAATGTGATGGATCCCCACCAGCTTGTGATTGCGAGGAAACAGCTTGAGCAAGTACTGGGAGTTGCTTAGAAGGACAGCCTGTCCTCTGACTTTCCCCTGCATCCCCTATCGCCTGAATGTCCATCATTGCGCCCCGTTCGGGCTCAAGGTAGGGTTAGCATATGGGAAGAAATGAAGCCGAGAAACTCAACCAAGGAGGACCACGTTGTCCAAGGCTTGGACAGCAAAAAGATTCGTCACGGACGGAGCAACAGTCCGGGGAAGACAGACGATGGAACCGAAGACGATCAAACCCAGGGTTAGAGCCATCTGAGACTTGACATGAACCCCTAATAAACAACGAACAGGCAGCCAGGAAAAAGCGAGAGACTTGGCGCGCGCTAAAGCCCCCGAAAAAGCAGATAGCGCAGCGATCCCATTGGCCGAAGCGACTGTGGCGTGGACATCTTGGCGGATACTCTCGTCCCTTGGCGTTTCACTGCCAAACTTGCCTTTCTTCGTCCTTTCCCCCCCCTTTAAAATTCCACCACATAATAACAATGTCTTTCCCGTCACCCCTGGGAAAAAATAAAGCTCCGTCATACCAGCCCTTCGCATAGCTGGAGCCAAACTAGGGCGATTAAACCAGAATTAAGCATAAATCAGTTCATAATACATACTTACACACACACACACACATATACACACAAACACACACAACCCCCCCATGCGTGTACTAAGTTGGCAACAGCTCGGCGGAGCCGCCCTGCTCCTGCTTCAGGGGCAGGTGGCCCTGTCGGCACTCACCGTGGAGGTGAATAGTAAGGGTATGTCGATGCTTTCTATTTCCTAATTCGGTTATGTGGGTGAAAGAGTACGAGTTCTTAGGGCATGATTTCCAGATTCGTTGGCCAATGCGGGGAAGCAGATCGCCGATCCTATGATGGACTTCTATGCACAAAATCAGACGGAAGGCATTCCCGGCAAGCTCACCGACACCTGGTACATTGCTGGCGCCATGTTCATGACCTTGATTCAGTACTGGGCCACCTCGGGCGTCGAACAGTACAACAAGGTCGTGTCACATGATCTCATGTTCCAGTCGGGTGAGAATTACGATTACTTCTCGGCGAACTATAGTCAATGGCTGGTAGGTGTGAGACGTATCCCATGGATGGTGACCATGGCTAACCTTGACCAGGGAAACGATGACCAAATGTTCTGGGGTCTTGCCAGTATCACCGCGTCGGAGACCGGGTTCCCTGAAATCTCGGGTAAACCCACCTGGACTTCTCTGGCTCGTACCGTTTTCAATATGCAGATCGAGCGGTGGGATGAGACCGCTTGCAATGGTGGTCTCCGCTGGCAGATCTGGCCCTACCAGGCGGGCTACACTATGAAAAACTCCATCTCTAATGGCGGCCTTTTCGAGCTGTCCGCTCGTCTAGCTCGGTTCACCAAGAACGAGACCTACGCAGAGTGGGCAGAGAAGATCTGGGATTGGTCCGCAAGCTCACCTCTCATCCGCACCGAGAAGTGGTACGTGGCTGACTCGACGTCAAATGAGAACAACTGCAAAGACTCCGGCAACAACCAATGGACGTATAACTACGGAACCTTTATGTCTGGTGCCGCTTTCATGTACAACTATGTGCGTCATCCCATCCGACTCTGTTTGTTTTCTGGCCATCAGACTAACCTGTACTTAGACCAATGGTGACGAGAAGTGGTTGAAGCGTGTCAATGGCTTGTTAGAAAGCACCTTTGCCACGTTCTTCCCTTCCAACTACGGCGGTAACGTGCTGTCGGAGGTGGCCTGTGAGCCGATCATGAGCTGTGATCGTAACCAATTGGGTTTCAAGGGATATACGGCTATGTGGCTGGCCCATACCGCCATCTTGGTTCCCTCTACCGCGGACCGAATCCTCCCCAAGCTGCAAGGCTCGGCAGAAGCAATCGCAAAGCAGTGCTCGGGTGAGTCCGAGAATCTCTGTGGTGAAACATGGGGCAAACCGACATGGGATGGTATGAAGGGCCTGGAAGTTCAGATGGCCGCATTGGGTGGAATTACCTCGAACTTGATGCTCCTGGAGAGCAAGTCGCCTCAGACCATCGACACAAATCCCGACGCAGCTGAACATCACATCGATAACAACGACAACAGCAGCAAGGACCCCACCAAGTCGAAGCCGATCGAGACAGCGGATCGGGCCGGAGCCTGGATCCTGACTGTCATGATCGCCGCCGGTGCGATAGGCGCCGTAGGGTGGTTAATCAAGACGCAATAAGAGATCGGGTTAGCATTTATTTTCATGTACAGATCGTCGTGCTCAAACTGGTCAGGTGGGACATATCTTTTATTCCGGAAATAGCTTTCGTGCATTATGTTTTACTACTATGCTTTCATTTCATCATGACACCCAATAAATACCTAATTCAGAACATATATTCATACGTCTTTGACAAATGCTTCCCGTGCAAGAGAGTGTGTTACAGCATAGAACCGAACAAAGAGAGCAACCCAATCCACGCAGATCAATTGTGCCCTACCCATCAAGTGCCTGCACAACCTGTGCCCAATTGCCAAATCCATAAGCACCGGGCACGGAGGGCCCATCGAATAAACTCGCCAGGACCACGCGATCCGTCTGCGCCCCTTCCCATGGCTCCCTCCCATGCTGTGCAATGATATTATCAAAAACCAACACATCCCCCTCCTGCCACCGATGCAGCACCCTAATCTCATCCGTAATCTTGGCTAAATGCGCCAAGTATTTTTCCGGAATAGGCGTCCCATCACCATAAAGTTGATGCGTCACATTCTTCCTCTCGTCATTTGCCTGTAGCCTCTTATAGTACGACGCCAGCCCAGTAAACAGCGTGGGCAGGTTCGTGCCCGGCTGCGTCCGAATCACCGGGAGTCGATGGGTCAGCACAACCCCAGTCTCGGTCCATTCCCACGTCGTATGGTTCCCGCGCCCATACCGAGCAATCTGCGCTTCGATCTTCCTCCGCCTCGTCTCTTCATCGTCACCCTCCTGGATCTCTTTCCCGAATGCCTGGCGCAAGGTCGAACCGCCCTCATACTGCTTGTCAATATTGTAGACAACCTTACTCAGAATGCCCTTCTCAGCAAGCTCATCAATAAACTCGGGTATCTCCGCTTGCGCACGCCGAAACAACTCTAGCGAGGAAGAAATCGGCGTTTCCCCGCCCTTCGCTGGAGCGCGCTGATTATGGAAGAAGATATACTCCGGCGCATGTGGAACCTGCGGCGACTCGTTGTGGTTGTAGATCTGCACTTCTTTGGGTGCCTCGTTGGCGGGGGCTACATTTGGGGCGAGTAATGGGCGATCGACAACGATGCCAATGATCTCGTGCGGTTTGTATCCGAAGGCGTGCGCGAATTTACTGAAGTCGGCGGCGTTGCGGATTGGGAGGCCTCGGAAGAGAAGGGTTCCGTGGCGCGCAAGGTATTTGGTGAAGGTTTGATCGCGCGATTGTATGGTTTCGATTGTGGAAATTATAGATTCGAGAGTGAGAGACTGTTTACTGTCCTCTGTTGGGTGTAGGGCTAGGGGGATCACGGTGTTGCTGGGATGGGGTGGACCGAGGATGCGTTGGTTGGTTGGGGGCAGAGCGAAGGGTTCGAAAGTTATAGTTGGAGATGAGGTGTCGGTAAGATGGAGGTTGGGGATGTTCAATTGCTCGATGGAGGTAGCCATGGCGTGTCTATATGGACTGGAAGGGATGGGCCTTCGTGAGGAAAAGATGTTGGACTGCTCGGTATATAACTGCGATGCATCCCCGCATCTACTATCTCGGTGCGATAGGTCGATGATGTGCTCAGTGGCGCCAAGATTGCGCCAACCCCGCCATTTGGCAGCTGCTTGTGATAATCCTCGAGCAAGACAAGGATTACCGGTCATGAGTGGTCATTTGCACATTGCGTCACAAGTCTAGGTCGTCATTTATCGTTCCTTCAGGTTTTTGACGTGCCAATGGCCGAGGTTATATAGCTATCATGCAAGGGGAGGATTTTCTTGCGTGCTTGGGGAAATGATGAGTGATCTCTACCTATAATAGTGAAGAATCTGTCAGTGTGATAGTGAGACTCCAGACCCCCAAGACGCCAGATATTATAAAAAGCAAAGAGGAGGGGTCAAACACTGTTCTCATGATGACAGCGAGCGGCAAGCACGGAGAGCAAGTATCGCAAACAATACCAGACAATGGCGCGAACCACCTGCAAAAAAGGCGATCCTTCTTTCGCAGCACCCTATTCCAAATCATTGTCGTCGGCCTCTGCGCCTTCTGTGCCCCAGGGATATGGAGCGCCATGAACGGCCTGGGCGTGGGTGGATCACAAAGTCCGAACCTGGTGAACGCCGCCAACGCCCTGCTGTACGCGTTTATGACAGTAACCTGCTTTGCCGGCCCCTGGCTAACGAACATAATCGGGTTTAGCTACACGTTGGCAATCGGTTCAATCGGCTACCCGCTCTACGCCGCAGGTCTGTACCTGAACAACCGCACCGGCGCAACCTGGCTCGTCTATCTTGGCTCCATAACCTGCGGACTCAGCGCCGGCTTCTTCTGGAGCGTTGAAGGCGCCATCGCCACAGGCTATCCGGAGCAGCACAAACGAGGTCGGTACATCGCAACGTGGTTCACATTCCGGAATTTTGGAAACATCATCGGCGGAGCCATCTCCCTGGGGATCAACCACAATGTCAACCAACGCGGGCAGGTAGGTTACCAAACCTATCTCGGCTTCATCGCCATCCAATGCCTGGGTCTCGTGTTTGGCCTTCTACTATCGAACCCAGAGAAAGTCCAACGCGACGACGGAACTCGCATTGAAGCACCCAGGGATATCAACTGGCGGACAGAACTCCGGGCCATGTGGCGTCTCGCCCGAAGTAAATCCATCCTCCTCCTCACACCCCTGTTCTGGTACTTCGGCTGGATCCAAGCTACCCGGGTACATACCTGGCAACCTACTTCACAGTTCGCTCCAGGGCACTCGGCAGCTTCCTCTCGGCCGTAGTCGGCACACTAGCTACCTGGCTGGGCGGTACACTCGTCGACCTGCCCTGGCTTCCAAGCCGGAAGGCAAGAGCTATAACAACATACGCCCTCATTGCAGCCATGAACACCACAACGTGGATATGGGCTGTGGTCATTCAAAACGAATACAGACACACGAAGCCGGTGCTGGACTGGGCGGACCAAAGTGCGTTTGGGCGCGGCTTTGGGGTCTACATGTTCGAGCGGATCAGCTTGGGCATGGTCGAGAACTATATTTACTGGTGTATTGGGAATCTGTCGGATTCGCCCGGTGATCAGATTAGATATAGCTCTTTGTTGAGGGGGATTGAGACTGCCGGTGTGGCGGTCGGGTTTGGGGTACAGGCTGTGCCGACGGCTTTGATTGTTACTGCGGCGATTAATCTGGGTTTGTGGTGTTTTGCGTTGCCCTTCAGCTACTATGCTACCCTCGGGGTGGTGAGGAAGTTCGCGAAGATGGGGTTGATAGGGCAAGAGGATAGACCTGAAGGCAGACATTAATGCAGTAGAATTAAGCGTATATGAACTAGACTGGAATTCTAGGCTCGTTGAACACGTTCTCGAGTGTGCTCGATTAGTATTGATCTTACTCGAAATAACATCGGCGGCTTTTTCCGCCAGCATGACTACTTTCCTGTCGCTCGCTGTGTGGCTCTTATTGAAGCGTTTCGCCGTTGACCAAGTTGAATGATCCAATAGCGTAAAGTGAAACATTGTTGCATTGTCCACCTGTAGTAACGGCGCTCTAAACAAGAACATAATGTAGCCGTCCCCAGGCATCAACCAATACTAATCAAATAGAAAGACCCCACTATACTCTAGTAAGCAGATGAATGGTGCTCAACCCAATGAAGATGGTCTTTGCTATTCTTAGGGCTTCCCAAGCCAAGCCATATAAGGCATAGACCCAACAGAACTCGAACTCCGAATCTACTCCGTAGTCCGATACCGACGGAGTTCTCACCCCTCACACACTCGCATATTTATATCTCCCTCACAGCAGTTAAGACCCTACTCTAGAACACAACTCCAATTAGCAGATCATAAAAGTAACAATGTCAAATACACCCACACTCCCACCTGGCTACACCCTCCGCCAAGGCTACCCCTCGGTACGGGATTACATCCACCTCCGCTCCGCCTCGGGTCTATCACCCCACAGCGCCGCCCAAGCAGAGGCCGCAATGCGTGGCAGCTGGTATGGGTGCTACATTACGTACAACGGGACCTCTGAGCCAGAAAACGCGGATGCTGACATATCCCGCTCAAATGATACCACAGACGAAGTCACAGTCGGCATGGGTCGTGTCATCGGCGACGGAGGCTGGTATTTCCACATTGCCGATATGGCCGTGCTGCCGGAGCACCAGCGCAAGGGACTGGGCGATGTGATTTTGAAAGACCTCATGAGCAGAATTCGTTCGCTGGCACCTCCGCCTGAAAGAGCGCCCGATGGGAGGCTGATGGGTACCTATGTCAGCTTGTTTGCTGATGTGGCGGGTCGCAAATTGTATGCTAGGAATGGGTTTGTCGATTCGATGCCGCATTCTATGGGTATGGTGCAATTGTTGGACAGGGAGTCTGCTTAGCATGAGGTGTCTTTGGGTGTTGGCGGTGGTATCTTTATCTGCAACGATGGGGATCGTGTTGTGTGGGGTGCTAGACGATTCAATTGTGGTGTGTGCCAATCCACATGTTTGTATATCTAGAGTAGTTGGTGATGGCTCCTTCAAGTGAGAATTGGCAGGTCTTACAAATCACAAGGAAAGACAATAAAGTCGATGTTATAACCAAATGCTGCATACGTCAAGGTTGAGACTGGTGCCAAGCTAACGACTGAGGATACTTGTCTAGATATCGTTCAATTTTCCGAACAGATGAGGCACGATGAACCTGGTAGAAGACATATATTCAATCTGCAAATGAGCGCATATATACATAGTAAACTATATGAGCAGTACCTCTGTATCTGTACATTTGTCTGGTATAATGCCATTATAGATATCCATCAAAAATGACAGTGCTCTGGGAAATCCCCGAAAGAGCGCCGGAATATGTTCCGCCTCAGCCACTTGTGCGTAGTGTATGACAGCCCCATCTCTGCAATACTGCTGTACCAGATCGGTCGCATTTCCAAGACTACCTACTGTGGTATCGGCTGTCCCTTGGAACACGAACATTGGGAATTCCGGGACTCCGTGTTGGCCCATAACATAGACGCTATCCAGTATTTCTGCAAATTCAGACACAACAGACCAACCATTGTCGAAGAATGCCGAGATATTCTTGTCCGCTAGTTGGCTCACGTAGCCATCACTCGAGTTAAAGACGCTAGCCGCACATTTTTTCATTGGGAGATCGTAGTCCGACTTAAACTCGGGCTTCAGGTGTTCTTTGATGTACTGGGCAATCGAAGGGAAAGCATTGGCAAGGCCGTTCAGGCCACCCACAAGAAGGCCTGAATTGCTGGTACCGTCGAGGGTGGAAAAAGCCTGGGTCGCGTTGACGGGAAGACCACCGATGGCAGCGCCCGCTATTTTTACATCTGGCGCATATGATGAGTGAAGTTCGCCCGCCCATTCTGACGCTATAGCGCCGCCGGAGTAGCCGAAGAGAGTGGTCGTGGCATTGGATTCTATTCCTGTGATATCTGTGGAGTTTAGAACGGCACGAAGGGAGTCAAGGACGCCATATCCTGACTCGGTTCCCACGGCATAGGAACTTTCAATGCCTCGTAGTCGGGTATGCTGACAGGTATCCCGGCCAGTAAGAAGGGCTCTGCCAAGATGGAGAGCTCTAGGACGGGATCGTCGACCGCTGTTGGGGCACCAAACTGGATCGTATAGGACGGGGAGCAGTCGGGATTGGGGCTGTTGTATGCCACTTGGTAGGAAAGGAGACGATCAAGCTGTGCATTGATCGGCATTAATACTGTTGTTACCGCATAGCTAGGCTGGTTCTGTGCGTCTGTCGTGCGGTAGAGAAGTTGGTGAGCGCTCTGAAGAGGGATAGGCAATGTGATAATCGAGCCGACCGTGACACTGCGTCTCTTGAGTATGGTTCCTGGCTCTAATACTTCCCAGTCTTTGTCGGGTGTATAGAACGGATCCTGACTCGGTGGGAGAGGCACATCTTGGCTCGCGACACCCAGGCGCAACACATTTCGTGCCATTGACTGGCAGATAATCGAAAAGAACAGTAATATTGAGTACATTGCGATCGTGAAAGCCATATTGCCGAAGTCTTTTTCTGACCAACAGCCAACAATATGGTTGGATCGCTTGAGGTTAAGAAGATTATGGGACACATCAGTGCCGTGATATCAATCTGGGGCTTGAGTCATGGCGACGCTGAAAACACAAGAATAACCCCTGGACACGTCCCTTTCATTCATGATCAAATCCACTGTTTTGTTTTGGAATATAGGGTCGCCGGAAGCTTCAATATTGTGAAGCCGAACGCGTCAATCACTTTGCCGAAACAGGTAATCCCGCCTGTGATTGGAAACCCTAAACAACCACAATGTTGACATTTGTTCAATGAAAACACCAATGCACCTTGACACGATAAAAGTAGAAGTGCCACATAAAAACGCTTAAATTAAACGAAAGATCGACAGGGGAAAGGTTGTTAAGCGATACGGTTGCGACAAGATAGTCGGACCGCGCGGATCTTACTATTTTGAATGAAATTGATAGATCTCATTGATCAGCCCTTCTGTTTTGAACCTTAGCTGAAGCTCTTACTGTAATGCATGCAATCGTCACCTGGAACCTAAGATTGGGCCTAAATATTGAACGGCTACGATCGCCATTAGCTCGGCAACATCATTCGAGTTTATCGTACTATGTACTACGAGAAATTTGAAACGGAAACCAATACCCTTCTCCTGGAGGGGTATATCTGCATGAATATGATAGATAAAGGTTGATGGTGGGGCCCCCACATCCTCCTATATGAACCGCAGAAAGGGGGAAGTCCAGAACATGACTTAATATATGCTTTATGCTCCTTGCGCATAAATTGTGATGATTATACACATTTCTAAAGGCTATCAGATGGGTAAGGCTTGCCTAGAGATCTCTACAGGTTCTATGACATTTGAAGCACCGCTGGATAAACTTCAATCGTATCTATCCATTGTCTTGTTACGCCTGAAGTGACGGTACTAAGAATGTCAAACAATGCGTGTGCATTAATACTGTAGCATGCCATAGGACAGGGTCTATGGATATCACGCCTGTATAGCAAAATGAATATATGTGGTTCATGCTCTTTTTTGGGCGTTTTAAAGTTCCGATATTGTAGTATTCTCGATGATTCTCATAAGGACGACTTTTATGCGCTATTATAATCCCTGTACACAAGAAACACTGTAATTAGTTTATTGAACATATAAATGCAAGCCAGTGCCCACCGAACCCCATCTCAAACTTGGTGGCCTAAAGCCCGACCATATACACTACAGAGAGCACCATTTTGGTCCAAACGCAACATGGATTCGCTTTTCATTGCATAAAATCATATAATTAGACTCTATCCGAATATATACTCCTCGCAGGGTCCTTCCTCCAAGCCCTAACATTCTCTATACCGCTTTTAATCGTCCTCCACCCAAGAGAATAGTACACTAAGCCAAGCAAAGCCAACGAATAACCCACGATCTGAATAGTGCTGACCTGCGTGTGCCAAAGCACAACCGAGGCAACAATAAGCAGAATGTTCTTCGGAATACTGACAAGTGTCGTGGTGAGTCCCGACGTCTTTCCGATCTGAAGACATTGTCAGCCTGTTTTCTGCTTGTGCTGGACGAAGTCACATACAAGTACAAAGATCGAAACGTTCAGCATGAATCCGACCACAGCATTGGACAACAGCGTCAAATAACCCGTGTTAGGGACTACGCTCCACTGGAAATCTCTGAGCTCCGTATTCCAGGCAATTATAGAGTTCATGATAGCGCAGACCGGCGCGGCATAGTAGAGGCTGACGAGCGGGTCCATTTTTTGGCCGTCGTCAGAGAGCAGGATTTGCATCATTACGAGCCGGTTCGCGTCGCAGAAGAGACTGGCCATCTGGTAAAAGATGCCGAGCAGCGAAAATTGGATTTCGCCTGATACGGCAAGGCCCACACTGCATGTGATGACTAGGACGTTTATCAGTACCTCCATTGAAGGTGTTGCTACTCCCCAGGACCAGCTGACGAGGAGGGTGACGACTGGCCCGGCAGCCTGCAGGAGTTGTCAGTTCGTTTTGTCTTTGAGGTACATCAGCTTGACAGGGCGATAGGATGATACCTTCAGCATTTGAATAAACGAAATATTGAGGTAGAGGTACACGATATTTCCGAAGACAAGGCTGCCGCTGTATAGCAGACCAATGGGAAGCATCGTGCGCGCATACATTCGGCTATTCATCTCGATGTTCTTACGGCTATCCAGTAAGGTCGTTGTCCGTGCCAGGACCTGGGTGACCACCGTAGCGAATACAAGATGCCATGTCGTGAGAAGGATGGCTGCAATTCTTTAGCAATTGAAAGCAGATTCAGATAGCAACTCACTCACGGTATCCTGTTAAGACAGTTAGTTGGAATAATTATCATGCAACGCGACTGTGTTCGACTTACTGAATTCCGTCGAGTCTAAGATCCATTTATTGAACAAGACCGTGAGGTTCGACCAGAAGACCCAGGATCTGATTGCCGTCAGCTAGTTCAGGTAAACGGGGGTAGCACCAACGGACGTACAGAATATCTAAGGTGATATTCCATGTCGGCTTTTTGCCGCCATTGAGTTCTTGATATGTCATTTCACCTCTATTGTTTCACCTGGTATCTCTCTCTGACCAGAAGAAGTTTAAAAATTCTCCAAGTGACTCTAATCCCAACTCAAGCCCCAAATCAACGACAAGGTGGCAGAGCGATGTAAGACCAATTCGTTAAGTGGGGTCCATTTGCCTAGGGCGCGTCTAGTTTCATCAGACAACCATTGCTATTAAGTGTTAAGTGTACACGCAAAATGGCAATAACACAAGCAGCCAAAGGAGATTCATGAGCTGGCTCCAATTGTTACTTAAATTCGGGAACTGGAGGTCTAGGTATCACTCGACCGGGGCTGTTGTACGGAACTAGCGGATGGGTGTGATTGCCCGTTGCCCTAACCAAGTGAGTAAAAATGGTTGCCTGGAACACCTTCCATTCGCGGAGCGCGCTCCACAGTACAGTAAGACACCGAAAAGAAAAAGGGTCGAGAAGCTAATAATAATCTATTAAACCCTGCTCTGCGCCCGCTTCGCCGTTTGCGACAAAAGCTCGAGGCAGGCGCGCCCCAGAAGCCAAGTCGGGTACTAGCTGATGTTACATTAAGCCGAGGCAGACTGAGCTTGATTCTTTTACCTTTGCAGGTTCTGGTTTCTCATTTCTTGGTCCTGCCAAGCGTCCCAATCCAAATTGTTTGGGTCGATGAAACCTTGAAATGAAAGTCATCTTACATTCCTGCACCCTAACATGTTCACCCGCTTGCGGCATGGAAGGGACCCGCCCCACTGTAGTAGCATTCAAGCCTTTTGTCTTCTGTTTGTATTGCTATAGTGCTACTAACTCCAGAAAATGACCATATGGGCCGAAAAGGTTAACTGTTGATTAAATAGAAATCATCGTTCATGTTATAGTAATAGGAAGGGTAAGAACTTGAAGTGATCCAATTCTCTGGTAAGAAGTAAAAAAGAAACCCGAACCTCTAATAGTACACAAGTCTCACCAAGAATGGGTACAATACGTAATGAAGTAACTCGGCCAAGCTTCCACCTCCATCAATCGTTTGCACTCCTCCGGATCGAAGGTCGGGTTCTCCCACGCCGCCTGGCAAACGGAGGCATTGTTCGCATCATCCACCCAGCTGAAGGGGTAGACCTGCTTCTCCGGCAGGAGCACCAGCGCGTCTTGGATGTGCGCGCCCATGGCAAGCTCACTCTCATCGCAAAACAACTGCCAGGATGGCTCCCGCCGTTGAATAGTCTTGCATGCATGCTCTCGTAATGAATTATTTTTGAAGTTGTCCCAGTATTTCTTGATCATCAAGCTCAGTGCCCCAGGTCCGGTCAGACCCTCAACAGATCCATCACCCGTTCCCTCCGGGTGTTCGATCACGTTGAGAACCGGAAGAAGCCAAAACGGGTGGCCTGGGGGCGATGCCATCCAGCCGTTGGGCACCGCAGCGGAGCTCAGAATGTCTACCGTGCGAGCCATGCGGCCTAGGAATGCACGCTGCATGGTAGCTTTTTGAAATGGCTGGGCAGACGAGAGGATATCTTGATGTGCGGCAAGAGCGGTTTCATGCCCGGCAAACAGCGGTGCAACGGGGCGCAAGGCTTCAGTATCCACGTCGGCGTACATCCTGTGCAATTAGTGACATTTCGAATGATTGACTGGACGAAGCGCTTTGAAGGACCTACCCGCCAAACAAATACATATAAAAATTACGAACAACATCCGCCCGGAGAATTTCTTTCGGAAGGCTATCATAGGTCTGCAGGAACCAAGGGAAATACTGTTCAACCAGCATCCGATTGGTTTCGTCATCCCAAAGCACATATTCCCAGTCCGAGTTCTGGGTCCGCATGCCGTGTACCCATTCTTGAGCACGCTCACTCATGTTGCTGCCCGCTGGAAACCATGTCTGATGGATGATCTTAGGAATCGTGGTGCCATCACGGGATAGTGGACGCGATAACAGAGTGCGAGCAGGCAGTTCACGGGCGATTGGAGGCGAGGTAGCTGGCACCACCGAGGGTACGATAGATGAGCGGAATGGGTAGGAGAGGAGCAAAAGAAAGAAGGAGATGGAGAGAATGAGCTGGACTCTCCGCCGAGAGAGGCAGCCAAATGGGGAGTCAGCTACCATTTTGAAGCAAAATACCTGCGTGGCTTCGGGTTTCGTAGTAACAAACGTCTAGGTTATAAACATGAATAGAGAATTTCGAGCATCGACAGCCCTCATCGAGCTTGCCGTATTGGAATATCTCAAGTTGACCGATGCATCAAATCTGCTATGCTTATGTAGATGTCAGTTGAAAAAAGAGAAACGCAACGATTTCGTGCTGCGCAATGGCTGCCCTGGTCCTGATCTCCAGCCGTTTCCAGGCTCTACCCCCGAGTCCAGCCCGCATGCCGGAAACGGCGATGTATGATAATTGAGTTGGTAAATCTTCGACCCAACTACCACATAGTTACCATAAACCAGGTAAAGCCGGTGGAAACAGCTTGTCAGGCGATCCAACTCTTCTCGTTACAGGTCAATGTAGCACCTGCCAACGCCTCCTGCTGCAGGCCCGCCGACCAGACGACGCGTAGGCCCGGCTATGAATGCCTGAGAAGTCAGTTGTAAATAATACATCAATCTGAGAATACTGCAAGTGATATCTTGCAGTGCGCTTGTCAGACCAATTCATCATCGGTTGCTAAAGGCGACGTTTGTTGGGCTGGTGGTTTTCTGCTTAATGGTCCTGTTGTTGCGCATTCAGTGATGGTGAGCTAAGCCCGGAAAGGGAGATGCATCCGGATTAGGATTAGTGGGACATCAGGAATCAACACCGGCGGCACGGCGCAATAGATGATCCGTACACTGTAACAGAGTAATTGACCTGGTCAAGTACTAATACAATAAATACCCCTTGACCTTACACCTCCATACCCCTCCCTCCTTGGTGAGGATCTGTCGATTATATTCCTTTTGATATAATCTGACCGCGCAAAGATGGCACCAAATCTTGGCGCGTCAAAGATAAAGGCCGCCGATATAATAATAACAATTGATGAACATATAAGATAGCTGAATTCATCTGTGACATATTTAAAAAGAAAGTAACAACATCTAGTATTACACGTGCTCTTTTATATAAAGGCTGGTCCAAAAAGAAAGCTAAACGGAGAGAAAATGAACAAAACACTGACTTGTAAGAGGAATATTTTGATAGAATCTTATATTTTCGCTCAGATCAATTTATTTTTGTGGATAAGTCTGGATGTGACGAACACATAGACATTAAAAGAACAGGCTGGTCTCTTCAAGATATAATATCTGTATAAATTATAAAATTCTACTGCGGTCAGTGGTATTATATGCTTCCGGTATATATTCAAGATAGTATTATTCTTTCTTGTATCTTCCAAGGATCAACGGATGCCTCGGTCTTTGAGGATTTTATCGGGGAGTTACTTTATCATTGTGGAAGATTTCCTGCCCTTAGGTCGGTTCTAGTTATGGACAATACCTCCTTTCATCGATCGCAGAGAGTAAAAGAAATGTGCTTACAGAAGGGGGTTCAACTCGAATTTTTGCCATTCTACTCGCCGGATCTAAATCCTATCGAGGAGTTCCTCACAGAGCTAAAAGTATTTATTCGACAAAACTGGCAATTATACAAAGACAATCCCTATCAAGGATTTGATTTCTTTCTTCAGTGACATGTTGATATTGTCGGCGCAAAGAAACAAAGCACGGAAGATCATTTCCGGAATACAGACTTGACAATTGAAGAAGTATAAAGTAGATATTGTAAGCAACCCCTGTTATTATATTCTGTTGTTACGAGGTATTAATCATTTAAAGCAAGAACAAGCGATATCCATGTACTAAAATACTGGCTGTCAGTATATAGTGAAATATTTACAGAAGAGAGAACTAGACAGCTTTCAAGTTGGTATCTTGCATATAAGCTCGTGCGATATAAAGCGAGGGCCTGGGATTCTATCAGTCTCCCAGCGGTCTGTCCCGCTACCATTCCAATTCTATTCCTTCTCCCCCGCTTTTAGAAGAATCTGGCCACTCGATAATAATTAACCTTTAGTCCCAGGCCCTGCTTCATAAATTCCCTTCTTACGGCAACTGATTACTGGTGGTTATCATATAGTTCTCAGGAGTCAGTAAAGGTGATCTTCTCAAATGTTCTAGTAGGAAATATACATTCGCGTCGCCACTCATGAAACTCCCCTGAGGTTAAGAAGCCCAGTTGTGAGAAACACAACCAAAGCTTCTCCATCTGGTCGTCTATAGCATATCAAAATCCTCAGAGTATCATACATTTCCGGCAAACACATCTATAAACCCTTTTGAGATCCACGTGATGGGGCAGATTGTCTGTCGACCAGCAAGCAGCAGCTTCCACACTTGAAGCCAGGAATTCCTCACACTACCCCGTGGCATCTATTTAACATCTGGCCTTGTGGTATGTATGTTCATTCCAAATCTGGCCTCCCTATGATATTTCCCGGGCACTCAATGGGCTCTTGACTTTCTGTCAGTTCAAAAAGAGGATCGTAGGCCTTTTGTTGTGCAGCAACATATTTGCAATAAAACTTGACAAGTTTCATTCATTGGGACTGAGTAGCAGTACGTGATTCATGGTCGTGATTGATGGCCAGAAGGGAGCTTGTAGTCCTCGGGCTATTGAGGCCATATGCGGTTAACAGAGCTTATCCAGGCAGCTTCGCGAAAGGAACGACGCCTGCTTTTTCTGCCTCTAGCAGGATTTTGTCGATATCCGGTTCGGAGAAATCGTCTCTATCTGATATGGCCTGGGCAGCTGATGCCATTTTGTGTGACATCGCGTTAACACAGTCTACAAGTCGTGCACCAGCTTCTCTAACACAGTTGTCTACTTCTGTTTTAGCATCCCGCATTGCTGTCTGCTTGAGCCGGGCCTGCTCTTTCGAGATTTGTTCAAGTCGTGTCTGCAACTTATCCTGCAAGGCATGTTTCCGTGACCAAGTGTCCTTGATAATGGTTTGGAAGTCCGACCGGAGATTCTGAATATACTGAACAACTGTTGCATCCCGATGCATCTTGGCCAGACCTATCCCAGCGTCCAGGCTCCGGAAGATCGATTCAGCGTCCTGTGGTAGGCGATGAACTGCAGAGTGACGAATGTTGGCACAAGTATTGAGGATATGTCTTCTTTCTTCTTCATGAACCGGTTCTAATAGTGATGATAACTTGTCCGGGCAATTTAAGATAACCCGACACCAGGAATGTAGCTCCAGTGACTTTGGCTCGGTCCAGCCATGCTTCTCTAGAAGTGATTGACATTGATAATGTTTGGCCCCGAAAGCTTCGCACATTTCTTCTAGGACGCACTGGAGAGAGGATAGCAATAAATGTTGGTCTTTGAGTGGAAGACTGATGGAGCTTGTTGACAACTCGCTAGAGATTGCAATTTAGCCAGCTTCACCTTTAAAGATTCTATTCCATACCTTGATGGATTCTGCCGGGCTCTTGTAAGTTCTGACGACCGCGCTCCTGTGTTACCTCGTTTGCGTTCGTCACGCGCCCTGGTCCCTTTTTTATTATTTTTCTTTGTCATGTTGGGTCATATTCATCAAAGAAATCGGTCAGGGTTGTCATAAAATCGAAAAACCAAAGCAGAATCATCAAGGAGAACCATGCCTGCAAGACGCGTCTGGACATGTCAGAGTCAGACCCATCCGGAAAATGGCACTACGCGGGAAATGGATAGCTCGCGCTTTCTGCCGCAAAGAATGGACCCCCAGCTGATCCGGACAGAGGGGACCAATCTGAGGTTAGAGATGCCAAGGACATGGTTCCGAAGTTTCCCCACGACTAATGCCACGTAAGATCTGACAATATATGGACTAGTATTCATTGATGTGTCGCTTTGAAGATTGGGAAGCTAACAGTGGCCAGCCTGAATTATTTGTTTGTGTTTTTTACCTGCTATATCACTCTCTTTACTACCGGTCAAAAGTGCTATATCTTCGCCCTATGTTCAGACTGTAAAGATTATCACTCAGATATAAATAAAGCGGTTATACTCCTGTTTATCTATATTTTCAGCGATACGATAGTATAAGCCGGCTTCTCTGACCGCTTGTCTAATATATAATGCTCTCGAGAAATATAATTACAATATTTATATCTCTTCTCCCTTGTATATGTTACGCCCGGGGCTTCGTCGTCAAGTCCTAAACTAGTAAGCTAACCGCGTGTAGTAATACTTACCTGCAGTCGTTCTCTGACTGCCGTCGTCAAAGGGTTGCGGCCTTGGCAGAACGGGGGTCGCAAGTAGGGCTTCCGTCGATACAAGACTACCGTCGAGGCTGGGTTGCAGTCGATACAGAACTCGAGTCCAAAGAGCCAGATCTGTCAAGTATGTATACTCAGTAGTTAGACGAGGACAAAGAAGTTGAGACTGGTTTATTTATAAGAATAACTTTGTAGTACTCGTATTGATTGATCACAAAGAACTAAACTAAATCTATAAATAAGTGTCCTTATATATCTTTGGTCCTTTTATATTATCTTGGTCTATGTTATACTATATACTATTGCTTGGCGTGGATACCATTTGCTATGTGAGGTCATATAACACGGCTGTTATCGGCCGCTGTCTAACAGTGTTGCCGGATACCCCTTATAACCGTCACTTGGTGATTGTGTAATAAAAGGATACAAGACCCGGGCGCCGGCTTTGAATTTTAGTGTACTGTTCTTGATGTGAGAAATAAATGTTCACTCATGACTAAGTTGGTTTATTCACATGGTTGTCATACATTGCCGAGGCGCAGCTTTCTACGGTGCACATAGTGCAGTCCCTCAGTCACCCTGCCTACCAGGGAGCGGTCCTATACTCGTTGGAGCAATAATAATCCAAAGGTAACTGGGTTAGCCATGGTGGATGTCATGACTCCGCCAATGGTGACTCTCACTGCCTCCCAGGAGAAGAATGCTCTACTGCGCGGGCAAATAAGTACTGACCTCCAGCCCATTATTAAACGGCAGGGTCATGTTAACAAATCCACTAGCAGGGTCGCGCATAAAGTCCAGAAGCTCCTTATACTTGTCCGCCGCGGCAATGGTATTATCCGCCACGACAACAGCCCCGTATCTCATACGCGGCAGGATTACCTTCAACGTCGGCAAAGCCATGGGAGTCCAAACTACCGACGACAATTAGCAAGGTGAAGTGAGCAATAATTCACAGAAAGGAGAACAGGCATACTATCAAGGAGCAACAAATCCACTGCCTCCACGTCCTTCTTCAAAGTCTCACGGAGGTCTCCCTCCCGTAGGTCGATCACATTAGTAACGACGTCCCCACATTGTGCCCAATGCTCCCGGGCCTTAGCCGCCTTTGTTGGCTCGTTCTCAGTCGCTATAACACGACCCGTACCACCCGTTGCTGCAACATTGGCTGACACGGCAAGGGCCAGGTAGATGGTGCTCACGCCGAAGGACGTGCCAGCTTCGACGACGGTCTTGGCGTTGATGATGCGACACAGCTGATAGAGATATTGGGATTTGTCTTCATCAAGGGCGATGAACTTGTCGCGCATCACGTCGTCGAAGGTTCGGCTTTCAAAGTCGGCATCTGTGATGGCGGATTCCTGGGTCGTGGATTGTTTGTGGAGGGTGGTGAGGAGGCTGCGGATATGTGGCGGGACGCCTTCGAGGGGATTCGGTGAGGACATTCTGCTGATGGTTTGTTCTTTTTTTCTTGGTGGAATGATGGTGAGGCAGCGTAGACCTTTTCTTTCTGAGTGTGATGATCAGAATCAATTGGGGGGTTCGAGTAGCTTTTAAGGTTACATGGTTCGGAAAGACACCGGGAAAGCTTGCATTATCTGATGATGGTTCCCCGCTCCTTCCACGCTATGAGTCAAGAATACTCATTGAAGGTTACTAGTGGTGAGATGGTTTTAACCGATATGCCGACTGGGCGTGGCGCTAACCCCCGTTTAGGAATGTAACTCGTATATGAATGATTTGAATACAAGGATCCCGACCAGTTACATGAGACCCTACACTGGGTTGAAGTCATAACAACAACTTGCTGGCATTGAAACCCAACCATCCAGGGAGGATCCGGCCTACGAACACCGAGCAGGTTTCAGGCATTAAACCAAAGACAAACTCCTAAAAGACCGAACACGCTCTTGGTGGGACCACCACACGTATTGAAACACGGGCCGAGCAACTTGTGGTCACTTGTATGAAAGGTATATACATGCTGTCACAACAACAGATGGTGGCAGTCCAATTAGCGTTGGAAAGCAATCGTTTTTCGTGACTGGAAGATTCTGTCGACATTCTGCCGTACCTTCTCAAAGCGCATAAACGAGCATGCCTCGCTCTCTAGGTGATTAAAGAGCGCAGCTAGGGTAGTACACTGCTTGACACATTTACCCTGTGAGTTCGGGCAATGATACACGTTTTGCTTATGGACCGAAGAGTTGAGATGTGAATCCAGTGCTGTGACAGAGCGGAACCCCCGATGACATAGGTAGCACTCCCAGCACGATCCGTTGAACGCGTGGTTAGTAGCAGAGTAGTGGGAAGTGCTTTCCTTATGCCACTCAATTTGCTTATTTGTGATGACCCCTTGTGGATCCCTCTCGTGAACTATGCGGAGAATAGTTTCCCGGTTAAGTGTGGCGGCACGAGGACAGGAGCCTCGTTCAAGGTGGTGGGCAAGGCCGCTGGCGGATGTGTAGTTGGCATTGCAGAATGGGCACTGGACATTCTTTGCGCGATGAATCTTCGAATTGAGATGCTATCGATGTATGTGTCAGGGCTCTAGGTACTACGTTTCGAATGCCCGGATGCGATCAGATGAAAATGTCTTACCATGTGGAGATCGTTCTCGCTCTGGAATCGTCTTTCACAAGTAGGGCAGTAGTTTCTAAAATGAGCCTTACTCTTCATATGCATTTCTGCCGCCTGGTCGGTGGAAAACTTCATGTTGCAAGTCTCACAGGGCACCCTGGGAGCCCAGTGTCCCACCGCCCTCATGTGCTGATGGACAGCATTCTGGGAGCGAAACTCGCGTGGGCAAGTCTCACAATGAAAGCGCGAGACGTACGAAAGGCGCGAGGGCATGTCTCACATTCAGGCCAATGACCATAGTCATCCATATGCCACTCGTAGTCACCTTGGTCCCAAAAGGTGTCCATGCAAGTCTCACACTGGTACTCATCGTCGTACATCGTAGCAGTGGCCGATCTGTTGATGATGAATGGAGGGGAGCATCGAGATGGAAGTATTGTGTAAAATATTACCAACTCCAATCAGTGATTGCATTAACCAATTAGATCTATTGACAAGGCCCTAGCATCTTTTGTCAACCAATCCTGTTAGTCCATGCCATGTCCGAGAGATTCACCGCCCCTTTTACCGCCTTTCAAAGATCACTACTACTACTACTACTAGTACTAGTGCCTAGCTGAGGAACGTGCCTACCTTTCTGGGGACGGCGCCCTGCCGCTTTTACGTCGCCCGCTCAACTCAAAAGTTGATCTATATAAAGATCGCCGTGCGTCCCTGAAGAACGACGCACTTTCCCTTCTCTTTCCCTCAGTCTGGCGGCCAGTCTCTAGCTCCTAATTTCCGTTTTCCTTTCCCTCTATTTATTTACCCGACACACAGCCCCCTATAGTATACCGTGCGATCCAGTAGTCCTCCCATTTCTGGCAAAGCACCAACCTGAGATATTATTTACTCTTGCTTAATCGGGCCTTATCTCTATAGCAGTTGGACCATCTTTAGTCTATCTGATCCCAGCCTGCGTTGTCCTCCAGCTACATTATATTGACATCCATGTGCTCACCACTGCATCAATCTCTCTATTTCTTCTCTATCCTCCTCTTCTCTCTTCTGTTCTTTGCTTTCTTCTATTTTATACTCTATTGTTCTGTTCTGTTCTGCCTCTTTATATTCTCCTTTCACCGTTGCTGGCTCAGATCTGAACTAATATAGCTCGATAATACTATACTCTGCACCTGACTTCAGTAGTCAATAGCGAGAATAATATATAGATCTAGTCTACTTGATATCTAGATAAGAGACGCAGTTTCAGCGAATATTAGAGTCGAGAGATTAATTATATCTATAGACCTCGGAGTAGATAGTCACGTGGTGAGACTGACATCGGCTGCTTGCTAACAGTGTTGTTGAATACTGTTTATAACTATCTGTTGGTTATCTTGTAGCTTCTTTCTGTCCTATTATTTTCTGTCTTTCGCGTCCGCTTTTCTGAGCAAGGTACGCTAGACAAGGGTCTGTAACAGTTATGTCAGTTGTGCTGGTTGGGAATAGATAGTTTTCTTAGATAAATCTTCTCTAGAGGATTTATTATCTATTTTATGGAAATTCAAGACTCCATATACTACATTCTCTTTTGTATCTCTGTCAATAATTTATTAGTACTATCTCTTCCCAGCCAGTCTTATTACCGGGTCTGGTCTTCTCTAAGTGAAAGCTAGTGATGCAGGCCCCGATATCTTCTGTTTATCTACTGGTTCTCTATTATTGTAAAGATATATAGACTTATTTCTCTCTGTCAATACTGATATATCGATCTCAACTGGAAAAATTATAGCTTATCTCAACTGGCTATCTGAGCCTATCTCTACTTCTATAATATAGTGCGGCTGCCTGATCTAGAAATAAGATTCATAGTTTTCTCTCTATATCCGAGAGCTCTGTCAATCCAGATACCGAGATTCTCTCGGGATCCCTAAGGGTACGTAGGCCGAAAGGCAAGCAGTACATACTATATAGACAGAAGGCTAATTCTTGTCTTTCTCTTATTGATTTCAAGCTATGTTTTATAGCTAAAGGAGAGCCTCCCCCCTCTTCCGGTAGAATAGGATTGGGAAGGGCTACTGTCTGTTATTGAGAAGGCAACGGGTCTGTCCTCCGATGTTGCTGTTCGGCCACCGAGGTGTCTATGCACAACGGGCAGGATATAGGATGCAGTTATCATACGGGGTTACCGTGGAACCCGTGACACCAATCTTGACAGAAGCCTTGTGTCGACAGTAGTTCTGTTACAACTCCTGTCCTGCTAAGACCGCAGTCCATTGACAACAGCAGTCAAAGAGTGACTGCAGGTAAGTGTTACTACACGCGGTTAGCTTACTGATTTAGGACTTAATGACAAAGCTGAGAATCTTGAGAGAAGACCAGAAAAATAGCTAAAATTTGATAATTCTCTAATATTAATCTGCACAGATATTATACACAATCTGCGTAATTTCTTAGTGCAAGTCAATTCTATAAGTATTGTGTCTATTGATTTATCCACTATTTTTAATAATAAGGATTATAAAATCACTACTAATAAGATATATCAGACTGTCTACCAGTACAATTATATCAATATAAATAATTAGATTGCTGATTATCTATATTCAGATATTTTATCCAAATTACTAAATATATTATATACACACCACAGCTGCAGTAATAGATCTACCGAGATTGACTCGCCTTATAATATAAATATTATATATCAATATAGACAAAGTATTTATAAAATAGCCAATCCAAGTAATCGGAGTAGATCTTCAGCGAGTACAACTCATCCTAGAGAATTAGTTAAATCGACCTAGGAGAAAGGAAAAGCTGCCCGGATATTTTAAATTATCTGTACCACTTTCCGCGGAGATAATTATATCTTCGTAGCTCTCCGCTCTCAGTTTCTATTCTTATCTTTCAAAGTCTATCTAAAGCTTGTTTTATTTCTATTTAAAGCAGTATTAGATTCCTGTATATATAAATCTAAATCTATTTCCCGAAATACTACAGGTACTATACTAGAGATAGTCGATACAAGCAGTAAGAAAAAATAGAAGATAGAGAAGATTATAACTTCGCGCGTGTTCTATAGAAAACTCCAGTATCAGATATAGTAGAAAGACTGTGAATCTGATACCGTCTGATATACTGCGCACAGATTCAAGAGTACTCTATACATGGTATAAACCTTCTATAAAAGATTCTCAGACCAACCCGGACCCCCAAAACAGCTCAAGGAATAGATACAAAAGTGGAAGTTGGGACAGAAGCTCCCGGATATTCCCGACAACGATTTACCACATTAACCTGTGCAATTTGGAATAGAATAGAATACTAGTCTCGCCTGCTGTTCGTTCCACGGACAAAGCTCATTTAGAGTTCTAGATAGAATGCGCTGCTAACCCTCTACGACGTGTTCTTCCCGCATTGATACAATCAAATGTGCAAGCAGATACGATGGCGATGTTTAAACAAGACTAGGTCTGGCCGTATTCTTTATTCATCGTGCATTAATAGAGGATAATTATCACCATTCCAAGCACACCGCTCACCGCAGTTATACGTATCATTCCACTCATCGCCAGGGTGAATCCTCTGTACCGCCCATTCCTGGTCCATATTAGCTAGACTTCCGGATCCAAAGTATCTTTGAGTGATGAACATATATACAGATTTCCCAGGCATTTCTTGTATCTGTATTGGCCCAGTGCCAAGATAGCTCAATTCCGTTGCACATGTTGCGCACCTTGTTAAGCTGTAGATAACAGAGAGAAAATTTTGAGACTTCGCAGAAGCCTCAAGAGCATTTGCAAGCCACAAGCCAGCTGATCGATGTGGACAAGCGAGACGAGGCATCAGAAACGGCTCTGTAGCTGGTTGTTCAGTGGCCACACCTAGCCAGTATTCTGTCCTGATATACAGTCCTCCGTTTGCATCGAGCTCCGGAAAAATGTCAATTTTGATTTCCGAAGGTCCATAGTGAGTGAGGCAAGAATGCCAGCAGAACCGTTCCTGGGCACCCACAGTTTCCAAGGCTGTAATAGACTCCTGCCCTGTCACAAATACCCCGACGAGATCCATTAGCCCGTGGTAGGTCAACTTCTTGCATGGGCATAGATCGATGATGCCGGCCAGATCTCCCAAATTGCACATTCTCTCCTCAGCTTTCTTCTTCAGTTCTTTCCTAGGAAACGAGGCGAGAGGATGCAGCATCAAGCACCTAGAGCAGGCCTGCCATCGGCTGTTTTCCAATAGTCTTATAAGTTGCCATCGATGGGTGGCAAAACTGTACTCGTTTTTGTAGTGGAAAAGGGGAGGCGCAAAATCCAGTTCGAAACGTAGCAAGTCTGATGAAAGAACGGTGGTATCGGTACCGAATAATCGCTTACAGGTCAGTACCAGACATGCTCTGGATACATCCGGCAGAAACGCTATAATCCCCAGTAGTAACTCAGTGGGTAGTTCGAGAAGATGACAACGACGAGGATAATTTCTCTCTAAACTTGGGCCTGTAGTCTTCTGCGGTGCTTGGGGAGGACTTCGTTGTTTTGAGTTTCTCCATATATCTCGGATAAGTTGTAGACCATGTGGCATGCTGGAGATTGTTGGGTTTGGACGCCTCACCCTAGGGGATGTGACGTTTTGCTTCGGGTATTCGATCTTTGGTGTCATCCCGATAGCCTTTATCCTTATCCTTCGGAATCAGAGCTTTGTAAATAATCCCAACTGACGATGTTGCAGTTGCAGTTTATACCAACCCAATACTTGCAGCCTCTGGGCAACAATTCCCGCAGGCGGCAGTCACTGGCCTCACAGTATGAGGACACAGGAAGGAGGAGGAGTAATTGTTCACTTTAGCTAGAGATTCTGCAGAAACCGTACTATGTTCGTTTATTGCTTCTGTAGAGTCCAAGCACGATACTGGTAATGGCGAATGCCCTACAACCAAGGGTTTCGTGGCATTTGGCCACGTATGATGTCCCCTAGTCCTGTCACACCTTGCCACATGCCAGCTCGAAATGTGATCACACTAGGGTTAGTACTATGTTGACGAGTTTCTGCATCTGGCTCTCCCTTGTCCTGGTTCGTTTCAGGTCCCCTGTGCCTGCCTTGGAACAAGGCCCCTTTTGTTGTGCCTCCGATTGGCCAGCTACACTTTCCAGATCTGTTGAGGTTCGCCGCCGAAGTTGCTCACGAAAGGCAGTAAGCCCGATGTGGCAATCCCCCATGATCCATCAACCTGAAATGAGAGGGTGATGCAAAACCCGCGTCTAGTGACAATATTAGACCCTTGCCGAATTCTGCTTCGGTATGATACAGGAAGAGCCGACAGGACTTGCACATGGACGTATCCCAAAAGCCCCAGTTTACTCCACCAGCCCCAAGTTTCCTCCTTTGCATCAATACCCACTCCACACAATTTCCAGACCCATGTGGGAGCGCTACCTCATCTTGCGCATGATTGGTCAGATATACTTTCCTGAACCGTACAAGTGTGCGGCTGAGGGGCTTTCGTTGCTACTAGTAGTGCTTCCATCGTCAACAGTTGCGATTTGATTGGCGTCAACTCAGTATTGGTCACATTATTAACATACTCCTTTGCGTGCCAGACATGCCATAGCGGCCTATACGAATCCTACAATATTCCGCATCCACCTTCGATAAGGTGCTCTAGACAAAGGCATGTAGCACTAGGGTTCTGTGGCCACCCATGCGACCGATAGTCTTCTTTGCCTGGAGCTCTAACTGGCATCTCATGATAAGAACCGGTATATCCACCGCAGCTGCTTTGATCAGAAAGAGATACGATACAAAACAACTCCCGGGATGTGTTCGGCCCCGGCCAGTATGGATATATCCGCGACTTTCCAAGTTATAGAACATAAATTTCTGGGTCAGCATATCCGCGAGTATCCTAGAGCCACGGCTACCAGCCAAGAGGACCCGCTCTCTATCATAGCGAAGCAATACGTGCCGTGGGATAACATCAACCCATCCCCTGGGGATATAAGTATCATTTCCGCTCACGGCAACGGAATACCAAAGGTATCACTGAAATACTGGAAGTGGCTAAGAATGATATACCTGACAAATGTTTTCAGGAGGTCTACGAGCCGTTATGGGTGGAGATCTACCAAGTAGCCAAGAAAGCGGGGCTGCAGTTACGAGGGATATGGATAGCGGATGCCGTCCACCAAGGTGCAAGCGGTGTCCTTAATGAAAAAAAGCTAGGGAACGACCGTACGTATTGTTCCTTTTCTGATCCGTCGGAATATTGTCCTCTTTAACGCTAACGATACTTGCACAAAAAGCTTCCGGGTTCGACCACTGTCGCGATCTTATTCTGATGATCAACCAACTGCGCGAGAAGCTTCCACGGCCTATATTCGGTATAGGACACAGCATGGGTGCAACCCAGTTGATGAACATATCCCTCATGCACCCCAGGATCTTCCAAGGCCTCTGCTTGGTGGAACCAATCGTGTTCCCATACTCCGCAGACAATCAAGGGAGATATCCTCCAGCGCAAGCATCCATGCGTCGCAGAGAGAGCTTCGACAGCCTAGGAACGGCAATATCACAGTTTCGGAACAGCTCTAGCTTCCGGAAATGGGATTCACGAGCATTTGACATGTGGATTAAATATGGGCTCCGTCGTGCCCCTGGGGACCGCACAGGGGGAGTCATCCTAACGACGACGAAGAGCCAAGAACTGTTTACTTTTCTTCGGCCAATTTTTCTTTCAAACACCCCAGCAGACCGACGCCTGGCTTTCCCAGATCTATCATTAGAAGCTCCTTCTGATGTTCTCTTTTACCGCCCGGAGCCGGTGATTACATTTCACAACCTTCCACATTTGCGGCCATCGACACTATACGTTTTCGGTGATCTCTCGCAGCTTATAAGCCGCCAACTGCAGGAGTCTATTGTACACAGAACTGGAACTGGTCTTGGTGGAGGTGGAGGGTCTACAAAAGATCAAGTCAAGTACACTGTCGTGCGAAATACTGGGCACTTCGCGCCGATGGAGGATCCTAAGGCACTAGCCGAAAGGACTGTCGATTGGCTCAAGGTAGAAGTTGATCGGTGGGCTTTTCTGGAACCATCAAGTCTTCTAACCTGTACTAGTGAAGTAAGTCAGGACTTCCTGAGCTCCTTGGCAGGCAGCCACCAGGTAGGCAAGCAAGACTGCCGCCATCACAAGTTGTGACGAAAGAACAATGAAAACGAGTTTCGCTTTCCATTGCCCTCGGTAGTTACCTCATATGTTGCAAGAAGTAATCCGTCCGTCCGTGGCTCTCAAATAAGCCTTGGCACTCTCTCTCCTGCGTCATGATGTAGCCAGTCCTCTAAATTTGTATGGAATAGTAACTCTCCCAGGGCAATTGTTTTTCTCAGTTGGAGCTCATATTCCCCCTGCATCTGATCTAGATAGAGGCTTGTGTATGTGGGGCCCACCCGCGATACATCGACTCGTGGGCTTCCATAAGAAGAGGGGAAAGATGAACCAATTCTTTCCCCATATTGTGACTGTGTTAATTACCCAATCGCTAGAGGTAGCCAGAGGTGAAAGCCCTTCCTGCGGCAATAGAACACTAGGAAGACGACAATATTTGATCAGCGTAAACCTTTGACCAATATCATGCGATTGGAAGATGAAAAGAGATTGACCACTCAGATATTCGAATATAGCAAGAGTATATATCCAATCGGACCGTACCCCTACCTGCAAAAGCAGTGTATCTTGCAGTGCATGACCAATCCAACGAAGGGGTCAGTGGAGGAGTCTGTGTGAAGAGTCGCCTACTCACCCAATTATTGGTAACATCTGGTGGGGGGTAGTCAAGTCTACTCACGGTTGTATCACCTCCCAATACATACACAATCCAACTTTTAAAAATCTCGTGTCATTGTTAATTACTTTTTATCTCCTCGGTAATGCTATCGGGGTCAATCAATACCCCAGGAAACTGCATTATGCTACAGAATTCCGAGCCAAATAATCTTAACGTCCTCGACCACCTTCATGATGCCAAGTTTTACAATACTCTAGCCATTATAATGGTATTGCGGAGGGAATACATACGGGACCGCTTCGTCTTCGTGAAGGTAGAAGATATAGTTCAAATCCTCGGAGGCCTGGGAGCAGAAGAGGCCCATTTTCAAGGTATCAAGCTAATCAGTGATCTGGCGGGCCTCGAACTAACGCTGGAGTATCGGACAGTATTATTTGGTCGCTATTGTCTGGACTTCGGGGAAAGAGAGATCCGGCACTTGGAGCCACAGTTATATATTCTCACAGTCCAAGAGGATTGCAAGCGATACGATTCAGGTATCCCAAGGATCTTTGCTGAGGTCTCTGTGGAGATGTAAAGAAATACAGCAGTACAAGTATTAATAGTATTCAAGATCTTGATACTTCAAGATATATCAATTATACTACATAATCAGCTTGACTACTTCTCGCATAGCTGGATATATACATTGTTTAATACTCGTGTAGTCACCGACAATCTTGGAGGTATCTTCGGCGAGCCAGCTTTAGAGGGTGTCCAGTCCGATAGTTTAGATCATAGTATAACCGTTTTTCTAGAGAGCAATAATATAAGACCCGATAGTGCTGTCACCTTCCTGCATGACAATAATGAGATAATAGGAGTTCCTGTCTCATAGATAGAGTCTGCTGTGATTAAGGCGCGAGTTCAATATCGTAACTTTCTTGATACGCTGATGTTTATCGATCATGATCACAAGCATAGTCTAACGCCGGTATACCCACTCTGTTCGTCGTCTATTGCTTGCCGCGACATGCTGGTGATGTTTACCCGCCGGCCGAAAATGGACGGGCATGTTTCTGGATACGGTGACTCCATGGCTCTTCATGCTCAATTCCCACTGCGGATTCCCTTGTGGCTTCCATGATCTGCAGCGATTCTACTAAGACTGATAAGGGAATAGCCTGATGAATATTACATCCAAAGACCATGACTGCGGAAGCTATCTGCGAATGATCTGTTGGCATGTAGCAATAATAACACTATCGTTGTGTATCCATGGATGATGATTCTGGTCAGAATTCAGCACTTTGTATGCCCTGCACGCAGTAATTGGTCAACTGGTTCATGTACAGAGCCGGAATCTTTACATTTACTTCGGCAACAAGAGTTGCTTGTGTCTCCATGGATGCAGTCCTCCCGTTGTTTATCCTTTTTTTACTCTTTTCGCGTTTTGCTAGCCGCCAACTGCTAGATCTGACTCTTCAGGCCGGATCTGTCGTATGTCCTCTGGGTGTCAGGTTTACCCCTCCTGAAGAGATAGGAATCTAACCGACTTGGGATACTTGATTCTGGAATGAGCTCATCCCCATATCATCGAAGGCTCGTCTTTTGTTGGATGTTGTTGAACGCTCTCCTCTTGAGGCACAATCAATTCGGTTTTAATGGCACCTAAAAATAGGGAAGGCATCTTCGTACCTCCTGATATTTGCCCGTTCTGGGCTTGGTAAAAGATCGATCCATCAATATGTTTCCAGGCGGAACGGCGGAACGGATACGTCTGGGTATCCCTTGTCGCCATTCTCCAAATTCTTTCTTTGAATTTGATCGGCAGCGGGCCGTAGTTAGTTCGAGAAAGATTGTGACAAAGTTAAGAGTGGAACCACTAGTACGAGAGGAGAGTATCAGAAGAAGCAGGACTATTCGCCAATCGGAATGCACCCTGCCTGTTGCCAGTTTCAGCTTTCTACCCTCGGGAATATGTTATACATGTTTACTCTGATCGTGTGCAACCGTTTTGATTTCGGCATTGGAAAAAAATATGCTTTTCCGACTTCCAGTGCAGAGTATAGCTATTGCTATCGTAGTCAATCTTTATGTCTTCGCGCTGGCTGTGCCATGAGTTTAACACACGTCGAGGTAGTGCATGTATCTGATGTGAAATCTGGTCTGGTGTAGCCATCTCTTGTTCGATTCTAGCCGTGGATCCACTTTTCTGTAATCGAGAACTCTATAGACTGGAAACCATGTCAGATACCCAACGCACTTGAGCCAGAGACCTGTATGAGCCCCCCTTCCCCCACGGTCCACAATCGGGAAAGTTAAATTTCAGCAGAACTCGGTTGCTGTGATATGTATTCCATATTGGTCACTAGTACGTATATCATTTCTAGATAGGTTATTTAGCATGGAAATTCAGGTGGCACTAGACATCAAGCGCAAGCGTAACAAAGGGTGATCTTCAGATGTAATGACATTATTGAACTGGTAGATACAGACTACGATCCAGCCATTGACAAGGATAAGCACTCTATGGTGAAAGGTAAATCCACCAAGTGACTTGCCTGTGGATTAAGGTGTTGCCAGCAGATAAACTAAGGGGCAATATATTGGTGGGAGTTGTCTAGAACGGCAAATGGATGACCATGTATCCGTTTTGGAGAGTTGGTATCCATATATTGCTCGAATGAGCTATCATACTGTTGCCCAGTGCTCTATTTCGAGGCCCAGTGGGTGAGAGCAGAGACCTAGACTTGAGATCTGGAATCGAGGCTTACTACCGTTCTTCGGTTAGGTAGATAAATATAATGGCCATGACGTCCACACCCCTGCATATTTTTCCTTTCTTTGGAGAACAGAAAACAAAAGAGCCGCAAGAAATTGACAACTTGCTTCGTGTACACTCAGCAGTTCTCGCCCTCACATCTCACAATGGATACACTTGCCATTCTTATAGTATTCACCACTATAGCAGCAATTGCCGTTGCGGTGAGGTTGTCCGTGCGATACTTGACTCAATCGCTAGGCTTGGATGATTCTCTGTTGGCAATATCCCTAGTATGCTATCATCCCCCCTTCCTGACGTACTAGAAGCTGAGTTGCGACAAGATTATAAGCATTACTTTTATGGCTTTTGCTATTATAGGTATGTCTGTCCCGAAATTTGGGAGAGCCGTCCCCGACAAAGATAACTGAGTATGGCTTTGTGGTTGTAACGGGCCAGAGGTTCAAAATGGAGTGGGACATAGCAGCTCAGAGCTAGAGCAAAAGCAGATAGAGACCCAACTCAGAGTAAGTTATCATCATCAAGAGTGGTTTACGTCTAATAACATCAACTTTAGGCCTTATGGATCATGATCCCGTTGTATAATCTCAGTCTCGTTCTTACCAAAATTTCCATGGTTATACTCTATAACCGGATCTTCTCGCATTCTTGGTTTTATTTTGCATCGAGAATTGCCATTGCAGTCCTTGTGGTCTTCGGTGTGTGGGTTACCTTGAGCAGTTTTCTTTTTTGTCTCCCTGTAAGATCCTTTTGGAACCTTGCCATTGATGGACGACATTGCCTCCCACGCGAGATCACGTGGGTAACCAATGCATCAATTAATCTTGGGACTGACATCTTCGTCACCTTTTCACCCATTCTGGCGCTAAAGCCACTTAATCTGTCTTTGAGGCAGAAGGTTTCTGCTATCACCATGTTCGGGCTTGGAGGAATGTAAGAGTCTTGTCTTGCACATACCCACCTGGAATGATGTCCATGTCTGAGGTCCTGGCTAATACCTAGACAGGACTTGTGTAGCAGGTATCCTGAGGTTGGTGACTTTAATACAACTCACCCACAGCGATGATATTTCAGGTACGTTACGCTTATAACCTGCCATTATCGCTCTAGGTGCATGTCTAATGCGTCCATAGAACATAATGGACCTACAACTGGTTGGTCCAGCATTGAAATGAACACGGCATTGGTATGCGCATGCATACCGTCGTTCCGACAGCTCTCAAAGCAAATAATAGAGTTATGGAGGGGATGGAAACAGCCTCGCATCGTGCACATGCCTGACATCGACGTCTTTCACAGGATACATGTTGAGGAGGAAATCATTATCTACTTCGATACCTATGATCAGGCTTGAAGAGCGAATCCATCATCACAATAAGACATTTCAAGGGTAGTTCTGCCAGCCGTTTTGAAAGCTTAGAGTACCCAACCCGAGTCATTCAGCATATTCTTTTCTTGCACCAGGATGGTCCCGTCTGCACTTACCGAAAGGGGAAGATCTGACGCGCTCATAGTATATATCACAAATGGAACTCTGTGGTAGGGGTTCGTTTTGATTTAGGATTATCTTCCCTTCAAATGGCTAACCGCCAGGTTTTGGACGTTGAGCGCATATATATTAGAGTAACGTCAGCCATAAGAGGACAGAAGAATTGATCCAATATTGTTAACTGAACACGAACGTAACTCCGTTTGCTGAGCACGCATAAACTATTGAAGGAAACCCTTGGGTAACACTCACTCGTTGAGTATATTTACCGGAAGTATTTAGTATGGCCGTTGAGATTATTCGTGGCGTCAGGGGTCCCATCGCCTCATCTTAGCGCTCTCAGTAGGTCATCCATAACCTTACCTGGCCATCCTTGACTGTTCAATTTGTTAATGGGTATGGCAGACTTGCCCTGCTAGAATAGCAAATGATTAAAGGTAATGCACCCGAATAGCTTATTCTAATGGTTGTAATGTGGCAGAACGACTAGTACGGTGTGCAGTCCATGAAACTATAGCAGGCTAGAAATGCAGGGTGGTTGGAGGCCTAACCCGTGATACAAGAAGTTGGCATAGATATATATACCCGAGCATCGCGGTGTTGGAACCTTGGCATTCAGTTCCATGGCGACTGGCAATGTACTATTGTAGTCACGCACGCTGTTCTTTCATTCCTCAGGGCAGAAGGTCAAGTCTTTCGTGGCGCACACAGATGCAGCAATAGACAGACAATGATTAGCATGTACCATTCTTGATGACTGTCAGGATAGCCAACAGCCCGAAATTCAAAGATTCTCACTGGGAGCATTAGGCAACAGGAAGCGAGAGTTAACAGCTACATGATTAAATTAGGGTCTCAGGGTGTAGTTTCTCAGTCTAGGCTATTGATATAATTCTCACGCAGTGTTGACCTGGAAAGCTATCCTCGGGGGTGTTAGTTGTACACCCAGGTTGCATCCTTCTGCTAGTACTCCCGTACTCTGCTACGACCCCTGAAGCCGTAAGCCCGCGTCAGGGCCGATTAGATACAGTAGTCGGATTTGTGAATAAACGGCCAGTCACCTTTCCTTCCACCAGTCGCTCTAGTCCTTGTGGAATACTGTCGAAAGCAATCTCCTCTAAAACGGGAGAAAGGCGTCCGTCGGCGATGAGTCTTAAGACCTCCTTTAGTTCGTCCAGACTTGACCCGATCGATCCCTGCAGGGTGATGTTCCTGGTAATTAGAGCATGAGTATCCAAGCTCATCTGCTTCGCAACCAGACCAACAGCTATCACACGACCGCATGGTTTGACGGCGTTCACTGCTGCCGCAGTCGTTATGCCAGCACCGGCAACGTCAACCACAGTATCAAACACGATATCATGGAATTGATCCAGTCCGTTGGCGCACCCGACGGCGCCTAGATCCCGAGCAAGAGGGAATTTACTCTCATCAATATCCACCGCATACACCCGAGCTCCACGAAGACCAGCAATCTGAATGGCCGAGAGACCCAGTCCACCGAGCCCGACAATAGCCACGGTGCTATCGGGACCGACATGACCTTCGGTGACCACGGCGTGATAGGCCGTTGCGATCGAATCGGTCGCGACGGCAGCCTGTGCAAAAGAGACGGCCGACGGGATACGGATGAGATTCTGCACCCAGGCCATGGTTTGCTCTGCATAACCACCGTCATAACCGAGCCCGACCGCTTTGGATAAACTGTCCTCGGCCACGGGATGGGTGGGGATACCTGCCACGACCCTGTCACCGATTTCATAATCCGAAACACCTGGACCGAGTTCAACGATTGTCCCGGCGACTTCATGGCCTAGTACTATCGGTCGTTTCATGATCATGCTGTATTGATCGTCCTGGAGGATGATGCAGTCGGAGTGACACAGACCAGCTGCTGTGACCTGGATGATCACTTGGCCTTGCTCTGGTCGGGGACGTGGTATGGTCCTCGATTGAAGACCGCCTTGCACATCGTCAAATTGGAATGCTCTCATGGTGGGCATTGTGGATTGTATCCTGTCCCTGTTTCGCTCTTCTGGTTTTCCGTCTGCCTCTTCAAATAATTTGTTCATAATACTAGCGCCAGAGTTTCCAAATCATGGCGGATGGGTGGATATTTAAGCTTCTAGGGATAGTCGGATGTGAATGTTTGAAGAACAATGAACTGTAGCCGAAGAACAATAGATTAAACTGCATATTGTGTTGGTGGAGAATCTGGAGAGGTCCTACGACTCACTCAAATACAACCCTGGCACCGGATCTGGGGTAACACCACCATATAGTCGAGCATTTACCGGAATAATGTGGAGAATATTCACTGGGAGAGTGCACAAGAAACACGATGTCGTCTCGCGAGCACCAGAGTTCTGTGAAAAACCAGAACGGCCTGCGCCAAGAACCACGCTAATAAGGCAGCAGGGCATCTGCCTGGTGACCCGCAGGCACGGTCGAGTTTTTGCCTATCTCATAAAAGAAACGTCAAGTTTCCCTCGTCGCATACTTCATAATATGAGGTGCGGTTACCCGAGTCAGATCCTCAACTTGTCTCGTCAGATCATTGCTCCAAGGCGTAAATTCGCCCCGATCGCGCCGTATAGAAAAATGGCCTCCGTATCGGGTCAGTGTGCCGGGGTTGACCACCTGGGCCGTGCACCGACCCCAGAGGATCTGCACCGAGTATATCTACGGACGGTTGAGGGTACTGACACGGTGTTTAACACGCTATTATCCATACTGCGACAGCCGGCCCTTGGCCAGTACGTTCGTCATGTGAAGCTGGATCGCGCCGTGGCCTATCCAATCGAGCCGCCCGATCTGAAAACCACGAGAGAGATAAATGAGGAGGATCGGAAATTACTAGAGGGCGCGGTACGCCAGGCCGGGTTTGAAGGCAAGCAGCATGACATGATGATGCACATCGTTACGCATCGATCACGTGAACTCAGGTGAGTTCGGTAGCAAGTAAGCACCAAAAGGTGGTACGGAGTGCTAATGTTCAGTGCTAGCTTTCGCGATAGTCAGCAAGCAATCGATTTAATCCATCTTACGCAGGCGCTGACTGCTTTGATTATTTCCGTCGCTCCAAAGCTAGAGTCTTTCGCCTTTCCCGTTATACGTTCTGAATTCGACTCACCGAGCGAATGCTATCTGATGCTGCAAGCGTTCTTGGAGCGGGCGAATGCCAATCCGACGAAAATTTCATACCTACAAAATCTACGCGACGTCTGCTGTCTTGGTAACAAAGATCTGATTTTGAGTGATGAGCGGTTCTATGAGAACTATGACCTGGCGGAGCAGATGAAGTTGGTCGGCAACTTGCCGGCCGTGGAGACCATCAGGGTGGATGCCATTGAGGATAGACACGAAAGTATCGAGCTCGAACCTCGATCGACCAACTTCAAGAAGGTGTATATCCGGAACTCGAACTACTCCAGTGGAAGCCTGGCCGAAATCATCAAGTCGTGCAGAAGGCTTGAAGAATTTGAATACTCAATCGGCGGACGAGGTTCTGTCGATGGCAGCCACGCTATGTTCATAGAGCGGCATCTGCTAGACGCATTACTGTATCATACAAATACGCTACAAAAGCTCGAGGTGGATGTCGATGAGGAATTCATCGAAGAGCGACCAGCGTACTGGGATACAGAGGACGAATATAGCGTCGGAGAAGACCCATACGAGGGGGATTACGTTGACGGACGGCCTGAGTCACTCCGAGACTTTACGGTTATGAAGCATCTCCGTATAGGAATCAAGCTGCTGATGGCTCTTGCACGTGCTAGTATTGGCAAGGGTGGCTCGGAGGAACCATTGTTTTCTTTAGTCGACATCCTTCCACCAAACTTGGAGTGCCTGTGTATCTTAGGATATACAGTTGGGGCCAATAGTAAGCATGACGCCCATATTTCCTTTCTCATGGAGAATCTCGACAGGCTACCATTATTGAAGGAGATTGCTGGTGTGGATGTACATATACCGAACGCAAAGTCAGTCGAGAATCCTGACGAAGAATAGGAGGAACACGATTGTCTGCTGTATTTGTGAGCTTTAGAAAGGATGCTTGTGCTGCTGTTCAGGCAAAGATACCTTGCTCGGAGAGTTCAACATTCGGCAGCAATTCATATTTTGAGATGCCATAGCTGTAAACTATATATGGCTGTACATAAGTAGAAATAATTGAATTCTATTTTTGCACTACAAACCCTCCCTAGATTTAACACGTTGAAAGATAGAAGCAGCATGATACGAGCAAGTTCATATAATAGTGTAACTTTTGTGGTGGTAGGAATTTCTGCCAGTGTAAAGGAGATATCTCGTAGACTGACCCAGGACGAAGCGCTTTTGACAAACATTGACGTATATTGGTAACCATCCATTTGGCCTCTTACGGGATGTGCCACGATAAAAGTCGATTGCATTGAGCGATCTTGTAAAAGTTTATCCGCCCACTTTTTCTGCATACCCACTCAATATAGATACCAATTATGTGAAGAACGGCTTCTACTATTCGTGAGATGGATTTAGACTACGTTCAATTCGGCTGTATGCAGCCCGGCTTAGCTGGCTAGGTACTAGAGATTGATAGTGGGCCGTATGCTAGCGCTCACTTTACACATCCTTCAGCGAGGGATTTGCCTGAAATATAAGATAGGTGGTGACATATCAACTGGGTCATGATTAAGATATTGACCTGACATGGAAACAACTGGTGGTTAAATCATGGCTGGTAGATGATATGATTGCTTAACAGCACTGAGCCTGATGGGTGCAGCTGCAGTGTACTATCCGCTAGTAGTCTACGGACAGTGGATGTGATGAAGAGCTAAGGTCTTCTACTAAGCTTGATGTGTGAAACAAGGCCGTGCGCAAGGGGGGTCACATTAATGAATTGGCTGAGAGTGCAGGAACCAATCTGGAATATTAATGTCAACAAATCTCACAATATGTGCGCAGGAGATACGGCCCCAGGATACCCTTGGCAAGCGACGATGAGACAAGGGTCTTCGCCTATGGTTGTATATACAAAACGATGATGAAACTACACTGTAAGCGCTACAGACGTGGCTCAGTGTAAACAATACTTCCAGACACCATTCTACGCAAAGCTAAGACCCACCAAGGCCTAGGACAGAACCAGTTGTGTCTAAAATCTCTCTCTCATTTGCCGTGACCTGCTGGAAGCGGGTATGAGGCAAGCGATTCCATCTTGGCCTAGAGCCAAAATCTTTGTAAGATAAAAATAATCATGCCAAAAACAAATTCCACGGAATAAAACCTCTCGTAAGCCAAACATGGGTTGAAAATCCTTCTACTGGTAAAGGAGTAAATAAGTCGCCCCACATCGCAATCGTTGGCGGACTGTTGCCTGCAGGAAGTCAGTGTCCATTTTTGATCTAAGGTCGGTGCGATCATCGTTCCACGGAAATTATCGTGCAGCTGCTAGGGGACCATTTCGGCCCAGTTCGTTTGCAAACCCAAGTTCTCGCCTAGCCCTCATGCAGGCCTTCCATGACATGACCAGTGCGTCAGCACATGTCCGTTTACAAGGGCCACAAGACGAAGATGGCTAGTTATTATCCTACGTAGCAGCAACTAGCACCGCTTAACAATCCTTCTCTACGCACCCCACAACAATGTCGCTGCCGCGCTGGCGCTTCCGGCGATTAGTCGTCTTAGCATCTGCCCTGGCTTTTACTTTTATTTGCGCAGTCCAATGGTCTTATGCTGAAACTCCGAGTGGAGGGCAGGGTTATCCCTTTCTTTCTGAATACGTACAAGCCCACACGGGAAAAGGCGGAGGTGAGTCTTGTCAGACAGCTATGGCAATCCCTGCTGTGTGACAATCCTGACTAACAAAATCGCAGCATGGCATATCCCCGAAGAATGGATGGAAGATCGGGCTTCTCGACCCGAGACAATCGTGGACGCAGCAAAACTAGCCACACAAAGAGCAAGCTTGTCGGCTCAGAGAAAGATACCCCATTCTGAGATCCCACTTATCGTCCATCAAACGTGGAAAAATACCCAAGTTGGGACATGGTCGCCGTTGATGCGCCAAAGCGCGACACGATGGCTCGAGGCAGTCGAGGAAGGCAGAATGGCCTACTTTCTCTGGGACGATGAGGGGGTCGCACAATTTGTCAAATATTTCGAGCCTGAGCTGGAGGAGCAGTTTTACTCTCTTCCTAGCAATGTGGAAAGGTCTGATGTGTTTCGTGTCTTGGTAGCGAAATGGATAGGTGGGATTGTGAGTATTTCAGTGGGATTTCAGGCAAAGCGATTTGACATGATGTTCTAATTGATGTTCATTGTTGGTAGTACGGCGACATGGACACCGAACCACTTCGAAACCCCTCATCTTGGATTACGACCGACGATCTCCGCGATTGGGAGGATACAGAGACAAATCAGGTATATGGGCCAGCTGGCCCGATACGCGCGATCGTGGGTCTTGAAGCCGACTGTCCGCCAGAGAGCGATGCATACTGGCGCATGGGCTACGCCGAGCCTGTTCAGCTTACACAGTGGTCACTCGCGGCTGCGCCAGGACATCCCATCTTACAAATATTCCTCGATCACCTCTCTGCTAGTCTCGAGAATACGACGTCTAGAAAGGGCAGTCAGATACATTCTCTAACGGACCAGGCGACGCTGCGGAGTATAGATCCCCTCCTCCTTACGGGGCCCGCAGCGTTTACAGAATCCGTGAAGGCATGGCTGGCAACAACTACTGGGCTGCGATGGAATGCTCTGTCTGGATTGACTGATGGAGGGCAAAGTAAGGTTGTCGGAGATATCTTGGTGCTCCCAATTACTGGATTTAGGTACGTTGTGGCTCGTCTGCCATCGTTGTGTTCTGGTACTGATAGGAACAGCCCGGGGAGAGGCACATACGGAAATATGGGCTCGAAGTCCGTCGAGGACCCTTCTGCACGCCTGTTACATCACGCACAGGGATCATGGAGAAAAACTGATGTTGTGGTTGAATTCGGAAAATTTTGTCGCACGGCCTTTGGCCTATGCAGGGACTGGTCAAAAGTTTCCTATTCTGCACAGTGATATTAATATACGTATAGGACCTCTATTAATGGATATAATTCGTAGTTCTCCAAACCCATCTCGTACAAATGTCACAATCAACTGTTCAAGTCCATTTTATCTCGACGCAGCTATAGAGGCTGGCGTCGCTGAGTATTGGCGGGCGGCTCGAATTGACTTGACGTATATTCCCCGACTAGCTCCGACCCCATCTCGTATGCCAGACAATAGGATTCATCTCCCGTGCTCTTCAAAGGCTTTGTTGGAAGGTTGGACCAAAAGTGGTGTAAAAGTTAAAGTGAATTAACAAGGCCCAATTTCGTAAACCCCCCAGTTCCTAGCTCTCATCGTCTGACTTTGCAGTTCTAACATGCCGAATCAACATGGCAGACTTGTGGTGTGCCTACTGGTCTAAGCGCTGGATGGACCATTAGGATCTAGGCCCTTCCATACAACACCGCTGCTTAGTGGGGCGAAGAAAAACCAAAAGGTGGATACAGAAGGCGGCTAGATAGTCGCATACATCCCAGTATTTTGGCGCAATCTTTCTGAAATGGTCGAAGTGAGACTGGTGTTCGTGTTGGTCCGAATGGCCCCTCTGCCTGGGGCTAAATTTGAGGCATTTTGGCCCTCGGGATAGTCCCACCCAACATGCTCGGAACGATTTCTCTGCAGGGTAAGACTGCATTCCGAGCTAGAATAAGGGTTGCCTGATAGGCAGTCACATTAAATACACAGGGATTGGTCCGAGAAGTTAAGCCTCTGCTAAGCCTTTGGTGGTGGGTCGCCACCCAAGCCCTAATCCAGCCTTACACCGACTAACCACGGTTCCAGACCCCCACTTGTTGACCCTGAAGTAAAATGTTGGTTGATGACGGTGAGACAGACGGCGACGGCGGAGTCCGTGGACTCCGCGTGCGACACTGACTCTTAGGCAAAGGAGTCTAGGAGCAATATCCGTCCAGCTCGACAGCTGTCCTACTCATTCGGGTAATATTGTTCAAGACCCCTATCATGCGTGTTCTCTGGTTGTTGAAACGGTTCAGTCGAATGCTTAGAGCGCAAAGCCTAAGGCACCTGGCAGTTCCTCTCACTCTCCTGATAGTAGCCGTTTCTCTTGGACTGTATCTTCTGCTTGCATATTCCCTGGCAAACGACCCTCGTCTCGTTCCGATCGCATTCCAGGAAGCCAACAGTATCCTTCTCGTGACCGCACACCCTGACGATGAGACGCTTTTCTTTAGTCCGACCATCACTTATCGCCGAACTGACCCAGGTGTGAAGCGATCATTACTGGTTATATCTTCGGGTAGGTAGAGGTTCACCAATAAAAGTAATGAGCGAATCGTCTGATACGCGACTAGGGAATTACGATGGACTGGGGGACAAGCGACAAAATGAGCTTCACAGTAGTTGTGAGCAATTAGGCATCCCCCAGGATCGATGTGTTGTTCTAGATATGGCGGAACTCCAGGATAACCCCAAGCAATGGTGGGACGAGGATATGGTCAAGGACCTCGTTTCTTCCTATAAGGAAAAGTGGCATGTTGACCTAGTATGAGTCCCTCCTAACGAGATGCAATTGGCCATTTTGCTGACCCCATCGCGCAGATAGTCACATTTGACCAAGGCGGTATATCCGGCCATATCAACCATCGATCGGTCAGTGCTGGCGTGCGGTACGTTCTCATTAAACCTCACATTGGCACACCATGCTAATGCTCTGTCTAGCAAATATGTCCAATCCACACCAGAAGCGCCCGTCGCATACATGCTACAAAGTACACCACTTCTCAGGAAATACTCCTCGCTCCTCGACCTAATACCCACGTCAATTCCTTTCACCTGGCGCATCCTCAAAGCACTCCTTACCGCGCCACTTGGTAGACAGAGCGACCATCACACGGTACACGACGTCGTTCCTTTGGTTGAATACAACGACAAGGCGCTTATTGTTAGCTCCTGGCAAACATATCGAGTCTCACGAGCGGCATTCAGTCAACACGATAGCCAGTATTCCTGGGACCGTGGGCTATACTTGGTGGTGAGCCGGTATATGTGGTTCAACACATTGGAAAAGCTAGTGTAGTGCTTTACTAGGGTTGCGCAACAATTAACGATACAACGAAAGAATATAGTTTAATTTAATTTGTATATACGCTGACAGTAGCAACAAAAGCGATGATTCTAATTTAGACCAGCCTCCTTAGTCCTGTTTTACTTAAGCTACCTTGTTCATCCATTTGATCGCAAATGACGGCAAGCGACGTTCTTCGTCGTCTGCCTTTGGTGCACGCCTCCGACTAATACACAGCAGTATAATCACTGCCGTACTGCCCAGTACAAAGACGAGGCCAGCGAACAATATCCGCTGATCCAGATCTTTAAAGAACGAGATCAGCCGCGCGTCATGACCGTGCCAGGACGAAGAGCCGAAATGTGTGAAAAGTGGCGTGTTGACTACCCCATTGAGCATGTGCATCTTCGGTTGATCAGGGGGCCCTGCTAGAATACGCAGATTTGTGCGATTCGATTGTAGAGTAAAGATGGTCCTAAAAAAGCAACGTGAGCCAAGGTCCTTGGTTCGCTATCGGAGCATGGCGGACTCGATGGTAGTACTTACGACGCGTAGTGGCAGCCTGTACTGAACATCACGGTCGCATATGGTAACAATGGCCATACTTGGTTGTATACTGGCAGATTTTCAACAAGCGCATGGACGTAGGGGTTGTTGGGGGTTGCGAGCATCATGCCGATCGAGAATCCAGCTGGGTGTGCAGCCGGGGCTACGAATTCAAATCGACGCAACGGCTCCAGCGATCGCTTGCACGCGAGGTCGAAGTCAAGGACAGCACCTATGAATATTCATGGTCAAAGGTTGGAGCGCTAATTGCGCGAGGGTCGCCAGGGCCATACCTCCGTATTTCTGTAGAATCATGTAGCGCAATGCATCCACGCGTTGTACATTGAATGGATAGCTGGTCCACATTTCATAGAGATGCGGATAATTGTCTTGCACGAAGCTGTCTGCATTGTCGTCCGTCCACAGATGGGCCTCCCAAAATTCATGATGTTTGAGACATTCTGATCTCGCATCCAGCCAATTCTTCGGAGGTGAGCTCGGCCCAAGATGAATATGGTGTATCCTTCGAGGTATGTATGGCCGTATGCCTGTGGCATATGTGGAGTAGTTTGCATCATAGTCAGCGAATGTGACATCGAAGCCGTCATGTTGTTGCGATATGATCGCCTCGGCCGAAGTTGCTTTCCATACAAATGGTAGTCGAAGGAGGTAGTAGAGCCTCAGCAGCGAAAATGACGACAACCATAGTAGGGTCAACACCAAAGTGCCCACCACAATCAACCTGACCCTATTGCAAATCATAATATCTCAGTGCGGTCTGCGCCAATCAATGCCTTGGTATGAAGAAGGGGGTCTAGTATTGATTGGAGATTCATCGTGCTACTGAACGGCGACGTTAATACATGGCCATCCTAGATGAGGTCGAGAAGACCCTTGATTCATTAGGCTGATCATCGTGGCATTGGCGGATGGCAGCATTAATACGAGACGCAGTGACCACCGAGTAATCAAAATTCGTTTTCGCAAACAATGTACCCTCCGTATCGGAACGCGTACACGGTTCGGAACTGGGATATTGGTTTTTCTATCCATTGGTCTAAGCTCCACTTTCTCACCCTGCTGAGATCAAATTATAGGGGCTACAGGAGAGTCCGCAGATATCTGGCTAAGGTAACCTGACCTGGAAATGAGTTAAAAATGGTGTCAACGCGCTGCTTTTACCTACTACGTACTAGTCGAAGTACTGTTAGTCCCGATCTTAATTTTGAAGTTTTATTTTTTTTTGGCCCCTTCTGATGAATGGCATACTACAAACCAACTAAGCGCCTCCGGCCCGTCTATCCCAAAATAGAATGATTACCTCGTCGACTAATACGTCACCCAGGTCTCATGGGAATAGTCAAGACTTAAGAGTGCCTAAGCGAGCCAAGGAGATTCTGGTTCAACTTCGCATGTTAGAGCCTACTAAGACCGGGGTTGCAACTGCGCCGTAACCCAGCCGTAACCTAGAAACGCCTTGTTTATGGTTGGAACCATAAGCCCAAAATATGGCTGCCTAAAAGATCAGGGAGAAAATCTCTGTCTATTTCATGTAGGGAGCAAGAAGCCTCGGACCCCGAGACCCACCGTACCAACTTAGGGTAGTCGTGTATAAAGCTTAGCTTAGTCTAATCCCCAACAATGCGTTCTACTCTACTTAGAGTAGTATTGTTGCCTGGAAGCACATTGCCGCCGGACTAGCGCTAGTTTCCCTGCTGTAGCGCAAATCATTGGTGGACTAGACTTGGCCTACACGAATCCCTGTTGACAGGTGTGAATTTGTTACGAAATTTGTTACCTTTATCATAGGTTCAAGTGTGTGTTGCGGTCACTTGGCCCTATGAAGGGTCCAAGCACTATGTCATTTCAGGTTTAGCTGAGATATGTAGCTTAGTGATGCTGATCAGTGGAAATTCGTCTTTAGTATTATCCTTACGTGATCCTAGGGGTCCGGCTTATGTTTCTCTCTCCAGGCTTACGCTTGCGTATTAAGAACCTTCTCGTGCGTCTGAGATATCCTTGTCATTGCTTTTTCACGTAAGCACTAAAGCGCGAACACATTTCTTTCTGGCTGGCGGCCCACGGGAGTAATTGAATCCACATTGGAATGTTCTCGGCCCTAATTTGGCCCTGGGCGCAAGCTAGATTATGACTGTTCCTACTTTAGCGTCCTGCCGTGATAATTAGCACATGATGTGGCTTTGTCTAGTTCGTCCTGAGAGGTAATTTCTTAAATAACGCAAGGTGAGAGATCTGCCATCGCTCAGGACTACCTCTAGCAAGTATTTTCGGGTATAAGATCAGCGAAAATTGCGTACATCAAGAAAGTAGGAGGTGTGAATTTGTGGAGTACGGGAAAGCGAAAACTTGGTCTTGTATGGTGTAAATCCTGTCCTTAAAGCAAGCCCCTAATATACCTAGACGGGTCGGTCATGGCTACGCTGTGAGAATTTCCAGTGTCTGGTATCGTTGGCCCCTTTGATCTCTCAAACATCTCTATACGCCTCATTTGATATAAGGTGGTATCTAGAGCGAGTTGGTTTCAGAATAGGCGCAGCACCATCGCAGGAGCTCTCTCAATGAAAGCATAATATATAGGGAAATTTCAATTTAGCAAGGTCTTGTGACATGTCCCAGTGTTTCACCTTCAAACAGACTTTCTTGATGAATTGCTTCAGGGGACAGGATGATATATGCAATGTCCATGTGACCTGCCATGTCATTGTGAAGACGAACTGTCTTATTGGTCTGTATCTAATTTATCCAGTATGAATGACATTTTACGATCTCTACTGCTCAACGACTCTCCTGAAACATTCTTTATTAGACTTGTAGTTTTTGGAATAGTCTTCGGCCATGCACTGCAGCTCAACACAGATTACGCCAAAGTACAGCGTGTGCCTAATGGTATAGGAACTGCCATAATCCCGCATACAGAGCTGTTTACCCGCCCTACCAACCAGCGTACAGGTCTTGGTCACTACAAGACAGTGGCCAGGCTTCGAAAATCGTGCACTACTCCTGACGTGTACTAAGGAGATTGCAGGATAAGAAAGGCTGTTGCCTGCTGACCACCCCAACGGTTTGAAGCTTGCTGTGTGATGATGTATATCACACTTTCTTGTGCCTCTGAAAATCCCAGGAAAGCCTTATACGCGACACTGATCTCCGAAGCATGTGCATCGTTAGATACATTGACAAATAGCCCCAATTCTTGATAGCTGATGTGCGGGGAATGCAAGACGAAGACCAAACCTTTAGCTTGGTCTACTACGTTACAGTGACTACAGATCAGCCACAGCCAAATCCTGCGAGCTTGGCCGCCCTGAAGACCATTCCCTCGAATAATGTTTACGTGACGAAGATACGTGATACTCAACGGGCTTTGTAGTTCACAGAGGCATTTAGGTAAGATTAAATCCATGTACTTCAATCTTACATTGGAAAGCTATTCGGATCTGAAACAGCCCCCTCAGGGCCCTCCGCTATCAATTCCTCCAAAAGTTGCTTTTTAATAGCTACATGGAGCTTCGCAATGCCTTGGACTCTTGCACAGGCATTCTTCTCAAGTGGAGTGGAGATCCCGGTTGTATCCATCCCAGGACTCTATTGCTTTCCTCTGCATGATGGCAAAACCATCATCATCCAGGCAGCGACGCTTCATTCGCTCGGAGAGTTACTCAGTTCCCCGCGGAGAAGTACCCTGCGCCAAGGACAAAACATTGACGCCTATCTGTGGGCAGCAGGAGCCAGCTACTATTATCACCTGTGGGCTAGAGTCGGCCCGCTTGTCTGCGGCTATATGGGATGAAGACGTTCCTGCCAGTACGGCAGGCAGCATGATTCAAGTCGAAGGGGGGACAATTACTAGTTCGTCGCTAGTGATTCATGAGCCCCCGCGTGAATCGACGATAAGTAACACGGAGCAATTCCCTATCCGGCTCGCCGTACGGTAGGCTGCAAGGTACTTCAATTACGTACCTGTATACCTGGGACGCCACTAAGCATTCTTACACTTCCCGAAGGGTAGGAGGTTTGCTAGACGCGCTATACTACTACCAGTGGTGCGAAGGGACGAAATATTGGAACGCATTCCGGGCCGGAGGAACTTCGCCAGTGATATCGACAGTATCAGCCGAGAGTCAAGTAACTCTCCGGCTCACGAACTTGCTTCACGATACCTATCTATGAAGCTCAGACCGCAGCTAAACGCGCATCTTCCGACGCCGATATCAACGCATCAGGCATATAATCGTATAGGGCTAATTCAGTCACATGAGACCTAGTATCAATTCCGGACTAACCAACGGCCTTATAAGGCCGTCAAGGCCATACGTATAGCCAATTGTAATCATGTACAACATTAGCCCTACGCTGCAGCCTATATCTTGACCAAGTCTCTTTGGGAACCTAATCCTAGGTAGCAATCACAGAGCGGCCAGTTCTAGCCCCTGCCCCTATGGTTCCTGCTATCAGCCCTATTCTTTTACTGGGACTAAAACAGAGTTTCCAATCAATGGCGCACATTGCATGGCAGCCTTCGGTTTTCTAACGATTGTTACGTCTTGTCTTTTCTTCGGTGCTCGGCTAATTCCATGATGGATCCACTTTACTTCTACCGAACTCCGAAGGCCGTCGCACTCGCCTTTCTATGGTCCACTACCCACATTATTCAAGAACAAAAACCATGGTGCTGTCAAGCATGATGCGTTGTGCACGTGGGTAGCTTGTTTTACCACTCTATGTCTTGGCTTTGGAATGCGGCTGCCTACCTGCGTTGCTGCATGATGGGTTCTCTGCATGCCAATGCTATCATGGGTTTTGCTACTGCAGTCTAGAAGTGGCGAATTTGCGTCAATTAACTTCATGACACACTATTTTTCTGTAATTACGTTGTCCACAACAGAGGGAACAGAGACTGCAAAGCTGAAACCGTCATTCGTCAACAAGATCATAGAAACCAAAATGTACATATGAAAATACCCATTTCACAATTCCCAAACTAAACCCAAAGCAGACCAACTACGACTTCTCTATTGCAGTGACCCCTTCATTCCGAGGACCGGAACGTTCCCGCCCCCTTTCGCATCTCTTCCCACAAGACCAGTAAGCAGCAGACTTACGCACCATAACCCCAATCAGACAAATAGCACCACCCGCCACGACCCCAAGGCAGAACGGGAGGATAGCCGGGTAAAAGACGCGCAGGGTATCCACTAAAGGCGTCCGATGATGTCCGTGGCTAGTGCGTAGATACGAGTACCGGTCGGAACAATGCGCCTTACAAGGCCGCGGTTTAAACGCCGACGTGAACGATCCGTAAGTCTTCCCACCGAACCTCCGACCAGCATCGAGCCATTTGTGAAGCTGGGACTTGGACTCGGAGCCATGACTCCGATCTGCATGCTTTGTCGGAGGTGATGGGTCCGAAGGCGTTGAGTGACCATGCCTCGGGGAGTCATTGCCTTGGCACTTGGAGGCTTCGGGACTCGGATTTATTGTAATCATTGTGATTCGTAGAGCACCTTGACCATCACGGGAAAGACCGACGGAGATCATGTTGGCATCTGTTGGATGTCCGGACTCGTCGAACAGGATGATATCCAGGCGAAACTGGTCGGCTATGGGGCCGGTTTGGAATCGTTGGACGGGGAGTATGTTCATCCCGTAGCGCAGAGTTAGTGTTTCGGATCCTGTCTCCTGTGATCGCGAGTGTTTGGTAGCGGTCAGACGCATCGGGAGGCGAGCTGGCAGAATGGTGTTGTTGTTCACCAATAGTGAGTCTTTCTCAGTGGAGATTGCCAATGCCTGTAATGTTAGCTGTAGGGTAGACCTTTGTTATCCGGAGCACTAACGAGGTATTTGTCTGATCTGGAGTTGTCAGTAGGGCTGCTGCCGCAAATTGAGGACGAGTGGCATGGAAGATGGATTTCATGACCGGATGCAATAGGGAAAGGCTGGCGAGGTTCGTCATGATTCCCTTTTGGAGTGGCATCGTCCGGACTGGGAGGCGACGTAGCAACACAGCTGATGAGCCAGAAACAGGCCGCGAAGAGGGTTGGAAGACGCATATTGATGATGGCTCAAGGGTTCTGTATCAGTGGCTGTGGTGACAATGATCGTAGCAGTCACTTCCTTGATTGTTGGCCTGGCGTGAACGGACTCAGTACCGCATTGCTAGCATGTGGATATCTAGGGTAGTAAGAATGAATGAACTACAGAGGATAGGCATAGGGCACCATGGCTCACCAAGTAGGGTAAGTAGCAGTCGTATACCCTACATACGTTTAGAGAATTAGATACGCACTCACGTGCCAAAGATGACGTGAAGAGACTTCTAACCCTTATAGGCTGTGACGTGTATCATGAACGACAAAACGGAAACCCTCGACGGTGGGACCAGGTCCTTCAGATACTAGTACTGGTGCGACACTTACTCTGCTGCCTATCTTAAGGTCGGAGACTCCACACAACACGGGATACTCGTCCGTCTTCCCAATACGGGCTCGGGTTCCTCGGGTTCCGTCAACACTGGAAGAAAACACCATTTACTGCCTTACTACAAGACATACAAAAGCATACTTTTAAAGGAATCTTGGATACACTAGCACAGTAGGATATCCGTGTTTCTGTTGCTTTTTAACTATAATATTCTCTATTGTAAGATCAAGTGAAAAACCAGACAGGAATCCTACTCCGGCCACAGTGCGGTTATGGGATGGGGGAAGCCGCTAGACCGAGGGCAAGAATGGTGGGCCATGCTTAGAATAAACAAGCTTTTGGAATTGCACGGTGCTTACCTCGCCTGGGGCGAAATCATGGCAACGTCGAGCTGGTTGCATGGATCTTGACAGGCAACCAGATTTTCTGTGCCGAAAGTTGGAATAATCAAGATCTTCTAGATGCATATAGCGTCTGAGATGAGTTCCGACCCCAGGGCTAGTAAGCAAACTACTAGGGGTAAATGCAAGTGGTGCTCGCTGAGTTAGAGTGCAGCTGAATGGTCATGGAGGTTTGCTAAATATAATTTAGAGCATATATTTTCAGAAAAACAAACACCGCTGGGCCGATTGCTATTCTAACTGTCTAGTGTCATAATGCTGTCCCTCTGTGCTAAAGCGATCCCGAAGAGATTGGAGAGAATGGAACTCTCGCGTGTTAGACTTCTCATCTCTCAAATTCTCTAGACGTTCGATTTCCTTTTTCAGTTCTTCAATATCTTGCTCAATCTCATGGCGAGGCGCCACCCGATACTTCAGTTTGTGAATCATAGCAGAGATGCTCAACAGCGCAATGGATACTAGAGGCGACCACTGGCCAACCTGTTGTGGTGTCTCTTGGGACGGCCCATCGTGACGGATATAGTATTCGATCCAAGCCACGAAGGCGATAACAGTGAGTGGACTGATAACAATGCTGAACACGACGGCACCAATAATGATGACATCAAAGGTCACCTTGGCCCACAAGCCCAACACCCGTAGGGTGAAAAATCGCGATATCCGTTTCCACAGTGGTAATTTCGTTCGTGTCTTCTCCACCATAGTTTCCCGGCTGTCCCTTGATGTATGAATTGCGGCGTAAAAGTCTTCTTTCAAGCCCTTGATGATGTTCTTTCTCTCCTTCCAGATCTCCCATACGCGCGATGAAGGGACCCGAGAATGGTACGGCAATACCCTGACCATCATCAACAGGACATTCAGCACCATGCTGAGTGCGACCAGACTATAGATGTACCGCTGAGAGTAGATTACTTTACCCCAAAATCGGTGGCGCTTGGTAAATCGATTGTCCCCCGCTGCTACCGACGCCTGGAGTGAGGTTTGCTGACGTAGCACCTGGGTGGTGTTGAAACATGGGTAGAAGCAGACATCATTCAGCTGAAGCAGCAACGAGTCATTGCTAAAGATATCCCATGCACTATTATTCCAAGTTGAAGTCAGCTGCCATGACTCCCATCCATCACTTGATACCGGTGATATCGGAGGCAGCTGTGGCAAACAGAAGGCGTATTGAACTGGGGTCTTCTTCAGCCTGGGCCAGTAGACCAGGGAGCATATTGATCCGGCAAACATAAGAACGTTCCACAGCGTGAATATAATCGAGCTGATCCGTTCTTTGGCGAATACGCGGGACCAGCATTGGAGCGGTAAGAACACGAGATATGCAGTCACCACGATTGAAAGCACAGCGTCTGCGTCTAGTTCTATAGCTGCGGGACTGATCTCAACTTCGTTGGTTTCAGTGATCAGGGCCGGAAAGTCATCCCACAGGCTGGTATTGTCCGGAATCCAGGGGATAGACACATTTTGTGGGGTACGATATTTTGAAGGACTGGATACCAGGATGAACGCTTGAATGGCAGCTGTCCCGGCATATGTAGCTGCGGCACCGAGAAAGACATCTGCCAGCCAGCCGGTCCAGCGTGTGACACAAACGGCCAGGAGCAAAGCATAGAAGAGATATCGTGGACACGAGTCATAGCTCGTGCTAATGGGGTAGGTACAGAGGACCTCTTCGACGACGAAGAGTGGCGACCGGTCGGTCACATTCATCTTTGCTGGCGATCTGTCGACGGCTATAACATGTTTGGTTCTCCTTTTGGTTTTCCCTTCAACGTTCTTTTCCGGAATGCAAGTCCGTGGTTATAGAAAAAGGTTCAGGGGGATTGTCGTCCGACTATTTGAAATCGATCGATTCGTGTGGGCGGTCTGCAGAATCGAGCGAAAGTTTATCTACTTCTGGTTCTGATGGCCGAATTCAGCAACTCATGCGCGGGAGATCGACGCCGCTATTTGGGACTAGCGCCCAACCCTCAACGTGGCGGTGGCTTGTCAGCTCAGTTCCTCCTCACGTGTCACACAGCCACAGACCCTTTCCCTGGTTCGACTTTGTCTATTCTTTTCATAATCCCTAGACATGGTCGATTGTGATTTTAATACTTTCTTCCCAAAAGTCTGTGACGTCATCTGACCTAGCCAGTTCCCCCTATGCTACCATCCCGCCGATATACGCCCTGTAATGTGGGTCATCCCTTCTAGTGACGAAATATATATTTACGCCCTCACCTTTCGAGGAGGTTAATGTTGTCGAGCAGGTAACACTGTCTGGCGTTAAAACGGCATATGTATTAACCATGTGACGAATACATAGGAGTTACAGAATAGTATTAAATTGATCCAAGCTTAACCCGATACTGCATCCTCAGTAACGCCTCTGTTTAGGCTTGCCATGGCATGCCCAACGTGGTACATGGTCACTATCACATTCCAGACTCGTACGGCCCGTTAGCTTCTCTATACTGCATTCCATAAGGATTGACAGCGGCATAATCATCCCACGCCTCGCATGTTTCTCTCAAGAGCTCTGGATTTAGAAACTTCCAGAACTCGTTCTGTCGTTCAATAATCTGCTGTACGAAGCCCGCGGATGAATGAAACCCCATATGGCAGTGCAGAAGCCAAGCTCCGGGATTGTTGGTCGGAAACGCTATTACTAGATACCCTCCGTTACCCTCGGCCGGCATTAGGGCGACATCCCGCCGGGGAGGATTACGCGTTTGCAAAGGGATGCTTCTGGAGAAGGGGCCGATGCCTTGCGCGAGGATATAGAAGTCGTGACCTGATGCGATCATTAGCTCGGCCAAGGAAATATAGAATGCAAAAGGAAGACTTTACCATGAAGATGGATCGGATGGGGGATTCCCTGGTTGGTGGTAATGATGAAGATCACCCACTGATCTGCTTCGGAAAGTTCGATAGCTCCCGGGTCAGGGATTGTGCTATTCACCCCCGTGGCGGAAGAGTGTTGAAGGGTAGGGTCCCTCCAGGAAACGTTGAAGGCCCGGCCGCCGATGGTCCATAGGAATATGTTTCCGGGGTTAGTGGGAGCGACGGCTTCGTTAAGGCTGGTTGCGTTGGAGATCATGGCGTCAAGGGCGACCCAGGGCACAAGGTCTGACATTGGCGTGTCGAGACACCGGGTGTCGTCTCCGTAATTCCATTTAAGGGTCGTTGGATCCTCGCCGTCCTCTGCTCCTATATAGTGGACAATGCCTTTGATATTGTCGCCGGTCGGGATATTAGAACAGGCTGACTGCGGGACGGCTCTGATCCAGTAGTTATCCACGGGCTGATCTGCTTGGACGATGATATCGTAGCGCTGACCCATTCCGATGGCAATGTTGTTGGTAGTAAATGGGACAATTGGCACAAAGTCACTGGCGATAACTGTTAAATTGTGGTCGTCTATTGAGAATCGAAAGTGAGCGTGCATCGCGGCGTTCACAAGGCGAATCCGATACTTCTTTCCAGGGACAAACATGGTCTTGAACCTTTGACCAACTGTCTCACCATCACTATTGGTCCAAACGTTGGTCATATTGATGAGGCCAGTATCTATGACCGGCGTTGCAGGGTTTCTGATTTGGTCAGTATACATTTCATTGAACGTGCGATGCGGCCAGTCATTCAGAAACAAAACACCGAGGTCTTCATCGTAGTCAGCTGTCGCAGGGCCATGAATGATAATGCCGCCAAACACCCCCTCCCACGCCTGAAGGGAGAAATGGGAATGATAGAAGCTGGTTCCGTACTGCTCGGCCTTCCATGTATAGGTATAACTCGTCTCGGGGGCAATTGGACACTGGGTCACCGAGACTGCGCCGTCCATTTGGTTATTCAGAAACTGTCGGACCCCATGAAAATGGATGCTGGTGCCATTATTTTCCAGGCTGTTTTGTACATGAACCTTGACGGTGTCCCCCCAGTCTACCTCGATGGTGGGACCGGGGTACTGCCCATTGACCAGCATCATGGGCCTTTCGACACCATCAGGGGCGGCTGTCACATTCGTGATGTCAAACCAGTATTCCCTCACGACCCCGGTGTCTGGGCCTTTTGAATAGTAGTTGGTGTTGATATTGAATTGCTCGTGATGTGAAGCACTTCGAGATAGGTGAACTGCCCCAGATGAGAAGGGGCCTTCTGATAGTGGAGCAGTGTGCGGAAGACCCGCGGCAAGGGCCACGAGGACAAGTGGAAGAAGTAGGGCCGCCATGCTACAAGGAAAACGATCAAGCCTGGTAAGACTTTGGTACGAGTGTGTTCTGTCGGTAAAACTGATTTGCCATAGTTGGCGAAGCGCAATTTTTATATATCACATTGGCGAGAAAAGCTCCTCCTACAGCAATTGACGCTGCGGCACCCCTACTCCTTGCTATGACCCTTAGTCCCCTTAGTTGCAATGCCAACATGACATCGGGGGGATCCATAACAAGTCTTGAAGATGAGTGTGACCGGTCACAAGGGAATACCTTACCGAATAGGCGAAGCCGTACTCAATACCAACATTTAACTGGCTCTAAAGAAATCAGACGGCTGATTTTGCGAAGTCCAATGGGATGATGTTGCGTGCACTGACAATGACAAATTAAAATATCGAAGATGACTACTGGTTCCTTATATTGCTGCGCCCTGATGACCCAAAGGCGGTGTTCAGACCACAGCGCATATACAAGTATACAGCATTCAGTTGCTAGACGTGGATGCCTTGTAGATATTGAGCCTGTATCAGATATACTCGGAAGTGTAGGTGGCGCCAGCCTCCAGGAACCTTACATCCCTGGATATGAGGCTGCTACAGGGTTTCAAGTTGATTAAGAACGATGTGGTAGACAGCTGAGAGGTACATCAGGGATAGCTAGTGCGACTACTGCAGCAAAGTACAGGAGATACGACGTGAGTGATACGGAGGGCATTGTACTGTTACAACAATGTCATTAAACTTCACGAGGTGTCACAAGTACTAGAGTGGCACAAACATTTACATGCTGGCCGATTACTCAAGGGAACCTGTTTCACAACTGCAAGGCCGTGCTTGTATACCCTGCTGACCTGTATCTTAGCAGTTATTTGCTGAAACAAAGCTGCTTCTTGAGCGACTAAATGCCCCAGGAGTGGCAACATGAGGAAAAATGGAGCTCAACGAGAGAAAGAATGCTGCCCACATTGCGGCCATCGACGCGAACATACCCCCAGCTGACTACTCCCATACAGAAAGAAGATCCTGCTAGGCCCTGCATGCATAGTGACGCACGTGTAACGAGCGGGATAATGCATCTGGTAAGGCGAAAAACCATGGGGTGATGTTTCGGGAGCTTCCCTGAATCTGAAAGAGTCAAGGCAGCGCTGCCTGACGAACATGGAATCGGCATTGTGATCTGCACTGCTAACGCACAAATACGAGTTTGTACAACAGAATTAATGTCGTCTGGCACATGGCAGAAGACTAGCTTCAGTCAGAGAGGCTTTAAATTTATCAGAAATAGTAACTTAATGCGATGAACGATGTTATTAATTGTGGCCTGCTATTCAGGAGTACCCTCTCACACCTTCTATTTAAATAAAATACACGCCCGAACCTCTCATATTCTCTCTCAATGCCTAACAATTGCAGCAAGGGTTCCATGTAACTCTTATGTAAGACCGAGGAGACGGTCATCGGAGGTGTCCCTTGACAACAACACTGGGGTAATCAGTGAGCTTTCCCTCAACGACGAAACGTGAGAAATGCTTCATTCGAGATTCGGTATCCGGATTGGAGTTCTCAGACACCTAATTTCTCGACTTGATGGTTGAATAGCTTCAATACTAGGAGATGCGAAAACATATATAGGGTGGATGGCTTGTGTACATGGGTGGCTTGGATACCGGTTGAGTTAGTTAACTAACTATTCTAGTTGGCCTTGAAGCTAGCTAAGTCGACCCAACTGCCACATATCTTCTGAAGGTTGAGTGCATTAAGTGCTAGGGTATATAGGGAGTGTCTGACTTCATAAATACGGTCAAGGTTACATATATGTATATGCTTGTACATCACGCTGAGCCCTTCTTGCGAGCGAGCAGTGATCGCAAAGCGTCTTTATCCGCCTTGGGATTCCGCTCCACGGCTTGAAACAGCGTGTCCGTGATCGGAATACCCCGGCAGTAATGCAGAAATCTCTCAGCAACTTTATCGTGACATCTCTCTAAGACAATCACTCCCACTCCTTCGGTCGGGGGAATCGGTGCTCCACAGTAGCAAAGCGCGCGAACCAGATAGTCAAAGGCGTCAAAGCCCATTTCATCTTTCTGTTCCCTATCATATGGATAGTCCTGCAAAATAGACTGTGTCAATTCGAAGTCTGTAAGTTCTCCAACAATCGCGGTCGCATATCCTTTCTTCCGCAGAGATGGCATATCCATATCGACATCGTGCCAGATCTCCTCCCAAATTACTTTAAGGTCCAGGTCTCGACGTTTAGCGAGAATAAGCTCTACTGCGCCTTTGTTCCCCTGACACATAGCCTCTCTAAGTACATTTGCTGTGAGTGGCGCAGATTCCACACGGTGCAAGATGGATCTCATTGTCTCTACGCCGCTGCCTTTGGACTGTGCTGCAGCCATCATTACCTCCTCTGTAACAAGGTCATGGTTCTTTTCTGCTTTTAGTAGGAGGCGCATTGAATTAGGGTCTGTTGCTGCCCGTACAAGAGCTTGCTGCGTGATGAGGACATCTGGCTTTTTACTCAGCAGAAACTCTAGATGTGTAGAGCTGGAGGCAAACGTTTCCACCGCCCGTGCATCAACATCCACCAGATGTCGATCAACTAGTAACTTCAACACTCCAAGTGTGAAAGAATAACCATGTACAATCTCGGTCAGGATAGCTTTGATTGGCAAACCATGGCAAGGTCTCGAAAGAAGCATCAGCATGGCGTCCTTTTGATGGCATGCCGCTACAAACACTCTGTCGGTTATTCTTGTGTCTGGAAATTTGTTCAGAATTATTTTAAGTGCCCGTGAATTTCTTGCTGCTGTGACGAGGACATTCTCCGTGATGGGAAGGGAATGTTCCTGCATCTGAAATAAATACTCCATGACGACGGCACCACGGAATCGATTCCCGGCTGCTGCGCATAGAATAGCCTCGGTTATTGGAATCTCTGCGCCGCTGTTGGCCATGAGCAGTTGCAGCAATTCTACCGGATCATCTTTCCGTGAAGCGGCGGCTATCTCCAGCATTTTCTCGGATACGACGAAGCCCGCCTGCTGTCTATCTAGAACCAGCCTTACCATCGCTGAGGACATCATGACGAGACCTTCGCTTACCTTCTCGGTCAACGGAGTATTTGGGCTAAGTTCCTCCATCAGGATTTCAAGAACAAGAACTTTGCCAGGCTCAACGAAGTATCTAAAGCCATAATCGCCCAAAGCTTTTTCGGCTGCTGCAAGAATCATCCTTTGGGTCATTGGAGCAGCTGGATCAAGGTTATCAAGCAGGAACCTCAGGATCTCTGGGCATTCATGCTTCGCTGCTGCGGCGAGAAGCATTTTCTCGCTAATGTGCGTGCCTGGCTCTCGCTTATCGAAAAGCAAGCGAATCATGTCTGCCCTGAACGGATTGGAGACCGCTGCTATTAGCGTCTCCTCAACCACTCGGATGTCTGGACGGGCCCGTAACATCAAATCCATCGCTTTTGAGCTTGCATAACGAGCCCAACATGCAACGCTACAGTCGTCCACGGCGAGCTCAGTCATTCTGTTCATTAAAACAACATCGACTCCGCCATATTTTGGAAAGCGTCTGTAGGAAAATATGGCATCGAATTTAGCAAATAGGGAAGGGCTGATGTGTATATCCTCATTGCATTTCTCAAAAAGCAATTCAATCATCTCTTTAGATTGGCGCATTATTGCCTCGTATAGCACATTATCACTAAGAGGAATACAGGCCTCATGTTGCCGATCAAGAAGGAGCCTCATCAGCTCAAGTGCACAATAACGATTGCCCATTATCTTCATGATGATTCTCTCGTCAATAACCTTGTCGGGTGTCTTGGATTCATCAAACAACAGGCTCGAGTCCCACAATATGTTCACGATCGCTTCCAATTTTGCTTTTCCATGATTCTTATGATCAATATCGGACATCACCCGCTCAACCAATTGCTTGTCGATTGCAAGGACTTTGCCCAGCAGGAATTCCACAATATCAAGATGGCCTTTTTTGGCAGCGAGAGTCAATGCATTATCCCATTCATATCCTTTAGAAGGCTCCAGAGGATCCGAACCCTGGTCGAACAATGTTCCCACAGTGTGGGCCAAACCCATGCTGGAGGCGCGATGCATTGGCTGCTCGCACTCTTCAGGCACTTTGTGCCAAATATTATCACGGGAAGATCTCGGATCTTCAGCTATGCGCAGCCAATTGAAGTAGGTATTAGGCTCAGTGAAGAGACGGTCAATCATCCCTTGTATATCTAGCACGTCCCCTGCAGCGGCAACATGAGTGCCCCAGTGCTTTGCCGCATAGACGAGGAACGATTGCGACATAGCGACCTCAGCTGTTAGCATCTCATGCTGTGAAAGAAGAAGGTCGATCGTCTTTAAGGCCAGGTTGTGGTGGCCTTGTGTTTCTGAGAACCGGCATCGGTGGTCAATATCAACATCCTCGGAGACTACCAGAAATTCTTTGACAGAGAAATGTGCAAGTCTAATCGCACCGTCCGTGCGGACAATGACAAGAGCGGTTGTACAGATCTTAACAATGAGATTAGGCGATCGCAACGATACCGCGTCTGCGATGGTTCGTATGTTCAGCGGCACAGGAGCAAGGCACAAGTAAAGAAGGATTTCGCGTGCTATGTTTACATCCTTTTCCTCGATCCTGTCAAGTACTTCCCGGTACGTCTCCTCAAGTGTTTTAGGAATGGTCTTTAGCGCATCTTCTATTTGCAAGTCTGTAGCGCAATCTGCCAGTCGAGTGAGTTGTAGGTCAGCCCAGCGGAAACGCCTAACCAGAGTTATGGGTTAGCTTAGTTATCTCATTCCTCTAAGTAGTAGAACGAATAACTATACCGGTCCTGGGTGCGCAACAACTGATCAAGGACTCGAGCTTTTATATCCTCCTTGAAATCTCGTAGACGGCCATTGCTAACCTCAGCGTGGACAAATGTTTCGACGTCCTCTGCTAGCTGGGCTTCCAAATCAACGGTGGGACATCTCTCCAGTGTTGCACGAATATCTTGCTCTGGCCTACTCGTTGCAAGAATGTGAAGCTTATTTTTATGACTCTCGTTAAGACCTGCCAGGAGTGATAGTAGTACCTTTCTCTCGCTGCGCCCCGACCGCTCAGGACACTCATCCAATGCATCCAGCACTAGAAATAATTCACCAGGAGCCTTTGAAAGCACATCATCAAGGGTATCCCATAATTCCTCCCGATCGGGCTGACTTCCCCGCCCGCTATGTCTTTCCCACATCCTGGTTACTGACTGTGCCAGCGGCTTCCGGCTGAACTGTCGGATCAAAGACCTGACCAAGTTTTCTACGCTCCGTGTCTTTTCATTGCTAAACTGAAAATACCAGTATGCAAAAGACTTGTTTGAGTCTTCCTCACAAAGGCTTGTAATGTCTTTTATGACGGTAGAACTGCATGTGATTAGTGTGCATCTTCCTTTATAGAAATGTTGGCCTACCAGAGAACGGATTTTCCACAGCCCACTATCCCACAAAGCCATAGGATGTGTCCTGGTGAAGCCTTCCAGTTGTGATATTGGTTGGAAGTAAGAAACCAGTTATTAGTATCAGGGCTTCTGAATTCCTGCGTTTCTTTCTGGATTCTGGAATAATCTGCCGTGGAGACCCATTCCAGGATCCTCTCCTCTTCCGCAGCTGCACGAGTCAGTATAAGATATGCATTTGATATAGTTGAAATCATACTCAACACTTTAGACTCGATGTTCTTGTTGACCAAAATAGACTGGTCGATCTTGGCGAGAATACCCTCCGCTTGTTTTCGATTGTCTATCATCCTTAAGTAAAGCATTCAGACAAGGTAAAATGACGAATAATCTTACGGATCCTATCGCTCAGGTGTACCCATCTATCTGCTCCCTGACCTTTCTCCTTGATATTCGCTTTGAGTTGTTCCAGCGGCTGGTCGGCAATTGCATTGATGCTCATGCCTACACGAACTTTTGAAGTCATTAGCCTGGACCTTCTGCCGGCCTTGCTCCCGATGTATGCAATATAGGCTTACCGACAGCGTTTTGCTCCCGCACCTTGTTCACTTCGGCAGAATAGTTTAGAAGTGCTGAATAGACCCCAAGAAGCGCATTCTCAAGGTTCTGATCGCTATCGCCGTTTTGGTCCCGGTGATGCATATCAATGCAGGTATAATAATTGAGAGTATCGGCGAGGTACTCCGATGCTGCGAAAACAGCGTCTCGACGTTGAATGTCATTTTGGATCATCTTTCTCATTTAGCTTCTAGACCAAATCCAAACACTGTATTACTATGTCCTTACTGTCAATCCCAATGAAACAATCGACCATGCAGCAGATGCTAAATCCTGCGTGAGCAAGTATTGTATTTCCCTGCCATGAAATCACAAGCTCACCATGTCCGGTAGGATCGAAGGAAACTGCCGTTTTGATAAGGTCTTTGGCCTGAAACGCATAATTGAGAATTTTCTCCGCTGAATCACGAACGTTGAAATCCTTCCCATCCTGCCTGCGAATCCTAAGCCCCCCTTCCTTCCATTCTTTGTATTTCTGCTCTGTGGTGCTGATCACATCGTCGATCACATCTACTGTAGAAGATCCCTCCTTCACTATCAAGTACCGCTTGCGGTCGTCGGGCAAGCTTTCGAAAGCTTCTTTCCAGAGGTCTCGTTTCACAGGCTTCTCAACGATGGCAGTCTTGGGTTTCAACTTTGGCGGTGTTGCTGTAGTCTGCACCTGGTTGCTTGCCTTGTGGGGAACTTCCACAGGGTGAGAAGGTTGTTCATCGTCGTTGGCTGTATCTGGCTTGCCACAGCAGAACCTTTCCCGTAGATTCTTGAACATGTTGGACATGAACAGTCTTCAAGGGTAGTCCACCGAGAACAATAATCTGTTATGATTGAAATGTGAAGTGAGAGCGAGTCAAAGAGTCGGGGAAAAGAGTTCAGGTGAGCTGGCAGCCGCCTGAGTGGGCCTTATTCTCCGCACTAATTAATGCAATTGTGGTTCGCTGACAGCTTTTACTTATGGCCTGTCGCGACAGACACACCATAGCCACCGCAATTCACCTATTTCGGATGATGATCAACATTCTCTCGTACTGTGACCAATCAAATGAAGTAATTAGGCATAGTCTGACCTCAGCCTCGCCATAGCCCGCGGGGTTACCCGCCGCGTATTACCCATAACCCGCAATTGATCGTATTGGCTTCTTCTGTATTTATTGTAGCTAATATATTATCTGTTGGTACTGTACTAGATCAGGGTCCATCTATTCCCATATTATAAGATCTAGAGAAGTATACTAATCATAGATTCCTAATTAGATCTAGCATCTAGATATCTCTTTATTAGACCGTTATATGGCTAGGACCTTTGAATAGAATAATCAACAATTTTCAAATATATAAGAATTGATCATTCGATATAACAGAAAATCATGGGTTGCAAAAGTCAGCCAAGGGCGCTTCATAACTCTTCAACCGATGAGCATCTAGTGAGCTGGACGGTCCTATCCTTCTGCAAATTTCTCCAACTGGGAATTATAAACCCAGTGGCAAGATATATACAAACGACGGCGTATTCCATCAGCAGCCCCATAAGTAAAAATGGAGCAATTGGACCGGCTAGATTGTTCCATCTAAGGTCGGATCCATGAGTGACGGAAAGGAAGAGGTAGGTAATGCGAACTGTGATAAATGGCAAGGCCAAACCCATGGACTTGAGGACCTATTGAGTGATGGTTAGTTCCTGTCGAAGCAATTTCCCTGTTGCATGACTTACAGTGCGGCTGGTACCGGAAATCTCTTGGCAGTAAATCCATAAATAGGCTTGTACGGCTAGCAGACAAGTGACGAAGACCACCACAATGCTGTATCCAGCCTTGACCAGTTTGACGCCAATGATAACGTCGCTAGCACTGTCGCTTCCCTCGAGACATCCGCCCGCGATCTGAAGGCCGAGACCCACAAAGAAGAGGATGCGTGAGAGAAGTAAACATTGACGGACTCGTAAGTTCACCTTTTCCTCGTGAGATAATCTGCTTGCAGTTAGAAGGCTAGTCGCCCAGGTCATGTTCCTGTTCGGTTGTTCATCCTGTCACTTACATAATTCGAATGAAACCAAGAGTTGCCGCCACCAAGGGAAATACACCTGTATTGAGAAGAATGACCGAGGCTATCATCAGCCCGGTCGTGGGTTTATGTTCGAACAGAATCACCAAGACACCCGCAACAAGCCGAACTAAAAGAGAAGTCAGAGGAGAAACATGATTTCGAGGAGGTGAGTTGCGTTGGTCGGCAAGACTCACTGATGGAGAAAAAGAGCAGTATCAACCATGCCATGCGCGGCCGCTGATGTCGATAGTATGCTAGGTACGCGGCTATGATAGTGGCCGGCACATAAAACACAATTTGTGCAATGCTTGTTTTGGAGTGGTCGTTGAACATGTTTACCTGATTTGCTGTAGATCTAAGGGTATCCTCGGTTGTCAAAGAGTTGGTAAATAGTATGCAGCTGCCTTTCGTAGAGTACAGATCGCTGAAACAAAATGAGGATTGTTGGTTCTCTTTTGTATTCTCACACCTGGCAGTCAGTCCCCTTCTTATAGTCTTCTCTGCGTCACATCTGTGCGTATCCGGCACAAGGTGACTATGTGAACATTCGCAACTAGGGCATGTACAAGTCTGGAAGCGCTCGCAAGATCAACTCCCGTTCTGGTTTAGCCCCGGCCCTAGCGGCTCCACCAAGCATCCAACGCAACATTTTAGCTGCGCCAAGTGGGTCCTGATTCTGAATCGGATTAATTGAGCAAAGAATCTCACATCGACCCGACTCGTGCCCTCGCCTATTTCATATTAGTGATCGCTATTCACACCCACTATTGGCGGTGACACCTCGATGATATGATCTCATATCCCGACACAGCAGCGACGCTTCAGTTATCGTCCGTATTGGTGCCCACTTAGTCGGGACCATCTGGGTTAGTGCGCTATGGTGGGGGTGGCAGGGAAGTCCAAGGGCTGCAACACATGTCGAAAGCGAAAGGTTGCGGTAGGTAACCGTCTTGCCTTGACTTATATGCCCTTTCTGCAAGGCGCTGACTTTGAACCCAGTGCGATCAGGAAAGACCGGCCTGTGCTCGGTGCACCCGGTCAAACCGAGTATGTGGTGGATACGAAAGAGAGAGAGTCTTTGTATTGGTTCAACCGGCTGCCGAAAAGAAACATATCTTTCTTAAACCGCACTCGTTGGAGGTCAGTTCACATTCGAAGGTCCTGCAGAACGGGTCCGAGGCATTGGAGCTGCTGCCAGCCAGTACTCGCGTCCGAAGTCACGAAGCCTTTTATTCCTTTGCTGAAAGGGGCATGGCATATGTCGCGATGCAAAACCGTAATGAACGGCATAGCTTAATCCAGGCATTTCTCTCAACCTGCTTTCCGGCTCAACACCCCCCTTCAACATCCCGATCATGGATATCATTGCTTGGAGAGCTGCCGACGGGAGGCAACGCGCTGGATTTATCCAGTGCTGCTATCGCTGCCTCAGTCATAGGGCGCAGTTTTCAGAACAATACACTGATCAGAGAAAGCCTTAAGCTCTACACACAAGGCCTTCAACAGCTACAGCGCGCTTTGTGGGACCCCAACCTCATGCGAGAAGACGGAACTCTTGCGGCGTGTATGGCCCTCAGTCTTTATGAAGCTCTAGAATGTCCGAGTGCCGGATCCGACGGGTACTTTAGCCACTGCAAGGGCATATTAGCTTTGGTTCAAGCTCGCGGCGTATATGCACACTCCTCGGGTGCGGGGCATCAATTGTTTCTCGGTGTCAGAATTCCGGGGGTAAGTTTTTAGGTGCCCCACGATGCTATCTAATGGATCGCATAGCTTGTTTTCTTCCCTACTAAAATCGAATCACAGATCTTATATGGCTTGGAATGCCAAACTCCAAATTTCCTATTTGACTCCATCTGGATAGAGCAGCCCTGGAGAGGAACCCAGAAACCCTTCTTCCATCAGGTAGCCGATTGTCTCTCACAAGCCCCTAGTATTTTACAACGTGTACAAACCTTGCCCCACCTGAGCCCTGATCAGCAGGCCCAGCTGATTCACGACCTGGTTCGTGAGTGCTGGCAAATTGACGGGAGTCTAGATAGAATCTATGATGAGATGCACTTTGCCACTTCAGAGCCCCTTTATTGGCTAGTGCCATCTCAGAGCAATCTCTGCGCAGTAACTGGACCATGCAGAAATCTCTTCCCAGTGTCTTTCTGTTTCACTGACCCTGAAAGCGCCACAACACTCATCTTACTCTGGGCGGTACGAGTAATGCTTTGGTCGGGGCTTTGCAATCTATATCGCATCCCTATACCCGAGATATCTGTGGATCGTGTCGTTCATACCAGCCCTGTCAACACTTCTACTGGTGAAATATTTGAACCACTACCCCCTCTCGGCCACCGGTTAGATTATCCTGCTATGGTTCACCACGTCTGCCAATCTGTGGAATATCTTTTGCAAGATGAGCTGCTGCTGGCTGGTCCGTTATCAGTTAGCCTAGCACTTGGAATTGTTATTGATACCATCCGGGAAGAACCCCGGTGTGTTCAAGAGGCTACGTGGCTACAGACTGCACTGGAAGTCGTTCAACGGAGGGGTTTAGGTGTCCTGAAATATGCCCGTTCAGGGCGATAGACAATGGAGTTAATATAGACACACCGAACGTGGAAGCTCGTATGTATAAAGGAAACCTTTTATTGCACTTGGCTTCAGTGCTAATAACCCGTAGATTCTTTAGGTACTCTAGGTTGAGTCTATCTTCTTTTCCTGATCCCTCTTCGGTAGTCGCCTTAATACTCCTTCTAATGATTTGCCTGTACACAGAGAGTAATCGTAGTGTTTATTAAATTTATAATAACATACATTATAAGCTAAGATTCTGCGGGGACTCCGAACAATAGGAACACGTACTTACACGTGCTGTGTTTCCTTTTTAGGACGCGCCATCACCACTAAGAAGAAGTGGGCCTTCATCCTCGCAGTAAACACGCGCCTCATCTCCCCATGAAGATATCCTGAAGCGATTCTTACACAAAATGGCGCCCAACGGTCTCTGTAGTAATGTCATCGTCCAAGATCGGCTCCCTGATCTCTTGATAGGAATCAAGCATACTACTAGCCATGCACTGCATCCTATAACTTTTACCGGGGTGTTGAGACACTGGCCCAAATTTGAACAGGACGTGGAGACGACATACCTAAACTTTCGGTGGAACCGGCGGGTGGTTGACCACCAGCAGAAGTCTGGAAAGGTCTCAATGTGGAATATCCGACTTGAGCAAACTGCCGTTGGAGATGAGATGGGAGTCCAGGGCCGATGGAGCCAAAACATTAACCAGATCATGTCCGCTGTGTTTCTGTCTCAGGATATAGACCTCCATCTCGGAGACTTCCGGGCCACAACAAGAAACTATACTAAAACCCCGGATGTAGCGGCAGCAAGTCGGTCCACAGGTGAGCTACGACTTGTGGGAGAGCTCAAAGCCCCTGGGTCCAGGAGCATGATTTATTGCACGCCTTGCGCAACCAGAAAAGCCTGAGACGTATCTTAGGTCAGTTAGGCTTAGTACTACCTCTGATAGCTGGCCTAAAGAGCCTTAACATAAGTCTGTAGGCCAAGTCGCCGAGTATATGCAGGATAATAATGTTGCATATGGGTTTCTCTCAACATACAACCAAACCGTTTTTCTCCGACAGGTAGACGACCCCACCTTGGGCTGGGTACTGGAGTACAGTCCAGTCATTCGACAAAGTCATACATACACACAAGGTGCTGCTGTCAGCCTTCGCCAGTGCGTTTTTCACGTTGGATGCCTGGCCGCAAGCGCTCATATAGCGGTCAATAACTCGACGAACTGGGTAGGATGAATGTGAAAGGGGCCATCTTGGCTTGTTAGGCGTCACTGTGAAGGTTAAAATGCTGATCAATATCGGTTCTGAATTAATGAGGATAATAGATACAGACTTACTGAAACAAGATTGCAATCTCATTGTGTTAAGTGAAGTTATTCATGCTCAGAGGTAAGAGTAGTACTAGATGAAGATCGCGAGGTACGATGAGGTGCTCACAGGGTCAAAGCTGCCAGTAAAGAAGGGGATGACAAAACCACACCCATAAAACACCACATAGCCATTTGTCACATCGTACTCTTTGCTTTGGTAACTTCACCTTCATCTAGGAACCAGAATTCCCACAGATCGGGATCCCACTCCCACGCATCCGTTGATCGCTCAAAAGGACCGGCAATATACCTGCACGTAGGAATTTTAGAAGCGTGTAAGGAAGATACGAAGCAAAGAGCTGACTGACAGTTTACCGGTATGCTCGTCCCAGTAAAGCTCTCGCTGAGCATCCCAACTTGGGAGGACACCGCTTTTGGCAAAGGATCTATGCAAAAAGATGGCTGTTAGGCACTGAAGAAACGACTTCCATCAGGGTACTCACGTGTATGCAACTTTGAAGGCCTCGCGGATTTGGTCTCTCTTTGACAGTGGAAGAGTGTAAAAAAGCCCTTCACCGATCACTCCTGACAGAATCCTAACTCCTGGGACTTTGCTGAAGGCTATATAAAAAAGATAACCTCCGGGAACCCAGCTATCCTGACCTTGGGATTCTTTTTTAGAACCGATTAGCGTTGGAGTGTGCTCAGAGCCGATGTTTTTCAGGGTCTGATAGCATGTATACTGATCGAGTGCAGAATAAGGGAGGTCAAGTGAGGCTTGATGAGCTCGAACGTCTGGTGCTGCAAATTCAGTTCCTTCGAAAGGGATTTGCATATAGAGCAATACGTAGCCTTTGTGGCCCGGATTCCCAACCTCTTCGCAGCCAAAGAGCGCTCGAGTATATGGAACACGTAATCCGTACTTTGTTTCGCCTTCCTTCATGTCGAAAGAGTACTCATCGAGCCTGGAGGTAAGGCGCCACTGAGAAGGGAAGGGATCCACAAAGGCGATAGGATTCAGCAGAAGGCTAGGCAAAATAAAGCTTGGAGACGTCATCTGAGCAGTAGAGTTGACGTTATGGCTGAACAGTGATAGAAGGTGATCAGGAAGAGGGGAGAAAGTGTGTTGGTGGTCTTTAAGACGGCCATATCAGGTGATCATATGTATCCAGTGAATTCCTGACTATGATTCATTTTTACCTCGCGATTACGGAGGACTGCTCTACGTTGTCTACAACCACGTGAGCATGTGATACACAGAAATCTCTGCTCCTGTACTAGCTATATTGAACTATTTAAAGCTATTTGAGGATAGGTTTGTGCTCTGCTCTAAAACCACAAGAGCAATAACGGTAAAAGAATAAAAGAATAAACATCAATAATGACAGCAGAAAGACAAATTAAGCAATAATGATCATAATAATAAGACAGACGGGTTTTAGGGAGATGAAAAGCTCCGCTGTAAGCGATCTTGTTCCTGGAAAAACCTGCTCAGTTGTCACTTTCAAGGTCCCTAGAAAAATATCAGCATTTCCAAGTATGCGGGCCAATAGCATTATCCTCACTCACCAGGAACTTGAGATGTCCATCATTATTCCTAATCTTATCGGACAACATCATGCCTTGACGGCCTCGAGAGCCACCATTGATCATCGGTAGATCGGCGCAGAGTTTGGGGCCCCATGGGGTTTCCTCCAGTGTAACGTTTCTTGCAGAATTAGAGAAGTTGGATCCACCCCAGATGAACCAGCCTGTGCCGGTCAGCACTCATGCGGTGGACTATACAGAGCGATACGGGGCATTACCGTCAGTGTTTCCAATGTGGTCATCTAAACGAATCTTCCGGGGAATATATCTTCCCTGGATATTGCGAACTTCGGCGAGGAGCATTGTGTGACCATGTTCGGGTTTGATATGGATATTACGACAGGATTGATGAAATGACATCTTGAAAAAAGAAGCGCAGTGGGCTAGGAAACGTGCAGTGCTTCTGACAATGTCTGGGGTCGTTTGGCAACGTTAGAATTTGAGGAAGTGTCTGGAGAGGTCAACTGCTTTTAAAGTACTACCTAGTCGGCTTGATGGTATACATATCTGGCGATCTCGCTGTATGCGCATTGCTGCCCTATGTCATGGTTGAAAAACGGGCTCCGATGCAGGGTGACGCAGCACGTTCTTATTGGTGTCGTCTAGACGAAGGGCTACATCCAGCTGTAGGTGATAGGTCATAATGTCCCATTCTAGTAGTATTGCTCCAAATCGCTTCCTCAGAGGTACGAAGGTCAATAACCATTCACCTGTAGAGTGCTACTGCGAAAGGGTGATTAATCCAACTTATATTATACCTATCCCTAGGATGACACGGCCTCTTGCTCAAGTGTTAAGGTATGCAGTTCCCAGCATCGCAAAGACTTCCCAGAAATACTAAGGTCGTTACAAACTTATTAGAATATATGTGGAAGTTAGTCTGCTATGGTTTAGTAGGAATAATGCATGTGTCCATGTGCCACACCATATCCGACCAAGCCACGTAGCAATGCTAGAGTTAATTAGCATAGAGCCGAATGCTAATGGTATATATTCAAGCCCACTATGACACTATTCATATATCAAAGTTTTAATAACTTGTTTGTTGGTCCTTGCAAGGACCAACTTAGAGAGCATGTATTCGTATCCATGCGAACTTCTAGAACGTGTGCTGAGCTCCCATTACGCCATGTGTACCCATGGTGGTCTAAACATATTGCTCTGTATAGGTGTATGCTAATGGATATATTTTTATTGTATAGATCTGTCAACTATCGTTGTGTGTATCTGTCTGTTCTTCTTTTCAGCAGATGCTGTGGCATGTGTAGTTGCAGTATCAAGCACAATGCAGATGTGGTTTTGCTTTGTTCTTGGCATATTCTGCTCCATTGTCATTACGACGACTAACTGTGATAGGACATTGAAATTCTAAGTGTTCCCAGTGTCTTTCTCCTCAATTTACTTCACCCGACATCACTAATCTTTTGTTCACTCCACCAATGGTCAACACCACATTTCCCTTATTGTTGTATTCACTTATTTTTCTGCAAAGAAGTATCTGATCAGTATTCATCTTGCATCCGGCCGTCTCCTCTGCCAATATTTTCCTATCACACCAGGTGACCATACTTCCACACATCTCTGTATTCCACATTCACAAATATCAAGACAACTATTATCAGATGTGCCCTTCAGTATATTATTGCCCGAGGCCACCTGTTCTATTTTTGATTGCTGCTTCAATTTTGCATCATGTCTGTCAGGTATAGCCTATCGAGCCTATGGACTTCACAACGCCTCCGCATTGCTGGAAGGTATGTTAGTCAATGTAGCTGCATGAGCTGTGAGATATGCGCAGCCCTGCCAAGGTGATAAATGCATCAACGGTATACCTTGGATCAAGTGTGGAGGCAGGTGGGGAAACGTAGCTGAACGCTAGTGGACTAGTAGCTGCTTGGCTGCGCTGCACAGCCTCACTTCCAGCTTCCTGTCGTAAATATTGTGCTGGGAGCTCTGCCAAGAGTCCACCTACGTTCTGACTGCCAGGCTGTATTTTCAATAGAATAGTACTTCCACTAGGGTGCTTATTTGGGCACTAGGAACCGCTTAAGCAAGCTTTTGCCCATCGACCGCGCACTTTAACCGGCAACCCCGAACAGCATGCCGCTTTCGAGTACCTGTCAAAGCTGTGCCAAGTCCAAGGTGCGGTGTGTACGGAATAGTGCACAGTCAGATATCTGCTCTCGGTACTGGCACAACAGCGCCGACGTGATATCTATATAGCTGACCGGGACTGTATAGGTGTGCACGATTGAACAAGCAATGTATATATCGCGAGACCGGTCGGCGGTTTAAGGGCTTCAAAAAAGACCGGTAGGTAATCATCAAGCAAGTATTGGGAGATAGCTCATTTGGCAGCGCAGGCAAATTGAAGCTCTTGAGTCAAAGATCAATGAACTCATGACCAACTCTGAATCAACTTCAACAAACCCAGCAGCCCCTGAGAATGCTACATGCAACCCAAACGGTGAAGTAACCGACGAGGCCACGATGGACGTTATTGCCCGAGGTCTAGTAAATATGGAAACTGCACAGTCTTTCTTAGATATCTATAAAACGGAAATGACGTTACATTTTCCATTCGTCGTTATCGCACCGCAAGTCACGGCCCCAGACCTTCGGCAAGAAAAGCCATTTCTCTTCTTGGCTATTCTCGCATCTGCGGCATACGCCAATATGCCACTGCAGAGATTGCTGGGCAAGGAGATAAAGAGAGTCATTGCTTCTTGCATGATTATGCGCGGAGACGTTTCGTTTGAGTTGTTACAGGGAATGCTGGTCTTCCTCGCTTGGTAACTCGCTTCGAGCAACTTATAAAGCATAGTCTCTAATGGTCCTTGGCAGGTCCCATTACCACTCCCGACCTCATCGCTATACGCAGTTTCTACAGCTAGCCATAAGTCTTATGGTCGAGCTGCGGTTGGATCGACCACCACAGACGAAGACATGGAAGACGGCGCTCAGATTCAACAAAGAGTATGCACTCGACGATGAAAATTATGTTCGGCCATCTTGGGGCCTGGATGAGCAGAGAGCCATTGTTGGGTGTTATTACCTGTCATCCACGTAAGCCTCCTTGTTGCAAGGCATGCCCCGACGTTGCTGAGATGGATGATCTAGGATTGCCATCCTCCTACATAAGCCGTCTTGTTTCCCAAGTATAGCCCCTTATCTCGAACAATGCTGCCAGTCTCTACACACCGAAGGTGAATTCCCCCCTGACAAGCACATCATGCACATTTTTCAATTGCAGGTTCTCGCAGAAAAGATTAACAATCTGTCTTGGAAACATGGCATCGAACTGGGCAGCATGGGATCTGCGGCGGAGCTGTATGTCAGCAACATTAAATCTGAATTGGATAGATTACGTAGTCAGCTTCCTGTTGGCTTCTATGAAACTCGTGAGTATCTTCATTAACCCAGTTAGAACATATCCGGTAGGCTGAGAATTGCTTTCTTCAACTGTTCAGCATTTATGGCTATGCAGTTCTATACCACAGAGCTATACCTCTACCAACTGAGCCTTTCTCAACAGAGTGCGCTGTCTTATCGGTCGGTATATTCCAGAGTCTCTGAGACATGGTGGGATGAGATCTTCTGTTCTGGCCTTACTGCGGTAGATAATATCCTAAACACGTATATGGGGCTACCGATAGGGGGCGAACAGGGGTTCAACAACACGCAGTGGGTACAAATGGCGTTCTGCATCCTAGTTGCTTGCAGGCAAATCGTCGCAGCTTCACGGATGGGAAAGGCAGCCCTACTTCCACAGAGTCGTACATGGCCGGAAACTTTGGGGAAACTACGGCAGCGCCTAGCAGCATTATCTACAACGCAGGTGGATCTGGACGGCGATCGGGACGTCTTTGTTAACTTTGAGAAACGTGTTTCTCGCATCCAGGGCTGGTTTGATCGCAACTTGGAGAGCCCAGAAACAACCTATCCTTCTACGAGCCTCGCTGCAGGGCAAGATGTAGGCCAAGATACTACGACAGAACTGTCGTATGACACTTCAACTGTACCCTTGGAGATGCCCGAGGATCCGTCATTGATTGGCTATGATTTCCAATTGGCTGCACAATTTTTCCTCCCTCCCAATCTTGAAATGATGACTGATTGGATGTAACAAGTTGTCTCGCCGTATTCAACCTCTACTTCGTTGGCGTCGTCCGTTCCTGTCGATCTGTCTATTTATTATTATTATTATTATTTAATACATTAATCTTGCTTGTTAATGCTGATCTGTGTTATGCAAGGCGCCCCCTTTGCGCGAGGCTGTGTTAGCGATTGTATCAAGGCTCGGACGCATCTCCGAGCCGATCGTCCTTATGTTGGGGCCGAATAGCCTCAGAGTTTGTACATGTTCGATCTCCGACCCGACTCCTAGGAAATAAATATTCAACGCAGATAACAATAATGACCATGTCAACTGAACGTATGAGCAGTCGAATTGCGTATCACAATGTCTAAGTCACATTTTACTATCATTCTCCCCGTCCTTTGTCTTGTTCATTCCGTGTCTTCATTCACCCCTTGTCCGCTGTTAGGACCGGCGTTCCCAGCATTCACGCTCGACAAGAACTCGACAATACTGAGATCTGCCCTGGCAAACCTCACCGGGCAATTTGACGAACTATATATCCAGGGCTCCGGTTCCCACGGAGAAGTGTCTCCCAATACCACATCGTTCAGTCTCTCGCTTTTCTCGACCAACGAGGGAACTGCGAGTGCCAGCCCATTCTTCTTCGATTATCATTACACGGCGCCTTCACTGCAGAACTCATCTAGCCAGACTCAACATGCGAGTCGAAAGAGTGTTTACCGCATCGGTGGACTTACCCAACTTTTCACCATCTGGACTGCCCTTGTTGAGGCCGGGGATACCATCTGGAATGATCCTGTGACGAAATATCTTCCCAAGCTAGCCGCAAGTACGAATAGTGCGAATGTAGCGCAAGATCCTATTCGATATGTGGACTGGGAAGATATTACCGTGGGACAGCTAGCCAGTCATATGGCAGGTCTTCCTAGGAACTGTGAGCATCTTTGACAAATCAACAGTACATTTCGTTCAGACCTAATCAGCCTACTTCTAGACTGTGTGGATAGCATAGAAAAACAGGGTTACAGCATCAATGACGGCTTGCCACCGTCCGCTGGCACTGGTGGTACTTGCACATCCAGTAATTCATCTCAAGCCGGTATGACATTAACTTTCTCCATACTATCACATCCAGGCCTGACGCATCTGCCGTCCAGAAACCCTCGTCGCTTTAGCTCATCAACCACCAGTTGCTCCTCCCGGAGTAACCCCCATATACTCCAACGTTGGATTCCAGATTCTAGGTTACATCATAGAACGAATCACGGGCCAACCATTCGAAGAAGTTCTCAAAAGTCGCATACTGCACCCACTCTCCCTCCGTAACACGAGTCTACGTGCCCCCTCGAGCAACTCATCCGGCATCATCCCAACAAACCCCGAAGCCAGCGGGTGGTCCACGCAATATGGAGCAGCACCGTAAGTCCTCCGCCCCATATTTCATCCCTACGACCATCCTAATCAGAAATACAGGGCACTCTCGATGTACTCAACAACCACCGACCTCTCCAACGCCGGAAAAGCGATCCTCAACTCAACCCTCCTAACCCAAGCTCAAACCAACCGCTGGTTGAAACCAGTTACCCACACATCCAACCCAGCCAACTCCCTCGGCTACCCCTGGATTATTTACAGCAGCGGAAACTACCCCAATACCTCGATGGTTGACATTTATACTTATTACAGCAGCATCGGCCAGTACAGCTCCTACATAGGTCTCGTGCCAGACTACAACGTCGGCTTCACCGTTCTCGCAGCCGACAGTGTCTCCGCGCCAGACCTGAATGCGCACGCTGATATCATCGGCGACGTTATCTTGCCTGCATTAATGAAGACGGCTGTTAAACAGGCCGGTGCTCGGTTTGGTGGCGAGTATACAGCTTCTTCTGGCCTTAATTCGTCGATCACTGTCTCCGTTGACGAGCTACCTGGTATGTTTATTGAGAGCTTCGTCAGTAATGGGACAGACTTCAGGGAGATCCTGGCTTCATTGATTGGGATTGAGGATCCGGAGGCGTTGAGTATCAGGTTGTACCCCACCGGTCTAGTCTCGGAGACGAAATCGGGTGGTTCCAGGGTGGCGTTCCGGGCTGTTCTACAGGACAAGAATGAGCTTGCTGATGCTGGGACGCCGACGTGTGTCTCGTGGATGGATGTGGATAAGCTAACATACCAGGGCCGTGCGCTAGATTCATTTGTTTTTGAGATAGATGGTGGTGGAAAGGCTGTTGGAGTGGAGATCCCTGGTTTGGTGTTGTACTTAAACAAGGCAAATTAGGTCGACGCGAGTTACCTGTGTCATTTGGGCTTGGCTTTTATTTGGTGGTAGCTATGATCATGGGGATGTCCTGTATGGGCGATAGGGGTGGTTAAGATCGTACATTATGGTTTATTCTTCGGGTTATTAGACTAATATATGTAAACTTCATGCTCAACATGCTACTAGCTATCGCTTAAGGACCAAATAGTTAAAACTACCCTATTACTCAACGTACCATACAATGACGCCCTCCAGAAGACATAACTGTACGTCGGATAATATTGAGAAGGATATTAGTAATCTGACCCACGAATATTACCAGAGTCGGAAGTATTCTGAGAATCTCGAGAATAGAGAATAGATCTAGAAAGGTTACTGCTGTGAAAGAGAATTCTTCAAGCTATCTACACGTGACTAGTATACAGAGAATATATCCCCTTGCTCATCTCCTACCAAAGAACATCGCTATCTGGCTCCACTGGGGCCTGTTATTGCTTACAGTATTCCCAAGAATGAAACTAAAAAATGTTATGAGACCGGGTGATAGTTCGGGAAGTAGCTGGTGGGATCTTGGTGGAGCTGAGAGCGGGGATCGACATGGTTTGATAACACTTTAAAGACACTGGCAGCTGAAAATTATGTTAATGCTACTCTGCCAGTCCATACTCCGTAGTTACCCGAGATAAAATGAAGTGGCAGTGTAGTCACTCCGTAGTTGCTCCAGCGGTCCTGCATTGCTACTCCCCATGAGGATCTGATCTGCATAGAACTAGCCAATCAAAATCACAGTGCATAAATATACTAATGTACAGACATGCATTACTTGCTTGTAATCTCAGCCCAATAGGTATGTTCCGGCGTCATTTCTCTACCAGGCCCGTAACGCAGTCTGAGCTAAAGCCGAGTGTTGCAGGTGAACAAACTAGTATCTGCGTCCATTTTTTGGCAGCAGAGAACGACCCCGACCAAGCAGAGTGCAGGTGGAGATATGGATTGTGCCTCGCTTGGTTCCTTTGATCTGAACTGGACTCGGCTATGATTAAACCAGCCATCAGCTAAGGGCTCTCTTGTGTAGAAGCCTAGAATGGTTAAGTAAGCGGATTGATTTTAGTGGTAGAAAACTGGTAGGACCGGCCGACACTGGTCATTTACAACCATGCCCGGGGCTTCCGGGTGTTGACTCGACGGCCAGCAGCATACCCGAGCCAATGATGTGATATGACAGTGATAAACCGCAGATCTCGGAGTCGAATGGCTTATATCGACGCCCTGGAGAGCTGATGGCCCCCAACTGACCGGGAGCAGAAAGTGCACGTGTGCGACTTACTAGGTAGTCGTAAGCCTCTGAACTATTCCAGCTGTTCCAGCTGAGCAACTGCAATGAAGGTTTCAGCTGAGAGATGGAGACACTTTCGGTTGTATCAGAACGCTTCCCCATCTACCGAGTGAGTGACGCTCACAAGACATGCAGGCTTCTTATGGGTCCGTCCTTCAAGTCCCCACAGAAGGTCACCCCCATTACTGGCTGCTTTACACAAGAGTGGCCTCGCGGAAATGTGATATATTCAGGGGTAATGTGAAATGCGCAGGCAGGGGGCTGAGCTGAACAAACCCTCTTTCTAGATTACTGACGATCGGGATCTTTTACGCTGCCTTGACCGTAATGATAGATGATTTCACTTGTATGAGGGAATTACCAGGTTCAAAAGGAGGGTATAAAGGGGTCGACCATTGTCAGAGCTGTCAAGAGTCATTCATCAAAGCCATTCAACACATTTCCCAAAAGACTTTGCATTATCTCGTTATTCTCCAACACGCCGAAGTCAAGCCAAGATGTCAAAGAAACTTGCTTCGTGGTCCTTCACAAATATCGACGATAACAAAGAGTCCGTGGATTCTATTCCCCATCCAGACCATGGCCGTGGAGATGAATCCATTATAGAGGAGAATGCCGATCATCGTAGAAAGGTCATTCTAAATGACTTCGCAGACGGTGGAAAATATCGCTGTAAGCTGGACTTTCCTTGATGTCTATCTGCGACAATAGCTGATTCCCTTTCCCAAGCCATCGTCAAGGTCCAAACTCTGTTCAAAAATGGGAAATGGACCATGGGCACAGGATGGCTGATTCGCAAGGACCTTGTGGTGACCGCGGGTCACAATGTTTGGAGCCTCAAACAAGGCCAAGCACGCCAGGTTAAGTGTTGGATTGGATACCATGGTCGAGGCTCCGTCGAAAAGGACTCTGTCCAGCACAGCATGGCTCTAAACGTCGTCACGACCGAATTGTGGGTGACTCAGACCGGGGACCGTCTGCACGATGTGGCCGTCATCCAGGTTAGAGGTCCGTTCGTGGGTGACCTCAAACCCTTTGAGTACATAGAAACCCCCATATTCCAAGCGCAAGGGGTAAAGTTGCAAGTTGTTGGCTATCCAGGTGACAAGTATGAGCATTATCAAAGTCTCGACGACAAGGGTGCTTGGATGTGGTGGGCTCAGAGGAGGACCACCTGGAGCTTGGAGACCGCCCATGGTCATATGCTCGAGTACCGGATTGACACATATGGTGGTGAGTACGGCCTGGTGATGTAACGTTGCCACTAATATTGACACTTTGCTCGCTTGCAGGACAATCCGGAGCACCCGTCCTATGGGATCAAGGGAACAAGTTAGTAGCCATAGGAACTCACTGCTACGGCGGTGGCGACAATCTACCGAATTCCGGGAATCCTATCGGAGGAGCTACGGGAACAACTACGACGACTTTTTGAGAATGTTCAAAGCAAGCAGCGAAGACGAACCGAAGCCCCTGGGCTCGATGGAGATCAAGTACCATGACCCCGCCTCTATTAGCGGGGCCGATGAAGGCAGCGAAGAATCGTTCTGGGATGTTTTCAACAAAGTGGTCAAGGTTGGGTCGGTGACTCTGCCCATCGCCGGCTCCTTCTTGGGACCGATCGGTACATTGGTCGGCACCGCTGCAGGAGGACTGCTCGGGGCCCTCGCCGTGCCGGAATCTTTGAGTGACGACGAACAAGAGAAAGAAGAGCTCTACGAGGCAGCTGCCCAGCGAGCCCTACTTGCCGAAGCTACCTTGCAATCTATCATCCGACTAGGAAGATCCAGAGAGTCGGATCAAGTCTTCAACAACATGAAAGAGATCTGGAAGCATAACTATGTTGAGGACGTCAGCAAACTTCAAGGTCTATTCGACCCAGTCCTTAAAGACTGCGTATTCCGCGCTACTATTGAGCATTGGTACAAGGCAAACAGTCACCAAATGGGTCAAGAATCCGTCAACTTTAAGCCCCTAGAAGCTAGGCCCAAGAGTGCGTTTATCAATGAGCTCTTTGAGACTGGCAAAGAGGAGTCTTTCAACTGGATCGGTCCTCTGGTGAAGGAGGCGATCGTCAAGGCAAAACCAATTGTTTGTCAGACACTGAAAGCCGTTATTGAGGGGATCGTCAAGAAACTTGAAGAAAGCAGTGATGACCTTCTGGCGCAAGACGGTAAAGTTCTAGAACGTGCGATTCTTGCGGATTATGCTCTTCAGGCTATAGAGAGGCTTCCTAGCGATACACTCCAGCAGCTGACGCTTTTCGCGAACGACGCCGGAGAGGAAGAAAGCATTATTGACTCCATCAGGACCCACGTTCGGAGATTTGGTCCAGTCATTCTCAAGTACGGGAAAAAAGCGATCAAGAAGGGTATCCCACTGCTGATTGACGCGCTTAAGGAAAAGCTCGAAGCCGACGACGAGATAGATTCTGTACAAATACAGGAGATTAGCGCGAAGGAGTTGAAGAATCAATCCAGGACAAATGTCGTGATGGTCAGTTCTGCAGCACGTGACGAACCCATCAAGTTGAGTAATGGCAATCGTCTTCAGGACTCTAACCCCGATTCGCCCGTCTCTGAGCCAAAGTCCCCGGTATCTCCTGATTCAGTAGAGGAAGAGCACGCACATATTCCTCTTTGAATCAAACACACATCCCCAACACTGGACTTGGTTGTTAGCAAGCCCGGGAAACAATAGTCTCTTTGAACAACCATCAAGATGTCATTACTAGTGTAGGTTGATAGCTCAGACAGATCTACAAATGCCACTCCTTCATCATAGATATATACCCCAAATCACTGAGAGATGGGTATCTCTTGCCCATTGAGCCTATGATGCCGTGGAACGATGGATGTATCATTCTATGCAATTCATCATCTTTCATCTCCCCGTGAAAAGAGAAGCTATTCTATAAGCACCATCGTCCTACTGGCGCAGATCTCACTATCGATTTTGAACAAAACACTCTCTGAGGTCTCGATCTCCAATGTCGATGCCCCTCCAAAACGGAGAGCACCACGAGTTCCTGCTGGGCGTCATGGCTGTGATCTGGGACCAATTCAGCTTCCCCGACACAAACTACCACTGGGTATCGTGTGCCGCCTACGGAATTTCACCTGGCAAACCTCAAGAAGAAATCGCCTCTCTTTGCACGTGTGCGATCTGCAGCCACAGAGGTTGGTGAAGCCTACTCTATGTCTTAATAGCGGTATTAATTGAGACCCCTACAGAGTCCTATAATCCTAGATAGAGCTATATTTTATATTCAATATGAAAGGAAAAGAAAAGAAAAGAAAAGAGAAACCCGTTTAAATTTTTAGCTATAGTATAAAAATATATATTCAAAAGAAATAGATAATATAACGTGTAATAAACCTAGATACAATGCTTATTTAAACAGTCTGGAAATGCGAAGATTTTGGAAATCCCATGCGTTTATGTCCTCGTACCGACAAGGGGTTGAAGGCGTAATGAACTCCTTGAAGGGGAACAGGGATGACGAGCGGTTCGGCTTCGCAAAGTATGCGATCGAATACCGTTCAGGAATGACTGATTCTGAACCAACCTTAACAGAAGGCGGGTATGTGACACGGTGGCATGCAGCGCGGAAAGTATCGTTTGTCAGTCGCTGCATCGAGTCGCCAATATTCAGAATGATCTCTGTCTTGTCGGCTGACTCGATGCCGCGGAAGACACCAGGGTTTTGCTGGTCCTCGACCTGCAGCCCGCCAACAGAGTCCTGGAACAGCATGGTAATGCTGCCGAAGTCGGTGTGCTCAGCAATGCGTGTCGCGGTGCCGTCGGCCAATTCTGATGCGGGAACTTCTGGATAGTGAAGGATGCGAAACTCGTTCTCGGCTTTGCTGTGCAGGGCTACCATTTGCTTTTCGTCAACGCCGAGGGCCTTGGCAAGAGCAGCGAGAATCTCAAGCTCGAGCTTGAAACATGTCTCGTAGAAATCTTCCATAAACTTGCGGAAGCCTGGGAGCTTCTCTTCAGGAACCCATATGTTGTCTACGAGCTCATCGCGAGGTGAACCGAAGTCGACTGTTTCCTGTATGGTTCTTAGCATGTGACGGTTTGAATCCTGGTAAGCAAAGCCATACCTTGATATCACGAACGAAACGTCCCTGTGGAAGCCCCTTCTCATAACCACTAATACTCGAGATGGACTCCTGTCCAACATAGCAGTAGCCCCGGTTCGGGTTTGCCTCAGGAGGGTGCTTGGCGAGCATCTTGTCTTCATGTGGAAGGGCAAAGAACTTGCGAGTCTGGGGAAATCAGCATCAACCTCGGACCCAACAAAGATGCCCAACTCACCCAGTCGAATAGTTCATGAACGAGCTTGTCCGGAAGGCCATGGTTCTTCAGCTTAACGCCACCGCGAGTCTTAAGGCCATGAAGCAGCTCAGCAGAGATCTTCTCCCTTTGTTCGGGAGTTCCCTTCAACAAAGACAGGTCAAGAGTCTCAGACATTGTGACTAGGAATGGAAAGCAGATCTTGTTTTGGTGGATACGTTGGAGGGGTTGATACAGTAATGGGGATCTGGAGAGGGCTTTGAGCCCGATTTATAGATCCGTCAGACGAGGAGTACATTGTATCTAAACGCGGGGATTTTGCAACAGGAAGGTGAAGTCCAATACCCCGGGATTTTGATATCAACACTTTGCCTTCCCAATCAATCCTCGATCTATCTTCTGATTTCCCGAATAGTCGGAGTGGATCCGAGATCACTTTCCTCAACCAGAAAGGTACCAATCAGAGCCCCCATAATTGTGGGACCTAGCCACAAATAAGGCAAGTCAATCGGGATGACTTGACGACTTTTGTTTGTGGCAGTCAGCCCCTGACCAACCAGTATCCAACCAGTATGTCCATCAATTGCCATGGAGGATATAATGAGGGCAACTGGATGCTAGATTAGATACATGGAAAGCCAATTTGTTTCTCAGAATAACCCTAGATAAGCTGTTTCGTCAATGGTTGCATCTACGGCACTTTGTATCCAATGCTACTCCGTATATGCAACTACCATCCTGAGGATAACAGCAAGTGCCCTACATGGGAAATAAGGCCTGCACCCTGACGAACCCTCAGATGTTTTGAAGTAGGTGATATATTACGGATATGTTAAGATTCTTACGAGTTTATCCCTTCAAATTGTCCTCTGCGTAACATACCGATTCTTAATATGCCTCAGTGCCAGTGGTGTCCTATGGCGAGTTTTGATCCTATTGACGCTTGAGGAACATTGCCAGGATGCAACCACAGATCAGCATAGTAAGTAGGCTACTGGCTGTCTGCCTTATTTCCGAGACTAAAAATGCAGCGGTTATCCTTGACGTCACTAAGTAGGCAAATTACAATGGTTAGACTGCGTTATGAATTATGGACATAAAGTTATGCAGTGAACCCAGTGCACCGGCTAAACACTTAAAAGGTCTTCACAGCTTCTGCTTCCAAGGTTTCAAGCTGTTTTACTGGTTAGTTAGGTATTGAATACCGATTAGTAATGATTGATAAGCTTAACTCACTGGCCATGACTGCACTCTGTAGCTACTTTTAATAAAGGGCATTGGACTAGTACACACTTATACCCTGATTTATAGTCCATAATAGCTTTTCACCTTATATCCTACTGTAGTCGAAAATGTCTACGAAAGAAAAGGTTTTGCTCCTCGGGGCTACGGGCGCAACTGGGGGTTCCATATTAGATGGCCTCTTAGAAGCCAACCAATTTGTATGTTAAACCGTTCACTCCTCTCATTGACAATGCAATCGCTTAACGCAAGGCCAGCTACTTATGTTGCTAAACTTGTTCATTACAAATTTAGGATGTTGAGGTTCTAGTACGGCCTAGCTCCGTGGAGAAGCCATCTGTTCAGCAAATCAAGGATCGTGGTATTCCACTACGTGTGTCCGATCTAAATGTTTCCGAAAAAGAGCTTGTTTCTACTTTGCAAGGTATCGACATTTTGATCAGTGCCATTGGGCCCCACGACCTCCTGCAGCAAAAGACCTTAGTGAAAGCTGCAAAGTCTGCAGGCATCAAACGGTTTATCCCTTGTGCATTCATCACAGTTGCCCCACCACAAGGGACAATGTTGCTTCGCGATGAGGTATGTGGCTCTAAACAGCTGCAAGAGAAAGAATCACCCTTCAATGGCTGTCTAACATCCGTGAAACAATCACCAGAAAGAAATTATATATAACGAGATCAAACGACTAGAGTTGGCCTACACAGTCATCGACGTTGGGTATTGGCATCAAATCTCCTTTCCCTGCTTACCATCCGGACGGGTGGACTACGCAGCATTGGTGCCAAACACCACTATCCATGGTGACGGCGATGCCCCAAATATACTCACAGATATCCGTGATATTGGCCGATTTGTCTCACGTATTATCGCCGATGATCGAACTGTGAACAAGTATGTTTATACTTGGGGTGATATTCTGACTGAAAACGAGATCATGGATATCGCTGAGGATCTGTCAGGCGAGAAGGTTGAAAGACAATATGTGCGTATGACCCTGGATTTCATGGTATATATACTCACTGCATTTATCTATAGGAGACTATTGAAGAAAGTGAAAAAAGACTCAATGATGCCCAGTCTGCCCTTTCTCTCGACCCGGCGGATCCAGCCAAGCGGACCTTGGTCTATATTACACAATATATATATAGCAAGTACGTTCGCCAGGATAACCAGCCTCACTATGCAAAGTACCTTGGGTACCTTGACGCGAGAGAGTTGTATCCCGACTTCAAGCCAATCTCTTTCCGGGAATTCTTTACCGAAGTTCTCAATGGAAAAGGCAAAAGGCCCTATGGCCATTGAGGCATTCGCGCTGATTTTGGGTGGCTGCACCTGGCCTACGCTTCATTGAGCGTCACACTGTGACTCTGATAACTACTACGCAATTAATCCAAAGATAGTGGAAGACTAATGTAGTGACTATGCAGTGAATGCATTGCATTCAACATACTCTGTATTAAGTGAGAATTTATATCTGGCTCTTTGTCATTAGCTATCATAATTAAGTACTTGTATGAGTCTATCTTTCAATTCTTGAACATGAGCTCTTCTTGATCGAATGTAAGTATCACGCTCCCTGCCTGTACATATTCACCCTCTTTAACAAGAAGGCGAACAATCCCGTCTCTCGGTGCTGTGACTTGTGTATCCATTTTCATTGCCTCCATCACAGCCAGTAGATCGCCTTTACGGACAGATGCACTGTCAGGGACCTTGAAGGCCCGAAGTGTTCCGGAAACTGGGGCCATAATGTCACCGCTCTCTTTCTTTGCGTTTTTCTCATTGGCACTTGGTGAAGAGGATGCTATTGACCCGATTCCGCTCAGAAGCATGCTTGGTAGACCCACAGACACCAGCTTGCCATCAATCTCCAGGTGAGTCCGAATGAGTTGCTGTTCGGGTCCTGGGTCCGGCCGTGGAGCGGAGGCCAGTGTCCCCGCGAAATCGGTTTCTACCCAGCGTGTGTGCACGTGAAAGCCATTGGTGCCCAGGAAATCGTCCGAGTTCAGCGTCTCAGTGTGGAACGGCAGAACTGTCGCGACTCCGGTGATGTGGAATTCTTTCAGCGCACGACGGGCACGACGCAGTGCCTGCTCACGGGTTGCGCCAGAGACAATTAACTTCGCCATTAGAGAGTCATAAACAGCCGGAATAGTCGATCCTTGAACAACACCACTGTCTAGACGGATGCCAGGACCAGACGGCGGCTGAAAAGTCGTGATCTGCCCAGGGGTTGGTAGGAACCCCCGACCCGGGTCCTCTGCATTGATGCGGAATTCGATGGAATGGCCCCGGGGAGGAATGGGCGATGAGATGCTTAGCGGAAGTCCCTCGGCGATACGGAACTGCTCCACGACCAAATCAAGTCCTGTGGTCTCTTCCGTCACAGGGTGCTCAACCTGGAGTCGGGTGTTGACCTCTAGGAAGGAGACACTGCCATCGGCTCCTAGGAGGAATTCCACCGTGCCAGCACCAGAATAACCAGCCGCGGAACAGATTGACTGAGCGGCATTCTGAATCTTCTCTCGCTGTTCCACAGTCAGGAATGGAGCTGGAGCTTCCTCGATCAATTTTTGATGTCGTCTTTGTACGGAGCAATCGCGTGTTCCAACCACCACCACGTTACCATGTTTGTCAGCTAGAACCTGGGCCTCGATATGCCGCGGACGGTCGAGATATCGTTCTATGAAACATTCTCCCCGGCCAAATGCCGCCGTTGCTTCCCTGACAGCAGACTCATAGCACTCTGCTACCTCGTCCATCGTCCAAGCGACCTTCAAACCGCGCCCACCACCTCCATGGGCGGCTTTGATCGCAATAGGTAGGCCATGCTCTCTCGCAAAGGCTACCACTTCTTTTGCTGTTGATACAGGCCCATCGCTGCCGGCTACGAGCGGTGCACCGACGCGTAACGCGATGCGTCGCGCCTCGACCTTATCACCAAGCGCCTCAATCACACTTGGATCAGGCCCGATCCAAGTCAGTCCCGCATCCTGTACTGCCTGAGCGAATTCTGCCCGTTCAGATAGAAATCCGTATCCGGGGTGAATGGCATCTGCCCCGGCACGTTTTGCTAAAGCAATAAGCTTATCGATATTGAGGTAGGTGTCGGCGGTTTGGAAGCCCTTCAGTCCATAGGCTTCATCGGCGAGACGAACGAAAGGTGAGTCCACGTCCAGGTCTGAGTACACCGCAACTGATCTCACGCCGTAATCGTAACAAGCACGGATTATCCGGACGGCGATTTCCCCGCGATTCGCAATCAATACTTTCTTCAGTGCTTTTCTCATTGCAATTTTGATATATGATTAGAGAGGGTTTACGAGCAGAAGGGACAAACGATATCAGAGATAAACCGTGGGACTTGGGATTTTCTCAACCACGTATCCTGTACTCCTTCACCTTCCAATGACCTGTTGTTCCATTAAAATTTGTTTTGTATTCGTGCCTAATGTGTGTATATATCTATGACACATAGTAGAGTTACTAGTGACTGATCATGTAAATCAGCACTCAGAAAGGGAGGAGAGTGGCTTATGCAGTGTGGGCCATATCGCTGTGCGGCTGAATCTCCGACCAGGGGCCAATAGCTCGAAACTGTACCATTGTATTCACAGGGAGCTGGCCAGTGAGGTCCAAATGGTGTTCGGCAACAGCCCCAATGACCGGGTATCCACCGGTTAGTGGATGATCGGCAAGAAATAGTACCGGTTGTCCATTGTGGGCCACCTGAATAGCTCCAGTGACCGTACCCTCGCTCGGTAGTTCCGCCTTGTCATCTTTGCGCTCGATGGAAACATTTCCCGACAAGCGAATCCCTGTGCGGCTTGACTCTGCCGTCACTTTCCAGCGCTGCTGCGTGAATGCGTTGAGGCCTTGCTGGGTAAACCAGTCTGTGCGAGGGCCAAGCACGACATCGAGAGTCACCACGTCATCTGCAGTAGGTAAAGTCAAAGCTGGGGCTTCGTGGATTGAAACACTAGAGAGACCCTCCCGCGTGTTCCTCAAGGTCAGTACAGATCCAGCGGTGACCGGAATGGGCCCCACAGCAGCCAATGTGTCCGTGCTGACACTACCCAATACCGGACTGATCTCAAAGCCACCGCGGACGGCCAGGTAGGTTCGCATTCCTGTGCGTGGATGCCCGAATGTTACGACATCCCCCGGTTCCAGTGACATAGGCCGATGCGTTTCTGTTATCTTTGTCGTCCGGCCTTTTACATCCTCAATCGTGATGGGACAGGGTGCACCAGTGCAGCCGATGACCGCCTGACTGCAGCTCTGAAATGAAAAGCCACCTAACGTAAGTTCAAGGCATCCAGTCCCAGCTGGATTCCCCACTATGCGGTTCGCAGCCCGAAACGCCGATCGATCGAGGACACCGGAGGCAGAAACACCTTGATTCGCTTGACCAGGACGGCCGAGATCTTGAAAAAGAGCCGGGATTGGCGCCGTCAAAACTTTGAAATGTGGGCGGGCGTGGCCGGCCGTCTGCCTCAGTACTGGCGTTTCCTCTGGACGATTGATTGATCCAGAAGCAGAAGCAGGAGGATCATCGTGTTCAATTGCAGGAGTAGTGTTCACTCCAGCGGTTTCAAGATCATCCACCTGCACAAATTTGACCCGATAACCCGGTTGGAGAAGCGCGCTTGGGGTCCGATTTGTGTCCCACATTTTGGCCGACGTCCTGCCAATGAGCTGCCATCCACCGGGACTGCTCTGTGGATAGATGCCGCTAAAGGGCCCCGCCATGGCTACCGAGCCAGCTGGGATGCGGGTCCGTGGAGTCTGATGGCGCGGCACGAACAGCGCGGGATCGCCGCCATTCAGATAGCTGAAGCCGGGCGCAAAACCGCAAAATGCCACCGTGAACTCGCTCTCCTTGTGGCGACGAATAACCTCTTCCACGCTGAAGCCTGTCAGTTGCGCAATGTTGTCCAGATCCACGCCGTCATAACAGACGGGGATTTCTATCTGACAGTCCGATCCGGCGCTGATGAGGGACAGGTCTCGCTGGCGAAGTTCGGTGGCCAAGGCCTCCGCGCTTACGCTTTCGGGATCGAAGTGCACGAGCAGGGTGCGGGCAGCAGGAATCATCTCCTCGATGCCATCTACTGGGCAGGATTGCAGGGAAGTATGAAGCGCCCGAGTCTCCTGGAGACCGGGGAGCTCCACGAGGATTGTCGTCAAGTTGACGGGAAGAAAGCGCATCATGATCAAGCCAAAGGGAAGAGTGATCGCAATGAATGACTTAGTACATGGTTCACCCAAACCTACCCGTAGTGTATATACTCCTACTACATTGGACCTACAGGGTAGGCGAGCAGCTCTTAGTTCGGTCCCACTGGGTGGGAACTTGGCTTCTTCGCTATCAGTACAGATCAGCTTCCTAAATGTCGTATTCAGAATGGTCGATCTGTATGAAGTACTGAGCGGCGCAGTTCGCTTACTACTTATGCTATGAGTGATGAGAGGAGGTCCATCTCAACGCGACATTTCTTCCTAGTTGATTCGCCTTGCCCTATTCAGCCGAAATAGTCTCATCATCGACACACGGAGGAGGCTGTCGGCTGGCTGAAGTGTGGGTCGCTTCGAGCGATGAGTCGATAAGTGACGATGCCAGACACTCTAGGGTACCTTGAGTGACGATCAAATTCATTTCCACCACTTATCGTACACGCCTCAGACTCACAAAGGCGCAGCTGATCGTATCACATTCTCCACAATTCAGCTATACGTAAGGCAGGGCTCTCCATGATCGATGGATAAATGGTCCTCGAATCCCCCTACCGACAGCATTTCGTACCTACACTTCATAAAGCTCAAAAGTTCATTATTTCAACCGCCTACCATGTCCACTGTTTATGTAGGATCTAGCTTACTCCTCAGCCCAGAAAACTAGATTGACGTGCTGATGATCCACAGAGGGTCAAAGTTGCTGCTCAAGCCCTCAGTGCGGAGGATTGGGACGGCCAGGAACGCGCCAGAGACGCATATTCTAGCCTCACAGCGTATGTTTAACCGCCAATGACGATGAATTCCCCAACGCGAGGGAGTTTGGAACTAATGATGATGGCCTCTAGTTTCCAACACTCACTTCAGACTTCGCAGGGGAAAATTCAGATTCGATCGTACCGGCCCGAACAGGTGTCTGCCACATTCCCTGGAGCTGAGCTCGAGTACGTGTCATTCCCCTCCTACCTCAAGTCTTGAATTCACAGTGGCTTAATCATTTCGTCCCTTTCGTCACCAATGCAACCGAGTCCGCATAGCTCACTTTGTGATAAACAGTCTGTTCTTCGCTGCACCACTTAACAATGACCCCAGCTTGCGTTTTCAGTTGATTAATGCCTGGGACAACCTGAAGCGAAACGCGAATGTCACTGTAGTAAACGTGGAAACTGGTGCAGCAGCTACTCTGCCGTTGTAATTAAATTACAATTGGATTGGGAGATAGCTATTCATGATATATTAAATACAAATCCTTTTTCCAATTAGAAGCAATACCAAAATTTACCGAACATGACTTCGATATGGCAATCATCAAGTCTAAGCATTCAACACAGAGTGTGCAGTGGGTTACGGGAGAAATCATCCAGATTGTGTTCACGCTTTTCGGGCGTCGGTTTAAATCCCTCATGCAGAGATCCCAATCGTTAAAAGGTTAGCCTGAATGCCATAGACATCTATTTTTGCATGGGTGACGAAACTAGCTCCAGCGTGGCTATCCGCATGGTACCATCGGAGTGCTTAAGGCATATGTAGAGGAAAAGGGCATAACAGCGGCGAAGCAAGCTGCAATCACAACGCCCTCGCTTAGAAATCCAGCAAAACTAGAAACCTTATTTCTCCGCCCCCAGATGGCGTTTGAAGTCTCTACCTGCTTGCTGCCATGGAGCAGGAGATGATGTTAGTCTGTTACAGGGGTTATAACCCTGTTGCTGATCATGGTCGTAACAACTGGGTGCTTTTCTGTCTGGCTGACAGTAGCAAGAGTATGGCGCAGGCGGGGCATTGTTTGGGGGTTTATAAGCATTTGGTTCAGGATACCAGACTGGATGCGGCCAGACAACAAGTGTCTTGTGAACCGGCAACGATCATTCCACAGCAGCATGGCGGAGCGCCAGATACGCCGGTGGAGCCATGCAGTAAGGGATCATGGGATGGCCCACATGCGCCTCTTTCTAGGTCACACCCACGCCGAGCAGTCGTCTTCTTCATGATCTACGACCCACTAATCCGAGATTCACCGCGAGATGAAGATCGTCCACTAGCAATTTCAATTGCGGGTTTTAAAATATGACGCGTGCGTATATGACCCGAAGGTATCGAACGACCCCTTACAGAATAGCAAAACCTAATCGGCTTACACATATTCTGACTCCTTCTGGAATGGATCGAGATGAAATGAGTGGGAACTCGGGTTAGGCCGTTCGACTGCTCCACAATAGAAAGGTTTTGCTACTGGTTTACAAACTCGCGTTCAACAGCAGCTTCATTGCCAGAGTTCAAGATTCAAAAAAGACTGGGGTCAGACTGTAAGGAACAAGCCAGGTATCGTGCATTCTGAATGTCAGGACTGGATATATAAACTGCCAGGCTGTTACAGACAACCAACAGGTAGCCCAGATGAATCTCCACAACCTGCACACCGTGCGTAAAAGTTTTCAGACCACCCTGTACATTTGAAATAACCTTTCAACCCCATATGGCCCTCGCATAATCGTCGATCATGATTCCGACGGCATTGGTTAGGATATAGAGACTTGTCTGACTTCGTCATAGCCACATGCACCGGTTAGCAACAAGATACAAAGCGCCTGACATGGACAATAACGTCACCAGTCGCGTATATAGCTCTTGGAACGGTAATGACGGAAGCCCTAGCAGCTTAATACTGATGAACATGCTGGCCGCAGTCAATGGCCAACGGAGCCATTGATACCAGTGTTTCCTGCGCGACAACAATTGAGCACCTGTGTATACCTATACTAATGACCCGGAAAGAGCGATAGACTAAAGATAAACGCACACGAGGCACTTCGTGGCACCAAGTTCACCCTATACGATCATCTGTTGTAGGTTGTGGTACTGGTCCAAATTACATGGATCAAGTTCGGCATTCGTATGAATTGTCAGCCCTACCATGTAGAGATATGCCTGTAGTTTGTAAATTACTTTTGAGAGTCGACATGAGGGCCTCTGCTGTGGGAAACACCTGAAGTAGAAGTGCATCTGCGTGCCACATGCATGGATATGATTAGGCTATTTTGCATGGCGTCTTCACACCAGAAAGTCCTGCTAAGCCTATGTAGCTTACCATTCTTGCTGCCGATCTTATCGGAAGGAACATTTCATTTTGGTAAATTCTAGACCCTTGCTTTCAGTTTGGTAGGGTATGATCCCCCTAGTTACAGAATGCCCAGGTACCGAGTAGCTGGATCATAATCGGACCTGTCCTATAGGACCGCCACGTTATTAAAACACAAGAATCACTATGAATATATTTAGTGGGCGAACAAATCCATCGGGACAATATTCGCGCCCTGACGATACTTTTCCCTTGATGGTTCACAATGTGAGCAAAGTATGCCTTCGAGTCTAACCTCCCAACGTTTGGCGCTCCGATGGTTATCCGCTATCGACGACCCCCCGCGCTCACTTTGCTGTTGTGTTTCGCGCCGTACCAGAGGAGCAATTCACTTTCATGGCCTCCCTCCATATGCCTTCGATCCATGACAAGCCTCGCTCTGGATCAACCTCTGTAACCTGCACGATGGTTGAAGCCGAGAGAGGTCGTATAGAGACGCCCACTCATAGAACGGCATTATCAATTGTTAACCCCGTCAATATCCATGTCGACAGGCTCTCTGTCCATGTCAACAGCATTACTGGCGGATGGTTAGCCCCCATGAGATTTCTCAAACAGAAGCTGGGAGGCACCCAGACTGGGATGCAGAATCAAATCTTACATGACGTCTCGGTTACATTCCCAAGCGGAAGTGGCAAGACAACCTTGCTTAATATCCTCTGCAACCAACGATCTGCTCGAGGAACCACCATCACGGGCGATATATTCTCTACGTGCTCTGGTGATATACACTCAATTCGATCCGCATATCTCCGACAGAATGATTTTCTTATCCCATCTCTGACCGTGCGAGAAACCTTACAAACTGCAGCCGACCTTCGCATGCCGTCTGGCGATGCGGCATATCGCTCTCATGTAGTGGATCAACTTATCTCTGGTCTTGGTCTAATGGCCTGTGCGGATACACGAATCGGAGAAGGAACAGGGGCCGGATGCAGTGGTGGTGAAAGGAGAAGGACGAGCCTCGGCGTTCAGATCTTAGCGAATCCCTCTTGTCTGTTCTGCGACGAGCCCACAACCGGCTTAGATGCAGCCAATGCTTATCACATCGTTCAGTTGTTGAAAGATCTGGCAGGAGAAGGCCGCACCGTAGTTGTTGCGATTCACACACCGCGCCCAGAAATATGGGAGCTCTTCGATCATGTCCTGCTACTCTCTCAGGGCCATGTCCTGTACAATGGCCCGAGTTCTTCCGTTCGCGGCTATTTTCAGCAATGTGGCCACTCCATACCCGAATGGAAAAACCCAGCTGAGGTTTTGATTGACCTCGTATCCGTGGAAGCTGAAGCAGACGCCGTATCGATGGTGTCAGTAGCAAGGATTAACAATCTGAAAGAGCGGTGGAAAGCGGCACAGTGTACTATAGTCGATAGCTGCCGAGTTTACCCGTGCAGTAGCTCAGTCGTCCGACATGCTTCATCTACTTCCCGCAATCCACTCGTGTCGCTTTCCCGTCAGCTGGATGTGCTTACGCGGCGCACTATACGGACAACATTAAGGGGCCCTATGAGCTTATTTGGTAGCTTGTCGATCACAATTGTACTGGGAATAGTGACTGGTGCGGCCTTCTATCAAGTTGACAGCAGTGCACAAGGACTTTGGTCTCGACAGGGAGCTCTTTTCTCATTGCTGAATATTTACGGGTACCCACTGTTAGTCTATGAGATTTTTCGGCTTTCATATGAGATCCGAATGTTTGATCGAGAGCGAGAGGACGGGGTCATTAGTGTTGCAGCCTTTTTGATAAGCCGCAGGCTTGCGCGACTTGCTCTCGAGGATATCCCAGGTCCTGCCATATCTTTTGTAGTATTCTATTTTCTTGTTGGCCTCTGGGGCACTGCTGCAGAGCCTTTCCTTTTCTTGCTGGTACTGGTTCTAGCCACCTATATTTCTCTCACTGCCGCAGTCCTTGCGATTGCAATCTCCCGTGATTTCGCAATAGCCGGTCTCATCGGAAATTTGCTTTACACGCTGCAAAGCTTGTCCAGGGGTTATCTAGTACATGTTGACCAAATTTCGCTCTGGGTGCGATGGTCAAAATGGATAGCGCATAATTTCTATCTTTACAGCGCGCTATGTGCAATTGAATTTGTTGGTCCGGAACAGACGCCACGTGGGCATCTATATAGCTGTTCAACTATCGCCAATTCTTCGACCGGCGGCTGTACAGAGTCTTACGGCAAAGATATCATGACGAGCCTAGGATTTCCTCGCGAGTGGATCTGGCAACCTATTGTGGCCTCTTTCGGCTTTCTTATCTTCTACACTATGGTGGCTGCTCTGTTGCTTCAGCGCCCTCAAATGGGAGCTATCATGACTCCGGATCCCCAACTGAGCCGTAGCTCTGACATTATTCGAAATATAGAGCTTCAACCTCTAACCTCAACGCCATGGAACCCAGGTGTGGATATCCGATTAAACAAATTTGCCCTAAGTCTGACTAGGCGAAATTTGAAACCCTTGGGGAGTCGCGGTCATGAACGGCCAATACTCAAACCAATCAACACCACATTCAAACAAGGTGAACTTAGTGTCATTATGGGGCCTTCTGGGAGCGGGAAGACCACCCTAATCCACGCTATCACAGCGCGCCTACCACAGAGGTATCGAAGACAAGGCCAAATTCTCTACAATAGCGATTATCTACCGCCTTCCACGATCAGAACTATGTGCTCCTACGTATCCCAGTCTGACCACTTGCAATCTTTTCTGACTGTCCGAGAAACCTTACTCTTTGCTGCAGGGCTGAGACTCCCTGGATGGATGACAAAAGAGCAAAGATACTCCAAAGTTGACTCCATTATCCATAAAATGGGTTTGACTTCCTGTGCGGGGACTATAGTTGGAGATGATAAGCAAAAGGGTATTAGTGGTGGTGAGCAGAGACGGGTTTCAATAGGTATTCAGCTCCTGACTGACCCAAGGGTTTTGATATTGGATGAACCGACATCAGGTCTCGACGCATACACAGCCGGGTGTATCTTGAAGAAGCTAAAGGATCTGTCTGAGGAGGGTCGGACTGTCGTCTGCAGTATTCATCAGCCGCGGTCAGACATTTTCCTTTTTTTTTTCGAACATTCTGCTTCTTGCATCTGGCGGCTCCCCTGTCTTTGCAGGCTCGGGCGAGGATGTCTTACACTATTTCCGCAGTCATGGCTTTGAATGTCCAAGTCCAATGAACCCATGTGACTTTATCATCGATTTAGTGACGGTAGACCATCGAGACCAAGGAGAAACGCCGAGTCGAACTAGGGTGCAGCAGCTGGTTGAAAAACATACTATTGCTCAAGCAAATACACAAGAGACATTTCCAGTATCGGTCAAATTGCAAGAGCGAAAGGAACTGGGAAAGAATATTAACTCCTTTTCAATCTTGCTTCCTTTAGCCATACGCCGCTCAGCTCTTGGTTTGATTAGGCGGCCATTCCATCTGCTATCACGCTTAGTTCAAGCTCCTGGGATGGCAGCTATCTTTATTATGTTCACATCTCCCCTCTCAAGCAACAGCAACTCTGTACAAACAAGAATAGGTCTTCTCCAACAGCTCCTAACCCTTCTTGTGGCAGGTTTGTTCTCCCTCCTTTTCACTTTCCTTTGATATCCACACCCGGCTAACTTTCATACAAACTAGGCCTCCTCCAAAGCATTATCATATACCCAGGAGAGCGCGATACCTTTAAGTCTGAGCGCAAGGACGGCTGTATGACCGCAATATGCTTTCTCGTGCAGTATACGTGTCTAGAGCTACCTACAGAGGTCTTCACAGCCTTGATCTCTGGTGCGATATTTACCTTCGGCCCGCCAATTCAAGGCACCTTGACCATGTTTTTCATTTTATCGTTCAACATATTCGCAATTATCAACTGCGGTGAGTCCATCGGTATTATAATGCTTTCTTTCTTCGACAATATAGGTATCGGTTTTACCCTCCCGTCGCATAGTATTAAACATGTTAACTGGTTGATAGGTATCAGCACTACCTTGGCTCCGATAATGTTATACATCAACTGGGTATTTGCGGGCCTTCTTAGTACATCTTTACCACGGGTGTTCCAAGTTGTGGCTTACATTCTCCCCTCGAAATATGTTATGGCTAATATCTTGCCATACGCGATGCATGGTCTGGAATTTACCTGCAGTGAAGAACAACAACCAGGCAAACAATGCACCATCGAGAAGGGTAAGGATGTCTTGGACTTCTATAATTTCGATAAGAACCCTGGTTTGAATCTTATGGGCCTTGCGGTGTGTGTGATTGTATATCGTGCTGTTGCGTATTTAGTGATTCGATTTCGATGACCTTCTTGATATAAATTTACTATCATTTACATAGGCTACGCTACGCAATGAATTTCTGCTCTCGAGACCCAATTGAGTTGCCGCCGCTTTATGAGGGTGCTCACTGCACACTCATTCAGTGTCCATTTCAAGGAGCTTTACATTCCTCCCTTCCCCTCGAAGATTCCGTCGAACTAGGCGGGCAAGTGGCCCAGACAACTGCCTCCGCCCATGAATGATAGCTGGCTTAGGAGTATAGCAGATACACCATATATCTGCTTTTTTTTTTTTTTTTTTGGCAAGGAATACAGGTTAGGGGCTCCACAATTACATCTCTTTAACGTTTTCCTGAACGGTAGTTCGACGCTATGGTATATGGGCGCTGAGCTAGAGATGGCCGCACAAAGAATATATACAACCCACAAATTTACCTTCACACGGAAAGTTATAACTCTTCACAGATCTAGTAGAATAGGAAAAACGCAGCTGGCGATTCAAAAGGGAGGCTCGACTTGTATTATAGGAGAAAATATATCCCGAAAGCAAAATTACCGCTACACAAATATAACTTGCGAGCCGCGGTTTAACGTCAATTTTGCTATCTAGGCAGTTCAATCATCTCTCTTCGTCCGTCCTTCCATATTTTCTTCGAGGACATGGATCAACGGAGGGCTTACACTATCATGGACCGGATCGAGAGAGCTACATTAGATGTCGTCTCGACAAACCTAAGCTAGTTCAAGACAATTAAGCTTAGTCTAGAGCTTCGCCGTTTTATGAGAATCCTGAGATCCGTTACCTCACCAACTGCCGGATCGCTTACAACAGGCGAATGCAGGTCTTTCTGGCTAGAAGATCGCTATGGTCTTCCTGCTCATTCCGGACCAAGAGAACCTACTGATGTCCTCAACTTCTGGGCGAACTTTACATCTATGCGACGGGCGATGCAAGCAACGGATCAAAGTCCATTGTCAGATACCATCGGACCAATTCCACTAAACACTGAGTTTATCTTAACTCACCATGATCTCGCCCCGCGAAACATTCTTCTTTTCAGCTCCGGCCAGCTGTGGCTTCTTGATTGGGATTTAGCCGGTTTCTACCCAGCCAGCTTCGAGTACGCAGCCATGTACAACTTTAATGTACCTCAGGACTGGGGTTTCTTGGCCCGTGTATGGTGGTTCTTGTTTATATGGATTGCTGTTGGGTACTACGAGGCAGATGCTCGCTTGTTACGGAGTATGCAGTCAAAATTCAGCCGATTCGCCGTTGGGAGGAGGTTTGAGCTTTTGAGAGACGGAGGGTCTACTAGATATCCCGTAACCTAAACATGCGTACGTCATATCCTTTTATATATTGCGGCTATTGCCCTTAATTCTACTGTATGCATGAGCGCCGTGTTACAGGGCACACGGCCACATCCTATTCGGCCGATGTGTAGATTGCCGACCCAGTATAAGCAATTAACGTGTAAATGAAAATAATGAAAACGACTGCGATCTTCGTCGTGTTTGGGCCATCGCTGCGGGTTCTTTGGGTCGTCTGATGCATACCAGTCGACGCCTACGCGGCCATCTTTAATTTCAACAAGCGAGGGGAAGTTGCATGTTTCTTTCGCCTGTTTCTGATCTCCTAGAATATGTTGTTCGGAAGTATTGTTTTTCCAATGTCTCCAGGCGGTACCAGGGTGCTAAAGTCCGAATTATGTGGCTCGGGCCTCTTCTCTCTGGACAAGGCCAACAAGACCAATTGGTGATTTGGAAAGTGTGCCCCATAATTAGGGTTGGGATAGGACCCTGGACGCCTTCGCTGATCAGTAAGCAATAAGGGTCTTTAGGAACAGCTCGCCACTTGTGGCACATCTCCACTAGACTGCCCTAGGGAACAGTTAATTTAAAAGGCGGAAGATTAAACCGAGTATTCGAACTATTTCGTCATAAAGCGGTCGAAGGAAAAGAAATATAGAGATACAAAGCTCATTCGGTTTGTTTCCTCCCCTGGGCGATCCTAGATTGCACGATGAGGACAACTCAATAATTACGGCTTTAATCCAGCGATTAGACTACAAATCTTCCGTAATCTCCTGAACCAGTGGAACTGAGGGCTCTCCATCATTATCCACCCTGTGGGGCTGGAAGTGAAGGGCGGGCTCGAGCCTCTTTGCGCGCCATTAGTGGTTGATTGAAACAAACCCCCCTGCCAATATGGCTGCATTGGCTAGAAATATATAAAAATACTCACTAACTGCTTATTTATTATTTGTTTAATACAGTGTTCTGAGCTTCGATGATTTTAGCGATATTATCAATAGTATTTACGGGAGATGAAATCGGGCCAGCTGGAACTGTCTGAATATAAATTGATTGATTATCCCAGGTGCCGACAGCTTATAAAACAGGTATAATATACTTTACAATCAGTTTAAATTATAGCAGACACAAGGAGAAGTTTAACTGTTTATTAACTAATTAGAAACTACTTAGAACAATAATAGTACAATAATTCTCTACTATTGCAAGATAGTCTGTTGTGTTGAGGATTGCGACAAAGCAAATATATAGTCTCCTTTCTCAAGCAATTTCCAAGTGCTTGAGAAGTGATTAATTTCTTAACTTTAAATACTCTCTTCTAGCTGATTCCCACCTAATTTAGAAGCGTTTCTCCACTATCAACAACCTGAGAATTTATTTACAAAAGCACGAAAATATCGATAGAGTCAGCAGTGAACAGGCGGGGGGTAGATCAAAAGATAATTGACAAAAGCAATTGATAAGTACTTTCGGAGTGGTTTCGGCTGACTATCAGAGATATTCGGTACATTGAACTCTATTACAGTAATCAGTTAAGAATTAATTACAAAATACTTAACTGTTTTAGAGAAGTAAAAATACAAAGAAAACTAGAATTCATTGACACTGGTATTGATCTATAAGACCTTATCTGACATATTTTACTTATTAATTTGGGCTTGACAATCACGTGCGATTAGCAAGGGTCATCTTATCTCGGGACTAAGGTCGGGTGACCTGTGTACACCCTGACTTTCAATCAAAATTCTTTGATTGTCTGACTCTCGTTTGGCAAAACAGACTCCTAAATTATAGCATGTTCCCTGTATCTCCTCCTGACCCATCTTTCTATATCTGTTGCTCCCGCTAGACAAACCGAGGAAGGCTTCGCTCTCTTCTCTCAACCCGAGAGGGCCCAGGATATGTCATCGCTGCTCTAGAACTCCATCGCCAGGGACCACAACACAATGACTTCAGCCATCCCAAACAGTCACTCGTCCTCTTCGCCACAAGGCAACCCCCAAGGCGAAGGGGACTCGTCCAACTGCGAGAAGCGCAGCGGCCCCCGTCTCGCCCACCGTAAGTCCAGGACCGGATGTCAGCGATGTCGCGCCCGGCGAGTAAAGGTAGGCGGAATCGATTGCTACCAAATCTGGCCTGGCTGATGTAGTGTGATGAAGCGCGACCTGTGTGTCGCGACTGTCATCGTCATGGGATCCCCTGTATTTATGACCGGCCCGCGGAAAAAGGAGCGGCCCCCCCTCAACCTGGATCCAATCTCGCCCATGCGAGCCCAGTCCATCAGATTCCAGTCATGACGAGCACATGGAGCTGCGCTTGCTGCACCACTTTACTCTGTTTACCAGCGCTACTATGCCCGGGGCTCACCTGAAGCGAATCAAAGACTGTTGGTCGATCAATGTGCCCCAACTCGCATTCTGTTACAAACCGCTCCTACATGCCGTCTTCGCAATCTCCGCCCTGCATCTGTCCAAAGCCGACGCGAACGATTCTGGCTTGCCGGATATGCACTACATTTACCTCGAGCAGGCTTTGCGCGAACATCGACTCTGTATCGGCGGCATAACTACGCAGACTGCGGATGCGGTGTGCTTTACAAGCATTCTGTTGCAGGTCAATGTATTTGCTACCTTAAAAGATCGTCCTGCTGCTCCTTATAAACAGGTAAATGAATGGATGCATCTAGTGCGCAGGTCGGTAGCCGTTTTTGATGCGGCCTTGGAGATTATGAGGCATAATGCTCATTCCGCGAATATCTGGTGTCTTATTGATACCGTTCCTCTCCCCTTACGGACGAATTTTGATGCTGGGTCGTTTTCATTCCTGCTTCCGACGGTTCCTGACGACGAGGATGACGAGACAGCGCTAGAAGCATATCGAGGGGCTGTCGCGCATATCAATTCCACCTGGCTGGCCATGGAAGCAAAGGAACACCCGCAAATCAGCTGTCGCCGGCTCATGGTCTTCCCTTTGTTCGTGGCAACTGGGTTCATTGACTTACTCGAGAAGAGGAGGCCGCGCGCTCTGGTAGTTTTAGCCCACTTTCTTGCCTTGTCGGCACCATTACGCGACGTATGGTGGGTCGGAGACACTGCACACAAGTATATTATGGCTCTGCAACGAATCCTTCCTGCCCAGTGGGAACACCTAATGTCCTGGCCTGTGGAAATGATTAGATATCGTGCCCCACAGCAAACTCAAGTCCTTATCTAACTACCTCTGTGATTCCCGCCCGCAGCAGTGCCTTCTCGATCACAGGTATCTTAAGCGGCACCAGCTCTTTTGTCTGCTCAAATGTCTCACTGGCCTCTCGCAAGTACGCTGCAAACGTCCCTGGTCTGATATCCGCATCATGGTGATCCGGATTGTCCCATATCTCAGCTAAATGCTCTCGGCCTGCAGTAACAAGGCCATGCCACACCTTCATTGTGGAGGACAAGCTCAGCACACCTTGGACAAGTGTCTCAGCCTCCTTAGCACGCTCATTGTCCACACCATCCTCCCCGTGTGGCAGGTTCAACAACTCATACTGCTTCCTCCCATTCCAGTCCGGCAATCTCTGTGCCCAGTACGCTTCTGTCACACATTCAAAGAGCAAAACCTTCTTTTCAAAGAACTTTGGTCCATTCCATCTCGTTCTGGGGTCAACCAGATGCCTAGGCCGTTCCAGACAAAAGACCTGGGCAAGGTAATCTGCAAACTGTGTATACATGAACGGTGGGCGCTTTCCGTTCAAGGAGGGTGGTTCATAGACCGGCAGATGTGCCAGTATCGGGCGTGAATGCATCCCCACACAGCTCGTTGCCCCATCCCACAGTGTACGGAAAGTCTCATGCCAATACTTGATGCAGAGACTCCCCCGCCGCGCTGCAATGAACCCGTTGAACAGAAAGGACGACCTTGAACGCCGCCACCTCGTACGGAGTTTCGGGATCTACCAGGGCATTCCGGCACAGGGCGTCCAGCGATCGGAAGAGAAGCATGCCGACGTAAAGCCACACTCCGCCATGAAGGTAGAGCAGCGGCAGGCGGATAAGGTCAGAGCTATGCTGTCCTACATGAGGACAGGTCATTGTTCGATTTTAGAAGACCTCTGGGAGCATTTCTCGTAGAATATACTGGGATACATGGTTGGGCGAGCCCTTGACGAGGTCTAAGACTCGGACTGTCCATTTAGAACTGAGCCGTCCAACCCAGCTAATGACATTGCGCTGGTTCCATTCAGGGCTGTTGGGTAGGCCTTTGTCCCAGAAGGCCCAGACGTTGCGTGTGTCTGAATCTATGACAGGCTTGTACGTTTGGAGGCCGGATAGAATATCGGCGTCAGTGGGGCGGTGGCTCTTTTCTTTTGTTGGAGTGGCCCTCTTGCCTGCAGTGTAGTTTAGAGAGAATCATGATATTCAGTTCATCCAGCATGCACGCAAGAGAGTCGATACCCTTTAAATTCTACCATACATCATCGCCCGACAGGAGACTCGGAGATATGTCTGCTTCCCCATTGTTTCCATCAAAAATAGACCAGCTCTTGTCCAAGATGCCATGCCTACGCGGGATGTGGGCCTTCCACGCCCTCGCAGACGGCATGGGCAGGATGATATCTTGAGTAAGGGTGAAGGTGGGGCGGCGGCGTGGATAGAGATCGAATTCACAAGCACGGGGCTCCCAAACCATTTCTACATCTCCTATACGCCGTATCGGATATATTGTCCTCTTACAGCATTGGGGAGGTATCTTTCTTTCGTTGAAGGAGGCCGGGAGAAGGAGAAAGGTGGGGCCGCTTAAGCTGATCTTGTTTGCTTCAAGCTTTGGTCTAGATAGCCTATTTAGACTTAGCTTGCATGAGACCTCGCAGACGATTGGCTTGGATGGACAAGGATACTCGGTCTCGTTTAGTAGCGTCTCGGCCTGCGTCTTAACTTTATGCCCTACTAGTAGTCTTGTTGTCTACTACTAGTAGTAGATGGATACTCTCTCTTCCACTCTATCCCCAATCCATATCTCCCCATCTCTCCTAACCTACACCATACCAACACCCTCATCTCTTGGACTGAAGATGACATCCAGCCTCCTCATCGCGCAACTCGCCTTCTACGCCCCCCTAACACTTCCAACACTCTACCTCCTCTACAGCCATGGCCGCCACGGCTTCCTCGCCTGGCTCTACCTCCTCGCCTTCTGCGTTCTTCGCGTAACCGGTGCCGCCATGGGCCTCAACGACCCCCACAACGCTGGCACCCAGATAATATCCAGTATCGGGCTCTCGCCGTTGCTGCTGGCGATAGACGGGATGTTGCATGAGGCGTACGTTATCCACAAACTGACCCCACACCGAGCCTGATTTCCTGTCACTCATCGAGAAGCAAGCGCAAGAGCAATCTGTCATCTATTCTCATTATGATATAGGAGAATATACTGTCTATCCCCTAGCAAACGAACCGAGTGGGCATTCATGGCGCTCATCCATGTCCTCTCGCGACGGGGGTTGCAATGGTTGGGGTCGGTGCTGGCGGGCTGTTGAGCGATATGCCTCAGGACAGTGATTTATCCAATATGAAGGTCGGTATGGTACTGTTGGAGGTTGCATGGGTGGTGCTCGTTTTGTGGGGGCTGTGGACGCTTGGGAATGGGAGGGGTGGAGGATGGAAAAGTGGTGGAAACCGAGAGGCACCGGCGGGCTTGGCCAGGAGGGAGGGGGTTTTGGTATGTTCATCCCTTCCTTTTCCTGATCGCTGATATTGTCTGGTTTGGATACGGTGGAATGGTTATGCTCACTCAAGACACCCGAAACACAGCTCCTCACCGGCGCCTGATCGCTCTTCCCCTGGTCGAGATCTCGGTGATATACATGCTTGTCGCGGAATTAACACAGCGCGCGGATCTAAACCCGACGACAGGGAGTTTGGCTGTTCGAGTTGTGTTGGGATTTTTCCCCGAGTTGCTTGCGGCGATTGTTTTGGTGTGCGTTGGCATTATAACGAGGAGGGTGGGTCAATTGGGTGCTGGTCGAGCTGGGCTGGGCCAAGGGCAAAGGCGCCGGCAGAGACCTGCTCATGGACATAGAAGGCGCTCGAACTCAAAACGTGGGGCTCAGTTGTATTCGAGGACACATTAGGGTTCGCATTTGCACTAGACTTCAGCAGAACCCATCCAAAACCGAACCCAACCCGAACCCAACATCCCATTATGCGTTCTTCGCTATAACCCATAACCCACATCGATAGACTGCGGCACGATCCGCAAGATATCCAAATTATCCATATCCGTATCCGCCAATTGGCGGATACGGATAGTATTTGACATCCTCATACCCGTGTGGATATGGATTAGGATAGCAAATGCTATCCGCATGCGGAGGTGTAAACAGTGCACCTTGGAAAAACTTTCATAACGGCAGAAGCAAATAATCCAGGAAATATTATTCAGGGAAGGGCAATGCGTCAACCTTGGAGAACGTATTTACCGAGATATCGGGCCTACATATTCATAGATCCTACGGCCAAGCGCTTAAATGGCTTTCCATTTAGCAACACGGTATTGAATTTGTTAAGGGCTGGCCAAACCCTCGCTTGGATTTCACTGAGGATAAAGAGGATCGTATATTCTTTCCCCCATCTTAGATGTGAAGAGACTTTAGCGATTGGTGGGCTTGCTTACTTTGGAACCATCTCGCTGAGATTCGCGGTGGATCGGGCAAGTTCACGCTTGAGGTCTCTCCCCAGTTTTGCTATTTCGCGATCAGCCCTATCCTTTCACTGTCCCCATCCTCCTCTTCTGTTTCCTCGTCACAGATTGATTGCCGCTCCGGAGATTTCTCTTTCTCCCTTTCACCCACTGGTCCACTCGTCCGGATCAACCATAGAGTGTTCTTGATCAGCTTGTTCCAGGGCTAAGAGTAACGGTTGATTGTTGGCCGTTCTCGCAGCATAATCTTCACTTCCTTCCCGTGGCTTATTTTCATCACTTGGTCCAACACTTGGCCTGTCATAATCCATATTGTCATCCTGCTCTCCTACTTCATGTGTATGAAAACGCGGCTCATGATGACCAGCGGGGACTATTGCATTACTGTCTGCTTGCATTTCCATGTCAATTGCAGTGCCTGAGGGAGATTGCCGCCATATTATCAGTTGCTGTTGCTCTGTGTTCTCTGCTTTGTCAGACCTTTGTCGCCGCCGCTGTCAGGCCTTCTTTTCCGGCTTAAGACGACGATTTTCACGACGTGCTTTCTTTCGGTGAGCTCGCTCTTGTCTGTCATGTCCCTGGACCCCATGTCGAGTGGTGTCGCCCATTGTCATAGGTCCAGGAGAGTGACCCGGAACAAATCGTGGAGACGGAGGCAGTACAGAGGATATACAACTGATTTTTATGGTGTCACTCGCCACCGCACTGCGTGTGAGCGAGCACGATGTCGTGCCGAAGAAGAAGGAATATACACATTGTCGCACAGTGAAGGGGAATACCTTCCCGCCAGGTGGTTGTTCACTATGCATTTCATCGAAGAAAAGAAACCGGCTATTGAACTCTTGTGCTTTCTTTCGTGGAAGTCCACCCCGATTCCTCTTTTTCACCTCTTCCGCCATGAGCTCCGACGGTGGTTGGCAGGCAATAGGAGATGCCTGGGAGAACTATAAACAATGTGTCATAGTGTATGGTTCCTTTCAAGGTTCCGAATATAAGAGCGAGATTTAGAAAATTCAAGCAAGTACACAACAAAGAGTAAAATAAAGCACGGTTCATAACCCATGATTCCTTTCACGGATCGAAGTTGTTTGTTCACGGATCCAAAGAGGCATCCAAAAATTGATCAAACGAAAGTCGATCATATTACTATCATCAGCAATATGATCCCATGGAGATTGGTTCGTGGCGCCAGCACTAAGAACATTATCCGCGGTAAGGCCCACAGGATCGCAGTCATTGTTAAGAACCTCGGTCTTTCTTTTGGGATGCCAAAAATTCCCAGGTTGAAGACCATTCTGGTCACCTGCGACCGAAGGAACGGGGTAGAACCCGGTATGGAAGGTGCTGGCTTAACTAACGAAGTTAGCTCTTGGCAGCTATGAGGTAGAGACTGAGTGAAAGTGCGAGTCTTTTGAACGACCCTAACTGTACCTTCAGGTGGTGGTGGGTTGTGGCTATTGACGGACTCAATGTCTCTGGGTAGCCCCCAGCCCCGAATAGTGCCAACTTTGCGGATTCTTCCACACACCTCGTCACGTTGGTCAGGAACCAGCCACCCGAGCTGGACAAAGCAGAAGTTGACATACTTAGTTCACTAGAAGAGTAAGCGCTAATCTCACAATGAAGGGTTGATCATCCACCTCCGTCAGCTTCTCTTCTGGAAGTCTAACTTTCGGTCCGACGTGATTTGAGCCCTATAGTAATTGGTGTCTGGGCCCAACTAACAGTCTGGAGGTTAAACTCACATCAACTTCTATCATGACAGGAGACATCTTCCCTTTAGCCAGCCCACGTGGATGCACAGCAAGAGAGATAATAACTAAGAGAAATAGGTATAAAGACTGGACTAGGACTTGGAATTCAAACGTTTGTAAAAGATCGTGAATCCAATGAGGAAACACCAGTTGTGGTGTGAAGAGTTGGCGGTTCCTGGAGAACATCGTGGAATGCTAGGGATTATCTCTGTTTATAATGGTCCCGGGATCACTGAATAGGTAGTGAAAAGTGAAGATGTTCAACAAGAGGATGTTCCAACAAAGAGTGTTCAAAAAGAGGGTGCAGTGATGAGAGAAGTTCAAAGCATTGAAAAACAGTACAAAGTGGGATCCTTGCACAGTGAGCCTCTAAGTTGTATGCTCCCATATTTCAAGACCAACATTTATAGATGAAGATACCTTTTGCTGAAGGATGTTACTGGCACGAAGTGTTGTGATTCTGTTGATATGGTTTACTGATCTTGCTCAGTGTCTATCCAGTTCCAGCTCCCTGACGGAACCGTTGACAGGGCTGATCAGTGAGCTTATGCGATACTCGCGGTTTGGATTAGAGGATCGCGGCGTGACAATGAGCAAAAGCGGCGAGGTACTGAGCACTAACACGGGAGATGACAAGGAAAATGAGGAGATGGTGGCAGAAATGCGCTACATAGGTATTCGGCTGATTGAATCTTAATATCTCTGCCATCCAAGCATGCCTTGGTAGTAGCAGCACATGAGTGTTCGCAAAACCATGCTCAACTAGCGTGCACCAGATTGGCACATGCACGGGGAGTACTCTTTTCTATCATTCCAATGTTGAATTCCGCCGGGCGACTCTGTTCAATATTGTAATATCCAGACCGAACGGCCTAGCCTCCGGACCTAATATAGATCACCCATGTGAACACCATCCACAACCAAGAACAATATATGCTATCTTTGCGTGCTCTGTCACGAAAATCAAACAATAACTCACGGTCCCTGCCCTAACGGCGACCACATGGTTGATTCCATGCTTGCCAGGAACTACTTTGATGGAGTGCCGTGATCCCATTCTCCACCTGGATATCCAGACAAGGGTTTGTGGGGCATCGGCGAAATTTTCGGCAACGCAAAGTTGCCAAGCAAGATGCCTCTCGTTCTCCGTCCACTAGACCACACTAGACTGAACAAGTTCTGGCCAATCTTGCCGCTTCGAATACGTAGAATCTGTCAACCCGAGGAAAAACCTGGGGAACGATCCCAGGCTATGTTGGAACCCCGCAAAACCATTCCACGCCTGTTAGCATTTACCCTTCGACCCAAGGATCATCACATCCTCTTTTCTAGGCAAAACCGAGTTGATACAAGAGAGACAAGAATTAAAAATTCGGAACTAGAAAAAAGAAAACCCCCAGATTCAACAGCTCGGCAAGCTAGCACAAACCTAGTAAGGTGCCTGAAGCCAAAACACAAGCTAGCCGATGATGTGCTTGGAAGGCACAGTGATGCAAAGTCCCCGCCAGACGCTCTATTGGCCATACTGTACGATGAACGTGTAGGCGTATACTACAACTGCCGTGCCGGGGATGCGTTTTCGACTACGCTCAGGTTAAAATTAAAATGGTGCGATACGGTACAATTGTATTGTTGGAGCGTGGTATGTGTGGCATGCCGTTTTCTATATAAGAACGTCCACTGCTGCCCCTCCCAGAATGGAGCTGGTATTCTTCTTCTCTCTAGGGCTTGGTGTACCCTATTGATCAACCCAGTCTTTATCTTTTAATCCACGGGGAAGAAGCACACACGAGGAAGACGATTATTCAGAATGGCTGATATTGAAAGGGCCGACAAGGGTCCTAAGTACCAGGCGACTGCGCCGAGCGACGATGACTGCTCGAAGGCATCGATTGCTGTCGGACAGGAGAACCTTTCCGCTGTGACACCGCCACATGAGTCGTTCGAGGGTTACCATCGGTTTGATCCTACGGCGTCTTGGACGGAGAAGGAGGAGAGAGCGGTTGTGTGGAAAACCGACCTGTTGCTTCTCACATGGCTCTGTGTCATGGTATTGATTCATTTCTGGATTTGCCGCAGATCAGCGCTGACACGGTGTAGTTCTTTGGCTTGCAACTCGACCGCGGAAACTTGTCCAACGCACTCACAGATAATCTGCTCGATGACTTGAACCTCTCGTCGAATGATTACAACAATGTATGCTAACGACGTACACTTCTAATGCTGTGACAATCTCCTAACAATGATCTCTAGGGAACCACAATCCAACTCATGTGCTTCCTCGCAACTGAATTCCCCGCACAGCTTCTGATCAAGCGATTTGGATTCAGACGCGTTCTGCCGATTATGATGATGCTGTGGTCTCTAGTTTCTTGGGCCCAGGCATGGATGACCGGTCGGGCCAGTTTTTATGTCACCCGTGCCTTGATCGGCGCATTTGAGGGTGGTTTCATTCCTGGTACTATTCTGTTTGCCACATACTTCTACAAAACGAGGGAGCTGAGTGTGCGGCTCGCTTTCTTCTGGTCGACATTGAACGTAAGTCACACGGGGTGATCCGGTGTCTGGCATGGCTGACACGCGACAGGTTGCTCGCATTATCTCGTCTCTGCTCGCCGCGGGAATCTTAGAGATGCGCGGAGTTCATGGAAAGACAGGCTGGTTTTGGCTGTTTCTGATTGAGGGTCTCTTGACTTTTGTTATTGGACTAGTGGTATGGATCCAACGTTGGCTGTGCCGCGCCAGGGCATGGGTTGGCATATGTGAAGACAGAAGCTAATCTGGTTGCACATAGAGCATCATCTATCTTCCCAGCTCCCCGACCAACACAAAAAGCGTACTCGTGCCCAGACCATGGTACACGGAGCGCCAAGAGGTGATCATGATCAACGTACGTTCCTGCACACAAACTATACTGACCTACGCATCGTCGGCTAACTGATACGATCACAGCGCCTGCTCCGGGACGACCCATCGAAAGGTCTCACCAACATCCACGAACGCGCTACCCTCAACGACGTCCTCCGTGCCTGGAGTGACAAGTCCATGTGGGGTCTATACCTCATTGGCCTTGTCGCCTACATCCCACAGAACCCAGTGCAAGCATATCTATCACTGACCCTCAAACGGATCGGGTTTTCAACCTTCGACTCCAACATGCTCTCCATCCCATCCGCCGTGCTCCAGATTATCCTCATGCTGGCTCTGTCGAGCAGCAGTGAGTATTTCGGGGAGCGCTCTTTCCACTGTCTGTTTGGCGAGTTCTGGTCCTTGCCACTTCTAGCGGCAATGCTCGCTCTCCCCAACGGTGGCCGCGAGTGGGGCCGTTTCACCATCACGACCTTGATCTCCGGGTATCCGTACTTCCACCCGATTGTGTCGGCCTGGATTTCCGAGAACACGTTCGATGTGAAGAAGCGAGCCATTACGGCGGCAACGTATAACGTGATTGTACAGGTGGGATCCGTGATTGCGTCGCGTAAGTACCGCCCCTACCTATGACGGAGGCTCGGAATAGTCAAGCTGACGGAGACCACAACAGAGATCTATCGCGAGAACGACAAGCCATACTACTTCACGGGCAACAAGGTGCTTATTGCGATCTGTGCCTTCGCCATGGTAGTCTTTGTGGCGCAGAGGGAGTTCCTCCGTTATCTCAATCGACAGAAAGAGAAGAAGTGGAATGCGATGTCACAGGAGGAGAAGGTGGCTTACCAGTCGGACCAGGCTGCTCGAGAAGGCGAAGGAAACCAGCGGCTGGACTTCCGCTTCAAGTATTAAGCTCTTGTTGCATGTATTCGTCAGGTATTAATTGAGTGTTTGAGATTCTGGAAAGGTCACTTCAGTAAAGACCCACAAAATCTGTGCCTGTAGCAACGTTCGTGAAATCAGCACCAGGAAAGAGAATATCCTGGGCTGAGGCCCGTAAGATCTGGGACGCGATGTCCTCGGTGATTGCGTTCATCGGCATAAACGATGACCAGATGGGTGACAAAGGGGCCATTTCCTGCGGTTCAATCACTACGCTACTTGGATCAAACAGAAAATTGGATGTCCCCTCGTCATACGTCGGTTGAAAGAGATTGTTTGCGTCTGGGTATTTTGGAATTTGGTTCTGATCACCATCCCCTGGACTCCCAAAGGACATATCACAAATCGGCGCGTAGGTCAAGTCGTTCGCGTCGGCTGGATAAGCAAGTGGGTCTAAACAGGTGGATGCTGTAGTATCATAATTGGTCAACTCGGCAATTCTATTCGCTTGTTGGTCCCAAGCTTCGCATTCCTTGGGGGATGCCCGATGCTTGCTGGTACCATGATTTCGAAGAGGTGTTGTTAACGAGGGTCCAATGATGACCTGTACTTCTGCCATTTTCTGGTAGAGAATATCGACCAATTTCTTGTTTCCTCCGCCGCGAAACGTCGACAGTATCGCGTGGAGACGTGATAATATATAACTCGGACGACTCTCACCATCCCATTGGGGCGAAAGTGGCAGCGCAGCGAGGTCCGTCATGGCATCGGCAAGGGAATTGGCAATCTCATAAATCTTGAGCTCCATACCCAAGCCGTGCGCCTCGACTGCGGACCGGGGTAGCTGCGAGACGATGCTCACTAGCTCCTTGGCGACGTTAAGTGGGAAGCAGAGGGACATGGACCGGTCGGCGGACGGGGAAGACCCCAGATAGCCTTTTGGGGATAGTTTCCATAGAATCATTCGCATCCAATGCCGAGTGACGCACAAGTCGGCCTTCTGTACGTCCGAGATCCGGTCAAAAAGCGTCGATCCGTCCTGCAGATTCCGCTGAAGACCTTCCAGGAAGGGCCAGTCGACACGTCCCACACTATTCACACCAGGCTGCAGCTCTGAATGTTCATCCTGAATAATGTCGAACATCCCTGATTTCTCGAAGATCTGAAAGAGGCTGAGCAGCTTGAGGAAGGCGGGGAGAACATGGGATTCGTCGTTTTCGTCAATCACCGGAGCTGAGATATTCGTTTTCAACGTGACTGGGTACCTATGGAGGATACAAACTCCTCTGTTCCAGATTAGCTGCTGTGGAGTGACCGGAACCATTTCTCAACCGACTCACCGTTCTGTGACAAAGAGTAGCCAAAGCACACGCCGACGCAATTGTTCCTCCTCGAACGACAGGGAATTGTAAGAGGACTCTCGGTGGAGTCCCATGATTTGGGCCATGGAAATGGCTTCTCGTAAGTGCAGCAGCGATTCGCTCCCACCGGGCTTTTGGTTTTCATAGTAGACATGCAGGAAAAAGGACGTCCGGATACTGTTCAGGTTTACCTGGGACCGGTAATGACATGAGTTCCGAGCCCGCAAGCATTCCGCTGCGAACCTCTCGGCTGTGATCGTCTCCCGGGCACTGGGACCTTGCTCTAATCGTAGTTGAGCTATCGTCGCTGCTGCCACAGCAGTCGATAACGCATAAGTCTCATCGTCACTGTGACCAGCGTCCTGTTGAAGTATAGATACTATCTCTTCGACGTTGACAATCGGCCAAACCGGGTACATGCGCACGTGGTAAATGGAAAGCGGAGAGGTCAGGGTATCGAGAGGGATGCGCGAACTACAGTGTGTTAGAGCCGACGGACGGCCAGGTATGTATGTACATTGCGCCAACAGATGCAACCGACCTTTCCATGTGCGTGGTCTGGCGCGCAGGTGTAGTGTTCGGATGAAGCCTCTCGAGCATCGTTTCCGTCGCGCCGTGCGAAGCGTCGCAGTCATTACTATCGCCGCCACCCTGCGCTTGCTCGATAAGGTATTGCGTCGTCGAGCGCAACCGCCTCGGCCCTCGACATTGTTGAACGCGGACATAGGTACATTTGATTTTGGCCTTGATGCAGGACCGACAAGGCTGACCGCCGCCACAGCGGATCTTTCGAATCTTACAGCCGTCGCAGGCGCGCTTGGTCACATTTGGTTTGACAGAGGACATCTTGACGATCAGTTTGGCAGCGTATCCATCACGCAATGTCCAGGGCTAGCTCCAACCGATAAGCTCAACGTAACTCCGAGCCGATCGTACGGATGCCTTTACCGCCTTGAGCGAATCCTGGCGATAAGAATGATCTTCTCACCAGCGCAAGGACAGGCCAGATCGGTGTCAATGTGCGACAGCAGGAACCGTTGATGCGGGGAAATTCAGAGTCAGAAAACGCATTGCATGAGCTAGGCCATGAGAACAGGGGCAGCAGTTGCGCGACGGCCTCCACTCCGCACGCCATCGCTCCACCCTTTGACTTTAGGGCTAAAGTCGCGCCGGTCCTCGACGGCAGCCCCCAATTGGGTCGCGCCGTGGCTCTACCGCGTTGGACGGACTTGAGATACTCGCCATTGGATCACCACCGAGGCACCAGCACGAAAGAGACAAGGCGCATCATGATTGTCTCGCAGAATGCCCCTCCGAACATTTCTCCGTTCTCCATCTCGCTGTTTACCCGAGCCCCGCACGGGAGTCTCTTATCGCTTACCATTCGTCGTTATCAGCAACTGGGAGACTCAGTATTTCCCCCAAAGGACAAGATGTGATCCAAGTACTCGCCGCTGAGTGGACAACGGGTCGGGCTAAACGAAAGCTCTACTCCCAAGCGGTGGCAGAGTGTTTATCGCCGACGCAATAAATTGCAGCGCGGCCGCTCTTCAGAGGGGAGCGCCGTAACACCCGGAGAAGGACACCTGACCCATCGCATTTTCCGCACATCCACTACTCGCAATGGCGTGGCCAAACAAGAATAAAGACATGCTCTACCGTCGGGTGGGCAACTCGGGTCTGCATGTGTCTGCGATCGGCCTGGGAGGCTGGTTAACGTGAGTTTTCCGTGCGGCGGGCCGTACACAAACGATAATATCGCTAACGTTTTGGCGGAAAGATTCGGCGGGCACGTTGACGATGGTAAATTCGATCAAGATCAATAGGACTGAAGGGGTGCTAATCGTGGGCAGATATTACATTCAAGTGCATGAAGCAGGCTTACGATTGCGGTGTCAACTTCTTCGACACCGCAGAGAGGTAAACATTCTTGCCGAGCCGGGAAAACGAGTACGCCAACTGACTGATCATAGCTATGCCAATGGCCAGTCTGAGATCGTCATGGGAGACGCGATCCAGAAGGGTGGCTGGCAGCGCAGTGACCTGGTGATCAGCACAAAGGTAGAGAAGCAGATTTCTGACATTCTGACCAGAAGTTGCTAACTCTCCATGTCTCCTCAGCTAAACTGGGGGTTAGCTAATGGTGAAATCCTCATCAATAACCACGGATTGTCCCGGAAACACATTATTGAAGGTACACGCGCATCGCTCCGACGGCTGAAACTCGACTACGTCGACATAATCTACGCTCATCGTCCCGATCGGCTAACACCGATGGAGGAGACTGTCCGTGCGTTCAACTTTGTCATTGACCAGGGCTGGGCCTTCTACTGGGGAACGTCGGAGTGGTCTGCAGACGAAATCACTGAAGCTTGCGGCATTGCCAAGGCCTTGGGCCTGGTGGGGCCCATTGTCGAGCAGCCCCTTTATAACATGTTAGATCGGAAGAAGGTTGAGGGAGAGTTTCAACGGTTATACACTCGGTGTGGAATTGGTTTGACCACTTTCTCTCCTCTCAAGATGGGGCTCCTGAGCGGCAAATATAACGATGCAACCACCCAGCCTCCACCCGGTTCGAGGTTTGCAGAGAGCCAGGATAGATTTGCCAACCAAGTGAGGAATGACTGGGAGAATAAGGAATGGGCAGGAACTATTGAAAAAATTGTCAAGTTGAAGGTACGAGTCAACATCTATATTTCCGGTGCTATTTTTGGCCCCTAGTTTCGCTGAAAAGCAGACAACTAACGAAGTAATCAGGGCTTGGCCGATAAGCTCGGATTTAAGTTATCACAGCTCGCCCTCGCGTGGTGTCTGAAGAACGAGAACGTATCCGCCGTGATTACGGGCGCTTCCAGACCCGAGCAGATCGTTGATAATGTAGAAAGCTTGAAGCTGTTGCCGAAGTTGACTCCGGAGATCCTTGCAGAGATCGACGATTTGCTCCTAAACCGTCCTGCTCAGGACCCGGCACGCCAGGACTGAGAGGGAGTTGTTTTCGGCCTTTTGAAAAATAGATAAATGTCAGCGATTAACGAACAAATCAAATCAAATGCTTATTCCGAGTTCAAGTACGAACCCAGCGTGTCGAAGCGTCATAATTCATAACTTCGGGCAGATATGCTAGTATTAGCTTCCGGGCTCCCCGAGCGTTCTTTGGTATGACTTCATGCGGTTGACGAGCGTCGGGGACATTCTTAATAAAGAAATCCGAATGCAACTTGCTGAGCCGAAAACTGTATGTCTGTCGACTGTGTACCCCGTAACGCTCACATACATGGTTATCATGAATGCTCAACTACAGAGTCCACCGCGACTCAGAAACAAAATCCGCCTATATAAGCTACGGTTACCTTCTGCGCCTTCCGGAGAGCATGTCGAGCTGGTAGCTAGACAATAGCGGGAATAGGATCTGAGTGGCGTTGGTAGTACGCCGAGTCCGATATGTGCATTGGAGGACCAGATGTCATAGACCATTGTGAGGCATTGTTAGCCGGTTGCGGAGGGATGGGAAACTTACCAACCAACGCAACACCTAAAAAAGATGTTGTTCGCGTGTCTGGAGAAGTCATTGATGTCAACGATGGAGCTTAATTGCCGTGGCTCGGGTTGTCATGGACCCACTCCGGATGCTTCCACAGTAGGGCTTCAAAGCTAATCGGTCTCTCAAGATCTAATCCATTGATCAGAGTGGCTGAACGGCGGATATTGTGGACCGCCTATACGTCGATATGCATCTAGTAAGCATGTCAACGACGTATTCCCCATGACAGTCCACACACCTAGTAAACTTAACCTCGTGGGAGCTGGTCGGTCCAGCACTCGTACTTAAGCATTTGGGTCGCTTCCAATTGACTATCACAATCTTAGTTTAAATATACTCAACTAAATGAATCACATATCATAGTGTCAATACCCCCCTGTTGGAACTAGCTGAGCCACGATGAAGGGGGTACCAAGCTCCACCGAGGCTTCCAGTAGCGTACCGGGGCTACCGGAGTCCTCGCTACAAGCTCATGAGCCCCTGACTCAGAAGCAAGCAGCACTGGATCGCCCGAGGAAGGCATCGGTGCAATCCGTCAATGGCCATCATGGTGGAATGGCTGAGAGCTTCGGCAAAATCACCGAAGTGGTCAAGGCCGCCCGTCGCCCGTTACCCACCGAGACAGGTGATGGAACCTACATCGAACCTGAAAAAGGCGGAAGTCTGTGGGGAGATCTGCGTGCCTTGGAAATCAAAGATGCAAATACCATGAAGGATCTAATTGAAAGCAAGGCCGGTGGTCTTGTCAAGGGCAGTGGCCAGGCGGTAGACGACAAGACGATGCTAATGGAGCGCATCATACAGGTAGCTCCAACGTGCAATGAACAAAACAATGCATGGTGCTGATATTAATATCTTTAGCTTGTTGCAAAATTGCCCTCTGAGTCTAGAAACCGTGTCAAACTTACCAACATGTTTCTAGGAGAGCTGTGGGACTCGCTGCCTCATCCCCCTCTCTCGTAAGCATTTACTCAGGCACACTTGCCCAAGCGACAGTTGAGTCTGACAGATTTTAGATATGTCGGCGACAAATATGTTTACCGCTCAGCTGATGGGTCCTACAATAATCCTACTCTGCCCTGGTTAGGTGCTGCAAACACAGAATATGCTCGGACGATCGAGCCGCTGAAGGTCAGACCGGCCACATTGCCGGATCCTGGCTTGATCTTTGACAGTTTATTCGCACGAGACACATTCAAACCTCACCCGAACAAGGTCTCCAGTGTTTTTTTCACTTGGGCTTCGTTGATTATCCATGGTAAGTGTCCAGGCGATTCCTCTAGCGTCGGATACACCTTTAACTGGCCTCAGATATTTTCCAAACGGGACATCCAGACGAGACTATCAACAAGACATCATCATATCTGGACCTTTCCATCCTCTATGGCGACAACCAAGAAGAGCAAAACATGATGCGCGAATTCAAAGATGGCAGGATCAAGCCAGATTGCTTTTCCGAGCCACGTTTGCATGCGCTCCCGGCCGCCTGCGGTGTTATTCTAGTCATGCTGAACAGGTTTCACAACCACGTAGTCGAGCAGCTCGCTGCTATTAATGAGAATGGTCGATTTACCCCGCCGTCAAAGGATATCATCGACCCAGTGGAAGCAAGGACCGCCTGGACAAAGTACGATAATGACCTGTTCCAGACAGGTCGCCTCATCACCTGCGGTCTGTACATCAATATCACCCTGTACGACTATCTACGCACGATCGTGAACCTGAACCGCGACAACACCACCTGGACCCTGGACCCGCGCGCGCACATGGAACACGATACAGTTCCCACGGCCCTGGGGAACCAGTGTTCGGTAGAGTTCAATCTAGCCTATCGATGGCACTCAACAATCAGCAGAAAAGACGAGGCATGGACGGAACAGGCATATCAGAATATTGTCGGCAAGCCTGGCCACGAAGCCACCGTGCAGGACTTGATGGGTGGCATGAGGAGGATGGCTGGCAGTATCCCTAAAGACCCAGCTAAGCGCGAGTTCGCTGGGTTGAAGCGGCAATCCTCCGGCAGGTTCAAGGATGAAGAGTTAGTGGACGTCTTGACTATGGCCATTGATGAAGTGTCGGGTTCCTTTGGGGCCCGCAATGTTCCCAAGGTTCTGCGATCGGTGGAAATCCTAGGCATGGAGCAGGCACGTAGATGGAATGTTGGATCGTTGAACGAGTTCCGGAAGTACTTCGATCTGAAGCCCTATCAAAGCTTCGAGGAGATCAATTCCGACCCCGAGGTGGCAGACCAGTTGCGTCATCTATACGAGCATCCAGATTACGTCGAACTGTATCCAGGAATCGTTGCCGAGGAAGCTAAAGAACCGATGATTCCAGGTGTTGGCATTGCTCCTGGATACACCGTCTCCCGTGCAGTGTTGTCCGACGCCGTAGCGTTGGTTAGGGGTGACCGATTCTACACGGTGAGTGTTTTCATACTATAAAGCATCTAAGAACATACTGACGCCCGAACAGAAGGAATATAACTCAAGGAACCTCACCAACTGGGGGTACACTGAGTCAAACTATGATTTGGAAATTAATCAGGGATGCGTGTTTTATAAACTGGCATTGAGGGCCTTCCCACAGTACTTCAAACAGAACTCGATATACGCCCATTATCCCATGACAATTCCAGGTGAGAATCGCGAGATTATGAGGAGCCTTGGACGAGAAGAAGACTTCTCCTGGGACCGTCCGTCCTATACGCCTCCCCGTACAATGCTCTTTGACTACCCGAATGTCCGTCGTATTCTCGAGGATTCATCGAATTTCCGCGTGGTTTGGGACGAGGCAACCGGATACGTCTTTGGGAAGGGTGGCTATGACTTTATGCTATCCGGCGACTCGCCGTTCCACTCCAATCAGCGGCGGATTATGAAGGAATCGTTGTATCGGTCACAGTGGCACGAGGCTGTCAAACAGTTCTACCTTGAAATCACCGAGCAGCTGTTGTCGGAGAAATCATGCAGGGTGGGCAACGTCAACCAGGTTGATATGAGTCGCGAGTAAGTCTCACGCATTTCCAAAGATCAGTCCCTGATGTCCATTGCTAACACTACCTTTTCCACTGCAGTGTTGGGAATCTCGCCCATGTTCACTTTGCCTCCAACATCTTTTCACTTCCTCTGAAGTGCAAGGAACACCCGCACGGTGTTATCACCGAGCATCAAATGTTTGATGCTATGTCCATCATTTTCACGGCCATCTTCTTCGACATGGACCCCTCCAAATCATTCCAAATTCGCCACCTAGGTCGCCAAGCAGCGGAGAAACTTGGGCCACTTGTCGAAGCGAACGTCAAAGCTGTGAGCTCAGCCAGTTTCCTTTCCTCCCTGATCGACGGCCTCCGCACGAATAAAAATGCGCTTTCCGATTACGGAGTGCATATGATAAGAAGGCTGCTAGACCACGGCTTAGATGCCTCGGAGGTCACTTGGTCTCAGATCTTGCCCACGGCCGTCGCGATGGTACCAAATCAAGCGCAAGTGTTTACCCAAATCATCGACTACTACCTCTCCGAGGATGGGAAGAAGCATCTACCCGACATCCAACGACTTGCCAAAGAAGACACGCCCGCGAGTGATGAGATGCTCCTGCGCTATGTCATGGAGGCAATCCGCCTAAACGGCACCTTCGGCTCGTATAGAAAATCTCACACCCACCTAACACTCGAAGATCAGAAGAACACGGTCCAGGTTAAACCAGGAGATATCGTATTCGTTAGTTTTGTAAGTACTCTTAATCCGTCGCAGCTGGTCGATCAACTCCGGCTAACAGTCAATGCAGGTCGAGGCCAACCGCGACCCTAATGTCTTCCCAAATCCCAACGAAGTGCAGCTCAACCGTCCCATGGAATCATATATCCATTACGGTGTCGGTCCGCACACATGCTTGGGTGGCGAGGCAAGTAAAGTCGCTCTAACAGCCATGTTGCGTGTGGTTGGCCGGCTGGAGAATCTTCGCCGTGCTCCGGGACCACAGGGAGAGTTGAAAAAGGTCAAACGACCCCATGGCTTCTACACCTATATGCGGGCAGATGAGACTAGTCTCTATGCATTCCCTATGAGTAAGTCGATTTGTGCGTCTGTAGAGGGTCCGCTGCTAACTAAGGAAATAGCTTGGAAGCTCCACTACGATGGTACTATTCCGGGCAGGGAGCGGTCTGTCCCGGAAAGCCTCGTGTGCAATGTTCCTGGACATTGGCATGAGTGATACGATATGCACTCTTTACGAACAGATATGCGGTTAGGATAGCCAAGTTTGCGATTAAGTAATATTTAGTGAAGATTGGTAATTAAGTAGCCTAAACTGCGATTATGTATGTAAAATGGACGTAATATGCAGAAATTCATTTGTTAACATAACTTGCGGATGATGGACTAAGTCAGCTTAGGAGTCCTATAGGAATAGTAATGGTCTGTCTGTGTATGAGGAATGTCTGGGCCCAGACAGCCACAGTGTAGTCCAAATATCTATCAAGGTTCTGTAGGCTAACCTGGAGTTGTCGAGTTCGTCGGAAGTTATACTACAGTTTGGACCATAGCCCGGCGACTATATCTGCAACATCTTGGGGTCTGCTTAGGAAAGGGTGATGCGACGTCTTCAGACGATAGGTCTCTGACGTTCCTAACATTCCAACCATATGCTCTTGAATGGCCACTGGTAGCATTTGGTCCTCTTCCCCAAGGATATATGCAGTTGGAATGAGCCTCCAGGGCTCGTGAGAGGCTGTACCATGAAAGACCGGCAAGGAGGTATGCGTGAGGGATGCGGTCCACCGGTCGCGTTCGGATGGTGTGAGGTCATGGAAGGCGTCTTCGGGGCCGATGTTATTGTAAGCATAACTTCCCTAAAGATACTAAAGTAAGTACGACGGTGACACCGCACAATAGTGTGTTTGCCAAAAATTGAGGTACACACCTCTACTTTTATCCAGGGCATCAACTGTCCCCCGGAAGCTCCAACGAGACTAACACCCTTTGGGACCACAAAGGCGACCACGTATACAATTGTCAACACCCCCCCACTCTTGCCTTGACTCTGGCGTGTGGGCCTTTCGAGTCCCTCAACTGCCCCGGAGCTTACCAGCCCACCGTATGAGTGAGCAACGACAATGATATCATCTCCGGAGTCACAGAGGTGCTCAAGTGTGCCATGTAGCTGGGAGACGTCGTCTTCCAAAGTTTTAGTAGGGGGCTCAGCACCTGTGGATGGGTGCTGCACAGTAATACTTTCGAATCCCCTTTCTGAGAGGCAAGTATCAAGTCCGTCGTAAAAGGCCGGGGTGCTCCAGGCCCCTGGAACCAAGACAACCTTCGGTGTAGGAGTCATCGCGTTAAGCTTGGGAATTGTTATTCAGCTAGTATGTGTCAAAGAACCAAGTCTAGAAAGACACTGGAAAGCTCTTCAGCGCAACCTATATAATACCCAATGCTGCATTCCGCGATTAGCTCCAACATCTCAGCCGGGACCCAGAACAGGCTCTAAAGGTGTCGGAACACCATTCCGTAGCGCTGAGACTACAGCGGGATCTGGTTGATCGGCACAAGGTGGCTAATAACTAAACAGTGGTTGGTACAACTTCCTTCGGCCCGGGGTCTGCTCCATCTTCGGTGTTTGGCAGATCTATCGTGCGAGTCCCGAGAGTTTTCTCGGCAACCACTTCGGCTCTTAATAACGTGGTTTACAACACCTTAACACACCAGGAGTTGACAAACTCCGCAGAGAATGAAAGAACATTTCCTTAATATTGAACTGCATTGAAAACAAAATAAAAATCTAGAAGCATCTCACAAAAGCATGCCTTGGTACGGGTCATCCTGCCACACCCAAGGCCTTACCAAGAATCGCACAGGAATGTCTACTTGTCGCGCACGCATAAACTCCCCAAAGCTCTTAGCAAAGCCGTCTATAATCGATGAGCTACTGACACCTTCCCGAAAGATACCGTACATAACGAAATGTACGGCATGCAGGTGCGGGAGTTCAAAACGCTCTACCCTGTATTCCGGCTGGTAGCCGTCGCCCAGAAGCTTTTGAAAGCACTGGGTAGAGAGGAAGGTCCGTAGCCAAGGCCATTCATCTGCATTACGGACCCCAAGGCCGACATTCGTGTTACCGCCATCATCTCCAGATCGGGCAAGAACAATGGATCCTGTGAAGTAAAAGGGTCGTTAGTCAGAACTGTATACAAAACCACAAAGTGTAGGCCTACTATACCTGGGGGAGCGCGTTTAGCTGGGCCGAACGACTGCAAATCAACAGGATCCGTAGGTTCGTAGGACCGCTGGCCAGCAAATGATGCGGTTTTCAGGATTGGGTCTACTTCGATAGGCAGTTGCCCTTCGACATGGGCCCGTACTTTCAAGGTAGACTGTTGGAAGCGCGCTCGGAAGTACCGGATATAGGGCTTCGGTGCCAACGTGCGCAAGTCCATGTTCCTTTACATCCTAGTCTTAGCACGTATTCTTGTTCGGAAGTAGATCTTTAGATATTAAACTTACGGATGAAAGCGACAGTAGCCCTGCATAGCGCAAAACATGAATGCCTTCGTGAAGTGACCAATTGCCTCCTTGGTAGGTGCCTGAACGAAGTGGCGAATCATGACCGTCGTCTCCTTTTGTGATTTGGGATCATCAGGTACGCGTCCATACACGTCGATAGCAATGGTGGAAAAGCGGGACTAATCTAGGTAATCTAGGATTTGCTTCCGCTGGAGTTCAACCTTCTCCTTGATGTCGAGCCCTACGTCATATGTAGCCATCTCAGCTTGGTAATCTCCAGAGCTACAAACAGCAAGATTGGTCGTAGGGGGCGGCGGATTTCCCTTCACGCCAGTCACACGAACCCGATTTGGGGCCTCTTCTTCAATCCTTATGGCTTCTAAGTAAGACCCAACGTCGGGATTAAGGTAGTTTGGTCCTTGGATTTCATAGACTAATCGAGCCTTGACGGTATCGACTGTCACAGCGCCATTGCTTCTAGGGTGTATCGTGATGACAGAGCTGCCGTCATTGTAAACCTCCGTAATGGGATATCCCACCCGGACAAGATTGGGGATAGACTTGAAGCCGCAGAAATTGCCTCCTCTTGTATAAGGACCACATTCCGTCAAATGTCCAGCAATCAGGCTTCCAGCGAGTCGATCATAGTCCATGTCAGACCAGCCGTGCCACCTAACACAGGTTAATCATTTGCAAGCGCTGCACCGCCAACTGAGGACACTAACCAAGAAGCTAGAGCGATCACCGGAGAGGCATCGCAGCATCGACCACAGATAACTATTTGGGCCCCCGCACTCAATGCGGCAACGATTCCTTTGGAACTAATATACGCGTTCGCTGGCACGATGCGATTCTCTAGTCGTTCAGATCTTGGCCGTCGATATCTAGGTGAGGGAACTGTTCAGCTTTGCCAGCCGCCTGGGAGGCCTGGACATCTGCTGTAACATTGTCGCCGTCAACCCATGCCACCTTGACGTCACCCAGGCCTTTGCTCTCCAACAGTTCCTTGGTTGCTTTGTGTAAGCCGTAGGGGTTGAGGGCTCCTCCATTGTGGACGATCTTGATTCCCGTTTGGGCGATAACCTCTGCAGCATTCTTGTAGTTAAGATGGGTGAAGAATCCCTTTTCATACCCTAGCTCTGGGTATTTTTCCTTCTGGGTCGGTGTCGTTCAGGTTAGACAGCCTGTTCTGAATAGGACTGACTCATGATACCAGAAAGCTCACTTCAAGCGCTCGCCAGGCAATATTCACTTCAGCTAGATAGTCCGCAAAGATGGCGTCCAGAGGACCTTCAGTGGCCAAACGGTAAAGCTCGTCGGGGCCATCGCAACCAGCACCAGAGCTAAGAAGGAGTCAACTATAGACCTATATATACATCATAGGGATATTAGCATACCAATTTCCAATACGAATCGCACGTCTTCCTGTCATTGTTGTGACTAGCTGTAGGACACAATAAGGGTTAGATCCAGACTCCCTGATCTTCAACGGCAACGCATTAATATAACCACTTCTTAACGGAGATCAGAAACCTCCGACCTATGCTGATAGACCTTACATGGTGTTTTGCATAAGGGGCAATTCCACAGCTTTCCACTTGTCCGCGACTCGCCCATCAGATTGAGTCTCGGTCAGATAGTTAATTTGAACCATCTACGTAAGCCTCCGAGATAGGATCATAGTCCTTCTTCAGGTCCGAATCCCTTCGACCGAGTATTATCGGCACAAAGCCTCACAGAAGCACATCCCTTATCTAATTCTATGATTACTTAGAGCTTACCATCAACATATCTCTCCGCACCAAGTCCCGAAGGACCCACTTGGCCAACATTTGGAAGGGTGGGGAACTTACGCAGCACGATGGTCAGTGCTTATGCATACGCTCCCTGCATAAGGCACGCCTAGCAATAAAGTTATCCCCGTATTATATAGGTATCCTTGAACCCTCTCTGAAGAAACAAAGAGACCAGATCTAACCCCCAGACGAAAAGGAACATGGCCTACTCAGTCCCCATAGAATCCGCCCAACTTCTACGCAAGGGTATCTTACAGAACCCTTTGCTCATATCGAACATTCCCAGCGATGCGTCCTCTCTGGCAGACTACGTCACATTCACAGGAAATGCAAACCCCAACATCCCCATAAACTGGCGTTTTGCTGAAAGTATCTCGGCATTGAAGGGGCTCGAGTCCCTCTGGATTAACGCTCTATTGAAGGCGAAGTATAACCATGGTCCGGTGAAGGTTGAGATCGATACGTGAGTACCGCCTTTCGAAAACCTAGCTTTCGTTCCTTTTTTTGCATTTTGTCATATGTCTATGCATTTTCAATTGTTATGTATATGTGGTGCCATTGTGGATTGATATATGCTGTTCAATATGCGGTTAACTAATTCATCTTAGCGACCATGCCACGCTGTTCATCATGTCAACCCTTGTTATTGATGTCGTCGACGAGAACGGGAAATCAGCAGACCCAAATATGTCTCCATTTCAGCGTATCCTATCGATATTTCCCAGTCCAGAGAGGGATCTTGGACAAGCTACCCCTCACCGCTCATCCATCACCAATATCTACAAGACGAAAGATGGACGGTGCTATCATGTCCACGGTAACAATTAGCCGAGTCCAACAGAATGGTCCAAGGAGCAGGTTGTGGCTAACTACTAACAGGCAGTATGGATGCTGGTCCCTCCTCGACAGCACTGGGTCTAGACCCTGATCGCGAAGCCTCCTCAACTGCCGATGCAACGAGTGTTATCCAAGAGCGTGTTCAGCAACTCACCGCTGCAGAGATAGACGAACTGATGAACGAAAAGTACCACCAGGCTGGGACAATTTGCTACTCCACTGACGAATACAAAGCCAGTGAACATGGCAAGGCTAACGCACATATTGGTCTCTATGAGCTTAACCATGTTCCCAACCAGGCTCAAAAGCCCGGCTGGTGGAAGTCAGTCCCAGGTACAGGTGTAGCTCGGCCTCTGGCTGGTCTGAAAGTCCTTGACCTATGTCGCGTGATTGCTGGCCCTAGTATCTCCAAGGGATTGGCCGAGCTTGGCGCGAGTGTGATGCGCGTAACTGGTCCTGGGGTCGTAGATGCATATGCTCTGCATGCTGACTTGAACTGGGGCAAGTGGAATTGTTCAATTGATCTGAAGACAGACGAGGGGAAGGAGGCTCTGCGCAGGCTTATTCTCGAGGCTGATGTTGTGCTGGATGGATACCGACCCGGCGTGATGGAGAAGCTTGGATTCGGCCGGGATGCTGTGCTTGAACTTGTCAAGAACCGGCCATTCGGTCTTGTTTATGCCCGTGAGAATTGCTACGGCTGGCATGGCCCCTGGCAGCATAGAAGTGGATGGCAACAAATCAGTGATGCGGTAAGTCGTGATCCACCTAGGTAGTAGTGGGCTTTATTAACATGAATCTATTAGAACTGTGGTGTCTCCCTCGAGTATGGCCGCGCCACGGGACATGATGAAGCCGTTACACCCATCTTCCCGAATTCAGATTACTGGTAAGAAACTGCAATATCTCATGTACCTCCGCCCTTGGATCCTCTAACACAGCCCGTAGCACCGGGGTTATGGGCGTCTGCGGAGTCATCAACGCACTGATTGAAAAGGCCGACAAGGGTGGATCCTTCTTCATGGACGTAAGTGATTGATACCTTTTCCATTCCTTGTAACGTCAGTTCTAAGTGAGCTGTTTTAACATGAAACAGACCGCCCTGAACTATTACTCCCAGTGGCTGGTGAACAGCGTGGGAGTCTATCCCTCGTCTGTCTGGGAGGATGTCTGGCAGCGGCACAACCGCATCGCCTTCCGCCATAACGATAATATGCCGGCCACCATTCCACTCGTGATGAAGTCACTCATGCTAAACAGCGGTGCGCAGTTGTTCCAGCCGCGCTTCTTCGAGATCCGGCATTCTGGAGCGATTGATCGTTACTTCAAGGTGCTTCGTCCCGTGCTCAACTTTGGTGATAAGCAGGTGGATCTTCGGTTCAACATTGGAACAAGAAGCAATGGCCACGATGCTGCTCGTTGGCCGGAAGACCTACGGACGGAGATAGTCACCAGTGCGTAGTCTGCACAGTTGGTTTCGGTTGGGACTGCGATGGCATTCACAGTGTAGTAAAGACGAAGTCCCCTTACAGATAATGTATCTCATCTTAACATTGGCTTATAAACAGTTTCTATATGTACGCTCCTCCTGGTACATTATTCCATCAGCAAAAGCTCGTTGTTAGATATGGTAGCAACCAGTATGCCTAAATTATATCTATCTACAATTTCCCTCCTTAAATTGGCCCTAACGACGCATGTCGAGCATCCTGGACATTTCGTACAAGGCTCGCTAACAAGGCAACGACGAGAAGCACAATTTTGCCTTGAGTTCAGACCTAGATCAGGCGACGGAACCTGCAACGTTTCTGGCAGCTTTCGGTTGTTGAGGAAATTGGTTGAGTAAATATACGGCGGAGGATTTAGGAGGGCCGAGCCCTTGACGTTACGACCATCCGCATTTTCGAATATATGGCAAAGATGTTCCTCTTATTCTGCGGCGTTGGCCGAAGAGGTATCGGAAAGTGCCTGGCTAATTTGCTGCGGGCTCAGCGGTGCATAGTTGAGAACAGAACCCAGTCGTCACCTAGGTGAAAGAAGTCCGTCGGGTTCGCATTTTCGAAAGAAGCCAGTAAATCTGTCCAATATGGTTCCTCACTCAAGCGATATAGTAGAAAATACGAAATATAGCCAAGATATGCTAAATGGCACACTCACTGGTGCAGCTGCGCAGGTAGCAGCAGCGGAGATAACAAGAGCTGCTAAGATCTGTTTGATGGAGAGGCGCATTGTTATTTGAACTGTTGGAGCCAACGACTGCAATTGGGGGAACTATTCCAGCAATATAAGCTTACCAAAGGTAACTCTCTACCTAGGACTGATATCATGATCCGACCGAATCACAAACCCACATGGCTTCAGCTCGCCGCTTTCCATTCTCCTGGTATTCTCCTGAATGATTTCTATGTTCTCCTCCGTGTTCTCCTCAATCCACGCGTTCTCCTCCGCCGTCAGCGGTGGTGGCAATAACGATGGATCTGGCTTCCACCACTGCTCCTGGAATACTTTCGTTCCATCTGCCCCGCGAAACATGTCTTCTATGTCCTGGTCAAATACCTCCCGGTCCAGAAAAGCTTTGATCAGTCGGGGTGGAAGACCGATCGCGTCTACCACGTCGTAATCCGACGTTAGGGTTCGGAGGACACCATCGGCACGCATGACAAAAGAGGCGGTGCCGTCAGAGCTGGACTTTAGATTGCGCATGATATTGGACAATTCTTGTTGGTCCCGGTGATTATTGGGGTTGGGACCGTAGCGGCCGCTGGCAGCCATTCTTTAGTTTTGAGTTGGACGAGATCTGAGGAGGTTGTTTGGAAATATTTCTGGAGATGGTTTATGATCGATCATACGACGGGCTAATTTACTCTCTATGTACCAACGCAACAAGCCACATGACCGTGTGCAATTGCAGTAAAGCCCCCGGTCTTGGAAACAAGAAAAATAAAGAAATTGCCGGTGTGAATTGAGATATACGTGGTTCGATGGAGGGGAAACGAAACTAGACCGGTTACGCTGCACGGCGGCGCTGTCAAATTGCCACGGAATCTCATTCTTGCAACTCTCCCGGGTGACAGTCTTACAGAGTAGTCGATCATTAGGTAAATGACCACCATCACTTCCCTTGTGGTAGAAGAATCAAATTATGCTTATGGTATTGCCTACTTGACTTCAAGTACCCCACCTTGGTAGAACGCAGCTGTACCACATGAACGGACGACATACCCAATCCTATACAGCAGTATATATCCAACACTGTGTCTTACAAGACCTGAGATAAGGAATTCAAGACATTATATGTCGGACGAGGGTCCCGGAGTACTACTGACCATCGTGTCCAGATATGCATGATGCCTCATGAACATGGTCCAATCACGGTTATAGATATATATATACATACTGGTGGGGATCGTTTAGTAGGCGTAAATCTTTCACGGAGGCTGTGGACAGCAATACACCACCAATAACTGCTACAAGCAAATCAAACTTAGAGACCGTTCAAGAAGCCCTCAAACTGTTAATCACAACTGACCCCGTACCAATGGAATCACCCCAGGGTAACAACACTCTTATTGCGAGAGACACCATGGGGCTGCCTGGGTGCAGCATATGATAGCAGCAGTGGAAGCTCTGCAGCGCGGGTGCCAGGAGCGTCTCCGCGCCATATTCTCATCGTGGGAGCAGGGTGAGCGCACTCGACAACGAATCCGACCCAACACGCAGGCCGCTAACCCAGCAAGTGTCACCATGGCTCAAGGTCTCCTCTCACCGAGGCGGTGACGTGACGCCGATACGCAGTTATCCATCGAATGCCTCTCATGTGTCGGATAACCGTCTCTCTATCCAACAGCCATTTAATACTGATGGAAACACCACAGACTAAGCACCCCCACAGGGATTCCCCTCTTCTCACTCAAACCTAGCCAGTCCTCTCCTGGCAAGTGAAACAGCGTCAGGATCTCCCGCAGCAGGTTTTCTGACCCCCATTGACGAGTACGGCCATATATCTCCGCCTCTATCGGCCACATGCCCTTGGTTGGCACATCCAGACCAAATCGCCGCCTGTCCATCCCTGCCCTCCCCGCTCGACTTGTTACACGGTACAAGACGAAGCTTCTTGGCGGACAACATCAGCCACGTCCTCCAAGTGCGGGCCATCCGTGATCCGGAACGTTTGGCAAGCGGGTGGCTCATTTACGGCTTTAGCAAAGGGCGAGTTTCTCCGGGTCTTACGGCTGTTTCGCAGATCCCGCCATTTTTGCGGCCTGTCCTGCTGCAGATGCCATGCGGCCATCCCGCCGCACTAGACCTCCTTATCTTGCCACAAATACGGATCAACCTCACCGAGAACTGGGAGAAGAATGACTTTAGAGAGGTATTTGACTATATGTCGTGCTGCCAGAAGGTGCGGCAGCGAGGATATCCTGGAGCGCGACGGCCAAGACAATCTCTGTATCCGATTGGTGATTTTTTACGCGTGAGAGTGGGTGGGGACTGACGCCGGATTTTGTGGAAAAATATCCCGGGTTGTTGAAGCGGATGGATAAATGTCGATGCGGTGTGTTTCCGGGTGGGGTCTCATGTTGAATTGGCGATGCGGAAAAGGAGTGGCGCCGGGAAGGAATAAAAAGCACTCTTCGGGTTCACAGCCGAAGAACACGCTGAAGTCATTGCCAAGAATTGGTTGGCATGCATACCGAGGCCGATCTTTACTGGGCTGGGTCGAGCGCTGAATCATTGCTGCACCTTTTGGTAGATTCCATGGCGGTTCTTGCTCACTTAGGGCTAACACTGAGTCAGTGGTAAGGACCACCACCTTGCGGATCCACACCAATATATGCGGGGTGTAGATCTGCATGGTAAATGGCCATTTTTGTGGATGTCTAGAACTCCTCAAGCGAAGCCATTGATAATATACGCCACACCATAGGGCCATATCTCGTGTTGTCCTTGTGTCAAATGGGTAATGAGTTCTTGGAATGTTTGCCCGTGTCACCAGAGGGGCACGATGTTAATGCATCATCCGTTATGCTCGCTAGGTAGGCATAACCAAATGCCGTGATTCATGTCGTGGGTAATCCCGTACAGGAATGACCCGGAAGCATTCCTTTCCTCTAAAATTAACTTGCTGGGCCATCATATAAAAGCGATACAACGGCTCCATTCAGTTGATTGCAGTTGTTAGAACAGTACATTGCTTTGGGAGTTCATTCTATACCCGACGGCCTAGGCACGATGCTGGGTGATGTTTTAGACAGACTATTGACCAATAATTCGGTCACCCTCCTTGTCACGGTGGCAGTGGCAGTAATTGCCTTATATCTCTCCCCCTCCAAGTCAAACCTACCATTGGTGAACGATAAGAAGCCAGGGGAATTCCGATGGACAAACGCCCGCAAGCGCTTCTTGGCCGACGCGCATAATCTCATCAGAGCTGGGCTCGCCAAAGTAGGGTTTCCGACAAGAAACATGGACAACAACTGACAATGACCTTTGGCATGGAATAGGCCCCGGTATTTCGCATTGTGACGGAGAATGGGAAGAGGCTTATTCTCGATGCGAAGTATGCGAACGAGCTCCGAAGCCACGATGCTTTGAGCTTCGGCCTCCACACGGCGAATGATTTCCATGCCCATATAACGGGCTTCGAGCCGTTCAAGCAAGGCTCGAACGACGACAAAGTCTTTCAAGATGCCGTGCGGATGAAACTGACGCAGAGCCTTGGTGAGAAAGCAAACGTGGCTTGCACTCAAATTAGTATCTGACATTGTGCAACAGGGAATCTCACCCAGCCTCTCGTTGATGAAACAGTAACAGCGCTTCAGACAAATTGGACGGACGATACTAGTAAGTATATTGCAGCCACTTCTACTTGGTCCCTCCGGTGGGACTACATAAGATAGATGACCAAATGCTAATAGGATAGCTTGGCATGCGCTCCCGCTTAAATCCAGCATTCTGAAAGTCGTCGCCCAGCTGTCTTCAAGGATCTTTCTGGGCGATCAGATATGTCGCAACCCGAACTGGCTCCGCATCACGGTGGACTATACCATCGATTCCTTCAAGGCGGCTGAGGCGCTACGCCTGTGGCCCAAGGCTTTCCGCGCCATCGTTGCCCAGTTTCTTCCATCGTGTCGCAAGATACGGGCTGAATTACAGGAAGCGCAGGATATTATCTGGCCGGTGCTAGACGCCAGGCGTCGAGACAAACAAGCTGCGATCTCAGGTGGAAAGGAACCGGAACGGTACAACGATGCGATGGAATGGTTGGAAGAATGTGCAAAGGGTCGCTCTTATGAACCTGCTTTCGGACAGTTGATATTTTCCGTTGCTGCCATTCATACTACATCTGATATGCTGACTCAAGTGCTCTATGACCTCTGTGGTCGCAATGAGCTGATCCAAGCTCTACGCGAAGAAGTGATCACGGTAGTGCAAGAAGAAGGGTGGAAGAAGCCAACTTTATACAAGCTGAAGCTCATGGATAGCGTGCTGAAAGAGAGTCAGCGTCTGAAACCGATCGGAGTGGGTAAGTGCTATTCGATGGTTATAACTCAGATCGAGAGAGCTGAAAGAAATTTGTAGTCTCTATGCGGCGGGTTGCCATGGCCGACCTGAAGTTGTCCGATGGTACTTCTATCCCTAAAGGCTCATTCCTAGCCGTATCCAGCGAGCGCATGTGGGACCCTGAGATATACCCTAACCCCCTTGAATTCGATGGCTACCGGTTCCTCAAGCTTCGCGAAGTTCCTGGACATGAGACCTCTGCGCAAACCGTGGCTCCATCACCGGAGCATATGGGGTTCGGGTTTGGGCGTCATGCTTGTCCAGGTCGGTTCTTCGCCGTCAATGAGGTCAAAATTGCGTTGTGCCATATCCTGTTGAAATACGAATTCAAGTTGGCTGATGGGTCAGTGCCCCGGGCTAGGCAGAATGGTGTCTCATTAAACGCGGATCCTATGATAAAGCTCATGATCAGACGACGACAGGAGGAAATTGCTCTATGATTATAAGGGATATTCAGGCTGAGGAGTCTACATTTGACTGGTATCACAAGCGTGTGGTTTAGCTTCATTGATACCTCGAGTCAGGAGAGCATGCAACATTCACATTCCCCTCACCATGCACATGGTCATCCGTTCTCTAAATATTGCATCGCTCATTATGCTGGGACGCAGAGCAATAAAAAGCCGACCTTAAAGGTAATGCCGTATCCTGGAACTATAGCCCTGACTGAAGTAACTGTATATGGAGTTGAGATGGCAATCATCCGACCTGAAGTGCGGTTTTCTGTTTCATGAGACAATATACATTGTTGTAGTATATCGGTAAAAGTAGACGGTATATTAAGCTAGCATGTACCTGTGAGACTAGTAATATTTACAGAAAGAGAGTCGATGGTAGGAGCAACATCAAAAGTTAAAGGGTCAGCATGCTCGATTTTCATGGCGTCTTTATGCAATTGGTGCGAAGAAGCTAAACTTGCCCGTTGGATCGTACTTCTGCTTCAAGGCCTGCAGGCGGCCCTGGCGCCACTTCTCACTTCCATACCATTGTTGCGGTGTTTCGTCGCCGTAGGCATAGTTGACATACGCGCGCACCTCTGGCCGCCCACTGGCCTTATGGAGGACCTGGCGAAGCTCATTGCCTAACTCGGATGCCTTCTTATCAAGCTCTGGACCGGCGGGCGCATACGTGATGAGTGGAGCAGAGAGAATATTCTCGCCTCGAAAAGCGAAAGCACTGGACTTGCTGTCGATTGCTTTTACTCCCTGCATGGAATACCCTTCGAACATGAATATTGAGTTGTTGAATGGCGAGCTTCCGCGGATCGCGTTTGCGAAGATCTCATATGCCTCCTTTTGGGCGGGGACGTTATATTCTTCAAGATAGTTCGGGAACCGGGGGTTGACAAGGCCGGCCTTCTGGCACGGCGGAGATGAAAGGGAGATGCCTGTCCACTCCGCAAGATCGGTGTAGCTTCCTCCCTTTGGCTCTTTAGAGAGTGGGCCAATATCGTGGAACGGCTTTGTGTAAGCTGAGTCGACTACTTTCACACCCTCTTGAATAATGTAGAATAGAATCACCGGCTTGAACACCTGGTTAGCCCGTAGAACGTCTTGGCAAATTGATAAACTCACGTTTTCAGGGTCAGCATCCGGGTTATTCAGCCAGTATGACCAATTGATAACACCCTCGGGCTGAGTACCATTCTTCAGGAGGTGGTCGTTAGCGGCTTGATATACGGCCTCCACTTTGTCGCCACTAAATGTGAGAGTCTCGATCGCCCAGTCGTGATGAACGACATCATAAAGCTTGGTAGTAACGGAAGTTACAATGCCGAAGTTATGGCCAGCACCATTCATCGCCCACCAGAGATCCGACTGTTTATCAAGTGCTTTCAAACTCCCGTCTGCGAGCACGATATTCATAGAAACGAACTGGTCGGCAACGAGACCGTGGTGGCCCTGCAGCCAGCCATGGCCTCCCCCGAGTGCAGGTCCCAGAAAGCTGACACATTCGCAAGTGCCGCTCACTAACTCCATGTCAATATCCACGATTCGTTCAGATGGACTCTCCAGTGTCGACTCACCTGTTTGCTTTCCTGCCTCCCAGAGCCGATCTATAACAGCCTTGGACTTGGTTCCGCCACCAATCCTCACTGTCTTCCCATCATCCGCAATGTGGATGGTATTCAGCTGATCCAGAAAGATTTCAATGCCATGGTCCATTCTACCCAGGGTCGTAATTGCACCATGGGCACCATTATACGCAAGGAAGGGCAAGTCCTTTTCATTCGCGAATTTGACCTACAACGTCGCGATTAGTGATTGATCCCTTGCCAATATGTTTCTATTCAATAGGACAACTCTATGCATGAGTCAGGAGCAAATGAGGGTTTTGAAAAATAAATATACCGTCTCGACCACATCGTTTTCCGTGCCAGGCACTACAACGATATTCACCTTGGGAGCGTCTAAGACAGACCACCGGGTGGACGCCACCTCGAACTCTTCCGAGCCTGGGAAATAGACCTTGGCGGTGGGCGAAAGCTTGATTCCCAGATCATTCACATCTTTCGATCGTGGACAGAGGCCTCGAACCCAATGGCTAGACATCGGCACGTTCTCACAAACCGAGGCAATCGACCACGCAGCCAACGCCGCGACCACTTCCATTTTAAGTCGAAACATGGTGAGAGGAAATCCCTAAAATGTCACCGACCCTGGAAGAGGGAGACCAAAAATACTCAAGACGCGAGTCAGCTTCCTACCGTCGCAAAAATGGTTCTGATCGGCCGAGATGACCAGTCAGAATATGCGCTGTCAGATTTGAGCCCCTGCCCGTTCCACGAGAATGCGGGTGACATTGTTATTATTTATTATTATGCACGCTGTCCATTTTATTAGCCCCCTAATCTACCTTGTTTTTTTTTCACTGTTTCAAGCTAAAGCACCGTTGGTGCCCTAACATGTGCGTGGCCTGAGTCGACGCTTGGCGAATACTACCTCGTCTTTTCTAGCCATGCGAAGGTCCACAAAAGCGTTGGAGTCCGTTCTGCAACCCCTGTCTTGCCCGGACTGTTGACCAACTGCGGACGATGGTAACTCTAACTAGCACGTTGGATCCCCATATCCAGCCCACGCTAATGCCTCCGCTGCGGGTCTTAGTCAAACAGTTGGCCATAACAATAGGGCGACCTGTTCACTAATCGGACCCCTCGGAGGCCGGGTAACCTAAACCGAAGAGGCGCAGATAACGTTGTTTGCGCCCAAGTCTGTCTGAAACGGTCCCTTGACTTGTTGGCCTGTTTAGCAAACGTTGAGGTCACTGGTGCGGCGATCGCAAAAATTGGTCTTGGTCTTATAAGGGCTCCATAGTTGCGGTGCTGCCCTCGTAGCGCTCTACCATCAAAACCCGGCGATATCGCGAACTCATGGTGGGGGGAAAGCGAAACCTTATGTACTATAAGAAAGAGAATACAAGTGACCGTTTGCTCTCTGGCTTGCGCTCTGATTGTCGCTTTATCCAAAATGCCCTTGTAAATCTATTGTCTAAGAATGTCCACCGGAATCGCGTTCGACATCGTGACAAGGGGCGCCGAGGAAGAGGCTGCTCAAGCAGCATTCCACAAGTCCACAATTGAGTCTTGGACACTCTATTCAATTGGTCTTACCGCGACTATACTCAGGACATATGCCCGAGGAAGCGCTGTTGGCTTGAGGAATCTGCGAGCCGATGATTACCTTATCTGGGTTGGGATTGTTCGTGCCCTGGTAGATCACATTTTGCTCACTACTACACTAACACCGATCGTTGCAGCTATTCTACACCGCGCAGACAGCTCTTGCATACAGCGTGGGCAATGTTGCCCACGGCCTCGCCAACAATGGTATGACAGATGCGCAGCGCGCCGGATTGTCTATCGACGATCCAGAATACCGATTCAGGTGCGTCTCATTCACATTAGCAGTGGGATATCATGTCGGTCGCGACTAAGGCTGTTCCCCCATGTAGGGTGATCGGATCCAAGATACAGGTCGCAGGATGGACTACCTATTCAGCGCTGATCTGGTCGCTCAAGCTCTCGATGCTGGCATTTTACGTTCGACTCACGGTAGAGCCTCCGACGACCAATACATCGAGAATGGCACCTGACAATGAATAGGATGGTCTTGGCCGGCGTTATCGAGTCCCGGTTTATATTGGCTTCGCCCTTGTCATTGGGACCTTTATCGCGAGCATTGTAACAATCTTCGCCGCATGCCGGCCACTTCACAAATACTGGCAGATCAACCCGGACCCTGGCAGAAAGTGCTTCGTATCCTCTAGACCATCGAGGCTTCACTAACGGAAGGTTTTCTAGATATTTGCCAGGCTGCAATCTCCAAACCGATAGTCTGGGTCTCCTTCGCCGCAAACGTCAGCACCGATCTCTACCTGATCACGATCCCAATTCCAGTCTTATGGAGCACTAAATTAAAACTGGCGAAGAAGATTGCTTCTACAGTTATACTAAGCGCCGGTGTGTTCGTTCTCGTCTGCGCCACCCTGAAGAGTGTCTTCGTTCTGATAGTAAGTACACCTAACATCCTTATTCGCGCACACGGCGCTATCCTTCTAACCACGGACAGGACCCCCTCCACGGTGCAGAGCTAAGCGGCGCATGGGGTACACGCGAGACATTCGTCGCAGTTATGACGACCAATCTCCCGATGATATTCCATCTATTCAAATCCTGGCTCGGACGCGTTTACGGCAGTGCATTCAACTCAACCCCGACACACAAATACCCCAGTGGATTCCAAAGTATTGGTGGCGGGGGAGGTGACTCGCGGAGTCGGAATCGCCGCAAGCCCTCTAGTGGGTATCCTACGACGGGGACCCTGACCTTGACCGAGAGTGAGGAACGGATGGTGGGCGACGTGAAAATGCAGAACTTGAAGACATACCCTTCGTCTCCAACTGGGACCGTCGCAAGCAGTATTCTGGTCTCCAATCGGATTGAAGTGACCCACGAGGACAGAAGTAGCAGAAATAGCGAGCTGGATCCACACCGGCTGCATGAGACTTGGTAGGGCTGCTATGGTACGTTCAATTGATTTGGATCTGTGGTACCGTGGATTATCTTTGGTAATACTAACGATTGGGTTCTTTGCTGCCAGGTTCGAAATCTTAAGACCCAGGAGAGGCAAGATCTACAACGAAAACAAGGAACTCTCAGGTCCTGGACCCTGGTAAGGCAGCTGGCTGCCAGATGGCCGAGTCTCTCACATGTTACATAACTATAATTGTCATACGTCTTCTTTCATCACTTCACTCTGTGTGGAGGCCTTTTAGTTGTTATCTCGACCCCTTAATGCATGGATAACCCTCTGGAAATCTGTATCTCAAAGTGTAGGCCTTGTGACACCATCCTTTTCTGTGCACAAGGCGACCGTGTGCTTCGTAAGTTAAAAGCTAACGAACCAAGCTTTTCAGTAAAAGTGTTTGACAAGGAATCCAGGTCCTTCTTGAACGTGAACCCTACTTGTATTTTCTGTCGGAAAAGCGCGGGAACAAATTACCGTGTGAAAAATGCAGCCCGAGAACCGATTTCTTCGGAAAGGCAATCTCGGTTGACCGACTGGTTTACTGGCGATGCCGGAATGAGATACTCTCCAATTAGGCGACTGGGTTTCCAAGAAATAGCTACTCCAAAGGGAGATATTACCCGTTTTCTTATTAAAGTTCATATATTCTCCGGGACTTCCAGAATGAAATTCTCCTAACAGAAACTCCGTGACTGAGTTAGTCACAACCGACCCAAAGTGTTGAGTGGGCCATGTGTCAAGAGATCGACGGTCACCAACGCTTGTGTCATTGCCAATGTCTTAGATTTCCCTGACCCCTACTAATACACTAACGTTATTTGGTCTACTGCAACTCCACTAGCATATACTTGTACATATTCCTGGGTCACAACTGTTGACATAAGGGTAGTGCAGCTACGTAGATTGGCTAAAATGCTGTGGCGAGACAGTAAACCAGGGACTGGCAGCATGGAATATTTCTCCAAGGCCAATAGTGACAGCCGGGATCCATCACGCAATATGCGATATATCTTCATGTTGTGCTGAAGCACATGGTCCCCGGATTAAGGGACCAAGTGTGGAATATTCTTTACAGGATTAGCTTTTGGCGTGGGGGTAGCCACAGAGTAGAAGAACAACCGTTGGCTTCGATAGGCGTAGATATACTTTGACCTAAGCTATAGCCTGGGTAGAGTTGCATCGCTCGTCCCAAAAATTGGTCTCGACCCACTCTGGTAACTCTATGTGTAGCCTCGGCCGATGCAGGGGTCATTCCTATGTAATATTTATGAACCTAGGTTAATACCAAGCTCAGGGCTGGCAAACTTGAAGGGGTTTAATGCATATGTACCTCGACATAATGTATTTCAAAGAGCAATATGCACTCTCGCAGACAGTGGGCTGATAGTGTATACAATGTACAGTAGGCTTCCCGAGTAGTTGCAAAGTAGCGAAGGCTCGGATTCCCGCAAATCAATGCCTCCACTAGAATTTGTATATCTTGAACGTTGCGCTATGGCTTATATATCTTTTTCTTTAAAAAGAGAAGGGGGGGGCTTCTGATTTACTGTTTTGTAATTCTACGGGCTATGCAATAGGGTGGACAATTGAAGCAACCGTACGGTTGTCGAGAGAGAGAGCAAAAGGGCTTGAAGCAGACCGTGAACAATTAAGCGCCCATGCCTTATTTTGTAATACCCCTGTAAAACACATTCTGCCAGTGCATAGAATGAGCTAGATCTCTGTGCTAAGCTAAGGAGCGCTCTTGCTTGGCGACCGGTGCCAACCTAACCCCGAGCAAACCACGAGCAGAGTAAAATCGAGTCCATGTTGCTGCTATTAACGGTCTAGTCACACTCTAGATATAGAAATACCCTAGTAAAGCGAGAAACCATAGTAGCATCACATCGGGAGAAGATCTATGGGGGAAGACATACATCACAAGGAAAATGTGAAGGCTTTCGAGGCAAAGCAAAGACAAAGGTGACACAGTTAGAACATACGAAGACACACAATGGCTTGGGCTTACTGAGATTTGCACCGATTAGAAGGCTGGACGTGTGCGGACTGAGCCGAGATCGAGGAGACCCTGATATCCCGTCGGCGTTTCGGGGCCACAGGGCTTATGATTCCTTGGTCCAGCTGCGTGCTATATCAGTGTGCAAGGACAAGAGAATAACCTGTCCTTTACAAAGACATCGGTCTTTCTAGTTGTAGCCCACCACCATGACGTGTGAGAGCCAGCGTGTGTAAGAGACAATCTCCGGACCCTCACACTCTGACATACTGTTTTCTTGCTCGGCCAGCTAGCCACAATGGTGCGACAGGCACAACTGTTAATTTTCTCGACCCTAACAAAGTATCGATATTATGCTCACATTGAAATAATCAAATATTCTTCTGACATGGGCCACGAAAACAGCGTGAATCAGGTTACTGACACTCGGGTGACGTCATGCTTCTCTAACGGACTGGCATGTCAACAGGGCTTGACCTGAACTCCTTCTCGTCTCCGTAAGGGTACGACACGATAAATCTTTTTCTAGTATAGTCGTCACCTATGATTGAACATTCTCACCTTCCCCGTCCAAGATGCCATCGTCAACATCCCCACACCCTGACCCAGAAGGCGTCGAGCCACATCCCGAGAGGCCAAAGAAGGTGAATGGCGACGTAGACTATGTGCGTCGGGCTTGAAGGCGACGAACCTAATGAGAAGTTGTGTATCACTAGGATATGTCGAATGCCAAGGACTATTCTCATGAAGGGCTTGGTATGCTCATTAAGAAGCTGAACGGGTAATCAACTCGATCTTTTTTCCCCTCTTGTTGCTTTTCGGATCGAAGTCGACTGCGTATAGGAACAAGTTGGCAAACATCACCAAGCCTCCAGAATCAATCTAAGAGCTGAAGCTGAAGCCTTCATGATTGAACTGTGAAAATGTGAAAATGTTTAATCAGCTAGAGAGCACAAATTGCGATCGGGGTTTGCCAAATAGCTGCATCGCATGGTTAGATGGCTGACCTTTACCTGGCAGCGAGGGGGCCGAAAGAGACGTGCTGCTGTGTGGTCTCTTCCATATACAATCAATCTATCTCTCTTAATCTGTATACAAACAAATCGTCCATATCGAGGGCTGACGTGCGGCTTGAAGGTTATCTAGTGATTGAAATATTAAGGCTTGTCCGGAGGGTTGGATCACGTAGGATTGACCTGTATTGTATAGAAATATCACCTTGGTCCTTAACAATTAGGTGTCCTTTGTCAAATACAAGGTTTATAGGCGTGAAGATACAGCGACGCGGCCTAGTATCTCGGAGTAGTGCCCGGTGGCGGCCGTACTCGCCTCCTGGAGATACTTCCGCATGCGCCAAAATCGGCAGACACTCAATCCGTTTACATGAGTGATAATGAACGAACGGATAATTTGATGCGGGGCGTGACATTGGGCAGCGTGAACATCAGGGAGAAGACAGCGTGATAGCTCTATACCAAGTAATGGACACCACTTCACTTTGTCAGTACTCATTGATACTCATTAATGGCAGACTTTTGTTCGGAGAGCGAGAAGGCCGACGTCCCGAACGAAAAGCAGCCAAGCCCGTGAAAGATCCTATCGAGAAGATGGGATATCATCCTCTGCATTATTGCCGAATCAGATTCACGGTAGAGCGTTGTCCGGACCCATATTTGATGCGGAATGTGGAGCTTTATATCGTCAAACATAGCATGATCCTTCTCTGCGGGTATGTGATAACACTGCCAAACCCTGGAATCCCCTCCTAGATAATAGTTCGCTGTATGATGTTCCGAGTAATGAAGTAACCCGCGCTCAATAATATCATACTACAGAGGAATGATCATGACCCACACGGGCCCCTAAACGGGTGAGCCGGCCACCAGGAGAGGGCCAAGCCCCACGGGTTATCGGTGTTGGCCGTGACACCTCGCTGTCCGCGCTCGCATTTGAGCTCCGAGGGTGATCAGATCATGGTCGATCCGACTGCATCGGACGGAATCACGATGGAAACAGTATTAGAGCATATGTTTCTTTAAATTCTCAGCCATACGACAAGCAAGATGTGTTTCTTACCATCAATCCTCCATCATCACACCAATCTACTAGCTCTTCATTAAATCTCAACAACATTCTTCTATACCGTCAAGATGGTCGCCACTTTCATCGACATCGACCCTCGCACTCCCCTGCTCAAGCAGCTCGAAGAGCGTCCCGAGGCCGGCTCCTGTGTGCTGGTCAACACTTTCCGTGTTCAGCCCGGTAAGATGGACGAGGCCTTCGCTGCCTGGAAGATCGATGCCGACCTGGCCAAGAAGCAGCCGGGCTTCATCTCTACCCAACTTCACCGCGGCGTCAACGGGAGCGACACGATGCTCAACTACGCTGTTTGGGAGTCGACTGCGGCCCTAAAGGCATACTACGACCTTCCTGAGTTTAAGGAGTCCCTCAACAACTACCCTGATGGAACTGAATGTCGCATTGCTCTCTACCGCAAGCAGCACATCGAGGGTGTCTGCCTTGCCTAAATCGACAGGCCAGGAGATTCCCAGCGCTTTGGCGAGGCTTCTTGTGTTGGATTTCGGGTTTCGCTATTGTTAGAGACCTCAAGTGTTATCCGTCGAAGGTTATATTTTGTCTAGGATTCACGATGTGGTTTAACATTGTACATACTTGTAAATGAGATCAGATCGTGCAAGACGAGAAAACAACCTATTAGACTATCCCAAATTATCTGATCAATCAGGGTGTCTTTATCTGGTAGCTTGTAATCTGATTTCCTGATCAAAGGGCTGTTTAAGTAGCGTGCGAAGTCTAAGTGATAGAAGCTGCTTTCGCTTTTATAGGAGACCTACTGTGATCCGTATCTAAACTCGGTTCATACATAAAAGCGAGGTACACAGGCCGAGGATATTGACTCCTACCACGGAGCTAGATGCCGTAGATTTAATGCAGTCAAGTCGTGCATACCTTCGTCAGTGCAGCTAAAGTGACCGAACCGAATACAGACGTTGAGCTTCCGGTTCGGGATACGGGCAACGACAGCGCCACAGTAGAATTGCGGGATGACGGATGCGACCCGTCCGGACGACTGTCAACCGAAAACTTCATTGGTTGGAAGCAGATCGATAGCCCTCATCTGACGATGTTTTTTATTTGTAATGATTCATGGCCCCCGAATTCATTTCCCTACAGGCCATGCTATTTAAGTTGTCGCTGACACGCAAAGGCGGAATGACTTTTGTTGAATCCTGTGTCCTATAAAGCTACTCGACAGCATATCATATCCGTTTTCATACTCGCACACTTGGATTCATTCCCAAACAACATGACCTTCACCGTCGGCATCGCAGGCATCACAGGCAAGTTTGCGCGACTTGTAGTCAAGAATCTGCTGCAAACCCACGCTGAAGTCCACATTCGGGGCTTTTGCCGCAATGCCTCCAAGTTACCCGACCATCTTCGCAGCTCCGACCGCATCACAACGATCCAGGGTGACTCCATGAGCTTGGCGGACGCTCGGACGTTCGTGCGCGGGTGCCAGGTTGTCGTCTGCTGCTACCTAGGCGACAATCAGTTCATGACCAACGGGCAGAAAGTGCTCGTGGATGCGTGCGAGCTCGAGGGAGTCCCGCGCTATCTGGCGAGCGATTACTGCCTCGACTTCACAAAGCTCGAGCTTGGCCAGCATCCAGCCAAGGATCCGATGAAGCTCGTCAAGGCGCATCTGGACTCCAAGACCACTGTGCAGGGGGTGCATGTGCTGATCGGCGCATTCATGGAGACCTTCTGGAGCGGGTACTTCGGCGTCTTCGATCCCGCAAAAGCAACCTTCTCGTACTGGGGAGAAGGCGATGAGGTTTGGGAGTCAACGACCTATGGCACTGCAGCGGCATTCGTGGCGGCCGTTGCGACAGACCCGAATGCCGTCGGCCTGCAACACTGTGAGTTCTACTCGACATCACCGGTCTGTGTTCCCGGGAGGCTAATTCATCACAGTTCTGGGCGACAGGAAGAACATCCACCAGATCGCCGATAACTTTGCTGATGTCTACGGCAAGAGACCCCGGCTGGTGCGACTCGGGTCCAAAGATGATCTGTATCAAAAAATGCACTCGATCTATGATAAGGATCCTTCGGATATTTATGCATACCTAGCCTTGTACGTTTCAAGTTATCGACTGTGGTTGGAGGTTTTAATGCTGACGATCCAATTCCCTACCACAGATTCTACCAGTATTACTGTATCAATGGACAGACCTATCTCAAACCAGAGTTGGATAATTCGAAGTACCCCACGGTGCAGCCAATAACATTCAAGCAGTTCATGCAGGCCCACACGATCGAGGAGTTGAGTGAATCATACCAGAATGCGGGATCGAACGTGTAGAGGGACCTTGGATATAAAAGTCTTATACTTAGCTAGACAATGTGAAACCTCTGCTTCTCTTACACTTAGTCGGGGTGATACGCATCAATGCAAATGATTCATTAAGATAAACAGAGAGCGTGAGGGCATCTCAGTAGCTCAAGACACTAAGTCAACCTATATGGTAAACCTGATAACCAGACCGAGACCTTTCGAACAAGAGGCGTAGCTGTCATCAAGGTGTTGGAATATAATCGTATAGCCTATGGTAAACCATGAATCCACTCCGAAAAGGCCAAGGGGGAAGTAGGCCGCGCGATGGTAGGCTCCAACAGTCTGAGCTCACTATTACCAAATATACCCGTCGGCGCAGGCTGGAGCTCACTGGGCTGCAGCGGCTCGGCGTTGCGGTTCTCGTTCTCGTCAGTGACTGTAAAAGAGGACGGAGTGATCCGGTTGAGAATGACAAGAAAATGAGTCGCCAGGGCGTCGTGCTGAACAGAAACGCAGGACAGCGTTTGCTTAGCCTCCTCAATGTCTTGAAGCCATGTGATAGACTCAGGAACAGACTGATCGGCCTTCAAATGGATAATAGGGACGAGGACGGCGTGCAAGAGGGCATAACTGAGGTGACCCAGATACCGTTAGTCAATCTTTGCTCGGGAGTGAGGATTATTTGGGGGGATGATGTTGGCACAAACAGGATAAAAGGCAGCGTAACATTGGAATACTGATGCTCTTGAATCAGGCGTGAAGTAAGCTTTATGGTACCACGGGCCAGGTTTAGACCACTAGTACGGCATTGTCGCTCACTTGGTTCCTCCCCTCGGATAGCCTGGCCCCGAGATATCTTCTTCCTTCTAAGCCAGTCCAGAAGCGCTGGGCGATGAATGAGAAGTCGGAGGCTCCGATCACAGAGCATCTGCCGATCGCGTGCGTACCGAGCCCAGACGGGTAGTTCATCCACCATAGTATGTTGCGTACAGAGTGTGAGGTTGTTATGCCAATCGTTAATCATTTGTTCGTATTTGTGCAAATCGAGGACGGTTATTTGATCGGTAGAGAGCATCTGGTGGTTAATACTGTTTGCCATCCGGTGATAGCTAGATTGCAAAATCAACCCGGTATATATTGTCCAATTATCCCGCTCGTTCGGATGGAGCCGGCTTATCTCCGTCAGGTCCTTGATGGGATGTCAGCAGCCGCAATAATGGTACTTTTTGTTAGATAGGATGGAATGGGTACTTCATCGGCTATATTCGATACCGGTTTGACGGTAACCAGTTTGTCTTCCGGCAGCAGAAGGGGTAAACCATGGATCTTTGATGAGCAACTATCAAAACAATACACGCTCCACCAAACCCGTCGCCAAATCTCTTTAACCAAGGGGGAGATATCATCACGAGAATATGTTAACTCCTCGTGGAGCCCCAAGCTGATGGACATCCGAGTTGCAAGGCCGAGAAAGGTCCAGCTATCTTTTGGCTGGCCATACTTTTCGTGGTAGTGACTCATTAGCAATAGCGCCTGGACTAGGCTAATGGAAGGTTGGCCAAGAATAGATAACTGGTCCAACCTCTTCTTTGCTCGCTCAGAGAAGATGTGACCGTAGCTTAAGTCACCATTGTCCTGGAGGCACCATGATCCCACTGCCAGTACCATATCACACAGGATCGCCCAATCGCCGTCTTGGGAGACAAGGCTTCCGGTTTCATATTGTTTCATGAATGTTGTTTCATGAACAAAGGGGAAGATGGTATGGTAATCCTCAAAATACGCTCGAATCAATCTGGTCTCATCAACGTCTGTCATCGAAGGCAGGAGGTCACTCGGCTGTAGGTTCAAACTATAAACATCCAAGGAGCCCTGAGATTCTTTCATCTCAGCATCGGTCAAATCGTCGATTGAATTGTCGGTTATCGGATCTGTTTATCCTCTCAGAGCCGTCACCGACGAAGGGCCAGGAGACGCACCTTTCTGCTGGGAAACTAGAGATAGATCATTTTGAATTGTCAAGCCGACGGGTATATCGGAAACTGAGTCCGGTTCTGTGCTCGGCTGTGAAGGAACATCGAGATCCGGCGAGTCACTCAGCAAAGAACGGATTATGGTCTCCGTGTCACCGCCTGGAAACAGCTTCCCCAGGGCCGCTTCCAGCACTTCCAATCTGCTTTCAACTGCGGTGAGGTGTCTCCGTGTTCCAGTCAGTAAGAGATGTTTCATTGGTGCATCACGTGAGAACATACTGCCGAGTCAAAGGCGACCTCTTCACCTTTTCTGGATACACACAGCGCTTGTTAAGAGCTCTACAGTGTGCACACGACGGTCGAGTTTTGGTGCACTACAACGTGTCAGTCAGGCGATATGACAAGCACGAAAGCAAGAGGCCTGCGAAGAGAAGTTTTACCTTCGCTTTGCGAGCTCGACATTCGGTACACTATGCAACGCGTTAGTGGTTGCGCTCAGACTTCAGTTCAGTACCGGCGAACTGTACGTACAGCAGGAATATGAGAATTCCGACTCAAGTTAACCCCCGTAAGGTCAGCACCATCAGGCATTGTCGTTGGTTCTAATTCACATCAAGGTCAGGGTAGGTTATAGAGATGGAAGAAATGGCGTCCGTGATTTCCGGGGTAGAATTCCAGATGTCCGGTTGGGTCCAAGCCGCCAATCAAGGATTATATCACCTGGCCCGAGTTCCACTATACATGTATCAGTGGCGGTTCCGACCACCCACCGCCTTCCGCCGGTGGGTGATCGGCAGCCTAAATAAAGATAATGAATTTCCTGCTATTTTAAAGCTATACAACCCATAAAAAATACCTAAAATATCTAAAAGTACAGATTCATATATAGATGAGGCCGTTGAAGCTGCCTATATTAAGAAAAATCCAAAGATCGCAAAGATCGCGCGAGAATTCGGGATTCTTTATTGTACACTGCACGGCCGTATCTACGATAGAAGAAAGTCTTGTACAGCTCAAAATATATTAAATAAAACACTAAATCAGTATCAAGAGACTGCCTTAAGACAATAGATTATTAAAATATATAATATTTATCTCCCGGTGACTATATTATTGTTTTTAGAATAGATAAATCTGACTGTACATGTAACGGCGGTATACTATATAGGTGCCTCCAGGGTATTCGGGATCGTTGATCCCGAATTATGATGACCTTTTGGCCTTGTGGAACATCGGGCCCTGGCGATATCTCTTACAGTACAGCGCGATAATCCTATATAGAGTATGAGCTGATTCTAGATATATAATTTTGCTAAAAGTCTTTCTTCTGATCTTAAATTAAGCTCTGTAATTCAAAGAATTAAGGAGAAAAATACTTAGATACAGAGAAGAAAAACTAAAGCTAATGAAAAAAATGAGAAAGCAGTGGATAAGATATATTTCAAGATAAACAGTCATCTCCCACCAGTGCTATATACGGAGAATAAGACTATAGCTTTAGATATAGGATTAACATGGGAATTAGATAATCAGCTTTATTTTATTAATTCTATAGGTGTTTGGTGATGATAATACAAAATGCTTCATATTCTTTCTTTACATCCACCGGCGGAAGGCGGTGGGTGGTCAGAACCGCCACTGATAGATATTCGTCCTCTCAGAACATTCCAGTATCAGAGTGAATTTTTAAGAAAACATGGTATCTTCAGCAGCCATAAGGCGTGAATTCGTTTCATCTAGAACACGCAGCATGCCACCTTATTCTATTCTGATGGGTTGGTGGAGCACTCCGCAACCCTTTTCGATATGCCCTAGAGACAGTGTAGACGAAATGATAAAAGGTGACGCCAAGCTTTCAGGGACATGTATTGTCTTGTTCAGAGTTCTCCTAGGCAAAAGCAGATTCTGGCACTATAACCTAACTCTGACGTTCTTTGACATGTCCGCAAACTCTTCCACACATTCCACCCCGAGTTCTGTCTGAATCTCTACCAATCACAATCATATCATGACAGTACCCAGGTATAAAAAAGAGTGTTTACCCAATATTTCCCTTGATCTCCTGTTGTGAATAGTGCCAGCCTGAGGAGCATGGCCGATAAGGTGCTACCAGTAAGAGGAAGGCTGGTCCAGCGCGAGCGAACATGAAGGTGCCGAGTGAGCGTCCACCTGTCTCAAGGTGTGGGTGGAATCGGTATTCCAAGTACAGAGAGGCAGCGTCATTCACTCAAATAACACATAGACTGACACTGTTGCTATTGTAGAGAACGTAGGTGGACTCCACCCTGGTCAGCCAGCCCATTTGAATTCGCTTCAGCTGGCCACCATTTCAGTGGAGCGTCTACCCGCGGTGGAGATGGAGCCGGATTTCGGCTTGGGGTGTAATTGGTGTAGGAAGAACACAGAGTCAGTGTTGTGTTTGCATCTCTTAGGGATATGCCTCTGCTTCTGGGTTTACCGTCATCCAGGGCTCTCCACTGAGAATTAGCTCCATCATCACAACAAATTCAGATCGGACAATATCCGAGGATGTTCAGGTGGGCCTGTTCTTCAGATTCTGTACCGTCACTATGGGACTGTGTCCATAACTCCAGGAACGTATTAGGTAATGTGTAAGTTTAGTTGCCGATCATATTCCAGGGAAGAACAGTGAGCGCCCTCATTGAACCCTCGGATATCCTAGGAGTCAAGTCCAAAATACTCCCCTCCATTGTATTCACAAGCGGTGGTCCTGGAAGGCTCACGATTGAATAGTACCACTCATAGCGGTTTGCTGAGGGCACCCATTGAATGCGATAACGCCACAAGGATAGACGCGGTATTCTACACGGATACCATGTTTCCGATACGAGGATGAGAACGCCCAATGAACCCCCGTGTTCTACCAATATAGGAATCTGGGTCGTCGATCGGCCTCTCGAAGATTCATTTTTTGCCAATTGTCTCCACCCACGGCCCAAAAGTTCCGATTAAGATCGCGAAGCTTAGTATTCGCTTAGCAGGCTTGGCGAATCATATCGCACGCATGACATCTCCGAAATTTGTTCAGGGGAGCCACACCTCGTACTATTATTAGTGTCCCACACGATTGTCATCGGTATGGACGCGATCTTGCATCCGAACGACCCGGTCGGGCAAGAGATTGTCAAGAAATCTCTGCGGCTCCGCTCGACGCAACCCCAGCGGACTCTTGCTGCACTTCCTCAACATGGATAGGCCTTTTTACGAACCCGTTCACTGGACGAATAACAAAGGAGTTATCGTGGACTAGCCTATATAGAAGAGATCTGAACCATGGAAGAGATCCGAACTCACGAAAAGATATGGTGGAAGGTCCCGTCCCCCATCCAAACTCTTCTTCACCGATGATTATACCCCTGAGGATCGCATTTCAAGGGACCCAGCATTTGCACTCTCAACCTTTTGCGAACGTACTATAGTAAACGAATAACCCAGCTCCTGCGCAGTAGTAATCCATCCTCTAGGACCTGGGGAACACATGGCCCAACACCCCGTCAATCTTTTCGAACGCCAGGGCTATTATTGATGTATATCTAACCATTTAAACCACGTCAATGCTTCCCAGTTCTCACCTTTAATGGAAATGTTTGCATTATTGCACCGGCCGATCTCGGGCCACGATCGCAAATCTCAGCAAGCCACGGAGTTAGCCTGCCCATCCACTCAGGAGCATAGTGACCCGTTTATGGAAGCATAAACCCTCTTTCGAGGATTTAGCTCCGCAGGTAATGTGGGGTTTCCTGGCGGCACATAGCGCTGGCCCCGGGGTATCTGAAGTGGAAATATTGTCGACTAAGGCAATGGCCATAGAAGCGGAATAGGACATGTGGGCTGTCGATCTCGACTGCGTGTAGAAAGACAATCACCGGGACTTCGGAGTAGGGTGCAATATTCCAGCAGTTTTTTTTCGGGGAGGTATAAGTAGCGTCGTGCCTCTCACTCATGTAGGTACCTTGCTTTCAACCCCATTATCTTGTTGTTTGTTGCTCATCCATCATGAAGTTCATCACTGCTTTTCTCCCCCTCCTTGCCGGGGCATCAGCCTCGTGCATCTCCAGCCCTGTCGTACGCCGTGCGGCAGATGGTCTGGTTGACATCAACAAGTTCAACTACACCAAACTCGGCGGCCCCTTGAACTGGTACGGTCTTGATGATGCCAACGAGGCCTGCTCCACGGGAAGCCACCAGTCGCCCATTGTCATTGACAGCGCTGCCATCGATTATGCTGCATCGGGCTCCCTCAAGCTCAACCTGCCCCTGGCTGACGGCGCCAAGTTCGAGAACCTGGGGTCCGGTCTCCAGGTTTCCTTGACCAATGGCTCCTTGGTGGCTAACAACAAGACCTACCCTCTGGCCCAGTTCCACTTCCATACCCCCAGTGAGCACCGCGTCAACGACGAATACTTCCCCATGGAAGTCCACTTCGTCTTCCAAACTGCCGGTAGGTTCCCGACCATCCTCTCTTCTCCTGTAAATAACCGCTGACCATTTCCTTCTAGCCAAGGAGACCGCTGTCGTCGGCTTCTTCTTCCAGCTCTCGGAGTTCGGCTACTCCGTTCCCCTTTTCGACTCTGTTTTCGCACACATCGATAACATTGCCGATGCCGGTACTTACACCACGACTGGCGAGCTGGACTTCGAGGGCCTTCGTTCTCACTTCACTCGCCATGGCGTCTACCAGTACACCGGTTCCCTGACCACCCCTCCCTGCACTGAGGAAGTTGTCTGGTACCTCAGCACCGAGCCTCTCCCTCTCAACGTGCAGACCTACAACAAGGTCAAGAAGATTCTTAAGTACAACGCACGCTACACTCAGAACGCCCTGGGTGAAGACAACCTCTTGGAGGTTGCCGCCCACAAATTGAACTGATTTGGGCGATCGACGATGACATTGGGGGCAGGATGTATATATAAAATTGAGATGTTATTTGGAGTAAGGGAGTGAGGGTGGTTGACTAGGTTGGTGATGAGTTTGTAGCGACGTGTTTTGACGATACCTCCTTATGCTATAGAGAGACAAGCTACGTATAATAATAATTGAATAATCAACAATGTTGACACTGTTGGTATTCCCGCGTAGAAGCGTGATGAGTCTAACTCTAGAGGGTTAGTTTGTTATTGAATGAGCACTAACCGTATCGGGTCATGCGTCGACCCCTGCCAAGATCGTCAACACGGAGCACTTTGAAGTCATCCTTTTGGGATGATCACGCCAAAGTGGTCTAGATACTACCTGGTATGATGTAGAAGATGTGTATTCGCTGCTCGAATGTCTGCAGAACTGTTGCATCATGTCCCTGGTACGGCCTACTCAATGACCACCTCTCTCATAGCCGCAACTGGCTACTTAGTAGTGGTTCGCCAAATATATATATATCTATCCTTGATAGGAATGCGACATACTAGTGCGACGACCAAGTCTGCTCCGAGAGTCACTGCAGTGTAGTATACGTACGGACATCATAATTGACTTTTTTGATCATTATAGTTGTAATAAAACAAACCATGTTGCGCGCTTGAACTGTAGGCACCTGTACTTGAGCGGCTTCTTGGTTGCTTGCTCTTCTTCCCATGGCACGAAGACAGACTCTTTTCCAACTCCCTGCAAGCGAGTGGAAAACAGAAAAACGAAAGGGCGCCCATGACAGCTACGGAGAGGCATATAGACTGCTGCGATAACTTTGTACGCTATCATTGTCCTGAAATATAGGCTGACGGCGGATAAGATTGTTTGTACCTCTACGATTTCCCTCTCAAGGCCTTCTCTCTACACATCACTATGGCCGTATTCGATCTACCATTTGCCCTTCTGTTTACCAACTATGCCTCATAAATGTTGACTATCACCAAGCGCCTCCTGTAGCTAGCGGCGACTTATTCCTCATCAAGAGATTTTACGGGACTTTTGCCCATCCTCCACGGTTCCGAGGGCCGATTATATCGAAAAGGTCAACGGTAGCCGTGGAGTGGTGCACATTCTCAGGAGATTGACAACACCCATTGGCGCTTTGGGATGGTGATGTGGGTCGCATCAGCTTATATCTCCTTCACCGACCCAGCAGCTATATTTCGGGCTCTGGAGACTAAGTTAAGAAAGGCCACCTTGATGCCAGAATTGGTGTAAAGTCCTCGCTACCGCTGAAGGCCGTGGGTTTGGGCAACAGAAGAAGTCTGGCTCAGGGAATTTTGGCAGGAGAGACGATCGCGGGGTGATGAAGGCACCAGAAGGGCTATGTTTAGCCATCAGGCATCAAGAAGCTGGTCGCGTCAGCCGATGTCTATCGCGCTACTCACGTGTCTTCGTTCAGCCCTGGTTGACCACGCTTCCACCCCACACTACCTCGAGCATGCTCTTCAGCGACAAGTAGGGCCTGCGTTAGAAAGGTAAAGATCTTTGCCATCGCATTGGCAAGCCCGGTCGCCAATGCAGATTCATGCGATGCATGCATACCTCCCGGTCGCGATCGGGCTTCGGACCACTTGAGTCAAACAATCTTTTTCCATTGATAAGCTGAGCCGGGGGTTACTATTCCTTGTGCATGGCAATGACTTAGACCATTTGGTTCGTCGAAATGTGTCGGGCGCAGGTAAAATATCGTCCGGAATTGGGCTACTTATTAGCCTTTTCTGACGACTCCCGACTTCGCCCACATTATAGCGGCCGTGAATGAAATCTTCCCTGTTTGCGCGACAATGCACAATGTCGAGAATACCATGAAGACAACATTCACAGACTTCATTGAGCCGGTCGCAAGTCGACGAAACCTCGACAATTGGTAACCGAGGAGCGCGCGGAGGTAGTGAAGTTTTGCGCCTATGACCATGTCCATGTTACCGACGATGACACCTTGTGGAAAGTGCCCGCCTTTAGTCGTCGACAGCGTGGAGAACGGTTCTGTCGTCCCGCATGCTGCAGAAGGTGCCGCATTGCCGTGTGGTGTTGGAGTAAAATTGGGGATGTTGCGGTGGGTTTCCCCGCGTGTACAAGAATCCGGGAAAAAATGCCCGGGAACAGAAGGCAAATGGTGCCGCTGGGGGGAAGGAAAAAGTCCCACTCTCGTCGAATGTTTGGCGATCAGGTCACTGTGGGTCGTTGATCGGACTGGTTCATATTACCTACCCTATGGGAATTGTGTTGACACGGTTCATTCAGGCTATTTCCTTATGGTAATCTCGTCAAGAAGTCATGTCTCCGCCGAGCACTCCTGCAACCCTAAGGTAATTTTGTACGGGGTGAAATCGGTGCTGAAGTCGGACCCCAAACTCCAGTAATTTTTTCAGGCGATTACTCGGACAACTTTCGGTGACTAAGACGTGTGTATTATAAGGCCTAAACAACATACTTGTAAGCAATGATGTCGAAGGGAGACGCGGTTTTCCACAGCACACGCGTTGCAGGGCGTTGTTAAGGCGCAGACGGAGGGTAGTTTGAGTTGGACCTGTACATCGGAAGTCGAGGTGTATGTGCGGGTGATTGTCTCGCGCTCTATATCTATTGTGAAACTATGGCTGGCCATTCCTTTCCTTATGGGTGAATCTGTGTAGGTTTATGGAGGCGTACGCCGGGTGTTATTTGCTGGAAGATAGCCTATGTCATGATCCAACGGTAATGCAGCAGGAGTGAGTACTGTTGGTTTGAGATCGGGGAAGAACGTTCGATGCGCCCGTTAACTATGAAACTTCCTCTGGAGGCCAATTGGAGGTTTTAGGTGGCCATTGGTTGGTTAGTATTTCCCAACTCGGGGTGCGAAGGGACGGAACGTGGATCCTCTTGGCGATTTCCTGGATCCATAACGTCAAAGTGCCGTAAACGACGCACCGAGAACGTGTGTTGGAATGGGTTCAAATCAATTCGAGGACGGTTTGCAGCGCTCCAACATAAGCTGTTTTACTACGGGAACAATTACTGGACTAAGGGTGTGATTCCATATTATGATCAGGCGAAACAGCGCATCTCAAGGGGTATTGTGGAGACCAGATGCAGGTGCGGAGACACTTTCAGAGAGGATGAAAAACGGTTCCCCTCATGAGGGGAAGCTGGAATGAACCAACCTCCGCAAAGAAGTTTGTTACTCCTCCAAAGCTGCAGCTTGCTGTCTAGACCAGCCGGCGTAGATGCGGTCTGATCTCATGATGTCCGAGATATGTCCGCCTATGCTACACCCCTCCTCCCCCTTCCCCTCGTGGCCTTTCCTTTAAATATAACAGAAGTCCTCGCTGGTCTCAGGAACTTTTTTTTTGTATGAACCAGACATTCAATTAGTCCTTTGTTAATCATCACAATTCAAAAGCACCTTTTCAAAATGCCTTTTGCTCGCTCCGTTTCTCGTTTGATCTCCAACCCGGCTTTGAAGGCTAGCCCTGTCAGCCGGGCTGCCCGGACGTTCTCCAGCTCGGCGAGCGCTCAGAGCAAAGTTCTTATGGTCCTCTACGAGGTTCGTCTCATATTCCTCAGGCCTTCCTGATCGTGGCAGTCCCGCACTGCTGCCATGTCCCTCCCTGCCAAGCACGCTAACATTGCCTCGACTTCTAGGGCAAGGAACACGCCAAGCAGCAACCTCGTCTTCTCGGTACCGTTGAGAATGAGCTCGGCATCCGGAAGTGGCTCGAAGACCAGGGCCACACTCTGGTGACGACTTCCGATAAGGACGGCCCCAATTCCAAGTTCGAGAAGGAGCTTGTCGACGCCGAAGTGATCATCACCACTCCGTACGTCACTTTCCCCGTTCCGGCCGAGATTGAGCTAACTGACCCACCACAGCTTCCACCCCGGATATCTCACTGCGGAGCGCCTTGCCAAGGCCAAGAAATTGAAGATTGCCGTCACCGCCGGTATTGGCTCCGATCACGTCGATCTCAATGCCGCCAACAAGACCAACGGTGGTATCACCGTGGCTGAGGTGACCGGCTCCAACGTGACCTCCGTGGCCGAGCATGTTATGATGACGATTCTGACCCTGGTTCGCAACTTCGTCCCCGCCCATGACCAGATCCGCAATGGCGAGTGGGACGTTGCTGCTGTCGCGAAGAACGAATTCGACCTTGAGAACAAGGTGGTGGGAACCGTCGGTGTTGGCCGTATTGGCGAGCGTGTCCTTCGTCGTCTGAAGCCCTTCGACTGCAAGGAGCTTCTCTACTACGACTACCAGGCACTGAGCCCTGAGGTCGAGAAGGAGATCGGCTGCCGCCGTGTCGCAGACCTTGCCGACATGGTTTCCCAGTGTGACATCGTTACCATTAACTGTCCTCTCCACGAAAGCACCCAGGGCCTCTTCAACAAGGAGCTCATCGCCAAGATGAAGCCTGGTAAGTGTCTTTTCTCCCTGCAATGTTCTTACTCTTTTACTAACGACTCGACTCAGGCTCGTGGCTCGTGAACACCGCCCGTGGTGCTATTGTTGTCAAGGAGGATGTCGCTGAGGCCCTCAAGTCCGGCCACCTTCGCGGATACGGTGGTGATGTCTGGTTCCCTCAGCCCGCTCCCAAGGATCACCCTCTCCGCTACGCCGAGCACCCATGGGGCGGCGGTAACGCCATGGTCCCTCACATGTCTGGTACTTCGATCGATGCTCAGGTCCGCTATGCCGAGGGTACGAAGAACATTCTGGACAGCTATTTCTCCGGCCGTGAGGACTACCGCCCTCAGGACCTGATCGTCCACAAGGGTGATTACGCCACCAAGGCCTATGGTCAGCGCAAGTAAATGTTCTTGCCATAACATCGTCGACCTTTTTAGCGTGTGTGCCATTTTGAATCCGGGTGTTTGTCTGTCTTTTCTTGGCGTTCTTTCCTATTTTTGCATCTTATCGGACATAATTGGTTTATGATATGGCCGTGCAGCAAGGACAAAACTAGAATTGCAAATATCATTCTGAATATCTTATCATTCATACTCAACTCTATTAGACGTAAATTCTGGGCTGAGGACAGTGACGACTGGCAAAACATAACTTTTCTACACGCTGACTCGCAGCCCCAATATCCATATAGATAGCCAAGAGTGATTCTTCTAGTGGGCTTACGGTTGTATCGGCGGCCTGAGTATTTCTGTAGGTATTATTGCATCCTAGAGCGCTTTGCGATGGTATCGGCCAACTAAAGACATGTAGAGTTTTGGATTTAACCTGATTGCGTACAGGATGACCTACCTATGGCTAGGGATATAAGTAAGTAGCACACAATCCACTGGATAACCGTCGTTTACTGGCCATACCCGACACCGGGCACCTCACCTGGCTACATCATAGCGTCGATTTCCGACCAATATGTATCTCATAGCATTACATGCAGCTACATATTCCCATAGGTATGTTGCTCTATCAAATCCCATTTTTTTATTTGGATATTTCCTTTTGTCACCACGAGTATTTGCAATGTCGATGGGCTAAGAACAGGTTTTGCCAAATACGTATCATCTGAGCAACTGTTTCCTCCGGGCCGGCATCTCTTCTAGAGTATTAGATCATAGAAGTACTCCCCAGATATCTACGTATTCGCTATTCGCCATGGGCAACGGGATAGGATACACATAGATCCCGACCAGGCACGTATATTGGAGTGGCACGTTCCTGCTCTCAGGGATAGTTGTTATGATACGTTCTATATTTGGATAGTAGAAACGAAGTAGACCTTGGGACGCGACTCGTGAAGGCCGATGTCGGAAGCATTTGCTGAGCTCAGTATTTCTAAATCTTCCGGGGTAGTACTTTGCATATTATCTTTTTCACGTCCATTATACCGTGGAACTCCTCATCAGTGAGCCCTAGACCACCTCTAGCCAGGATATCCCCTAGAACGAAACCTATGAGCATAACGCCCCGTAGCTATGTTGAATCACCTTTCGTTAGCCGAACGGCCCTCGTATAACCGTAAGAGCTCAGTCAACCGTTAGAATCCGCGTTTGTCCGAAGTGCTCCTTGAGTGAGCTTCCCCTCTTTTAGCAATGCGACTCAAGTTTACACTCAACTTCCAAGGCGGGTATGCCAAGGCACCATCTCTGCCGTGTTCCGTAGCCAACTCGTGTGGGGAATATCTGGGGTATGGAGAAAGTCCGGGGTATGGAGAAACATAGTTTAGGTCTAGCGTTGGATGCCTTTGTCCTCAGCTGGAATGCTCTGTTACCCGGGCAGTATAAGTAGGGCCTCCTGGATAGCTGAATGAAAATCAGGACCTCTTTCCCCCTTGATATAATTGCTTCGTCATTACACAATCAGCAGGAAGCCGTGCTTCGTTGAAAGACCCGTGAGACCATAGCTCCCATGAAGCCTGTTCTCTAAGGCAAAATCTCTACCACCCGTACACTCTTTTCCTTACATACTATCCGCGACTCATTCCACTATGGCCATGGCAGCGACAACAGATAAACAAAATACGGCCGCATCTAATCAGGTGGAGAACATGGATGAGATGAAGATCGAAGCCGAAGAGAACTATGCCGCGGAGCACAGGCAGCAAATGCAATTATTGAATGCCCAGATTGTCCGCAAGGTAAATAGGCCGCATGGTGGAGATTAGCTCTGCGCTCATATATCACTACAGTATGATATATGGGTACTGCCTCTTGTGTGGGTCTTGTATGTCATTTCGTATCTTGACCGTGGAAACATCGGCAATGCAAAGACTGCGGGGGCGCAGGAGGACCTTGGTCTCAGCAGCTACCAGGTATGTTAAGTCACCGTACCATCATTCCGAGCTATTGATAACACTCCAGGATAGTGGTCATGGGTACTCAACTCCTTTTACATTACATACACCTGTCTAGAGTGGCTAGTTCTTTGCTGGAAGATTTTCCCAGCCCACATCTACGTGACAGTATTATGTGTTCTGTAAGTCCAACACATGAAAGGGACTGACTGGTATGGTTGATCTCAACGAAGCATCCAGCTGACAACCGAAGGTGGGGTGTTTGCGCAATGTGTTCAGGGCTTGTCCATAACATGGCAGGGTTGGTCGCCTGCCGAGTCGGTCTGGGTATTCTGGAGGCAGGATTCGGTGCTGGCGTACCGTATTACCTATCATTATGCTACAAGCGCCACGAACTGGGTACTCGCGTGTCTATCCTTCTTGGATCCAGCCCGATTGCCAACTGCATTGCAGGTGCAATTGCGTATGGGATTTCCCAAATTCGCTCCCACATGGAGCCCTGGAGGCTAATATTCCTGATCGGCAAGTGACCTAAATCTAAGAATCCGCTTTCAGTTGGATTAAATGCTAATTAAACTATGTTAGAGGGGTCGCCGTCGATTCTTATGGCTCCCTTGGTCTGGTTTCTACTTATGGATTCTCCCTCGACGGCAAAATTCTTCACCAACGAAGAACGTACGTTCGCAGTAGAACGCATGGAAACCCGCGACACAACGCGCAAGAGCTCACTCTCCAAGGCTCAGTTATTCGCCGGATTGACAGATTACAAAAATTACTGCCACGCATGTCTCCATTTCTGTTGCAACTATTCCTTCGCCGGGCTATCCAACTTCCTTCCCACCATCGTCCATGAGATGGGTTATGACTCCGTGCAGGCACAAGGCCTCACTGCACCGCCTTATTTCGGGGCGTTCCTATCCAGCATACTTGTTGCCTGGCTCTCGGACCGCTATGGCTCGCGCGGCTGGATGTTGGCCATATGCGCTAGCGTCGCGACCGTCGGCTACGCCCTGTTAGCAACGCAGACAGGAACGGCCGTGCGGTACGTAGCCATCTGGCTGACAAGCTGTGGTATTTTCCCTGCATTGGCGATCAACATGACCTGGATGCTCAATAATAATGCTGGGGATACCAAGAAGGGAATTGGAATGTCATTGCTCGCTATTATCGGTCAATGCTCTTCCTTTCTCGCCTCCTTTATGTATCCCAATAGCGCTGCGTACGTGTCCTTCGCTACCCCCTACTGCAGCCCTATCTCTCAATATCATCATTGATATGTACTGACCCGCGATAGACCATACTTTGTCAAGGGAACAGCCATTGGCTCCGGTCTCACGGGCATTATTGTACCGGTTGGATTGGTCCTTCATTTCTCCTATGCTGCTGAGAACAGGCGTAGAGATCGGGAGTTCGGACCTGTGCCACAGGGTGATGGCCCCATTGACGTTAGTGCTGTTGGCGACAAGCATAATCACTTTCGCCTGTTGACCTAAGCAGAGAATGTACTGTTGTTGCTACACAGTTTGCATGGGGCCTTGGGATACATATACCTGTGGTGCGGATTGTGAGCTATTTGTGATCAGAATGATTTTTCGAACGATGATTCTAGGCAGCATACTGCAATCTCCCCTGTCCTATAAACACACATGTAATCAATCACAGATGCCGATATTGTCCTAGTCATGGCGTAAGTTGGATGATGTCAAGAACGGTCGGAATTAGCAGTCTTTGGAATTCCAAGAGAATTCCTCTCCAGTAGCTAAGCATAATGAAGTAAGGCTTGCGCTCGGGGATCTACTACATCTGATGATAAGTCCTTTCCCTCCAGTTTATCGCCAAGTATGACAAGCACGAATATGCACCTAAGTGTCCTCGACCTGGGGCATTGAGAAAACCCTCCCAGTCCACTCCAGAGTGACCTGTGTGAATATGTCATCTTGGTTTCTGATCTACGTTCCAGGCTCGGAGGAGGAAAGGTGAGTGTTCCCTTGGGTCCACTTAATGGAAGAAGAGTAGTTGGCGGCCTAACAGTGCGCGCCCTCCTTCTCCATGTTTTCCACAACACTTAGCTCAAATCCTGCATGGCTGTACCTTTGATTGGAACACTCGAGAAGCCATTTTGCTCTGGAATGTATGCATTGATGTTTAACGCAGCTGAAATGAAAATGCATGTGCTCTGTACTTATGTGAAGAAGAGTAATATACTGCTCGGTGCCTTTTGGCTGTTATCTTGCTCTGGCCATCTCACGTCTTCAGATGTAGGGACCTATATTGATTGATCTACATGTGCTGTATGCATCTCTATGCATAGGAGTATCTTCTATCGTTATCTTTGTCATTCATTCTCTTAGATTCTAAGCAGTCTCGGGAATTGTGGGCCGGTCTTAGAAAAGGTAAACGGGGGCGCTAGCGGTAACCTTATTATGGACACCACGCAGCTTTATAAGCCGTCTAATCACATAACTAATCATTAAATACTGCACAGCATATAGGGAAGTGGAGTAGTATAGTGGTGTGAATTTCCCCTTTCGGAGTGGTAGCTGTAATGGGCCGTTCCAAACTGTTTGATCATCAGGAATTTAACCTCAAATTAACCTCATCATGTGTTGCAGTGGCCCTGCGCTAGCCAATTGCACACTCCATAGGGTGCAGGTTATAGTAGATCCTGTTGGTAGACTTCTTCCTTCAACATATTGACATGTAATCATAATCCAGTAGTGCTTAGAAATACAGAATGTGAGGACTGACACAGTGTAAGGTCTGGCAAACAGGAGGAATCGTGGTACATCAACACTATATAATGGGGTACCTCAAGCCATAGATCGCATATTCTTCACACCATCGCAAAGTCCTTGAACACACAAGACCAGAACACTCAACCCGAACTCTTTACAAGATCCCTTTACCCAAAATGAGCTCAAATCCGACCTATTTTATCACTGGCGTAAGCCGCGGCCTGGGTAAGGGACTGGTGGCTTCTCTTCTACAGCAACCATCTACCACCATCATTGCCGCCGTTCGCGATCCCACCACCAAAGCTTCCCAGGCACTGCTCGACCTCCCAAAGTCCGCAGACTCTAAGCTCATCATCGTGAAGCTCGACTCTGCGAACGAGTCCGATGCATTCGCGGCCGTCAATACGCTCAAGACGGACCACGGAATCACATCCGTGGACACCGTGATCGCAAATGCTGGCATCTCGCACTCGGGCACGTCCATCAGCCAGACCACCACCGCGGCAACCCTGGACCATTTCTCTATCAATGCTATCGCGCCTGTGACACTCTTCCAGGCTACTGCTGACCTGCTTAAAGCTAGCAGTACGGGCCGTCCTGCATTCATAGCCATCAGCTCGGTTATTGGTTCTATTGCTGGCATGGATCAGATGAAGAGCTTCCCTGCAGCCATGAGCCCCTATGGCGCGAGCAAGGCGGCTCTGAATTGGTTTATGCGCAGGCTACATTTTGAGGAGCCGTGGCTGACGAGTTTTGTCTTTCATCCTGGCTTGGTGACAACTGATATGGGGCTTGCTGGGTTGGAGAGTATTGGTATCCCTCCTGAGGCTGTAGGGGCTATTTCGGTTGATGAAAGTGTTACCAACATGTTGAAGTTTATTGAATCGGCTACTAGCGAGACTAGTGGGACGTTCAGGAACCATGACGGTTCTATCCTTCCCTGGTAGTGTGGAGGTTCTGTTAGGCTAAACGCCACTTATTGCTTTTGTGGGAATGCCAACCGTTGAAGTTGCTAAATTGGGTCAGCGGTGTCATTCCAAGGCCATGTCCTCTCTCAACATCATATAGATAGGTCCACTCAACTCAACAGGAATTCAAGCATCTTTATCTGTCAAACATATTCGTTCTACTTTCTGAACTGTAACTCAATTACTTGCTAAACTCTCTCGGTTTACAGTGTATGTATTTCTATAATCACACCCCTGGGAAGGAAATTACAGTAAAAAGAATTCTAAAGCTTCCCTTATCACCCTGTAGTCGGTCTTAGTAAAGTATAGGGAATATATTGTCACATTGATCTAATTTCTTTTGTCTTCCGTTCTGACAATAGAAGTAATTCAACACTAATAGTGACATATCCCAGGGTACTCTATTCCCTTCCCTATCAAACACAGGATACATGACTAAACAACAAAATATTAACTTGCAGCCAACGTCCTTCACCATATAGACATATAATGATAAAGGTAAATCAAATACTGAATCAAAGACCCTACAGGCAACCCAGATCGTAAGAGACGCATGTGAAGAAGTCGGCTTATCGAACTGTCTGGGTTTGTTCAGAACAGCCGAACCCATACAGCTGTTGCAGAGTGCCATCAATGTCTACTTCACTGTCGTGGCTATTGGCGTCATATAAAATCCCAAACCAGCCTCCTAATTAGCGCGCGTAGGAGTCCTACATAACTAGGATCACTAACATTGTGGCGTATAATGGATGCTTGAAATGTATTATTAATTTATCCTTTATATCAAGCCGAAATTAATTGTATAGTGTATGTATATGCTCCTCAAGGTAGCTTATGCTGTCAAATCACGACAGTAATTCCACGCCGACCATAGAGAGAAATGAACAAAAGAAAGGTATGTATGTAAAGTAGTTAGTTCTGGCCGGGGGAAATACACGGTCGATAGGTTAAGCCACGTTGTCGAGTAACATAAGCTCACCATATCGGCCGGGCTAGTTGGCCATACCCCAGCGAGGCGCGTTCACGATGATGCCGACTAAACAGCCGGAGATGATACCGGCGCAAGGGAGGGTGATGATCCAACCCATGTAGATCCAGGCAACCATTCTCCAGTTGATCGTTCTCCAGGTGCCGTTGCACAGGCCAACGCCGACTGTAGAGCCAGTAATACACTGGGTGGTGGAGACGGGGAGTTCTGCAGGCACGAGATGTTAAAGACCAACGCTTCAAGGGGTTTCAGAGGTGACATACTTAGCCGAGTGGCGATAATCACAGCGATGACCGCACCGAGTTCCATCGTGAACCCACGAGAGGGAGAGTGCAGTGTCAGTCGGTTGCCTAGGAAGCTCATGATATGATAGCCATATGTCCAAATACCAATGACGATGGCAGCACCACCAAATACACTGGGCGATATCAGTTAGCGTGCGAACTCTCCTGCATTTTAACCAATGAGACTTACAGAACCCAGATGGGGACAGGAGTCTTAGCGCCGTCAAGGGCGCCACTTTTCCAAATAGCATAGATGGTGGCATATGGACCAACAGCACTAGTCATGGTTAGTATCGGTCTATTCTTGGTCTAGCGAAGTTGGGAAAGCTCACTTAGCAACATCATTGGCACCATGGGTGAAGGCAGCGGTAGAGGCCGTCAGAATTTGGAGGAAAGAAAACATGTATTCTGCTTCGTTATCATAGTGGGTAGAGTGTGCGTGAGTCTTTTCGAGGTCACCCGCAAGCTTGCTGTCCTTCTTCTGGGCGCTAACAATGTCCTGCTCAAGACCACGGAAGAGGGCCTTCTTGAATAGCCAGAACATAACTGCAGGGGTATACCAGACTCCCTCAGGACGGGGACCGCAGACGTTGATGACATCTTCATCCGCATGGCCTGCACCATCTACCGAGCTTGAAGTCGCGTGGGGCTCTCTCTTAAGATCGGGAGAGGAATGCTCACTATTGTTTTCGACATCGTCAGATCGGTCGGCTCGCAGTTCGTCCATGGTTTTGTGACCTTCATAGTAGTTTCGAACGGCCTTCACATGCGCAGGGCGAGGGGCCACTTCCCCACGGCGTAGGAGAAGAGGGCCTTGGATGATATGCCAGGGCGTGAGTTGCCAGTCGCTCATGATGACCCGGCGGTAGAGCCAGGGGCAAAGGAAGACAGCAGACAGGACAGAGACACCAGCACCAACACCAACCACAGTACCAGCAATCTCACCACCCCCGAGCTCAATTCTGCTTTTACCACCCTTCCAGACGATAAGCACTGTGACTTGTCAGGTATCTAGTCAGGAAGGGTCTAAGGGCAAGGGGCACACATACTAGTAAGGAGGGCGGAGGTCACGAGGAAGTAGAACGGAACGGTATACAACGCCTTGAGTGCAGAGTTCCGACGCAGCAGGATACCATACTTCGTGATCAAGAAGATCAACGCAGCAGCCACACCGGACAACAGAGGCGCGATAATCCAGGCAAGGAACACCTGGACCACGCCAGAATTGATATCACCACCCCACCAGATAATATTATCGGCTCCAAGAAGAGCGATGCCCATTCCCAGAATCCCTCCCAGAATGGAGTGAGTTGTGGATACTGGGAGACCAATCTTTGTACAGATACTAAGGTATATGGCTGAGCCAACCACTGCACAGCACATTCCAAGCATCAAGAGGGGAGGATTTTCTTCGAATAAATCGACCTTGACAATTTTTGTCCGGATGGTGTCAGAAACACTGTCTCCTACGCCGACACTATAGAATCCTGTTATCACTACCAGATCCAAAAGCCAGATGTCAATAGTGAGCCAGGGGCAAGCTTACGCTCCAGCAAACTCCATGATAGATCCCAAGACCAAGGCCTGCCAGAGCTTGATCGAACGCGACGAAACAGACGTCGCCCAGGAGTTGGCAGCATCATTGGCACCGATATTCCAGGCATCCAGAAAGGCGAATATTGTCCCGATGGCGAAAATGTAATCGTATTGATGAAGAGCCATCTTGGTGGATGTCACACAGCAGGAGAAACTCCAGGCCGAATCTTCACTTTTTGGGGATTTTGATGGCAGATCAGGGAGGGAAAGGCAACAGACGATCCGGATCAGACCTTTATATTTGCGTTCGCACTATTATAGTGTTGCTACGCCTCCTGAGCGTTTTCTACATACATGAAATGATGCCAAGAGGCCTAAGACAGTCCGGCTCCGCCGAGCTGCCAAGCCTTCCTCTACTGACTACCCGCCGACTAATCCAACTCCACAGACCAGCACGTGTCCGACAGTCAATCTTACCAGCATCGCCAAGCCCGCTGAGGCCTCAATCACTCGCCTGCATGCGAGCCACGCCACAAATACACTAGTTTGCGGGCGAATGCTTGGAGCGGTGCGGATACGATCCATGTGCTCAATCTCACGCTTCCCATTGGCACAAAGCGCAGTCTCTTGGCCCCGGATTAATCTTGAATGCAACCATGAAGCCGTTTAGCATAGTTTTGTTGCATGAGAAATCATCCAAGGTGGTACTTGGCAGAATGGGTGTATCTGATTCCCTCTGCAACAGATGCCCTCTTATAGCCCTAGCCAGCATCTGATGCTCGAGTACAGCTTTCCCATTGGTTTCGTCCGAATCTACTCACGAGGAACCAAACGCCATTTCCTCTCTGGATTGGATGTTGGTATCAGGTGCATTGTTCAACAGGCTCGGATATTGAATCTCAATTTGGTGATGTCGCGTGCCCAGAGTTACAAGACCCTCTCAGCTCTTCGACCTGGCCCTGGAGGAGTTGGATATACTCCACCGCTGTCTCGAGTAGTTTTACCTAGCCAAAAACCCCCGAGTAAGTACAACATCCGTTGTATCATGCGATTAGCAGGATCCTTTGCATTCACACCTTTGTGCCATTCGTTCCCTCATCCCCCACGCCGCCCATCTTCATTATGCGCGCCATTTGGTCCAGCGCGACTTTCATGCGATCCCGTTGGCATTTCTGGGCGTCAGCATGTTGCCTCTTCCGACATTTAACCGAATTAGACACTGCCAGAATGTTGACTGAGCCTGCTCCGACGAACCCGTGTTATCCTGCTGATGTCGCCTCATCTCTCATACTGACATCCCACACATGCGTTCTAGGAGTCACATACCTTTCGGTCTAATCTCGACCAGCTTTTGTTCTCTAGTTCGGGGGCAAGGCAAGCTCGTGTATTTCGAGCCAGTTGGGATGGGGTACCCGGTTGCAAGCACGTGCGACATGGTTGGTATATAGCAAGTATCAGCGCCAAGTTCGGATCCTTGGGAGCTCCTGAGCACCTCTGGCCGATTGGGGCAGCTGGCCGGTATATATAGCTGCGACATAGATGGAGGGATCTATTCAACAGACTATCTGTTATTAGTCATCTTAGAATATAGCGTAACCCACGGGCGAGCGGCCATCTCAGCAAGATCTCTAGGCGTCTTCCTCAATGAAGCTATTCAAAACACCAAAGAATCTGCATATCCATAGAAATTTCGAACGGTGTAATACTTTGGGCGTTGAGTAAGTTCATCACCTGGAATTCATCATACTAGTAACATTATGCAATATTCATCAAATATCAAGGAGGTGCTTAGTATGTATAACTATACATTTTAACATCTACTCCGGGATTAATCACTGAGCATAAAGCGGCCCTGAGCTAGTCCCATTTCGGAAAAGGAAAGCTGCATCATGCTTGATTCTTGAACTAACTTACTTGGAAGTTGGAAGTTTGAACGCTTACGTGTCCGTAAAAGAACAGCTCCTAAGTTACTGACCTCCAGTTCTCTTAACCCAGTACTATCCTATACTACAATTATCCAGCCGACACACATGGATTCCATCCATCTGAACCAGACCTTTCACCACTCTACCACAACCCACAGGTACCAAATCCGATGGACCTCTCTTGGGCATAATGCCTTGCCACCTCTGATCTTCGTGCACGGCACCCCCTGGTCGTCCCGTGTCTGGGATACCTACGCACGATCATTTGCCAGATATTTCCATGTCTATCTGTTCGACAACCCTGGCTTTGGCGAAAGCCCCCTTGGCCACCCACTCCCGGGCAAGGAGGGCGTCATTACAAAAGAAGTCGCCTTGGATGCCGATCTGGCACAGCAGTCGGAGGTCTTCGCTGCGCTCTATCACTACTGGGCTCTAGATTGGAAACATGACAGGGCCCATGTCATCGCACATGATCATGGAGGGCTGATGACCTTACGGGCTCATATATTGCATGGCTGCGAGTACGCAAGCCTGTGCCTCATTAATGTGGTTGCGTTGGGGCCATTCGGTCAGCCGTTGTTTAAGTTGGTGGCGGAGAATGAGGAGGTGTTTACCGCGTTGAGTGGCCCGGTTTTTGAAGGAGTTGTGGAAGCGTACATTCGAGAAGCGGCATATACTGAACTAGGGAGGGAGACGATGGACATGTTAAAAGGGCCGTGGGTCAGTAGTGAGACAGGGAGGAGGGGCTTTGTGAGGCAGATGGTACAGGCAAACAGTCGCCATACCGACGAAGTCGAGGGGAAATACCCAGATGTCGGCAAGAAGATGCCGGTCAGGATTATTTGGGGCAAGGAGGATAGGTGGATTCCGGTGGAGACTGCAAACAGACTGAAGGAGAAGCTGTGCGCTAAAGATGTGGTAGTGATTGAAGAAGCGGGGCATCTAGTGCTGTACGACCAGGAAGGAAAGCTAGGGGTTGAGTTGGGCTGGTGGCTGGGCTCTTTAAGCCAGCAATAGGAGTGATACCGTATATATAGGAATATATGCTAAATAATGAACAGCTTACTGTGTATTTGAGGTAAAGATGGAGTTCTTATATCTTGGGTATGTACACCGTGTTTCTATCATTCGGCCTGCACCTGAAATCCAAACTAGCCCTGCTAAAGAGATATTCAATCCGGACGAGCACCGACAAAAGCTAATAATCTCCGTGGAGGTATTGATGTTGCTATATGCCTTCGCTTTGATCTTTCTATTATTTCCAGTCTGGATGGATACGCATAATGTACCTACTAATTGGCTTAGAACCTGAGGGATTCGCGATTGATATCTACGGGACGGCGGTATTGATGTCCTAATTCGCTTATTGTTTCGGTAAATCCGAGGCTGGCGTATACACTTATGACAGCACGCCGAAAGGTCAGGATATATAAGAGCGCTCAGCTGTCTCCAAAGTGGCCCAAAACCTTTATCACGCCACTGTTATTCTATATTGTCATACACAGACACCTAAGTTACGATGTCTGTTCCATTTAGCCACCATGCCAATGCGCAGGCAACATTCACGCCACCATTGATCGCCAATGGAAATGCTTTCCTCGGGGACATCTTCTCTAGGTATGTCGTTCATCGCCATCATCCACTCTCGCATAGTATGCGTGCTGATATATTAATTATAGCGACAAAGATAACGTTGAAAAGCCCATCACTGCTGGGTTTTTTCGTCTCGAAAAAGGCTCCTCATTGGTGCACACATATATATGTGACGAAATGAAGCTTATCACCGAGGGAGAGTTCCAGATCTCTGACGAGACAGGGCAGACGGTGATCGCGAAACCAGGAGACGTGTTCTATTTCCCCCGTGGTACGAAGGCTACCTATACCACTGAGTCCTATGGTGTGGGTTTCTATGTACGGCTCTTCCTTCCCCTCCGGTCAGACCAATGTTGATTGTGTAGGTCATCCAACGCGCTCGCAAGGTATAGTGAGCAGCTCGTCAATGAGGTCTTATCCTCTTTATTCCTAAGGTTGCTGGATTGAAGGTGGCAAGAAAATGGATTGGAAAATGTACTTAAAGTAACCAATCAACAACGAGAATAGTAGCCAGTGAACTCAATGTGGCCAATCAAAGGCCCTTTAAGTAACCCACAGGACATCATCGATAGAGATGTACCTTAAGCCCCAAAACAGGATCAGACAACAGGAATATGTTGATCAGTCAAGGGGGTTTCGATACCTAGATGGGTAATATGAACAGAGGGCTGTCACTGGCTGTTTTGAATAATATAACCATCAGATCATCGCGGGCGACACGCGCCATGGAGGTCCGGAACAACCTGTTAGACTAACACAGTAACAGTAACTTCATATATTGCATGTCTTGGTCCTTTTGAAATTGATCAAACCAACAGAGTAGCTTGTTCAACAATATATCCACTTGGACAATTAAATGAGTACCAAAACCGATCAAACGGCTACTCTGTAGTGGGGTTCGTTAATGATATTGGATCTACCAAGACGACCCCACATCAATGCCGCTTCTATCCGTGCCACTTAGCTCGACACATCTCCATACCCGATTTATTGTGAAGGAATAGTCACCATGCCTCCCAGCAACCAGGCCAGAGCACCTGTTGGCCGCGGGAAGACGTATAAACGCGGTTATGTGGCTTGTGTGAGCTGCCGCGCTCGCAAGGTCCGATGTATTCTAGGTGATGAGCCGCCGTGTGCTAAGTGCGAGCGGGAACATCGCGAATGTGTGTTTGAGACGAGCCGAAAGGTGGGGAAACACCGACAAGCTCCAAGGTGGTCACTGTCACAAAATTATGTTCCAGAGAGCTCGCATGGCCAGAGCGTCCAGGAGCGACCATCGGACACTTGCCAACAGGACGCCAATAGGACACCAAGGGTGATATCGAGCACCGGATCTGAACCAGACCCACTTCAGGTAACAGATTCTGACACTCATGGTAACCCATCCTTGTCTGGTCGAGTAATGGCGACAATTTTGGCTCGACCTAGAGATGCGTTGGATGTGCTTTTCGATGCTGCTCGGCCCGATGTAGGTGAATCGCCATCCTCCCAGACAAGGGAGCAGGGGGGACCGGCCAGAAGCAAAACCCAAATGGCTGTCTCTGCAAGCGGGCTAGTTTCAGTCTCCGGTCTATCACACCCTAGCGAATCTGTCCTTGACCTGTGGGACAGGTGTCGATTTGTACGGCAAGGATGGTTCACGGCGCAAGAAGCCGTAACGTACCTAGACTTGTATGTCAATTCACCGAAGCTGGCCTTAGAAGTAGAGGGGGACAGACTAACGGACATAGGTTCTATAAATATCTGGCACCTCTTTCTCCTGTTCCTACAGTTGCATATTATGATCATAAAAACCATGAGCAGTTGATAGTTGAGGAACCCATGCTCTGTTGCACTATATTAATGATAGCTTCACGGTATTTCGTCTTACCGGGAGCTGGTGGGATCTCTCGGAGCCATTTTATTCATCACCGGTTATGGCAGTACTGTGAACTCCTAATCCGTCGTATTATGTTTGGACAGGAAAAGTACTCCACCGCCAAAACCAGGATCGTAGGCTCAATTGAAAGTCTTATCTTGATTTCGGACTGGAATCCAAGGTCCGTTCATTTCCCACCTGAGACGGAGGGCTGGGATGGTGAGCTGATCTCACCAGCATACGACCGCCGGAACCGACTTCAAACAAGTGAAGACGTTCCCCTTATTCGATGGCGTGAGGATGTGTTTGAGCCTGCAAAGCGATCGGAACGCATGTCGTGGATGCTGCTTGGTGCCGCAGTGACTCTTGGTTACGAACTGGGCGTATTCGCTGACGGGTACTCCAATACTCCCCTGTTGGCCAACTCTCAGCATGTTCGAGTATATCGAGCCCGCAAGCTGCTCTACACCTATGTTACTCAGATGGCAGTTAGGATGGGCTGTCCCTCTCCTATTCTAGACAATGTACTCTTCGCCCCGGATCCATCGCAGGACAATATAACGGAACATAAAAATAGACAATGGGAGGTGTATATGAAATCATGGACCGAATTGACTCGTCTGATGAAAACAGCATCCGCCATGTTCTTCCAGTCAATTTCTTATGTGAAACAGCAGCTATCCTCTGGCCGCTACAGTACCCTATTACAACATTTTGCGCCGTCCTTGGCTCAATGGCATGATGAGTTTAAGAAGTCCACGGGTATGGTGTCTTTTTCCATCCGAAGTGTACAAACTAATGCATATTGGGTCAGATACACCAAAAGTACTTGGGCCTTTGCTATTAATTGAGTATCATCACCTCAGAGCGTACACCAGCGCCCTCGCCATTCAAGCTGTGGTCGAGAGGGCTGTTGTGAGGGGGGTCAGCTGGATTGGGGATACCAGCCGTGAATCTCTCGATGGATGTGTTCTGCCTCACGATCAAGATTTTATTCGTGATGTTATTCTGAGCAGCAGTAAAGTTCTTCAAATTGCCACTGAAATGGCAATCGACGGAATGTTACGATACGCACCACTCCGCACTCTCGTGTGTGTCACCTCTTCATCAGTCTATCTCCTCAAGGCCATAAGTCTTGGGGCGCACCACACTGATCTACATGCCTCTCTCCATACATTGGATGAATGCATCTCGGCGTTGCGCTCGTCCGGCACAGACGACATGGACTTTTCACTGCGGTACGCGAGCCTGATAGAGAAGCACGTCGATCGGTTTCGGGCAAATTTCATCTCTGAGCGTGTTGCGACTATGAATCCAGATCACCGTCGCTATCACCTACAGACACCAGAGCCCTTAACCTCAACACAGTCGCGGGAGCAGCCCCATATGCACAATGCGACCAGCAATTACTCAGGCCAGCAGCCTACTGATGCTTTTGTTACGCCACAGATGGATTCATGGTGGGCCCAGCCGTTTGACCCAAACATTGCACCTTTCAACTTCAACGGTGAGGGTGTATCTATAGGATTGGAGTTGGATTCGTTAGATTTCTTGTTGAATTTACCACAGGTGGGAGGTGAATAAAATGTATATCTTATAGCCAATATAGCAATGAGAGATCAGAATTTATCAGATAAAATTCCATCTTTGCATGAGTAAATGTGTCGCGAATGAGCATTGCTGCATTTCCTTCCCGGATAGTACCGGCTGGAGCTCCTCTTCGGCATCTTCCATATACCGCGCTTATCCGAACCGAAACCCGGGAACAACAGTGTGTCTATCCACAACGCAGTGATGTAATTACTCCAGGTAGCGATGAAAATGCGCGGTTGCTGTTATGGGCTCCGAGGTCGGAGTCATTGGATTACTATAGCTGTACATTTAAAAGGTATACTCTCTTCCAGTTATTTTCCTTCGTCGTGTAGTAGACATATATATGTATATATGTTCTACGATCCATCATAAACCCAACACACAACACATAACCCACAAAATCACAATAATGTCAAAGTCAATCGTCAACACGAACCCCTACCCCTTCCACTTCGAATCGAGCACGCCCGTACAAACTGACACCCATGGCAAGACGCAAGACATACCAGTCACCATCCCAAGCAGTCGGGGCAAGATCCCTTCCCTCCAAGCCTCCCGACTCCGAAGCATGGTTCTCGAAGCCCACAATGATCCAAACAAGATTGTTGCCCATGTTTGCAGCTATGACGCTTTGAGTTCCAAGTTGTGCGAAGAAGCAGGATTCCCTATCGTCTTTCTTGCGGGATACGCCATGGCCTCGGCGTTTGCACTGCCGGACACCGGATACATAGCTTTCCAGGAAGTGGCAGCCAAGGTGCAGGAGGTTGTGAGGGCGACTAGTGTGCCTGTGCTTGTCGATGGTGATACGGGATATGGGGGACCTATGAATGTGCGAAGGACAGTTGAGGGGTATGTATCTGTCTTTCATAATGTTGTCCATTGATTTGATCGTGCGCTGACGAACTGGTTCAGGTTTGCACGAGCTGGTGCTGCAGGAATTATGATTGAAGATCAGACATGGCCAAAACGTGAGTTCACCGCTGCATATAATAGTCGCATTATGAAAAAGTTTGATGGGACTAACAAGCTACAGGCTGCGGCCACACAAAAGGCAAAGCCGTCGTCTCCCGAAGCGAGGCATACGCCCGCTGGCGCGCAGCCGTCGACGCCCGGAACGAAGGCCTCGATATTTGGATCATGGCGCGAACTGATAGTCTCATCCACGGCTACGACGAAGCATTAGCAAGAGCTCGGGAGGCTATCAAGATTGGCGTTGACTGTGTCTTCGTCGAAGCCCTCCCCGACCGTGAAACAATGTTGCGTCTACGAAAGGACCTTGACTTCCCTGTCTTTGCAAACATCATCGAAGGTGGGAAGACAGAGAATCTGTCGGCTAAGGACTTGGCCGAGCTGGGATACTCTGCCGTTGCGTATCCCTGGACGTTGGTGGCGGCTAAATTGAAGAGTATTCGGGAGACACTTGAGGCCATCAAGGGGTCATTTATGGTGGGTAAACCGCCTACAGTTTTGTCGTATGAAGAGGTTTGTGAAGGTGTGGGGTTCAATAGGTACTACGAGATGGAGGAGAAGTATCAGTATGATGGCTCGGCGACTGGAAGTAATGGATACCAGTGGGCTTGATTTAGAGCCATGCTCGAGGAACCTCTGAGGGATTATGAAATGAGACCATGTCTAGTACTCATTGGGTGTGCGTATCGCTCAAATAGCTAAAGTATCGCTTATTTATGAAATGCCTACCAACCTAGTCTACTCCGGGGTATGAACCGACGAATGCTTGCACCAAGTTCTTACTGATTCACTCTTAAAGTTAGAAGGACCAGAAAGCTATTTTCCATTTGACCAAGGCCTATGCAGTTGGCCGGGAGTCCGAGGATTTTCTGTCTGTAAGCTTGAAGCGTTCTGGATGATCATTGATTCATTAATTTCTTCTTTGCACTAGGAATGCACATAATAAATACACAGCGGTGATCGAGCGGGGAAGGTCATGTTATAGCCCGGATTCAAATCCAATAAGGCAAGACGAGCAATATAGGTGGTCCGCGTTAGGGGAAAGTCAATTGCTAATTAACAATTCTTTCACTGCTCGCTGACCGCAACCACGGGCTGGGTCGAGCAGTGTATAACACCGCCAGCCAACGGGAGAGCACGGACAGGCACCGGTGTGACTTTATGCTCGGGGCATAGTTTTTGCAACGTAGAAACAGCCTCTGAATCCCGAACCGAGTCCCCAAATTGAGGGACGATGAGGCCGCCATTGACGAAGTAGAAGTTGACATAATTTGTTGCCGGATCAGGGTAGGATAAAGGTCCAAAGACAGTGGGGTCCGGCTCCTCGACGATATGGACCTCAAAGCGACGCCCCCTTGCGTCGACTGCCCGATCCAAAATATCTCGGATCTCATCGTGCACATCCTGCCAAGGCTTGGGTACACTGGGGTGCGGCTTGGAGAGGACCACCACACCTGGCCGAATAAAGTTAAGCTCAGCATCTGCGTGGACATCGGTGACATCTAGATCCCTCCGCCCGGGAAACCAGATGATCTTCTCAACGCCCAGCAGACGCTGCAGCTCCTCTTCGATATCAGCTCGAGAGAGACCTGGGTTGCGGTTCTCGTTCAGGATGCTGCTCTCTGTCGCGAGGAGCGTGCCATCGCCGTCCAGAACTAATGCGCCTCCCTCCAGGCAAACCTTGGACTCAACCTCGACTACTGTAGTTGGAGAAACATCGCTGGCGATGACTTGCTGAGCAAAAGCTGCGTTCTCCTTGATTTGCTCCAATCCCATAATGGGCCAGTCCAGGCCATCCGTAGCTCGGTAATGATCGCTGATATCATCCTTCTTGCCCCATTCACTAAATCGGAAGTTGACGGCAAAGCGGTCTTTAGCATAAGCTCCAGTGCCATGGACATAGACGGGACCGGTGTCGCGGACCCACAAATGATTCGTGCTGAACGGAATGATGCTGATGTTCGAATCCGTGCCGTTAAAATTGGCAATACTTTTGCTAACCAGAGCTCGGGCCTTTGGAATGTCTTCTGGACGTGTGTACAGACGCACTGGCTCAAAGGCAGAGATTGCAGAGGCTAAACTGGCGATATCTTTGCAAGCGTCTTCGTAGTAGTGAGCAGCAATTGAAATCTTAGAGGGAAACCCCAGGATTGTCGCGACATGACGAGCGGTTTCCGCGGGGGCAACATATCTGCGCAGCAGGTGGGCCATCGTTTCAACGTGTTTGAAGCATGTGTATAAGACCGAGTGAGGTCTTGATTAAGTGTGGGGTGATTAGGGTGTGGCGGAACCCGTGGTCTTCCGTACGGCACGTGAATCGTAGGAAGCCTAACTATTATAGCGGAGAGGTTGCAGTGTATGGTATTCTAGTCGTATTACCGGAGATTGATCAAGTCCTAAATAACTGTGTTTCCTTTTTATCGGTGGGAAGATGCGTAATATATCTTGTTAAGCATCGATTATCAGACACTGGGTCGATCGTGAACGCGTCTAAAATTGTCGGCAACTCCTTCCCGATGTAGAATATATAGTAACCTGACCGAAAGTCATCGCCGAGTCAAGTACCAAACTTACGTTCGCAATGCTAGGAAAGCTACTGAGATTTGCCATGTAGTCACCCTCTTCTCCATACTAAACACTCGAGTCGTATCGCTCGATGTTCCGTATTAAGGCCTTAATAACTGAACACGCGAGGATGCACTAAACATGTTCGAGATCCCTGACGATAATATGGGTTATATAGATAAGGCCCATTGTGATCATTAAAGGAGTCGACTTTGGGTCTTATCAGCACAGGAAATATAATGTCTATTGTCACCAGTTGACTATTGTGGGAACCCGAAGAGATTGCCCTTGAAGACGCCTTGACAATTGGCTCGCAATAGTGAACCGCAAGTCATCATCTAGGGTAGACTGAGTGTGGGCCGGCTGGGTATGGCCCGGCCAATTATTCGGATCTGTCGGAGAGTCTTGCCTCCATCCGAATAACTAAAATAAGGAGGATTACGAGCCAAATTGACGTCAATCAGTGCCCTTATCTACATAAGCCATGAACAATTACGAATCCAAATGACACTGCATAGATATTATTGTCATGCACATACTGGAGCTCGGCATACTCAGATGTGGCAGGTTGGTAGCATGAGGGCAGTCTTAATCAAGGAGAATGCGCACTAAGAATAACTACAGCAACCCTGCAAACGGCGGGTCAAAGCCCTGGATCAAATAAACGTAGAAACCAAGGTCAGTTCTAATCATCTAATCTACCCCAGAGGGAGGTATGGCATAAGTACAGGGACTCAGCGTACCAAGGGGTCTACTGTGGAGAGCAAGTTTAATCGCAAAGATCATTACGTAGCGTGAATTGGAAGTGGGTTATTTTCTCGTAATATAGGCAATATTGACTGGCTCTGGCAGTCTGCCCACTAATCGTTTCACAACCTCCCCACCAGGGCTAGCCAATCGTATTGATAGTTCGGTTGAAATCCTAACTGTAAGGCTCTAGGGGACGCTGCTCTGTAAGTACACTCCGCAGCTTGGTCAGGACAATACGTCTTGCCAATACCATTAGATACAGCTGGTTCTACCAGCAGCTCCACGCGACAGTTCTCTATCGGTGTGGATATATAAGCTGCCTTGTCGGTTGTTTGGCTAGTTTTCAGCAGCCCGTGCTTTTGAAGGCTTAAGCAGTGCAGATCATCTCGCGGCTTAACTATTCACAATCCTCCTAACACTCACAACACCATTCCATCAAAGCATCGTAGACAGACGGCATTATAGAATTTAAATCCATTCCGGTTTAACGTCTCCAATGGTCGGTCGAACGTGAACAGTGCCTTTCCTTTGGATACTATGGAAGCGACAAGCTGCGTTGCTATCCAGGCGTTCCTGGTAAATGGTTGGCTACATGCTAAAGCCAGCATCATTGACAGAGATATGGCGGATGGCAATAATATGCCATTCATGTTCACCTGCGCCAGAATCTTGACCCAAAATACATAAGTGTGTACCAAAATTTAAGGGTGGCCTAATGCATGGACTAGTTTATTCGATGCTTGCCACAACGATGCTAACTGTATCCGCTATTCGAGGGCGACCAGGCCCAGAGGTTTGTTCCTTAGTAGCTGTCCGGGTAGCCATGGTGATGTTTGTATTGAGGATCGATGATACCGAGCGAGATTGGAAGATCAGATATAGATTTTAACTGGACCGATTCACTACCAGTAGGCCTAGATGCATGATTAGGTAGGGGTCGGTTGGCGATCGGAGCTTTGTTCGCGCCGGCCATTGGATGTCAAGCGATCAGGGTTCTCTATCGGACTGTCCTTCCCTTAGCGCCATCCTCTGTGATTAGAATAGGCTTAACACATGTACTAGGGATCAGGATATAAGCTCTATCACAAGCCAATGCTGAACCCCTCAACTGGCTTTGCATTTGATATTCGAACGAAATCAATAATGAGTATTCGCCCTCCTGTTTACGACAAGAATGTCCTTTCTATCGTTGATCTTCAACGTGAGGCAAGCAGAAAACTACCCAAGGTATACCGCGAGTACTACAACAATGGAGCGACGGACATGATTAGGTAGGCTTGTACCAAAGCAAATAGTGCTACGATCGGAAAAGGTAACAAAACTTCCAGCCTGCGTGAAAATATGACTGCCTTTGATCGGTACAAGATCCGCCCTCGTGTCCTTGTAAAGATCCCTGAGATAGATACTTCTGCGGAGCTATTTGGATCTAAAGTTGCCTTTCCCTTGGGCTTTTCTCCGACTGCCTTGCATAAGCTGGCGCATCCCGAGGGAGAGATTGCAACATCACAGGCCGCAGCCAGTATCGGAATCGGCATGGCTCTCTCCTCATATTCTTCCACCTCGCTAGAGGATGTTGCTGCGCAAGGTATGGGCCATAACCCCTATGCAATTCAGCTGGCCATCCCCAAGGATCGCAGCTTTGCGGTGCAAATGATCAAACGTGCCAAAGGTACCCTCTCCTCTATACGAGTTCTGATAACTGTAGGCTAAATACCTCTAGCTGCCAACTACAAGGCAATTTTCCTTACCGTGGACTGCCCAGTTCTCGGGATTAGATATAACGAGTATCGAAATAACTTCGCACTTCCCGATGGGATGGCATATCCCAGTCTCTCACCAGACCCTTCGAAGCCATTCGGGATGGGAGAGGAATTTCCGGATATCGAGTACGGTATGATTTTCCTTTTCCGTACCAGCATTTCTGCAGATACAACTGACATATGGAAGACACCGACATAACATGGAGTGAGGCAATCCCATGGCTTCGCTCGATTACTGATATGAAGATCTGGGCCAAGGGTATATACACCCCAGAGGATGTCGCTCTAGCTATCGAACACGGGGTCGACGGTATTATTATCTCAAACCACGGTGGCCGTCAGTTGGATGGGGTCCCTGCCACACTTGACGTTCTCCGTGAATGTGCTCCGATCGCGGAAGGGAGAATTCCGATTGCGCTCGATGGGGGTATTCGGCGAGGATCAGACATCTTCAAGGCTCTGGCCCTTGGGGCGCAACATTGCTTTGTGGGTCGTGTCCCTCTGTGGGGCTTAGCGGTATGCTGAATATCTGGTAGCTACTATATTGGGATTGACATTTGAGGTAGTATAATGGCAAAGAGGGCGTAGAGTTGGCCACCAAGATTCTTCTCAACGAGTTGAGAGTCACCATGGCTCTGGCTGGGTAGGTTGGCCCACCGACTCCCAAGGCGGATACTGACACTTGGTACAGTTGCAAAAGTATTAAAGATATTAGTCGACGTCATCTTGCTACTGTCGACGCTTCTGGGGTGATTGGCAAACTCTAACTATGTATAGAACGTATAATAGGGGTCGTGATGTGAGTAAACTTTCGTTTCTACGTGCAGTATACATATCAATGAGACGCTGTCTATGTTCAAATCATCCCAACAAAATTTAATACTAGTATCAGCCCGAGCGCGAATCGTCCACCAGCTCAACCTCCGTCTCACCTAGCGTCATGTCCTTGGACGGACGGCTTCTGCTTCGCTCACACGGCTGTAGCTTGTAGGTCGTGAAATCATACCGCGACACAGTCACTTAGCACATTGCCTGTTTTGCTCTCTTCCACCAGGGAAGGTTGTCTTCCAGTTCCTCCGGAGTAACCTGCTCCATTTCCATGAACCGCCTGCCGGTGTCTAAATCAATCTGGCGGAGCGGGACTCCAATCCACCATTGCCGATTCCACAGTTTCCAGAAGATCATCAGGAAGACGCCCAAGAATCCAGCGAGATATTCCTGGAAGAAATTGAACGCGCTAGGGGGGTCTCCACCCGGTGCCTATAAATCCACATATTTAGCATTTCCCTTTCTCCAGGATGGCTACGGCAAACAAAGAGTCAGTTTCGTAGGGGCCCAACTTACATATAGCGCAGAATAGAACATTGCCATAAGAGATATGGCGGATAGAAAAGCGCCGATGGAGCTTCCAACTATACCCAGAGAGGACTTCCATGGAATCTCGTCCGTACTGCGATTCTGGGCCTTTAGGGCCATACGAAACCGGATGTGGGCGATATTGATGCTCAGGTTCATCATCACAGTTGAGACCCCAGCAATTGCAAGGAGCCAATTGAATACAGTAAGCCCGGATGATGCAAACTGGAGATATGCGAGGAAGCCGAAAAGCACCTGAAGACCAATGGGGGCGAGAGGGCGCCCAGCCTTGTCAATATAGGCGAAGAATGACGGTGCGCCTCCATCAGCTGCTAGGGCTTGTAAGGTTCTTGTTGAGGCAAATGTAGACGAATTTGCGACACTCAGGCTGGCGATTAGGACCACAGCGTTGATGATTGAGGGCAGGACGTGGATGCCAGCATCTTGAATCGCGAGCACAAACGGACTCGCGTTTGTGTTGACTCCCGCAGAACTGGCTGCATCATCCGAACCGAGCAACTGGGGGCTATTGTATGGCACGTTGAGGCCGACGATGAGAAGGTTCACAATGTAGAATATTGTCACGCGCCACAGGACTTGCTTTGTGGCCGTGGGAAGAGATTTCTGGGGGTTTTTTGTCTCGGCCGCTGCGAGACCGACCAGTTCCGTGCCGCTAAAAGCTACTGCCTTGACAACGGTCAGTACATAGATATGGCGAAGGTCTCATCTCCTTACCGCATTTACAAACACCGCGCAGAACCCTTTAAACCCATTTGCAAAGGCCCCGGGATCACGCCAATACCTCCCACCAATATATCCTTGCGGGCTGCCGGGGACACCGCCGGTGTTGATGATGATCCCCAGAATGATCAACCCTATACAGGCTATCACCTTGATTATAGAAAGAACGAATTCCACTGTAACAGCGATATGAGTTTAGGTGTCCATTTTTCTGAATGGGACTTGAGCATGACTGACCCTCTCCGTAACCGCGTACTCCAAAGACTTGAATTATGACCAGCACTATTAGGAAAATACTAACAAAAATTGCGGGGTTTAAACTCGAGTTCCAGTATTCGATCGTCAAACTAGCTGCAGTGATCTCAAAGGGTCTGTATTTGAATATGTCAGTCCTGGAAAGCACCAATCATAAGGTGGAATGCCTACAAAGTGACAAGCCAGCCTAGCGAATACGCCCAACCGATTGCAAAACCCCTATATAGGTTAGGTTTGTTAGGTATCACAGGGTAGGTAAACTGGGCAACAAGCCTAAGACTAACCAACAAGGATCTATGAACCTAGTGCTGTACTGGTAGAACGCTCCATTAATCGGATACATGATGGCCAGTTCCCCGAGCGACATGATTGTGCACAGCAGCAGAACTCCAACAATAAGATACCCTATCAGGACAGAGGCAGGGCCACCGTTTGCAAGTGCTTCACCTGAGCCAACAAACAGACCTGCACCGATAGCACCGCCCTAGTAAGTGATAGCCCTGTGTTAGCACGCTTGGCCCTCGTACAATATCCCTGACTAAGAGGGCGTGTTGATTCTAGCGTCGACATGTTCATCCCATGCATAAAAGTCATCGGTGGGAATGACGTTCACTTACAATAGCGATCATCTGGATGTGTCGGCCTTCAAGGGCCCTCTTGAGAGTATTGCCATTTGCTTCCTCAACATCCCCCGCCAAGGCGTCGGCGGTGTTGGACGGTTGATTTTTATCATCATGGCCTTCTTTGGCTTCTTGTTCAGCGCTAATCATCGTGATACCGTATGCTTCACAGCTATGTACAATTATGAGGTGAAGACCAGCTGTAAGATATCCAGTGCAGCTAGGGTCAAATACATGGACTGGGAGGTGGGCCACGTCCAAATATACATACAAACGTATGTGGAGATATAGAAGCAAAGATATTACCCTATTGGGTGACAATGGAATAGGGCTAGGCGCAGATCCTTTGCTCTCTTATCAAGCAGGCTCGGTTTCCTAGTTGTCATCATTACCCAATATCCACTTTAGGTACGTGGTCTTGAATGCTGCGCAGTAAACCACCCTATTCCGTCCCCACATCGCCTAGGCTACCCAAAGAAGAAGCCGAATATCATATCCACAACTGCAAGATCCGGGGAAAAGCTATACGAGGTCCTGACCGTAAACTAGATCACTTGTCCCCTTTTGCCTTCCCCACCTACTCCGCTCAGTTTTCCGCAGTATCCCTCCCGCAACCGGCATTCTAACGGCCAATTCCACCTCGTTGAGATGCAGGTTCGCTGTTATCTCTTACAGGACAAAATGGGTTTTCTGATGTTCTTAAGATAGACTACATCGTTGTTTCTGTTTTCCAGCGTTATCATGGTAATTCCCGTATTCACCTTCATGGAATGGCCCAGGGCAACAAACCGGCAGTAGATTGCGGGTTGGCAGGCTCGTATACTTGCTTTGCAGCAGTCTTACTGTAATTTACGGAAAGTATCTGCCGCAATCGGCGCCGGTAACAAGCCTTTTGCAACCCCGCGTCTTGCATGCCTGTGGTTTAGAGCCACTGTTTCCGAAGGATAGGGCTAAGTCATCACGTTACCTGTACCTGGTCTACAGCCTACGTGTATAATAGTTCAGTCAACAAACATTATAGCTGGCGAGAATCCAAAGGTTGTCGTATGAGGGTACCCATGCACAATCGCATGGCCATGTAGACGCTTTCTTCAAGTAATCTCGAGCCGGAGGGGGTAGAATCGTTTGGACTGGTATTCTAGTACATTTTCTAGACATGTAAGACATGCTCATCGTAAGCTTAATCGCACCTCCGCGTTTATCTGGCATCTTTACAGCAAGGCTTGCTATTGAACAGCCCTGATTGTCGCATTTTACCCCGCGTAAGTTCCACAATCGTACTCATGAAGCCATGAAGCTCACCGGGCCGGTGACCTACCGGTGAAGATCTCTTGATCCTTGCTCAGTTGCTAACTAACTGGTTTTATGAAGTACTACTGCATTTTCTAGCCTTGGCGACGGATTAGCCCCACAAAGGTCGCAACCTCCTTCCCTCCACGTCCCTAGTCTCCCTCCGTCAAGTTTTGATTGCACCACCCACATTGATCCCTTGGACTTGATCAAGGTGAAATTGGACTAAGTTCCCCTCCTGGTTGCATCCAGTGGGTACATTCTCCTTCCCCGCGTCCGCCAATCCACGAAATCCGCGCCCAAAAACTCGAGACTCGGTCAACCCCGCGACCCAGGTTGTGACTACTCTTGGCTACATTCTTCCGCACGCAAAATGGCAATGGCCGCGTCTAGCCGGACTTTCCTCGCCTACCAGCACGACTGGAACCTTCTCTCCCTCGATACACCCGTCGCAACAGTCTATCGCTTCAACGAACTAGAGGATCCCAACCGCCAACTCTTCCCCGCGGGAAACGATGATGACCATGTTGTCGTCACAGAACAGACAATCTTTCACCCTCAAGGGGGCGGCCAACCCTCCGACGTGGGCACAATGGCAGGACCCGCAGGAACCACCTTTACGGTGACAGCTGTGCGCATGGATGCGACCGGCCAAGGTCAGGTCCTACACCTCGGCCAATTCAGCGACGGTTCGTCGCACATGTTTACACCGGGTGAGACTGTCCGACAAGAAGTCGACGCCGAAAAGCGGCTGCTGCATTCGCGGCTTCACACCGCAGGCCATGTCCTTGGTGCTGCTGTGAGGCATCTTCTGGAGAAGGAGGTCAAGGACTTTGATGAATTAAAGGCGTCGCATTTTCCGGGCTCGGCATCCTGTGAATTTCAAGGTCTGATCGACGGGAAGTGGAAAGAGCCGATCCAGAAACGGGTAGATGAATATATCGCCGACAAGCGACAGGTCCAGGTTGAGTGGTGGGATGAAGCCATGTTTCGGGAAAAGGGTCTGGAACGATTGATTCCCGACCGGAGTCTCATGCCGGGAGAGAAATTCCGCGTGGTCAACATTGTTGGCACCGAGGTTTATCCCTGTGGAGGAACACATGTCGATACTACGGATCTGTGTGGACCGACTAGCGTTAAGAAGATCGCGAGAAAATCGGGGAACTCTCGTGTTAGTTACTCCGTGAATTGATTAGGCATAGTTCTCCCAATGAGTGTTGGACCTTATACCGTAACACAATCTTGTAAGCGTACAGAGAGGCATTGCAATCAGGTAGAAGATCGAAATATCTCAGATTATCGCCACATTGTAGGGTAGGGCGTGGTCACATGCTCATATCTCAAAAAATATATATTGTCTCGCTTGCACCAGCATCTACCATTCCTGCCAACTGTCTACGCCGAGATGACCAATTGATCAAGATCGGGACCTAGTCATTGCCGTTTAGCTGGCTATTTTTGAAAATCGATAGGAGGACGCAACTTACCCCATCCTTCCTCGTACGCACTGAACGTGATGATATGTGTGTCACCCTTCTCGAGAGTAGTATGAAGGGCCGAGGTGAAAGGCGTATTCCCGCTCCCAGAAGGCAGAAACGCGAGTACATGAGATTCACCGTTGACCGTGACATTCGCGAAGCGCTGGGAATTGTTTCCGTTCGCATACCGGAGACGGATAGTGGTATCTGTTGACGCCTCGCTGGCCACGTTGCTGATTTCCGCCGTTCCACCATCAGGGCCACCAATGTAGCCGACAGACTTTCCGCCAGAACAGCCGCTGCAGGAAATAATCTTGGCACCATTGGAAAGGGCAGTGTCAGATGACTCCACTTCGTAGCTGGTTCCATCCCCTGCCGAGGACCATGTCCCATCAAGTGGTAGTACCCAGGCTGCTTCGTTGCTCTATCCGAATACGGACATCAGTAGAGCTCAAGAATATATCTGAAGCTTATAGAGCAGTGGATATTCTCATACCAAAGTAGCAGTGGTGCCTTCAATTGTTAAGGGTAGCCAAATATAGGTCGATCTCATGAGATTCGAAGAGTCCCAGCGATCGCCCATGTACCTGTAGACGTCAGATTATGTTGTAGTGTATTTGCTGGAATGCGCTTACAAGACAGAGTCGCCGACTCCCAGGACAAAAGTCGTTTGAGACTCGAACGTGTTGGCTCCACTTGGCGCGAAGTCCTCCCAGTCTGTCCAGGGCCCACTGAGATTTGTTGCAGTAACATATTTATTGTCGTTGTTGGCTGCTCGACTAGTTAGCCCTTCTGATCAAGTCATGCTGGCCGACACATCATAACATACACCATCCTATAGAACCTGTTAGCCAACAGCAGCAGTTTTGGGGCGAGTGAGGCAAATGGCAGAATGACCTGTTAACTGAGATCCAAATAAAAAGTATACTCCGCCTTGTTTGTATAAAGCCGGAGCCTCCACATGTTCTGGAAAGAGATGAGTCGTTTCGGTGACGTTGGTGAAATCATCTGTCAGTTTGTTGATCCTCAGACCATTCGGACGCTGGAAAGTGTTTAATTATATTGATGTGCAGCTCTCCGTCAACTCAACCGGTCACTCACATCCTCAGTTAAAAGATATCCTGTACCATCATCGTCCTTGTAAAGACCCATATCTCGCGATTGATATCCGAGAGGCTGGAACGATCCCCTGAATACGGATCCATAAGTCCCAAGACCAGGTGCATTGCGAGCTGCGGAAAGAGGCACTTACAAATATTCATATGCGCCGCAAACACTGGAAGATGTCGCAACACCGGTCTTTGCCTCGCCATAGTCACTGCTATCGATGTGCATCCACAATACATACTTCGATGTGGCGTCGTTGTAGATCACCTTCGGTCGCTCGACGATGCGATCGGGGCCGAGGTCTCCACTGCTCTGCCGGGAAAGGAGCTCCCCGACAAATGTCCACTCTACGAGGTTCTGTTGTGGGGGGTATTAGATGCCATGTCAATTATTTTGGCAGATGCTTTTTTAGTCGGCACGCACCTTGCTCGAGTAGCAATTGACGGACTGAAAGGCGCTTCCATCCAGCTTGTTCTCGCCAATCCAGTAGTACGTCGAATCAACTTCGATAATCCCTGGTTCCCGTTATTGCGACAGTCAGTGTTGAAGAATAGCGAAATAATTTGTATGCACTATACCTCCACCATGAGCCTGGACATGCTGGTTGGTGCCGGCCGCCGTCCACGTAGCACCCGGGACCTATGCCTAACTTAGCATCGGAACAATATTAACTCTGCTGCAACTGAAATGCTTACGATTTGTAGGGCCGCTGCAGCCACAGCAGCCTGGCTTAGGCCTGCGACCAGGAATCCGAGAATCATACCTTTGACGACTTCTATCTGTGTGGACTCTCTGACAAGAACAAGATCAAGCACCCCGTTTGGAGGCGCGCTTCGATGCAGTATTTGAACAAGATACGCAGTGGGAGACAACAGTGGAGTCGAGATTGAGGGGTTGTGCTGCAATATATCCTAGATGGTCTGACTGATGCATCACGGTCCACCTAAGATAAGACTGGATATCAGAATTACCCGACAAGCTCTGTCCTCCTTCCGACCCGGGTACGGAGCAGACTCCGTTAATCATGCCGAAGCCCGGCCAGGGTAATTTCAATATAACCGCTGTTCACGCAGTAAGAACGGAACTCCGGATTGCATGATACTACTGTCCTATGCCTTATGACGCAAGCGCTTTTATGTACAAGATTATGGAGGCTGTTCCTTGTTGCTTAGTTAACCAAGCCTCGTTACTCTTTCCGCGCATTAATGCAGTAACAATTTTCAGCCGAAAGGGAGGGTGCCCTTCTAAAGACCACCACCAAGCTTGATATCTGTGGCCTTTCCTCCTGTTTCTATTGTTTCTCTTCCTCCCCTGCTATTGAAGAATGCTTAGGGTTGTATAGGACAATTGCAGGGTTGGACCAGATTAATGCTGAAACCAAGAATAATTAATACTGCCATAACACTGTCCTACGCGAGCTGCACAACGGCTGCACTTCTTAATATGTCTCAACCAAAGTCTCTCAAGTATGCCCGCAATCCGATGGACAAGAGATTTCTGTGCTGTTGATATACCGCATGATGATGTCGACACTAGAACGAATCGTGCTGGGGATAAAGTGTTCAAGGCACGACGCCTAGCTCCATATGGTCTCATGGGCGACTGGGATTGACAAATGCTAGAAACATGTGAGAAATAAGCCAAAGGTGACTGCAGACTTTAAACACCTGACCTCCTCCACTCCCCTATCCCATTATTTCCTGCTCTTTCGGGTTCAAATACAGGGTTCAGTATGAGCCATCGGAAATTCCGATATATCGCCCTAATCCTGTAAGAGGCAGCCTCGCCCTCGGCTCAATGCACCCCGAAGGCCAAGACAACTCGGACCGTAATGAACAAGTCTCTAACTCGGAAACCTGATGATCGACAGTCCACATCGGGTTCTCCCCGGATTCCCCGCAGGACTATGGGGATTGTGTCACTGATACCCCACATTCTTCATGCAGGGAAGCCGGCAAATTCCGCCGCCTCTGGGAGGAGTCGTTAAATGTGGTTGAAATGAAGAACATCATGGCAGGCGTTGAACAACGATTGGCCCGGCGTTGATGGGAGAAAGGCTCCAGAGCTACCCTGAGGGTGGCGGAGTAAGTATTTGCTGCAGCTGGATGACAGTGACCTTCGGTGGTCGGGTGAATATCAAGCGGCAATATAGGGTTGCGGTGTGTTTCAGAGTGGTATTTGAACACAGATCTTGTCAATGATCCATCGTGATATCCACCTCGTAGTCTCCGGGCACTGGACATTCCTATGTGGAGACTGACCTAAACCAACCTTTTCTTTATCGGGTTGTTTGTTTGGAAAGGATGGCGGTCTCGATATCGCAGCTATCGTTCGAGCACCACCGCGAAGCGTTGGGAATTGCCGAGTCCAAGCCTCGCATCTCTTGGCGATTCGAGGGGGTTGCACCGAACTGGACACAGTCAGGTTATGATATCGAGATACTACGAAATGGCGTACCACAAGTTTTCTCTGTTGATTCGTCCGACTCCATTCTCGTACCATGGCCAGACACTGCTCTGGAGACCGCCGAGGAGGCTAGAGTCCGAGCACGAGCCCATGGAACACAGGATCAATCTTCTACACCATGGTCTGACTGGGCATCAGTTGAGCCAGGGCTATTATATGAGACGGACTGGGGTAGCGCTATCCCAATTGCTGCTGACCGCGAGACTGAAGTGAACGGACCTAAGCGTCCAATATACTTTAGAAAGTCCTTCGTGGTGGACAAAGATATCAAATCTGCCCGACTGTATATCACCGCGCTAGGGGTCTATGGGGCAGAGATCAACGGACAAACAGTGGGCGACCGCGTTATGGCACCTGGGTGGCAATCATACAATAATCGACATGTCTACGATACTTATGATGTGACCGAACTTATCAAGCAAGGCCACAACGGAATCGGTGCTACCGTCGCAGAGGGCTGGTTCTCCGGTATGCTTAGCTTTGGTAATCAGTATAGGAATAACTATGGAGACACAATCGGCCTTCTTTCATTGCTTGTTGTTACGCTGGAGGATGGTACCAAGCTCGAGATCCCGACCGATGCAACTTGGCAGGCAAATACGGGTCCCACGGTGTCTTCTGAGATTTATAATGGGGAGACATACGATTCACGGCTTGAGGCCCAGATTTCTGGATGGTCCTCAGGATCCTTCAACGGTACCAATTGGCTGGCAGTCAAGAAATTGCCCGCGCTGGAAGGGAAGCTCACTCCCCCTGACGGCCCGCCAGTCAGGAGGGTTGAGGAAGTTCGGCCTCAAAGAATCTTCAAATCCCCATCAAACAAGACGATCATCGATTTCGGTCAGAATTTAGCTGGTAGGCTGAGGATTTCAGTATCCGGGCCGAGAGGCACAAACATCACTTTACATCATGCCGAAGTGTTAGAAAATGGTGAACTTGCCCTTCGCCCGCTGCGCTTTGCCAAAGCGACCGACTCGTTTATTTTGAACGGGAATGGTGTCCAGACATGGGAGCCACGGTTCACTACTCACGGCTTTCGCTATGCACAGGTGGATGGGTGGCCGGAAGCATCGACACCGCTGGACGGAGATTCGATTGTAGCAGTGGTCGTTCATAGTGACATGGAACGTACTGGCTGGTTCGAATGCTCGCATCAGTTGCTGAATAAGTTCCACCAGAACGTCATCTGGTCGATGAGAGGCAACTTCATTTCTATCCCCACGGATTGCCCGCAACGCGATGAGCGATTGGGATGGACTGGAGATGCACATGCATTTGGGCCTACCGCTGATTATCTCTACAACACCGCGGGCTTCTGGCGAAGCTGGCACCGCGATGTTTGGTCCGAAATGCAGGTCAACGGTTCAATGAGCGTGCCACCCTTTGTCCCTATTGTCCCGCCGAACGCGGACTCGAAACAGGGAGCTGCGGCAGTATGGGGCGACGTCACCGTTGCTGGGCCATATAACCATTATCAAGCTTATGGGGACCTGGATATGCTTGCAGAGCAGTACGCGCAGGCTCAGGGCTGGATCGATACTGGCATCCCACGTGAAGACACTGGCCTTTGGGATCGAGACAGCTTTCAGTACGGGGATTGGCTGGACCCAAAGTCACCCCCAGACAACCCGGGTGATGCGACCACGGCCACGCACCTTGTTGCCGATGCCTACTTGGTCCGAATGACCGAGCTTCTTGTCAATATCTCCACCGCCCTTGGCCATGATGACTTGGCCACAAAGTACCGTGAACAGCACACTAGCTTGGTCGATGAGTTCCGGAAGGCATGGCTGACGGACGGCGCGATGGCAAACCGGACTCAAACAGCATATGCTCTGGGGTTGCATTTCGGCCTTTTTACAACCGAGGACGAGCGATCCGCGGCCGGCGATACTCTACGCAGTATAATCGCTGACAATGACTACCTCGTTGGCACTGGCTTCGCGGGCACCCCTCCCCTAGGGTTTGCTTTGGCCGAGATTGGCGCCACAGACGACTTCTACAGCATGCTCCTTCAAACAAAGGTTCCGTCGTGGCTATACCAAGTGGTACAGAATGGAACTACGACGTGGGAACGCTGGGACAGCCTCTTGCAGAATGGGTCTGTCAACTCTGGAGAAATGACAAGTTTCAATCACTATGCCTTTGGTTCCGTGGCGGATTGGATTCACCAAGTTATTGGAGGGCTTGCTCCTGCCGAGCCTGGCTGGAAGAAAATAAAGATTGCGCCTGTTCCAGGAGGTAATATTACTAGTGCCAACTCTCGCTTTATCAGTCCCTATGGTGAAGTCAGTGCCCAGTGGGAGCTGAATGGGGATAGCTTTGACTTGGAGGTCACAGTTCCGCCCAACACAAACGCTGTTATTACATTGCCGTACGGGAATGTGACGAGGGAGGTTGGGTCGGGGCAATATAAATTCCAAGCATCCAGGTAGTGCTAGTCCCAGGGGTTTTACGAGACGAATGATTGTGGATGTAACCCCCACCAATTATATTTGCACGGCTTTCCCCTTCAGGGGCTACCAATATCTATTATACAGATAGCAGGAATTCATATTACAATCAACGTTCCCAATATATGTCCCAGATAAATATTTCTATCCACATCCATGTAGTCAGGGGCGATTCCTGGCTCCCAGTGCCGATACCTCATGCAAGCTACAAATCTCCAAGTACCCGTAAGGAAAGCACATAGATTTCATTACCAATAACGCGGACGCTCAACCACCGCATGACCTAGGGATAGTGTGAAGTATAGAATGTGTGAATGTGATAACATGTCTGCCCACTTGCTGATTCCAGATTGAATGGTGGTAGAGTGACTGGTATAGTGACTTCCCACAATCTGTATTCCTTAAGTGGGGGGCCCTTACCATGTATAAAAAGTTAAAGATATGACTCAACAGCACTTTGATCTACTGTGATTAGATAGTAAGTTCCGTAAAAGCGAGTATATTGCAGGCACTTCATCAACGTTGCCGGGCGCTTTTTGCTACCCTACAGTTTCAACAGACATGCCTACAGCTTGCTCTCGGCCGCTTGGTACACGCATCTCGAAATCTCCCTCACCCGGGCCCCGTGGGTTCTGGTAGAATGTCAATGCCGTACCTCTCACGGCTGCGACATTCCCCTTCTCAAAGCGCAAAGCCATCGCTGTGAGTCTTGGCGTTCATACAAGCCAGCTTCCTCAACTTTGATTAATTGTCAAAGTATAACATTACGCTATGTGCTGCTGTGGATGAGGTAGAACCTCCAACGCCCCATTCTTGGAATCAGGACCAAAACATGCAAAGCTGTTTGATTGTCTCTCAGGGATAAAGATTTGCTCTGGCCATGAGATGGCGAACAATGATGATCGTCACAACAAGCCTCTACCACCTATGGAACCTCTCCAAATGCAATGGATGTTGCATATGAAGCAGACGATGAAAACATTGTGAACACCGCACTTATACTGTTTCTTGAAGCTATTGCGAACCTTGTTAAGCCGCATAGTGTTGAATGGACAATGAAACGTTGTAGTTAAGGCCACGTTTCATTCTGCCTTATACACTGCGGAGACAGACGGATCTTTGGAGCGACTTCTTAAGAAACAGAAAAAGTGGTGAACGGGGCCCGGAACTAGCCGTGGTCCAAGCAAGAATGTTATGGGGTGAGCCAGTAAGTAACAGGAAGTATTCGGCATTTACCAAAGATAAAGCACAGTGGGGCAAAGTGGATTATTACGCATGTTTTGTTTATTGGGTGAAGTATGAGAACATGGCAAGTCGAAGCGGAGTGTTCTTCCGGACCCAAGCCCTATGTACACGACTAGGTAGGAATCTTCGGGCCCTCCTAGAGGTGAAAAAGATGCCACTCTACCAGAATGTATCACAGAATAAGAGCCCGCTTAGATGGCTGGCTAGTTGAAGCAGTCTCCCGGAGGCATAGGTATGCTCTGGAATGGCCAGTAAGTTTTATCCTGGCAATTACTGACTGACGTATGAAGCCGAGTCCTCATATCACAAGACGCGCACCAATTATGTCTTTCTTTCGCCCAGGTGAACGTGCAATATTATGACTACGTTAACATTGGTGACGTAGCACACGAACCATTTCTATCTATCCAAAAATGGGGCGCATGGCTGGTCAAAACCAAGGGCCATATGAAGAAACTGGCCACTATATTGGCAGCTATGATTCTTTTCCTCGATAAGTAATGAAAGGCATGTTTAGTTTTAACTAAATTACATCGTACCAGTTACAACTCACATAATATTATAGTCTTCTCCGATCAGTATAAGCAAGTCATAAACATTTGTAGCTAAATTACTATCAGAAAACTAGTCTTGGGTGGAGCGATGGTTGAATATCTCCTCCTGTCATGCACAGTCGTCGTCCACATGGGGGTATTTCTGCTCTCTGAGATAGCATGTGTACTATCTCACGCCTGGCCTTCGAGCAGAAGACTGCCCGAAAAGAGGGCTTTGAAGTAGTCATCCATCCAGTTGAAATCATTAATGGGACCATCGCTCACAGTGGGATCGTCAGTAGTGCTATTCTGATTGTCATTGTTGGAAGCTTCGCCCTTGTGTCCTATTCCGGGGAGGCTGGGCAACTTTGAAGCTATATCCTTGGCTGTCTCTATCGCATTGTCTACAAGCTTCTTCCACTCACTTTCATCTTCTGGCCTCGCAGTCTCTTTCAGGGCTTGCTCAGCTAGTCTGAAGCTCATGTCGGGGCGACCTCATCCAGAGTCACTTGGTCGGGGACGAGCTCTGCATCAACCTGGTCATCCAGGCGGTGGTCATTTCCTTCGACGTTGCCTTCTCCAACGCCCTCCGTAGCAGCCTCCAGGATGACAATTTGGTCCTCTGGTCTCCCGGGTTCCAAGGCTTGACCAAGTCCATCGGCAGACTCACCTATCAAGGCCTTTAGTTCATTAACAATAAGAGCCTCTGAATCCAGATCCTCCTGTGTGTTGCCGGGGTCCGCTACCAATGCGGCTACCCTCACTCCGCCAGTGTGAGGACGGGAAAGGAACTTGGGGCCGAGGGCAGTCTTGTCCCATCCATCTGGCAGGTATTCCCGAGTCTCCTTAGCGCTATCTTTGATAGCCTCCAGGAGCTTCAGCTGCAGATCCACCCCGGGACAGAGATTCCTCCAGGTATCCACAAATGAGTCCGGATCAGCAATAGCCGTCCAGATCAACGGGAACGCAATAGCTGCAATGGGCCCAACACCAGGGATGAAGCCAACAGCAATGGTCAAAGAGTTTTTCAAGAAGTTTTCCAACCAGTCCTTCTTTTCTGGGGCAGGTTTCCATTGGATACTCAGGCCAAAGTTTGCACGGGCAACCTGAGCCCAGTCAAAGTCTGTGTCGTCGTTAAAGCTTCGCTCGACCTTCGGGCTTGCCACCATATCACGTTCAACGATGATGATATTCTTCGAGGTGAAGGCATTTTGGGCACGTAGCTGGCGCGGCAGTGAGAGGAGATTTACAAGACCGTTGATATTGAACCCCACGGTCAAGTTGCCCCAATCCTGCAGACCGACTGTCTTCCTCAGCGTAACCGGCTTCCAGAATGTTTTGGGGTTCTTTGCATTGCCAGTGTGATGAAACATATTGACATTACTGTCTGCTGCTGCAAGATTGACATGCACAAATGTGCAAAGTTCTGGGTGGTCTTCGGACGCTTGGTGTGCCACTGGGATGTAGATGCCTCGGATATTGGTCAGGCGCTATCAAGATACGAAGCAAGCGGAGTAGTTAGCATCAGCAACAGGTGGCCGGGAGCAGATGTACTGACATCGATGAAGACCCAGCCTTCCTGCCTCTTGGGCATGGGCATGATCATGAACCACGACTAGAAAGTAGTTGTCAGTTATGGTCACTGAACTATGCGCCACTTGCGGGGCTCACCTCCATAGCACCACCCTTCATTTGAGCCTGAAGCCGGTCAACATTTGTGCAGAGATTATGCTGCATACGGCGCTGCTTCCCTTTAGAGTAGTGCGACCCATAAACGAAAGGCAGCTGTGACCAGCTTCCGATGTAGGGACCGTTTGTCTTCGTCATAATCGGTGGCGGCGTCCAATAGCTCAGGTCATTCAGGTGATATGTGGAACGCGGGTGCGTACGAGTTTTGCGTGCCGCATCTCCGGTGTGAGTTGGCACGTTCCAAATGAACTCAAGTAGGAAATGGCCATAGAAATGGTCCGCACGATCGGCTTGGTAGAAGTTCTTGTTGCTGGAGTTCAATGCAGAGCGCTTAAAGAAGCACTCGCCTTCGGGGTACGCCAAAGCCATATTTCCGTGTCAAACTTCCAAGTACAGATACTGTAGAAATAGAAAGGTAATTCAGTTAATGATCTTCTAGAATACCTTCTTGGGTTTGAATATCACTGCATGAATAGAAAGGCTGTTCGGGTTTGCAGGCCACCTTTTATACTCATCCGGCTACCCTCTCCAAAGACCTTTGCATGCTACAGACATCATTAACTCCTCTTTTCTGATTTACCTGGATAGCAATGACATAGTTTCGATGCGCCACCTACTACTGTGTGATCCATGCCGTCGACTCAGTGTCTCCAATCGACTCTATAATTCGTCAGTACGACGTAGAACTCGGGTATATCCCCAAGGCAAACAGGTTTGTGGTGCAGATTCCTATGGTGAAAGGTCGCTGGGGTAATTCTATCGTAGCTAATACCTCCTCATAATAGTAGACCCGCATGGAGCTTCCTATCTACTGAAAGGTATCATTGGCCGTCACTGCATACTATCCCTGCCATCTTTAAAACACCTCCTAGGTGCTAAATGAGTAGGATGCTCTAGACCATAGGGTGGTGGCGACAAACACACATTAGCCTGCTATGTATTATGACTTCTCCATAATATATGATACAACTGATCACCCTGACCTTCTTGTCAGGAAAATAAGTTTATTCGTACAGCACGGAGTCTATGATAGACCGGTCTAAAAGTAAAATAAACTATCACGGAAGTGGACTCAATGATGCCAATTCTTTTTAATCATCACCTTGATGAGAGCGAATCCAAGCTACGTGGCAAAGCTATCCCTCAGCTGAACTGAGACATGCATATAGCCCCTGCACCCTTACCACAAGTGAAGACTCACGCCCCACCCCTAGCCCGACTTGTCTTCGTCTCGCCAGCTCTATTGCCGGGTCATACAATACTCCTGTACCCCTCGGCCTTGACGTCGTTTGCTGCTGGCTGTGGCCATTCATTGATCGGTCGAAACGTCAATGCGGGGTCTATGTCCCCTAGAGCTCCCTAGTAAACAGTCCACCCCCTGTCCGCTCACTTTGGAATAGGGCCACTAGTTAACTCATCTGAGACGCAGTGACCAACTAAAACGGTCACCTCGGCGACATGGGTTGAGACCAGAGTGATATCTTGGTACCTTGATGGCATCAGCGGCAACGACTCATGGTACGATTGCCATTCTATTACCCAATCACGGCACCCGGTCGTGTCAAAATTATAGAGTATGTAGTAATTTCAAATCACTTCAGCAGATCAGATTTCTCATGTTACACTGGGAGTCGCGACGTTTCAACAATTTAGCATTGGGGGTTCGGGTCGGGCCGAGCGGGATAAAGAAGCCGGTGGGAAGAAGCTTTGATTGATCTCCTCTCTTTATTACAGTAATATTGTAGATACCTCAGTAGTATATATTGCATCATAGCCATGTAAACAGGAGTAGGAGAGAACATGAGCCGGGCGATCCACTGGCTAGTAGAGTTCAAGCTAACTTGCTGCAGTTTCTGCCTCCGATGTATTAACTCATCCTCTCCAATCCTTCTACAAGATCACTTTGTAAAACATATGTAACTATCCTATGCCGGAGACTATACAGAATCTATAAACTTGATTGTTTCAGCACACGTTTATCTTTTCTTACAATACGTTGGCACCAGATACAGGATGACGGACTCCGTCTCCAAAACAACACACTTGTATTACATACAATGATTGTATTGCATGTGCATTTACCATCGCCTTTACTCTATGTATGTACATGTGCCAATCAGGTCGAGCCCCCACGCCTAGGTCTAAGTAAATCCCCAAAAAGCTTCATCACCCCAATGCCGTTTTCTGTGAACGCCTCGCTTAGTCCTGGTAGCAGTGAACAAAGGTCTCAGTGAGGAAGCTGCCGGTTGAAGCGCAGTTGGGGCCTTTCCAGAACTCATAAACACAACGGCCAACCTTTGCGTTGCCATTGTTGGTGTCGACCACGTCGGCGTACCATGTTCCATCGGAGCGGGAATTATCCATGGGGCAGTCACCCCCATTGCGATCTAGAGTATCACTTAACACACAACCTTCTCGTGAAGCTCGCAGAATACATACCAAGCTCATAGCCATTAGGTACGCCACCACCAGCAATAGCCATATGACAGAAATTGGGCATGTGGCCGTTCTGGCCAGGGCAGCCGCCAGATCCATCGGATGGATTCAGTCGGGTTGCGTCACACTGGTTCACGCCCTTGCCGACAATGGTATAGTAACACATACCAAGCGACCCAGGGTTTCCCCAGGTACCAGCGAGGCCTTCACCAGAATAGGATCCCAGCCAGAAGTCGTCGAGGCCAAGGACTGCGGTAGGTGCCATCGCCATGGCGAGGCCGAGGAGTGCCTTCTTGACGAACATTTTTGTTTCGGTGGGAATTTGAATGGATGGATGAATGGTGAGGAAAGGTTGAAGGCGAATGCTTCTTTGGGGAGGAATTGCTTGTGAGTGAGAAGATATCAAGGGAATACGGAGGTCTACTGCCTGCCTTATATAGCTTTTCGGGCGAGGCAATGCTCGCTTGTTCGGCTAATTTGTTGTTCATGGACGGTGACCCTGGAAGACCGCTTTGCCGACTCAAGGGTTTCCCCATAGCCATCTCGCTCTGGAGTATAACCCGGGTTGCCGTGGAGCTCCACAATCTCTATACCGTGCCATCCCCGGCCCCCACGTAGCAGTCTGAATTCACGTTGGTTGCACCCTGAATGGACATATCTCCGGTTGCACTTGAGTAAAGATACATGCTCGAGTTGCGTATGCCTTCAACATTCTACATGCTTGTCGATTCATTCCGCACCATATCAATACTAGAGTTGACCACATCCATTCCTGTGGCTTGTTGGGGCATCCTATTTCACAAAGGCTCTCTCGGCATTGTATACTCATATGCCACTGTAACATATCGGCTTCATTTACTACTGAACGGCTAGCAACTTGGTAGGTACCGACTTGAGGCGTACCGATTTGAGACATGTTAGATTGGGGGCGATATCAATCCTATATCGGCAACTATGGCGAAGGATTCTAGATTCACAAGGCGACTATACATCAGGAAACGACCGGTATGGTACATACGAGCATGTATGACCATTAGATTCAACCCTGAGAAAACCACACGTCTCCTCAATAGGGGACCTTGAACAACTACTAATGATCTTTTACTGTGCAACGCTATCATTGGGAACCTGAATGTCGGGAATATGCACTCACGATATCTCCCATTCACTGGAGCGCCAGAGATATTTTCCCCGGATGCAGCCACGTTATCGGCATCCCAAGGGTCAAGCAAAATTACCGCTATTCCAACGCAACTTATGGAGGTGGGACTTTCTGAGGAAATGGGGGCTATAGACTTACTCCGGAGTACTTCCGTTATTATTGGGATTCTGTGTACTAGACATCAAAGAGGCTTAGATCTGGGGCTCGGGTAGCAAAATATATACTGAAAAACAAGGAAAAAATAGCCAGGCAGCCCACCCTATCAAATTTATCAGGGTATTGCAATTAACCAGGACACTCTGATTGGACAAGGCTTATGCCGACTTCGGTTAGTAGTGGCTGAGGATTACTTCTTTAGGAAATATCCAGCTTTTTCTAGTAATAATGTGGACCCTGAATAATCTGGTTGGCCCCGTGATCTGGATCAATATCTTCAGGTGCGAGCCGTGTTTATCAGTCAGGATTTAATACAGCAGTTGAAGGGAAGTCTCGCCCCTGCAGAGGCTGGATTCTACGATATTAATTGTAGAATCCAACCGCGGGGAAAGCTCAGATGATAGGTAACGATCTGGTCACATGGACATAACTAGTAGTAAAAAGAGACCATGCCAAACGCCTGCAACTGCCGTTAAAACTCCGAATCTGCCACTAATACTGCCAGTAGCCACAGCCTCGGTGCATACCTCTGGTCGGGCTTACAAGGCTATGTTGGTGGGTCATCAATGTGGGGGATAAAAACTATATGTGATTGGGCAGCTCGTATAGAACGAGTACTCTGTAAATGATCTAACAGACTAGGGCAGAAAAGGATCAAGCTATGTGCAATATAGGGCTGTCGACATTGATGCAGGGTCAGAGCCTCAGCGTGACGAGCAATGCTATGCACTAAGAACCCTTGGAATTCTTTGGAATATATCGGGCCGAGAATTGGTTACCAAAGATAGTAGGCAGAGTCATGATCGGTCTGTACTAAATCCGCACCGAGATCTATACGACTAGTTAGTATAAGGGTGTCTTGGCAGTCTTGCGGTATTTTGCCTCGGAACTGTGAACAGAGGAGGTGTCCTTACTTAATCCCCATCCCGCAAGACATGAACCAGACCTTCGAATGAAACAACACTCGATTTGTGAACCTGCCCGAAGGCGCGCATTCTGTAGTTACAAAGCGACGTTCAGGCTTGGCCAAGCAGTAAAGCACGTAATCAGTGTATTTCGAGAGGAATCTAGTACAACTATACTCTGTACTTTGGTTCTGTTTTTATTTTCAATTTTTTTTGTTTTTAATTTGTTTTTATTTTTTTGTTTAAACTCTCATCATTGTGAAGCTTCAGATTCCTGCAATGCGCTGTACGAGTCTGTATGATGTATCATAACAGTAACCATATGATTGAAGGAGAGCTTTAGAACGGACATGTGGGTTGGGTATATCAGACTTTTAGGACTCAAGACAAGCACTCGGCACAAAGCTTCTAACCAAGCAAGCTTTGGAAGCCCATTGGCCCTGACTGACAGATTCATTGCATATAATCATCACGTGACCAAGCAACAACAGGATAGTTTTAACAATCAAATCCCTTAAAAGGAAACATGCCACAATCAATAGTTAAGAAAGATAATACTAGGCTGTCTTAACAGCTGTATACCCGCTTATTTACCTTCTGATTGCGCTTCAAGTTATCGTAGTCGAACGTAAAGAATCGGACCTCCATCCGCCTAGGCATAATATATATTTTTGTCCTACATGGCCTATCAGGATATTACTAACTTCGGAGTTGCTTACACGGGTATCATTGTATCTATCGCTGTGAACTCTCAGCGGCCAAATACACCTTGAGTTCTACACCATTATGAAAACCTCAGAACGCCCCTTGTATACGCTACCTAGCAGAATGTTGCGTTTAATCCTCATCACAGATCAAGAAGTTGCCAAGAGATGGGCTCGGGTTCGGCCCGGCGCGAAGAAAAGTTGTTGATCTATGCCGAGAGGGTTGAACCCCAAGAGCCTGAATCCGGTATACTCGTCCGGCTTAAAAGGACCTTTGGCAATCCATAAACGTGGGACCGGATGATTACGCCGATTTCATCTATCTCAAACATCGTGTCCAAGTTTATTCCGTCCTTTTCGACGCTATTGTACATGAAGAATAGTGCAATTTTGATCTTTTCCTTCAGAAAACTGGGGTCTAAAGGTATTGAGCTACTAGCTTAAATATGCCTTTATCATAGGTACTACTCGAACATGAAATTTTATTTTTATTATTTTTTTTTTTAAAAAAAGATCTATCTATGTATTCCTATGCTAGCTGGAAAGTTGCCAACACAATTACATCTAAACATCAATGGTAGACAGCATCGGGATGTTCCATCCGCCGATCGCAGTTTGCTGATCAATCCAGATAAGCATTCTGGCCTTGCAAGGAGAGGTTCTCGAAAAATTCAGCCCTGCAATCGTCTCGCAGGAGTCATTCTCTTGAAGGAAATGATCGTCTACATGGAATCTCGTCTATATGTCTTAGTGTGATGCTGCCACGCGTCTTCTGATTTTTCCAATTGTGCCAAGAAAGGCACCCACTCGCGTACGTACGGAGCTCTCCGTCAACGCGTTCTCTACACGCCTCATATCAACGCCACTAAAACTGCTGGCTCAATGGCCATACCGAGATACTAACGAAAAGGACCGAACAGCGGTCGAGAAGAGCAATGGGTGCGGAAGGTTGGCTAGTACATGTACCGTCTATTAGTGTATGTACCAGTTTCGCACCCATAGTTCAGCCACACGTTTCATGTTGAATTAGACTGTTCATATCTTGACGGTTCTGAGAATAGATACTGACATCTCATTGTAGGATTCGAGCTGTTCGAATGCACGAACGCTTTCAGTTGCAAACATGCCAGCCAATTCTCGTTGGCAGCAATTTTCAATCGACAGTCATGTGAAGGGATAATTGAACCTGGACCGTGTATATCGCAACTGTGAAACATGCAAGCGAAGATAATGTGGTGTGGATTCCCGGATGGAGTCCGATTCATCATCCACCCACACCCATGCCAAATATAGGGCTTGCACTCGTGGTCTCCATGCCAAGCCCGCAAGACGCTGGTATGGGGCATGGGAAGGTTTGAAAGGACGCTCGGAGTTTGCGATGGTAGGAATGGGTGGTATAAAAGCAGATGATACTGCCTTCTGATTGTTTTTAACATGACCCATATCTGGTCTTGACAATTGTCGTCCGGTCTCTTCATCACCCCGGCGTGCCCAGACGCCTGTCACTCGTTAAACCATTTTTCTATTCACATCATGAAATATTCCATCTTCAGCGCGGCACTGGCTCTGGCAGTCAGTGTGTCTGCTGCTGCTTTCCCAAAAGTGTCGTCTAACGTCGACAAACGTGAAACTGCCAGCCAGATAATCCCCGAGTACTTCACTGGTAGCTGCAGCAAAGAGAAGATGACCATCCGTAAGGAGTGGCGCCATCTGACTGCAAACCAGCAGAACAAATTCCTCGATGCCGTGCAATGCCTGATGGACAAGCCTGCCAAATCCGGTCTGACGGCTACTACCAGCCGGTTCAGTGACCTTCAAGCTCTTCACCGTGGAATGACCAATACTGCATACGCGGATATCATTCACCATGTTGTAAGTCGATACCTCCTTGTCCTTACCATCTTATCTAACCTTTATGTGGAAAGGGCCAATTCCTCCCGTGGCACCGCTACTACATGCACATTTACGAGACATTACTCCGAGATGAGTGCAGTTATACTGGCCCCATACCGTAGGTTCACCATGTCTGCTTTCGCCTATTCCCCGCATACTAAGCTGTGTTACAGGTGGTGGGACGAACAGAAGGACGCCGACAGCGGTAATATGTGGCAGTCATCCATGTGGGGACCAGATGCCTTCGGCGGAAATGGTACCGGATCAGACCTATGCGTGACTGACGGTCGTTTCGCCAACTACACCTTGCACATTGGTCCTGGCGACGAAGACACCGACTATTGTCTGCGCCGTGCATGGGACAACGAGAACGCGATTGCCAATGCGAACAGCACCGCTCTCAACAACTGTAACGCTTACAACACTTTCTCGCCCTGGTGGGATTGCATTTCCAACATTCCCCATAAGGGTGTGCACACCTACATCGGCGGTGTGGTACGTACCAGCATCCTCAATCCTGCAGTATAATGGTCCCTTGCTAACCAATTCACCTTTTAGATGGCCGATATTAAGTCCTCCCCCGGTGACCCAATTTTCTTCATGCATCACATGTACATCGACCGTGTTTGGTGGAAGTGGCAGAAGGAGGATCCTATCAACCGTCTCTACGATATCAGCGGTCCTACCTTGAACCATACTGCCAATGTCGAACCTGCCGGTGGCTGGCAGAATGCAACCCTTCACTATGAGTTGTCGTCCTTCAACATCAAACCTAATGTTACTATTGGGCAGGTTATGAACACCCAGGGTGGATACCTTTGCTACGGGTATGATTAAGTCTGTTATACCTAAAGGCATGGTAATCTCAGGCAACTGAAGCTAGCATCCACCAAGACTATTGAATTGCAAGAAGCAGCTATAGAAGGACAAGTCTCGAATGGGTAAATAATTATGGCAATTGCCAAGAAAGCTAACCAATAAAGCCTTTTACAAACCCTAACCCTCCGCCTAAACCGTATCCAGGTCGATCATGTAAATTCTGTGGGCGTACCATCAATTCAAGGTGGCAGTTGCTGAGGTCTTCACGAAATGGTTCCGAGCAAATGTTTATGAGGTTGGGCTTAGTGTAACTACGTACCAAAAGGTAGTATACTTTCTTCTCGGGGTTCCTTTACCGATGCCTCTGTCGGCGCCATATAGAGCGATTTTTCTGGTATGCACAGGCAGGCAGATGTGTCTACAACGATGATACCAGAATTGACTGTTAAAGGCAACGCTGAAGTGATGTAGATTGTTCTGCGTTGAAAATATTGTCTTGCAAAATTCCACAAAAATGTAAAGTAGTAAAAAAGATGCTAAAGCACATTATGCTTGCTCTCCACGGTTGGGGTGAAACCTTAGATGATCACCAGGAAGATGTGAGTCTATTTCCTTCTCAACTAGGGTAATATAATAAGGGGACTCCCCTCACACTGACAGCTGGACATTTTAGACGGATAGGTTGAGGTATATAGGGCGACAGCCATGTGTTGTTTCTCATGGCGAGGGCTGGCCTAGCTGTGGCTGTAGTCTTGGATGCCTACTGCTGCCCGCATGGATTCCAATGTCCGAGCTATATGTGGACAACGCATAGAATTCATACTGAATAGAGTGGAAGATCGCTGACTATGGAGCTGGTTATATTGAAGAGCGTTACATGCAACTCTCGTCATAGAGTGTATATATGGCAGATTGGTCTCGCAACGCCACAAGGAGCTGAAGTCTGAAGAATGGAGTTGACACATCATCTGGTGCACGATACACCCCTACATGCCTAGCACGACGATCACTCCATATTCTTGATTTGATTGGGCAGCATTTCCTACAATTAAGCTAATATGCAGACATCAGCTTGGGTTGTGTCGGCCACTACCTTTTCATTCAACCAATGAGACACAAATCTCGCTAATATTATCTCGCGACCTAGAAACTGCAATTCGTTCCGTAAATAATCGTTAGCTGGATACCATCAGTCCTTTACTATACATCCTGCTATACATTTCGGTTTATCTCAATATGAACCATACTCACTGGGAGTGACATTTAACGTAAACACACACCAGATACTATTATCTTGTATATAAGGCCGCCCGGGGGGGGGAGTCCGAACTAGTTTAATATCATGTCTTTCCTACCCAACCTCCTACTTGAATACAACATTAACCCTGTACACTGGCGCCTAATCAGAGAGCCACCTGACCGACTGACCTGCATCATCGCATCAGAGGCTAGGCAAGTAACCGGGCTCGCGCCGAGAGGTGTATGAGGCAACAAGGCGTCTATGCAAGTTGGAAGCCATCCATATGCAATGATACAGCGATATGCAGTACTAGTAGGTATGGGTTTTATATTTGCTGCCTTAAAGCTTCGGTAATTTGCAGACCAAGCGTGTGTAACCGATAATCGTTTAATAGTGCTGCTAAAGCAATATGAGTAGCATAGGCGTACTCATGCCACCATTGGGTAGCTTGGACTGTAGAGCTCCTAAGTACATAGCAGCACCTGTATTGTTCAATTGGCTGGTCATATCTCACGTTTCGGCAAGGAAGATACCATATTCCTCTCAGGAACCGCACGATCATACATCGTCATGTCGAAACGGTTGATAGCAAGGAATTCCATGGGAGTGAACAACAACTCGCTTTGGGGTAGACTGGGAAATTTCGAACAAATGGAACTCGTAAGTCCTGTAAGCTCAGAGTGGGCAAAGCCATGATACTAACAGTCAAACCTCTAGACGTCCCTGTGAAAAATTTCGATGGAGGAAGAACACAGACAGAGAAGGATCTAGTCAAGAACGTCACCGCAAACTACGAAAATCTTGTAGAGGTCAAGGCGTCCTATGAAGGAGGAAGTCACTCGGCCAAGAACAGACAAGAATATCGATACATGTTCGTCAAGCTAATCATATGTAAAACGTTTCACTCTTGCTAATATGAACTAGTATTGGACAAAGGAGGCCTCCACCAAACCAACCAGCCATGAGCCAACCAGACATGATCATCGGCATTGCCAGACATGCTGCGGGCAACAATCACTTTGATAGCTTTTCCCCCTTCTAAAGTTGTCCAGACATACCGGGTCATAGCTGAATGGGCAGGGGTAGATATCCCACTTACTGGCATGATAGAACCCATTATATCTATCGGGAGATGCAATTGGAACCGACTGAGAGACATAATCCTACAAACGCCTCTTGTCTAGTTGCTTTTCCACGACCGAGACAGATGAAATGGGTGCAGCAAGTGTACATTGGATAAATAAAAGCCTGGCTTGCCCTCCCCTCCAGCAAACCAACTCACCAATTATATTCACAATTTTCAGAGTAAAGTCCATTCCAACGCTCAACTGTGAATGAAGACATTGAAGATTTATGCTTTGGCAAGCTTAATGTATTTGCATATACCCTCTTGCGATATTGGAGAGTGTTTCAATCATAATCTGTGTGGTCACTATTCATTTCCCAAATTCCTGAGATACCACTATGAGCCTTATCAATGTACAGACCAGGTACGTTTGAATTGGAAAAGTTCTTGAACGAGCAGATGCCTCCATACGCTATACCTTCACATATATAGGGAAATGGATAGGATGAAGTATCATTTTGAGATATTACAAAGGGAAATAGTTCATATATATAAGAGGTCCTATTCTTACTCTTCAAGTAGGGCAAGTACAAAGCTCTGGTTAGGTCTTTTGTATATCTCAAGACACTCGATATTCACTGCGCTTTTGTTTGTCTATGTGTCCTCGCCCAGGTGACAGGTTGCCTACCCTGCGTGGTAGTTTTTCAAAGCATGTTACCAATGTAACATGCGAGGAACTGTGGTTAATAAGTTTTGAAAAGCCCTACTATACTTTCACGCACTCTTTGTATACTTCTCGATCATGTGATGTGGTATGAAGCTGGATGTGTGCACGACGAGGTGACTTGCAACTTTGACAACCGCATCTAGAAGAACGGTTGCATACCTAACATAATATACCGTGAGTTAGGGTAATGAGGTAAGGCCAGAATATTCTGTTTCCCTCGTAGGCCCTTTTATGTTTCTGCTACTGGCTTCCGGGCCACATGAAGGCCAAGTCTTGACCGGGAGTATTTTCCGAAAACATCGCATTCTATAGTTCTATTTACAAAGATATAAACTGCAAGACCTTAATCTGTTAACACCATATTGCATAAGAAAAGGATAATACGGTCTGCCATTGTGAGTTTTGACAGGCGCTAACTGTGATAATTGAACACAGGCACTTATGCTCGGCTACTTCATCGAGCCCGGGATCGCGTCATTGACGAACTCTATGATACAAGTACTAGTAAACCTACTACCGGCAGATATCTTATCAGAATCTGTATATGCTCGGCAATAACGGATAGACTACATTCTAGCTGCATATAAGCGAGATTAATAATTGCTCAGACTTTATGCCAATGGCGTTATCAATCTAAATACGCTGCTTGGACGTGCCGAAGGCACAATAACTCGCGGGGATGATGAAAAGAAAAGGGAATCGTAAAGTTATAAGTATCAGGAGGGTCCAATGCCTGGAATGTGGAATATCTTATTGACAAGGGAAACAGTTAGCCTGCTTTCAATACTTAGGGGCTTCTTTACTACCACAAAATGGGGTCGCTCACACAATTTAGTCTACTGCTAGCAGCAGCAGCAAGCTTGCCCTTCAGCTCCGCAGATGGACAATACCGATCTCGTCCAGACCTCACAGTCCCCAAGCTGAATATAACAGTGCCAGCACCTGACGCCAATGGCACGGAATATGTTTTTGTTGCCCCCTACGCCAACACCATCCAACAGCCTGGAGCTTATATCTATCGAAAGGACGGTGATCTTGTGTGGTCCGGTATTGGATACTACGCAGGGTTTGTGGGCAACTTCCATCCCACTACATACAATGGGAAGACTGTCCTTCAGGCGTTCCAGGGATCGATGGATCAAAACCATGGGGAGGGTGTTGGCCAACACGTGCTCCTTGACCAAAGCTATGAGCATGTAAAATCTACCAAAACTGGAAATCACCATATTCCTTCTATCCATGAGTTTACCGTCGTCAATGGCGAGACTGCTCTTGTGGAAATCTACCTTCCAACCATTGCAAACTTGACAGAGTACGGTGGGAATTCGTCGCAGCAGTGGCTTGGAAACGGGCTCTTCCAAGGTTTGTTACTCTCGGATAGTAAAAAGTGTATGCACATGATTGACAAGAGAGCAGAATTTGACATCGCAACGGGAGAGCTGGTGTTTGAGTGGAACTCTTTGGACTATCTCGATCCTGCAGGTGAGTCCATTCTGCCCTATCTATCTAACCACCAGGACTCTTTCTCACTGTGTCACATCTAGATTCACTGAACCCATTGGGATCATCCGCTAGCAACAGTGGACTCTCATCAGCCAAACCTGGGATTACGTTCACATCAACAGCATTGACAAAGACGACGATGGAAACTATCTCGTTTCATCACGACACTTCAGCACCATCTTCAAAATCAACGGAACCGATGGCTCCATCATCTGGCAGCTGGGTGGCAACCATTCCACGTTTACGCAAGATTTCACATTCGGATTCCAGCATGACGCCCGCTGGAGATCACAGTCCGGCAACATCGACGTGATATCCTTCTTCGATAACTCAGGCAACGGTCAAATAACTTTCAACAACGTCTCTAGAGCCTTGTTTGTCCAGCTCAACCACACGGACAACACGGCAACTGTCCTGCGAAAGGCCACGGCGCCTTATGAGCTGCAGGCTACTTCTCAGGGTAACACCCAGTTGCTTTCGAACGACAACTTATTTGTTAGCTGGGGGTCGGCAGGCGCCTTCACACAATTCGGCGCCGACAATGAAATCCTGTATCATGCGTTTATCGAGGACGCGGTCAGTTACCGTGGGTTCCTAGCCAATTGGACTGGTACGCCAAGTGAAGCTCCGGCCCTGGCAGCCTATGTGGATTCAGCCAATACCACTAGGTTATATGTTTCGTGGAATGGAGATACGGAGACTAAGACCTGGAAGTTCTACCAGGTTCAAGAAGGTGGTGATTCCAACAAGGCGCAGTATCTTGGCGACCAAGTCAGAACATCGTTTGAAACAGCTTTCCTCTGGGAGAGCGAGTACTATCCTACGAGCGATGTGAAGTTCTACGCAGAAGCTATTGGTGGTAACGGAAAGGTCCTCACAAGGACTTTGCCATCTATCGCAGTCGGCTATACTGACATTGCGAGTAAGTAATAGAACAGGCTCCCTAGAACTTGGCATGTGGCTTGAAGAATACGAACTACCTTTTGGTTGTACAATATCATACCAGTTGAGGGTTTATACAGGCAGATAAAAACCAACCGTGTACTTAGAAATTATATCCAGAGAGGAACCCTCGTGAAGTGGGAGCTCAGGGAAGTAGTGTATCATCATAGTCTAAATGAATTGCCTCAGATGTAAGCTCGCCAGCTGAATCGCGCCCGAGGGTATTCGAATACATTCCCAGCCCCTTGCATGACGACCCACTTTCCCCCGGTTTATATTAAGGTCTACCGAATCCAGTTGAGCACCTACTGCAAGGGGCAGCATAAATAAAGAAAATGAAGAAAAAGTGAAACCCGAGTTGCAACGCTGGGGATTCAACCTTGACAAAGCTGCGCGATATTTCTGTGGAAGCTGATATCCTCGCGTTGTACTTTTGAACATCACCCCAACAACCAGCCATTATGGTATGCGCGTGGCTTGTTCCTCTGCTGGCATGGTGCGCGACCACTGTTGCTATCACGAACAAGGCCGCTCTTCGTGATTGTCTGACAACCGCCGTCGGGCACGATGCGACCCTTGTCGCGTTGGACGGGGACCTTCTTTACCAAATACATGCGGTACAGGTCTACAACCTCAATTTACCCATTACGCCCGCCGCAGTCACATTCCCAAAATCCTCAGATCATGTCACCGGGGTCGTCCGCTGTGCGACTGCGTTTGGATACAAGGTCCAGGCGAAGTCTGGTGGTCACAGCTACGGAAACTATGGTATGTATTGGTTTCCAAAAGGCACCTGATAGTGTATAACTAACGGTTTAGGTTTGGGGGGCACGGACGGCGCGATTGTCGTGGACCTTCGCCATATGAAGCAGTTCTCTTTCGATGCTACCACCAAGCAGGCCACTGTAGGCGGAGGCATGCTCAACGGTGAGCTCGATACCCACTTACATGCCGCCGGGAACCGGGCGGTCGCACATGGCACCTCCCCACAAATCGGTATCGGTGGCCATGCTACCATTGGAGGACTGGGTCCGACTGCTCGGCAGTGGGGGATGGAGCTGGACCATGTGGTTGAAGCAGAGGTCGTTTTGGCCAACGGGTCCGTCGTACGTGCATCAGCCACACAGCACCAAGACGTTCTGTTCGCGGTGAAGGGCGCCGGGGCGAGCTTTGGGGTCGTGACCGAGTTTGTGCTGCGGACGGAGGAAGCACCCAGTGAAGCAGTCGCGTACACCTATACCGTGGAGTTGGGAAGTGCGAAGTCCCGTGCTGCCGTCTTCAAACAATGGCAGGCGCTCATTATGGACCCACAGCTCAGCCGTAAATTTGCCAGCGTGTGCACTATCACGCAAGCCGCAATGGTCATCTCCGGCACCTACTTTGGCAGTGAGGCGGAGTTCAATGAATTAGGCTTAGGGGAGCGGTTCCCTGGTGTCACTAGCTCAAGCGCCATTATTTTCACGGACTGGCTAGGCCTAGCAGCCCACTGGGCGGAGCAGTCGCTGCTGGATTTGACAGGCTCTATTCCCGCGTCGTTTTACTCTCGCTGTTTGTCATTTACGGAGAGAACACCCATCAGTGAGGAGGGTATCGACCGGATGTTTAACTACCTCGCTACCAAGCAGTCCGGAGCTCTGCTGTGGCTCCTATACTTTGATCTCGAGGCAGGGGCTATCAATGACGTGCCAACGGATGCGACAGGGTACGCCCACCGTGACGTACTCTTTTGGATGCAGTCGTATGCAGTTAGTTTGGGTCCGGTGTCGGGAACAACATATGACTTTCTGGATGGGCTCAATGAAGTCGTCAGGAATGGCACGCCGGGCATCGGTATCGGCGTATATCCGGGGTACGTCGATCCAAGACTAGAAAACCCACGACAGTCGTACTGGGGGAGTAATCTGGGAAGGTTGAGTCAGATTAAAGGTTATTTGGACCCGGATGATGTGTTCCATAATCCACAGGGCGTCCTGCCGGCATAGCAAAATGTAACCTATCTTTTCCAAGGAGTTATATATATGCGCAGATCATCGTCCGGTAATAGAATGACCTCCTTAGGAAAGTGATATCCGAACACGTGACAACCAAGCTGTGTTAGTAGTCGTCGTTCTACATTGCCTAGTACCGCGAGCATTTGCCATGGAGATACGTGCCACCTGGTTGAGTTCATAGTCTTGCTCGAGGGGTCGGTTTGGGGGATATAGGAAGGGTTTCTCAAAGCGGATTATTAGAGGATCACCAGCAGTCATTATAGCTCAGTTCCCATCACGAAAGATCTTAATTGATTGTTCCCTGATGGAGGAAAACCGAGTACTAGATCTTGTTTGGCCTGGGCTGCCGGGAGTCTACTTCTCCACAACCATTTCATCTCGGGCCTTCATCACAGAGATTTAAATCACTACTTTGACCTCTGCCTCAGATCTTGAAATCCACACAATTGCGCCCATTTGTATGTGGGCCAGACCTTCGGATCAGCTGCATTCCAGAACCATAGCTGGCCATTTTTTAGTTCTTCCCGGCGGGAGAGATCTTGGGCGAAAACATGCGTCTGGCTCCTAACATTTCCATTTGTGTGGGTCTTGCTGCTGATCCGGATCAAGCCCCAGTGGACGCCCATTCTGGAGCTTTGATATGCAATCTCACATTCAAACACTCTCCCGGCAACCTGATGAGGTCCGCATGGGATTTGAAAGATCATCTGACGGGTTTCAGCATCATTTGTTATGCGGCACTTGCATCCAAATACACCACGACGGTTGTATGCTGAGGCTTCAACAATCTCGGGTGCCACATTAGTGGCCAGTATCTACCACCCTCCGTTGCCATGGCTGATCTCGTTGTGGATACATTTATTGATACTCGCAGCGGTAGCTCCGATGGGTATTCTATGGTTGTCGGCTTTGTGATCATGTTGTCCTGTACTGCAAGCCAAACTGCGGGTCCAGTTCTGGCATCTGAAGGTGCATGTCTTGCTTTCTTCAAGAATAATTCATCTCTTATATGGTCTGAGATAATACCAGTCTTTCCGCACAATGAACCATAGAGTGATATAACGAACATACCACCATGACGATGGCTCCCGCCCATACCATGCATACTCCTACGTTATCCTCTGTCTTAAGACTGCTCTGTTAACTTATTCAAAAGAACAGCCCCACGAGAGCGGCCGCGTTCAGCTGGCTTTCGCTGAGGATTTGCTTGATAGTGGACGTCAAGATTGGCACAGCCTCATGGGTCCCTCAGCCGCACTCGTACGAAGCAGTAATTATTATTCCCCACCTGGTTCATGTATTGTAATCACAATACACGCTCTTGGGTATTTTAACTTCACCTCCGGGTAGAACCAAAAAGCAGGAAGGAAGAAGGAAAAACACGGACAAAATAGAGCATGGTAACCAGAGTGCATATGAACATAAGAAACAGAGCACAATTTGTCATAGTCACGCTGGGAGTATACCAAGTCAACTGTCTTCCATCCGTTCTCTCTTGCGAGGAAACTGCCGCAAGACATCGGGAATTCTGCGATACAGTACGGTACATACAGAGTTGAATGATCGACAACTGGGCAAAGTTACGGTTACGTGATTCATAGAGATCGTCGGAGAGTATAAATTCCCAGCTGCCCCTCACCTCTTCCCTCCTTCACCATTTTCCATTCCACTTCCCTTGCCAGCTATATATCGTTCTGTGTTTGAGGCGCAGTTTATGCCCAACAGGACAGCTTGTTTGACTACCAACAAAGAAACTAAAGACAAAGGAATATGCCTGTCACCCTGACGGTTGCAAAGCACGGGGCAGAAGAGTGGCGCGCGGAAAAGGCCACGACCGCTGAAGAGTTGCTCGAGGGAACATCTGCCAGAGACTACAGACGCTGCAAAAGACTGGTCCAAAGCTCTTTCGACGAGAACAGGGTCGACGGGACGCACATCCTACAGGAACGCCATATTTCACCATCAGAAAACGGCCTGGTCCGGGCAGTCTTCGCGGCCTACAGCAATCATCATCATCTTATCATCCGCCCCGAAGATGTGTGGTTCGCCATCCTATCCCAACTCGGCTTCTACATCAACGCACACGCGGAAGAACTAAGATCGTACTTTGTTTCGCATGAGGGACAGAAAGAGCTCACAGTCAAGAGTGTGATACCCGACTTTGGGCGTCTGGCAGTCGCAATGACAGAGCAGATCCAGGCAAACGTCAAGGACCCTGAGCTGCGGGAATGGATCATGCCTGCATTCAGCACAACCACCCCATCTGACACAATAGTCTCTGCCATTTTGATGATGGGCGCCATGCAGAAATACTTCTCCTATACCATGATGCTCATGTGTGGTATCCCCACCGTGACGTTACTCGGCGAGCGGGATGACTGGGTCGTATTACTTTCAAAACTTGACAAGATTCCTGAGTTGGGTGAGGAACCGACACAATTCACAAACCTCCTCCGGCCGGTTCTCGAGCACTTCCTCGCATCGTTTGATAGCCCGTCTTCCCCCAGTGTTCTTGACTTCTGGGGAAGGTCTGTCCATCGCGAGGGCGGCGGTAGTGGCCCCACTTATTTGTCCGGCTGGATCACGGCATTTTGCTTCTGGGATGCTAGTGGCGAGCCCCTCTATCATAAGGGCTCGGTGGGCCACGGTCTGGGTTGTAATCTCGATGGTGTCGGGTATCACCGTGTGGACACAAATTCGATTCCTTCTGGTTTCAACACTGTTCCTGTGAAAGTTGACGACAACGGCCATGTTTATCACACCATAATGGTCGCCGGTCTGGTCGGAATCCAGGCCTCAGCAGGACCAGGTGCTGAGAGCACGAACCGGGAATCTGGATCTTTGAACACTATTCAGCCGGTACCGGGATGGTGGATGTATGAAATCGACTCAGCAGCGGAGGAATCACGGGAGAAAGAGAAACGTGATCTTCAAGCCGAAATGGACACTATACAGATGTATGCCGATTGGGATAGTGACCCCAAGCTCAGAGATCGTTATTGGACGCTGTACAGCATAAATCAGAGATTAGAGCAGTTCTGAAGTCCATATGCTTAGGCCTTTGATTACAACAGACACTGCGCCAGGTAAATGTGTCGTGGACCCGGAAACTCTCATTAAACCACAATATAAACATTGCTACCTGCTCCTGTGCGCAGTTATCCATAAAGGAATAGATATCGATTGTCATGTATTGCTCCACAATATGTTCCTATGATAAATCGCCAATACTGAGCGTAGCAGCTGCATTTTGAGACTGTGGCCTATATAAAAGCGCCGTAAGACAGCTTTCACATATTTTTTGCGAGGTAGTCACTACAGCATCCTGGTTGGTAGTGTGACATGGGCTAAGGTAGAAAATGTATGCCTTGAGATGTTGTAATCCTGCACCCACAGATGTCACTGGCTACGACGCAATTTCAAACAGTACGTGAAGGATTGAACGGTGTTCATTGCTCTTATCAGTTAGTCGTATCAAATCATAGCCTGCGTCATTATCGTACTACTTCAAGCGAGCTTCCACAACACCGACCGGTATTCCTGGAGCTCTCCACACTTTGACCAGCCTGAGGCCAGATATATCAAGGAGACGTTCCCAATCCTTTTCTGTGCGTTCACGCCCAGCGAACGTCATCATGGTGTGGTCCATCCAAGCATGGAACATGTTGGAGCCAACTTCTGGCAGGATATATTCTGTGATCAGCACCCGAGACTTCTCGGGGTCCATGGCTGCGGCTAGGTTCTCCAGGATCTGCCTTGACTCTGGCTCATCGGGCCAGTCGTGGAGACAGCGGCGGATATAGTAGACCAACGCCCCTGTAGAGTAGTGAGCTACTATAAGAGGCAAATTATTTGAAGAAGGCAATAGTGTCTACCTTTAATTGGCTGTGGCTGGAAGAAATCATGGGGCATGGCCTCAATTCCATGCGTCTGTGTTTCCGTTCCATTATCTGTGATAACGCTGGCCTGGTCCTGGAGTATGAACCTTCCTTTCAGCTCAGGAGCGCTTTCCTTGATTTGACGCAAGATGTGACCCCGACCCCCTCCCACATCCACAATGGTGGCTGTGTCCTCACTGGCTAAGCTGCTCAATTCCTCCGCAAACGGGTAGAGGCCAACTGCGATGAGTCCCGAGTCCTGGGCTACCATGGCTTCATTGAAGGTGGTAAATCGGTCGGGGAACTTCGATATGTGCTCAAACATAGTTTCCCCTTCGCAGTTGTGTACAAACGTATAAGGGTTGTTGCGCAGACGGAAATCATTTTGCCAGTTCTGGCGGCGCAGAAATTCATGGTTCCTCAGCATGGGTGTGAAATATTCATCCGCCCTGAAGTTCCCTTGTTAGATGCTCTATTGTGAGATTGCGTCATGGACATCTCTTACATTAGCTTGTAGACCCCCATCATTTGAGGTGCCATGTAGATCTCTGAAAATGGGGTGTGAGCGTATTCCTCTTCCCCGGTCTCCCGGAACGGTCCCATTGGGGTGACTGCGCGCATAAGGCGTACTATGTCTGTAGTTAGCCACACCATGAATCAGATACTAGATCATAATACCTACCGATTACATCTTTGTCCACGCCAGTCTTTGTAGAAAGTTCCTTGGCTGAAATACTTCTCCCTCCTGTAGGGGTGGCGTGGAATATTCCCGCTTCAAGGAGTGCTCTGATGGCTCCCATATTCGCTGCCTGTACATCGTCAATTATTTACGTGACGCTATATTTTGATCAGGAGTAATTGCATTTAGTCTGCTTTTCTTACATCTTCGAACTTGGAAAAAACCATATCTGCAGGCCCGCGAATAGTTTGATAAAGTCGAGCGGCCTTGGCCATGAGATCGTATCTGGCATCGTAGCTGTCTGCCTCGGATAATCGCTCCTTGTACCGAGTAGCGGCAGCAATGACCTGATCCAGATCCTCCTGGATGGGATCAAAATTTGGATCGATGCTACCCATTTGGATCAGGTGAGCTCCTAAATCGACAACAATGAAACTGCAGACAGCATACCCTTGTCAACACTATCCCTGCAGGGACCTGGCAATCAACTTATAGATGGTGCGAGAAGTCCGAGATGTGGAGTGCGAGGGGGTGGCTTCTACAGAAACACCAATCATTATGGTTGGGGCACACTAGCAATGTGATATGGGGACTTTTATGTTGCAAAGCCCTTCCGAACGCTCAGCCTCTGGTGGGTGGTTAGGGCTCGCACGGTTGAGATATCACACCTCGTATCCCCACTGGACGGTATAGCCAAAGCTTCAGGGGCATACTGAAAATCAAATCTCCAGTTGGGATCTGCACAGACGGAACGACGCGACAATCTACATCGCTCTGATTGGCAAGGTTGATCAGTGTATACACATCAACAAGACGATCTGATTACGAGTTCAATGTAGCTCAGACCACCCGACATTGCTAAGGTTGACCGCATTCCTCCCACGGAATCAATGCGTCCCCAACACGGAACACGGATGTCGAGACATTAGAGCTATTCTCAGCGGAAGCCACTACATATCTGACATGTCATTCTCACCCCCACTCTATGATTATCATAGCCTAATAGGGCATAGTTGATCATACTAACACATCCTCCGTGAGCAACATCCACCAATCAAGTCATTATCCATGCATCACGAATGGCACCATCTGCGATCACCCCCATTCTAACAGAAAACCAGTTTTCCCTACCACCTGGCTCCTGGGTCTGCACAATGTAAGACCCCCTGTATGCTTGCATAGTAGTGCCAGAATGGTTGTCTAAGCTGCTACACGTCAGCCATAACCCTGAATTATAGCAACCGTCAACCGTGGTACTAGCCTCACCTTTCCAGAGTCTCGGTGAGCTTATCCGAAGCTAGACGGAGCCTAGTGTTATATGATCTTGTTCATTAACGGGTGGAAGCTAACATCCCATTGCAATGAAAGATGTTAGACAGATTAGAGCCCCATAGCCACCAGCGAATCATTCAACGTGATCCCTGATTACTTTACCAGTGTAAAGCATTTACAAAGCAAACGCAAGGGATTCATTGTGCAAATTATGACTAGTTGCATTGAATTTAGCCGGTCGCAGGTCTATGACACATCGTGCAGCCTTATACTCCATTCCATACAATGCCGAGCCCCCTTCTCGTTGTCGCAGTCCGTTCGGGGTAATAGCCCATGAATGCCAATAGAGGTGTCAAGTACCTAATGAAGATCATGCCGGTCCCGGGCTGTATAGCTATTGGCTCCTCCAATATTCCTGGATTGATCCGGTTGAAGGTAAGGTTACATTCTGACCGGTTTCATTCCAAGAAATTCCGGAGAGGTAGTGGATGATGCATGACTACGATCGACTGCATGGTTCACTCCGGAGGAGTGCAAATAGCAGGACCCATACTCGTAGGATCGCCGTCCGATGAAAGTTATCCGAATACTTTTAAATTTTTCCATCGGGGAACCCAGTGTTGCGAAGATCGTTGTCCGTGCTTCTGTTTTGACCAGACCGGCTGTCTAATGGCCGAACCCTATCGGTGATCGAAAAATCAGGCGACATGTCAAAATAGAGCCATTCAGATGATTATTGCATAATGTGCCGACATATAAGGACAATTTCCCCAATTCTTAGAATATGTCCGACTTCAAACAAGCATGCACGTCTGCGATGGTGGAATTTGCTCCTCTGTTAAGAGCGCAAACCAAACGCAGGACTGAGGCCCAGGCGTCTACTACACTTTGGCCGCTATAACATCAGACATTCGCCATGGATCTGAGCAAAATACCGGTAGCCCCTCCACCACCAGGGGTTACTCCCAACTTCGACAACCCGGAGGGCTCAAAGTTCAAGATCTACTCCGTCAGCATTGCAATGTGCTCATCCGCGACCCTTGTCTTACTTCTTCGATTGTATACGCGCTTTTACATTCTAAGAACATATGGGCTAGATGACCGTATGTACTACCCCATTTATGCCCTACGCCCATTCTTGCATGAGCTTCCGTCGATGCTGAACATCACCTAGTGTGCTGCGTAATGGGGCAGATCTGTGCGTGGATTTTCGCCATCCTGAGCTTGATCAGTACGTATCCTTCACTGGGTTACTATGTCAGAAGGCAATGACTAACGGATGAAGACGTTAAAAACGGATACGGTGTACATGTCTGGGACTTGCATCTCGACACACTAACACCATTCAAAAAGGTTTGTCTGTCGCTCAGCCCTTGAATATATGCCACATACTAAGCAGTAGCAGTATGATCTCGCCGAGGAGGATATCTACGCCCTCGGTGTCTGGTTCGTCAAAACGGCCATCCTGCTCTTCTACCTTCGACTCAGTCCCGAAAAGCGCTTCCGCCAAATGACTTTCGCAATCATGGTCTTCGTCGCTTTCTACAGTCTCCTGAGCATCCTGATTTTCACACTCGGGTGTAATCCAGTTCGGGCTATGTGGGATGTCACCATCCAGGATGCCAAATGTGTCGATCAGTTCGCGTTCGTGTATGCGAACGCAGCTTTCAATGTGTTTTCTGACCTCGTGACCCTGATCCTCCCCATTAAGATTTGCTGGTCGCTGCAGACGTCACTAAGGCAAAGAATGCTTCTTATGGTCGTTTTTGGGACGGGCTCATTGTAAGCACTCTACCACGACGGGTGGATGTGGTCACATTGCTAATGGGGTTTATCTAGTTGCTGTGTGGTAGCTATCCTACGAATCGTGACCATGATGCCATATATTCACAGCAATGACTTTACGCATTTCAAGGTCACCCTCGCAAACTGGTGGTATGTTCATAGGTCCATGTGATCCATATTCCCCAGAACTACGATAGCACATACTAATCATGGTAATATAGCATGATCGAAATCAACGTCGGCATAATATGTGCCTGTCTACCAACAATGCGACCGCTCCTAGCCCGAAGCTTCCCACGGATTTTCAGCAGCATTGACCGGAGCAACAACAAGAATTACAAAGGCTCGGCTGGCAGCTATTCCTTGAAGCCACGCAGGAAGATCCACAACTGGGACCATCTTACAACGCTTCAAGGCACCCAGTTAACGACACAAGATCCGGAGAATCGCAAGAATTCGGAAAGTGTCCAAGAGCTGGTTAAGCCTGATGGGCACAATGAAGCCCAGGGAATCATGACAAGTACAGAATACTCCGTCACTTACAATAGGGACCATAGTCATCTCACTTGAAGTGAAATGGTGAGCGATCGAACATGGGCCGTGTGGTTAAAACCTCTATTCTAATTATTCATATTATTTGGGGGATATTCTTACCAATGGTGACTATTTTATCACATGTATTTACTATGTAGTATTGATTTCTGACAAGTACACGAATATCCAATCTAATCATGTCAAGCCTTTGTCAATCATCGCTTTTGCCTTGTACTATGTCCCGGCCTTGCCCGGAGGAAACGATGTGATTTTATCCCTTACATATCGGACGGGACACGAATCGGCCCGCCAGATCTCCTCCCCCTTATGTAGGGTAGTGATCGCCGGACCCTTCCTGCACCAGTTTCAATAGTTGGTCTTGTTCTTATTTCCCCATTTGGATTCCATCCTTAATGCCCGCGGAGATCAGTGTCTGCCTGTCGCTGCTAGTCCAGTGTGGCATACTTGACAAATCAACTCCTCTCCAAGGCTCAATATTATTCTATTTAAAAGTGCAAGCCTGCGCGAGATATGGCGCTATTGCAGGCTTATTGTCGGTGCGGCTGACGTTTACCTTCCTTTAGGCATCTTGGAGGCTTCTCGCCACAGCAACCAGGGGTTGCTTGAAACTAATTGTTATTCTTGGAAGGTGCTGGGGTAAATCCTAGGGTTCACAGGTGAAAGGGGGAAATATGGAGGAAGTAGGATAGGACAGCTGTTGTATGATATATGTGGGTAGGACGAAGATACTCATGCTGTTTATAGATACTAGAGTGGAAAAGCCGAAGGTCTATGAGGATGGGAAAGGTCAGTCAATAAATTACCAGTGCTAGATTCCCTATCCTTGGATAATCAATAGGGTTTTTGATCTTCCTCTATAATGTAGATATGGTATTTCCATCTTATCATCTCGGCCCATCGGTGACACACCCATGGCTGGCGTCGCTCACTAGAGTCGCATACTTCCATAGCGTTCCCTTGGTCGCCCGTGGCTTGGGCGCCCTCCACTCACTTTGTCTTCTCTCCATCTCTTCATCAGACACCTCCAGGTCAACCACCCTCTTTTCCGCATCGATCACAACCCTATCACCATCTCTGACCAACGCAATTGGCCCACCCTCCATAGCCTCTGGCACGATATGTCCAATCAAGAAGCCATGGCTTCCACCAGAAAATCGACCATCAGTCAGCAACGCAACATCCTTGCCAAGCCCGGCGCCCATGATAGCGGAGCTGGGTTTGAGCATCTCCGGCATGCCTGGTCCACCCTTGGGGCCCTCGTACCGGATGATCACCACTGTTTTCTCTCCTTGTTTGATTGCGCCTCTTTCTAGCGCCTCGACGAAGGCATCCTCGTAGTCGTAGCATCTAGCTGTACCCTCAAAACGTAGACCTTCCTTTCCAGTGATCTTGCCGACCGAGCCTCCCGGGGCCAAGGATCCGCGTAAGATCTGAAGATGACCCGTAGGCTTGATAGGGCTGTTTAGCGGACGAATGATCGGCTGATCCGCTGGAAAGTCCGGCCATGAGGCTACATTCTCTTTCATCGTTTTGCCTGTGACTGTAATTCCCGATCCATCGATCAGACCCTCCTTAAGGAGGAACTTGAGAAGCGCCGGTGTGCCGCCGATCTTATATAAATCGTGCATAACATACTTGCCGGAGGGCTTGAGATCGGCGAGGAATGGCGTCTTGTCTGACACGGCTTGGAAGTCGTCGATTGTTAATTTGATTCCAACCGAGTCAGCGACGGCAATCAGATGCAAAACAGCGTTGGTACTGCCGCCGAGGATGTTGACGACGATCATGGCATTCTCAAACGCTTGACGCGTGAGGATATCCTTCGGGCGGATATCCTCCTTGAGCAGGTTCTTGACGGTCTCACCTATCGCCTCACATTCAGCCCTTTTAGCTGGATCCTCGGCGGGAGTACTGCTACTTCCCGTCATCGTCATTCCCAGAGTTTCAATCGCAGTGGCCATCGTGTTCGCGGTATACATGCCACCGCACGCACCGCTGCCAGGACAGGCATTGCGGATGATATCGAAACGTTGCTTCTCATCAATCTGGCCGGTAATATACTGACCATACGACTGGAAAGCACTAACCAGATCCAGGGGTTGACCGCTTGCAGAACAGCCGGGCTTAATACTTCCACCATACATCATGATACTCGGACGATTGACTCGACCCATGGCCATGAGGACACCGGGCATGTTCTTGTCACATCCGGGTAACGAGATATTCGCATCGTACCACTGTCCGTTCATCACGGTCTCGATACCGTCTGCAATGATCTCCCGGCTTTGCAAACTGTACCGCATACCCGTCGTTCCCATGCTGATTCCATCTGATACTCCAATGGAGTTGAAGCGCATCGGTACGAGACCGGCCTTTGCGACCGAGTCACGTACCAAGGACGACAAGTCCAGTAGGTGTTTGTTGCACGGGTTGCCTTCGAACCATACCGATGAGATTCCGACCTGCGCTTTCGACATGTCCTGCTCGCTCAGGCCGGTCGCGTATAGCATTGCCTGGGACGCGCCTTGTGATTTCGGTTGCGTGATGTGCGCGGAGACTTTGTTAAGCTTGTCGCCGGCATAGCGGCGGGTACAAGAGGAGAAGAGACAACTGCAAAGTTGGAAAGTGGTCAGCATAACAGTATCTCTTGGCCCCGAATGACGACCTAATACTCACAAATTTCCCTGGTTATTGAATGACTCCCTCGCCGTAACGGCCGAGAGCTTGGTGCGAAGAACACGCGCGCTCATGCTGGATATGTGCCTGTTGTTCAATTGAGCTGCAATTTAAGATGACCGTTACTGGACTACTGGCGCCTTATATTATGCTGACCATCCAGCGAATATACCAGGTACATGGTCGCAATTGACTCAATCACACTTCGCTCGACCCCCTTACTGGGCATGGGATTGTCATTGTTAAGACATCGCCCCCAACTCCGAACAAGGATCTAACGGAATTAATCCTGCGGTGATAGAGCTGTAAACCATTCTCATAGCATTTACAAACTCTCTGATTGGCCCTCTTGATGTGTTTCAGTGATATTGTCGTTGCTTACGCCCGGAGTTGAGGTATGACTCCGGAGAGCCCTAAAATAGGAGATCCTGGTGATCCAGTGGAGATCGGACTTCGCGCCGTGCCCACTTGTCCCGAGATCGTGAAAGCTTGTTGGGCAATGAGTACATAACAAGGGAAGCTAGTACCAAGGGCGACAAGGGAATAAGAAATACACAAAGAGTTAACGGTCAAAAGTTCTTGCTCATCTTGTAGGAACATACTAGCGGTTTGTACAATTATATTAACAACCTATGAAGTATGAGTGACAACTAACTGTAAGCAGAATATAGTTATGAACTACCAACCATGTATCACCCTGTAGCCGTCACTCAACGATAGGACTAGAGTCACCTTCTGCCTCTCTTCAGCAGCCATTTCAACCCCTGATGTGTGATGGGAAGACCATGCTAGCCATGGTCGCCATTGAAGACACGTGTAATCTCCTAATCTCACGCGGGGAAACCTCTGAAGAATTCGTACGACTGTGTAGGCGGCTTCAACGAGTAAGAGGTCCTCCAAGTATCGTTTAATCTAGTAGAAATGTTCTGTTTAAACCAATAGCCACAGAAAATGGGTTTCCTTCCATCCTAAACAAACACGAGGGCCACCGTTGAAGGGAAAGTAGCCCCAAGTCGCTGTCGTCTCGTCTCGATACAAAGGTAAATCCTCATCCCACCTCTCGGGACGAAAGACATGAGCGTCTGGCCCATACAGATCCGCTCACCTATGCATCGCGTAGACACAGAAGGCGACAATTTGACCCCTGCGAACTAACACCGGCTTGTCCTGGTTTTTTCCTCTGCCTGTTGAAAGTATAGTGGTTTTATGTACAGTCCTAGTGTTTACCGGGATGGACGGATAGAGCCGTAGTACTAGCATGGGGGAATAATAAGCACGTACCATATGGCGTTGCCATGTACTCACCTTCTTAACCTTATCGAGATATGGCATCTTTGTCAGCGTATCGCGTGTCATGTCATCTTCACTGCGCACAACCGTTGCTATTTCAGCGTTCAGACGCTTGAGGACATCGGATTGTTGTGCCAAGCAGAAGCTACAGAGTAAACGTAATAGATAGACCAGCGTAGAAAGGCCCTAGCTTGACCAGCTGCCGTTGCGGCCTTTAGTCACAATGTCTAACTTAACAGGCATGCTGGCGTATCTCGGCCAGCCAAGAGCACATTGAGTAACTGGCCCCTAAGTACTTCCCTGGTGCTCGCATCTTCCGCGATAGAACCGAACACACATTGCCCATGCTTTTCACTGTTGTCCAGATTATCTCTCATCCGCTCTTCGATCATCTCCTCAATGAACTGATGGACAGAGGCACACGAACGCCAAAAGCTAGGGCCATTGATTAACCAATATAGGTCTAGTAGTCTGACGCGCTGCACAACATAGCGCTGAGCAGTATCAAAGTCCTCTGCAAACTTCTGGCCCTTGAAATCCGCAGACCCCATGCTAGTGATTGATTTCCCGAACAGGAGTTCCGTGACCGTTTCCAATGTTAGGCGGAAGAACAACGGCTGGAGATCCACCTCCGCTCCATCGGCGGGTATCCGACGAAGAAGACCGTCGACGTGAGGTCTGAATACGTTGAGGGTTCAGTACTTGTGTCGTGACAGTTGTGGGCGGGGTATCTCTCTGGAGTGCTTCCACGCATCCCCATCTTGTGTATAGATACCGTCTCCTAAGAAGAGAAAGAAGATCTTTCGCCGCAGTCCAAAGCCAAAATCTGTTTGACATAGTCAGCTTGTGGCTGTATAGGTTTCCTAGCGAGGCGTAGTAAGACCATTGGTATTTGTCATAATTGCCTCTAGATTCTCAAGATACTGAATTTCCGATCGGACTAGTCGTATGAAAGTATTAACAATCAAGAATTTGTCTCGAATGAACCGCTTACCTGAAACGCCAAGTACCTCCGCAATAAGTGGCAGGTAAGCCATACTGATGCTGCCCCAAAATATGTACGCGGAATGCGACAACATACTAACCACTTGTTCAGCTGAGGCTAGACAACGGGTCTAGTCGCTAGTTGCGGACACTCGGCCTTTTTCAAAGACAATGTTAAATCAATATTGGGCATGTTGAACACAGGCCAATATTTTCTGTCTGCGTCAACAAACTTCAGTGAAGGGTGTGTGCAACATTGCTGGGTACATAACTAGCACCTAGAGGCCTTGGTTTCGTCATTCGAAATCTGACAGGTGGACGCTCCCTTTGTTCACCCGGTACTGTGGCACAAAAAAGCAGAAGTGGCCCTCCTATAGAGCATCGAAAGTGTCTGACAGAACGGTGCGCCGCGAAGAAGAACAAGAAAATTAAAACATAGCTATCTCGTCTATTCTCGCAGTATTCCTGGCGGGATTGACTCCCCGCAACCGTTGCTATACGTCATTCTCCCTTCCCCTCCTTGAATAGCTGAGGATCTAGTGGGATGATAGAAGTCTTTCCATAGCCACATCATCACATGATGGTCCAATTTGGACAGCTTCAGCAGTCCCAGAGATATATATGATGCTAAAGCTCATGTTTCAGGACAAGTGCTTTTCCTAGTAGCTGGTACTAGCGTCGCGTCTCTCTCCAACCTTGAAACTCATTGAGTTAACGGTACACAGCCAAAAGTGCATTATAGTGTTTTCGGCCGATCACCACTTCGCAAAGCTATTGGAAATACTACTTTCATCATTTGAACTATCTAATGCCACCGAGCTACGCTTCTTTTGTTGGTGAAATTTGCACAGGCTTAGGTGGATTATCCGATCGGCGTGGCGCGGGTTTGTCCCTGCGTCATCCACTTTGCAGCATAGGTAGCTTGTATCTGGGCTACTTATCATAGTGGAGGTGAATACAGAGTATAGTCTAGGGTTATAGAAATGCCTACGTATACGTATCTCAAGCGTTGTTATCAAAAGCCTCCCCCATAGCGAGCATTGCAGTAATGAATATCAGGTTTCCGTCCACTGACAGAGAGAATTATTTGCAACTCGTGAGAATTCAAATGGTAGATATTGGATGGCTACAGGACTCGCGATCATCGTCCCAAATGTAGTAGCCTAATTTCTATTATTGAAAGTGCCGAAGAATCCCCTTCTCCAAAACCATCGTCCAGAGGCCAGGACGTACTAGCATCATAATGAGAATGCGGGTACCATTGCCCCTAGGCTGCGGATATATAATCTAGTAGTTTCAAGGGTCCAGCGCCCCCCTTCTCCTCTTCTACCATTGTCGGTCTCAGGATGAAGCATCTGGTAATGTTCTTGGTCAGGGTTACCTGGACTTGTGACTACGTTCCATGGGTGGCCCCGTCCACGTGATTGGAGGGTTCGTTCTTCTCTCTGCGCATTCAGCGTTTTCGTTCTTCCGCTCCATCGCAACCCCAACACGGATAAAATGAACACGAATACGGCCGCCATGGACAGCGCCACGCTGCACAAGATTCGCTCGCGGAGATCACATCATAAGTCTCGGCTAGGCTGTAAAAATTGCAAAAGGCGACGGGTGAAAGTGAGTATCTCTTCTATTTATTGTTTTATCGGCTCGTGTGAACCTGGAATGCTTCGCAAAACTGTCATTCCTCACGGCGAGAAACATCAAAATGCACTCCAGCATGTGGGCTTATCTACGTTCTCTCATATGCTTCCGGCCAAGAGGATATGACTTGTTGTACCAAAATCTGCCCGACCATGCGACTGACATGCGACAGTGTGATGAGAAGAGACCGTCGTGTACGAATTGCGTAAACCACTCTATTGAATGCGACTTCTCCGTATCTACTCCGACATCGCCATCGCCATCACCACCGGCAGCATCATCGGCTCGTCAGCGGTACCGATTCAAGCAATCCAAGTATCAGACTTTATCCTCTTCGGCGCCTAATGAAGCAATTCAGCGCCCTGGCGACAACTCTGTTGCCGTCCAATGCAATCTTTCCGTCAACAGCAGTGCCGCGGGCGGAATCTCGTTTGCGGATCTTCAACTCTTCCATCACTATCTTATATCCACATATCGCACCCTTACAGATGAGGCTTTGGATCGGCACGGTGTCTGGTCGATTCACATCCCACAGTGGGGAATCTCGTTTCCCTCGATCCTCCATCTAATGCTGGCTTTGTCGGCTCTCCATCTTGGCCATCAAAATCCAGATCTTCGGCACCAATATGTGATGCAGGCAAATGATCATTTTACGTTTGGAATCCGATCTGTCACCACCGTCCTATCTCAATTAAACTCTGAGAACTGTCAAATGATTTATATGTCCGCAGTCATGATCTGTCTCGTGTATTTCGGACATGGCCCCCGACCAGGAGAATATCTCGTATTCAGTAGCCAGGGGCAGGCGGAGTGGCTAGTTCTCATGAGGGGAGTTCGCTCGATTCTGGCATCAAACCACGCTGAGATCTTCTCGGGTATCCTGGCACCTCAGTCGGATGATAATGTCCAAAGCGTCAGTCCCGACTTGGAGGGGGAATTTCGTCAGCATTGCGATCGCATCAACGAGATAAAGACTTTGATCGAGATGCAGACGGCTGGCCCCGAAAAAGACTTGTATATTCGTGCCGTGGGCTGCCTACCGGACAGTTTCGAGGAAGCTTATAACATGCGGAGTGCGGGAAAAGACGGTGTATCTTTATTGCCTATGATCATAGGTTGGATATATCGACTCCCAGAAGAATTTATCGTGCTTTTGGAGAAGAAAGATCCATTCGCACTCGTTATTCTGGCTCATTGGAGTATTCTACTAACCTATATGACCTCTTCCTGGCTCTTTGTTGGTTGGGATCAACATGTTATCAAAGGTATTCGGGCTTCTCTGAAGGGGGAGTTCCATGATTGGATCAGCTGGCCTGAGACTGTCATCAGCATGCGAGCCTAGTATGTGATTCACCTGTGGACCCTCTTCAATATATGCTGAAGGACCCGACACCAAGTCATACTGGAGTACTATGTGATTGTATATATTTTCTGTGCTCAAGGAACAAACACCCATACAAAAAGATTCCAATTGAAGGATCCCGGTGCTCAAAAGCTCAAACGGTCGCAAGGAATGCTTTCACGGCATCTCGCCGAATAAGTCTATTTTTAGCAGCAAACTAAAGAGTATCCACCACTTGAACCCTGACTGCGTGATACATGCAGGTATGAGGCGATAAATATTAGATACTACTATGTTAGGGCCTAATCTCTGAATGGCATGGCTCAGCATGTGACTTCTACACTTCTACCTCCCCAGAGAATCGGTTATTGTTCTTTTCTAGACCGCTGCAGGCAGTACACGCGACGTTATCATCGTCACAACCCCCTCTTCAAACCAGAGTAGAAGTTAGGCACGATACAGTATATATGGACCTCGATTTATTGTCTGACGACCAATTGAATGCTCCTCACCCCTGGGGAAGCCTGCGTGGGGGTTCTCAGAAGAATACGCTCCTGGCTACAACCCAAGATAACAGCTACTTCTCGCTGCATAGACTATCCTGGATGTCTCAATTCCTCCATTCTTACAAAATATCAATGTCTATACTGTTTATCACCAGTGCTGCGACTCAGTTATGGATGCTACGAGACAAGAAAGTTGGAGTGTTTCAAAGCTGTCAAATGTACATACAGATGGTAAATATCGATCCTCGTTTCAAAATTAAGTGAAGTATCGCTTGGTTATGAGATTGACCAGCGCTCTAGGTCCTCTACCTGGCAGCATTTGGATTGCAAGTACTTTTCCTCTTTCCACTTCCGACTGAGCCTCGAGGAACATTGCAGATCGAATTTCTATCGGCTGCAATTTCATCGGCTTCCTTACTGTTGTTAGGTATAGTGTCATTCTTAGAGTACCGTCGCACAATTCGTGCTTCGTGGGTGACTTTACTATACCTTCTAGCTAGCCTGCTTGGTGATGCTCTGGAGTTGACCGCGCCCAAAGCGAGTTTCCAAGACCAGCTCCCAAAATCACCAGCTACTAGCCTAGCTCTAATAAAGGCTGCCCTCATCTTTCTTCAGTCTCGCAATAAGGAGCAAGTGTTAATGCCCCATTTCAGGAAGTTACCGCCAGAGCAACTAGCGGGAGCTTTTGGAAAGACACTCTTTACATGGATCTACCCTATCCTCGGAAAAGGCTATACGAGTCTTTTAACGCCGCAGGATATTCCTGAGCTTGAGAGAAAATTGAGCTCAGAACACCTACGGAGGGATATCCTTCGAGCCTGGGACCAAAGGGGTGAGTCCATGAGATATGGAACATGGTAGTCTCGAATGCTGATCTCTACCCAGGAAAGCATGAAACCACGCTGACATTACCAGCAACATTGCTCCGATTTGCGAGAGGGGCATTCATATCAGCGATTCTGCCTCGCGTGTTCCTGATTCTCTTCCGATACTGTCAGCCGGTCTTAATCAACGCTGCCGTTCGTTTTGTTAACAATAAGAGTGAAAGCCAAGACGATGCTAACTATGGTTATTGGCTGATTGTTATGGCTGGTACTATCTACTTCGGACTGGCTGGAAGTATTGACATCCCAAGTCTCTATTACTCTTAGCTAATGGTAGAGTAGATGAGTACCGCCGTGTACCACCATCAGCTCAACCGGCTACAGATTATGATTCGCAGCGCTCTCATCGCACTCCTTCACCATAGAGCGCTGCATGTTGAAAGTGGCCACCGTGACAATGGAGGACCGATCACCCTTATGAGTGTTGACGCGGAGACTCTAAGCACCACTGGAGAAATGTTCCATGAAACATGGGCTTACATTTTAGAAGTGGCCATCGGCACAACACTGTTGGCTGGTCAAATAGGCTGGTTGTGCTTGGTTCCACTTATCGGTGTTTGCTGTAAGTACTGGTGTATTATGCGATGGTCTTTCCTTCTTTTCCTCCAGACACTCACACTGAAAAGGCTCGTCCCTAATGAGCGCCTACGTAGCGCGTCACTTACACACGCGGCAGCGCAGCTGGAACGCCGCCACACAAAAACGGATGGCAGTCACAACGACCATGCTTAAATCTATTAAAAGTATGAAGATGCTTGGTATCTCTGCCTCGGTTAAGGCATTGCTGTCTGGTCTCCGAAGTGAGGAAATACAAGCGTCGATAAGGTTACGGTGGGTTATGTTTGCATATAATGCCAGTGGTAGGTCGTGAAGAGCGTAACCAGAGGTCCGATTGGTATCAGTGCTAACTATTGACCCTGCACCCACAGCCAACGCTCTGGGCATGTTCGTGCCCGTGATAACACTGGTATTATATGTGCTTTTTGCAAGATTCAAGACCGATGGCGCCCTCCCTGCAGAAACGGCTTTCACATCTATAGCTCTACTCGCTATGGTCACTCACCCTACAAACATGGTCATGACCATCGTTCCTCGCGCAATTGCATCGCTGGCGAACTCCGAAAGAATCACGAATTACTTGATACAGGGTACAAACGAAGACAGTCGAATAAATATAGAGGAAGCTCAGGTCGACTCGGGCATTGCAGAAACCCATGAGCGGGCAGCTATCCTTCTAGCCGACATGACCATCCAGTATCCCCGTACCTCCAAGCCAACATTGAATCAGCTTAATGTTAAAATCAAGAGAGGGTCAACTGTCATGTGCGCCGGTCCTGTTGGATCAGGGAAGACAACTTTGGCTCGGGCGCTACTCGGGGAAATACCACCCTCTAGTGGTGCCATTTACACGTCCACTAAGCGCATAGGGATATGTGCCCAGGAGCCATGGTTACCAAGCGGTAGTATCAAGGAGGTTATATGTAGTGGTCCTCAGACCGACGAATCCTGGTACGAGCAGGTTTTAGTGGCTTGTGACCTTGTAAAGGACCTAGCTGCTCTCCCCGATGGAGATGGGACCGAGATCAAGTTTCCTGGTCTCAATCTGTCCGGCGGCCAGCGACAGCGTGTGGTACAGTTGTTGCTTCAGCATAATCCCATCTGGTCTTCACCTCACATGCTAACCGTTGTAAGGCACTCGCCCGTGTTTTGTACGCTAGGTCTGAGATCGTCATTCTTGACGACACCTTCCGCGCGCTTGACGGCAAAACAGAGAAGACTATCGTCGATAACCTGTTAGGCCCTCAGGGGATCTTTCGAAGGCAGGGTACAACAGCTGTGGTGATAACGAACTCGGGTAGGCTCTTGATCTCTCTATGTTATTTTAACATTGAAACTAATAGTAACGAAGCCCAGTACCTCTCCCTGGCAGATCACATTTTAATACTATCGGATTCTAAAATCCAGTTGCAAGGCTCCTGGGATGAGCTACAACTCGATGCCCAACAAATAGACAAATTCATGCCCGATGAGCCTGGTCACCGAGATGTTTCACAAGTTGCTAAAGGCCAAAGTAATGCTAACCCGCAGAAAGACTACAGGGTTGATGCAGCTCGAGACCTAACACGACAGAGTGGAGACCTAAGGCTCTATGGTAAGGACAGGTACATCTGCTTTAATGCTGGCTAACTATCCTTCAGGGTATTACCTCAATGCGATGAGTGCTTGGAATGGCCTTTTCATGCTATTGTGCACTGCATCATATTCATTCTTCATCACATTTTCTCAATACTGGCTAAAGTGGTGGGCCGAAGCTGGAGACGAGAAGTCCTTGTTCTACATGGGCGGCTATATGGTGTTGGCTCTGGTAGCCTGGATTTCTACGAATGGAACTATGTGGTAGGTACTCGCGAATGTGATAAGCAGATTATTTAGCCTTCTATTGCACAGTTTCTGATAATACAAGGTTCACGAGTATGAGGATCTCTCCGAAATCAGGCGCCGTTTTGCACAGCCGATTGCTAGACTCGATGGTCGGGTTCGTTTCAAGAAACCTATTTATCCTGGTCGTATCCTGATACGAGATACATGCAGGGCTCCATTATCATACTTTTCTGACAATAATATCGGGGTCATCTTGAATCGGTGAGAATGAATCATGTCATCTGTATGCATGTGCTTACACATTGTAGCTTTGGAGAGGATATCCAGTTAGTAGACCGTCAACTACCAAACGCTTTCCAGGTGTTGGGAACCCGTAAGTAGCCCGTCCTAGAGTTTAAGTGGGCTCTAACGGAAGTATAGAGGTATTCAAGCTATTTGTGCAGGCGACAATACTCTTTATCGTTAATCCAATGATGGCCGTCACCCTGCCCTTTTGTATGATCATTGTTTACTCCGTGCAGAGAGTCTACTTGCGCACTTCGAGGCAGCTACGGTTTCTTGAGATTGAGTCAAAGTCAGCCCTTTATTCAAACTTTGTGGAAATGGTATGATCCTTCTTCTAGATCAGCGAGGTCTAGCATGGCATTAATTAGGAACAACAGGTCGATGGCCTTGACACGATACGTGCACTTCAATGGCAGCAGAGATACACTAGCGACATGGTGGGAACGATCGATGCCTCACAAAAACCGGCATATCTACTCTTTTGTCTACAAAGATGGTTGAACCTCGTTCTTGACCTCCTAATTGCCGTGGTTGCGGTTGGTCTGGTAGCGCTAGCGGTGACCTCCCGGGGAACAGAGAGAGCAACAGCCGTGGGTCTATCGCTGAATATGATTATCCTTGCCAATACAACCCTGCTTCGGCTTGTTGAATCATGGACCTCACTAGAGGTCTCCCTAGGAGCAATTGCGCGGTTGCGCTCTGTTGTGGCGGAGACACCCCAAGAAGAAAATACTAGTGATCAGAAGTGGCCTCCACCCGTTGACTGGCCGGTCTCTGGGAGGATTGTTGCTCGTGGCTTGGAGGCCTCATACAGGTAAGCTTGAAATCATATTCAATATTGTTGCTTTCAGGGCTAACCCGAGACTTCAGTCCTCCAAAGCTTGCTCTCGAGAACATTCACCTAGAGGTTAATGCCGGTCAGAAACTTTTGATCTGCGGTAGAACTGGAAGGTACCATCTCTTATTCTTTGGGCATGAAGCAAATCTAACCAGTTCATTCCTCCACTGTAGTGGCAAGAGCACACTGTTACTTTCCTTCCTTCGTCTGTTGGACCTCCAGCACGGCTCGATAACAATCGACAATATCGATATTTCCACCATATCCAACACATACCTCCGCCGACATTGCTTCATCACAGTACCACAAGACCCGTTCATCCTGGCAGCAGCTACTCTGCGCTTCAACATTGACCCCGACGAATCTCTCCCGGATACCACACTGATTGAGATCCTGGAAAAGACAAGGCTTCTGGAACATTTCCGCCAATTCTGCCAGTTTAGCGACCAGGATCCGTCTGAAAGCGAAGCCCTTCTAGACCTTCCAATGTCCTCACTACCACCTCTTTCCGCAGGACAGCAGCAACTACTTTCATTATCACGGGCACTTGCGCGCGAAAGGGGTTCCACGGATGCTGAATACTCTGATCTTCAGACATGGCGTCTTGCAGCAGAACGCAGACCTATTCTTCTTTTGGATGAAGCCACGTCCACCTTGGATCCAGATACTGAAGCCGTAATGCAGGATGTTATCGAGGAGGAATTCACCCGGAAAGGGTATACGGTCATCATTGTCGCTCATAGAGTAAGTAGTATGGTTAAGTATTTCCGAGATGGTGTGGACACCGTGGTTCGGATGCGTGAAGGAGGGATTGAGCAAGCGGTGCATACCCAAGCGGCGGCAGGACTTGTGCTGAAGGATGGTGGAGAAGGCGGAGGGTGTAACAATCCCTCGGCAGTGGTACTGTAGATGTACATTGCATACCCTCCTTTTAAACCTTAGTGAGAATATTGTGTATAGAGGTTGACATCAACATTGAGGAAACATCTCTGCATTGCAAACAAAAGCCACAGCCTAGTTAACAGAATTACAACCCAATCCAAAAAGGAAAATAGACCTCTATGAGCAGAAACCAAACAAAGAAAACACCACCAACGCCCAAACCCTACAAAGGAATCCAAACACTCAACACCTCTGATACCCCTTATACCCGGCGAGAGGCACCCCATCCCCACCTTCCTCCATACCAGCACACAACCTGCCAGCCTCCCCAGCGCGTCTCGCTTCTTAATCAACAACCCCGGATGCCAGAAGACCAAAACCGCCATCGAGAGAAACATCATGGCCGCATCAAAGACATAAATATACGCCTCCTGCTGATTCAAAGCCGACTTAACCGCCCCGAACTCCACCAACCTGACCAAATTCCTTACCATCAGGAACAAGCAACTGGCGTAGATCGCCCACATATATCTCCTCCAATTCAAGTCCGGGTTGGCGGCAGCCACCCTCGTCGGGTCAGCAGCCAGTCTGCGATGAAACACCCAGGCGATCCAGACAAACACCAGGAACACCACGAGCGCAAACACGAGTCCGACGAGGACGACCTTGCGTCCGATATCCATGACCTGCAGATCACCTGTGATCTGGACGCCGGCGCCACCGAGCTGGGTGAAGAAGCAGACGATGTCGTTTAGCACGAAGAGAACGGTTATGCGTTTCGTGCGCATGGGGGAGAGATGCTCTGCGTCGAAGGCGCGGATGATTCGACCCAGGACCATGTAGATCGTTGCGGCGACGAAAGGTGGTGCGCAGAGAATGAGCATTTGTTGGAGGGCCCAGGATTTTATGAGGGTTCTGTTATTGTGGGACCAGGCTCGGCCGTAATATCCAAATGTCTCGCCTGGGATATGTGTCAGTTGAGTTCAGTTTGTGGTGTATGCTTTGGGGGGGTGAAGGTGGTAGGCGATGGACGTACATATTCCGCCGAGGATGAGAGGGATGAAGTAGGCTGCTTTGTAGGGAAACATCAGGATGATGTGGATAACAGTCGTTATGCCGAATATGGCCATGAAGGCGTAGCCGGCTGTTTGGGATGGGTTGTAAGGGTAGAATTCGACCCAGGGCGAGGAGCCATTGACGCCTTCGTGGAAAGTGAAGTCCATTTTCTTGGGGTATTTCGTCAAAGTTTGAATATGCTAGAATGTAGTCAAAAGGTTTGAAGAAAGCATATGTTCATTTCCTGAGAATCAGAACTCTCGTCCCTGATTTATATCTGATGTGGCCATAGGCATCAGAAAACGACGATATTACCGGATTAGGGAATTCTGCTCACGAATACGAGTGGAGCCCCCCGAAAAGCTTAAATGCAGGGATCAATACATTGAGTACGCCTGGTGGTGGAGACCCCTAATTTTAGCTATGCTTGTATTTGGTTCCTGGTGGTGATTTTCAATGTTACTCGGTGGGTCAGCTGGGTTTTGACGAATTGCGTTTGCTGTTTTGGTGTACCTCTGCGTGTGGTGTGAGGATTTCTCTGCCGATCGCTGCATTCCAGGCTGTGAGCTTGAAACGGCTGATGGCCGATGGACTACTCTGGGTCTATTTGTTCTTGATTATTTGGTTGTGCGTTGTTGCCTGGTTACTCCGTGTGGTCCTTGTCAATACATGACGCTTTAATTATGGCCTTTGGGTCAATGGCAGATATCCCGAGTCTATCAACTGGATGATAAGAACCCATTGGGCAAAGTGCATCCCGAAACATGAAATCATACCATTGACCACGGGCATGTATTACGGCGAAGGCCTTCATGAGTCGGCCAGTGTCCAAGATAGGTATCGAGAGTGGTGGAGCAACTCCCGAGGCTACTGGCGCCAATATTAGCGATAGACCAAATTTGATCCCCTACATACAATATTACACAAATAGTAGTACCAATAGAGTCTATGAAAATATGCCATTGAAATCTAGGCTACAACGCTCAAATTGCACCATAAAAAGCAGTCTATCGTGAAATTTATGCAGACTTGCCGAAGACCTTGAAGCGGTCCTCAAGAGGGGCGAATTCCTTGGGGCCGGGCTCGCCGGTAGGGGTACCGAAGACGAGCTGGGCATCCAGCTTCCAGGAGGCGGGCAGGTTCCAGGTCTTCTGGATGTCGGCGTCGATGAGGGGGCTGTAGTGCTGGAGGTTGGCGCCGAGGCCTTCGGACTGGAGAGCGGTCCAGACTGGGAATTGTTAGTACGGGTTTGTTTAATCACATTGTGCGGTGGGGGAGTTTATCAGGAATGGGAACATACCAAGGTACTGGGACATGGCGTTGGACTCGAGGGCGAAGGGGTCGAACTTGTCGGCGTAGATGGCGAATTTCTCCTTGATGGGGGCGAGAGACTCGTAGTCGACGAAGAAGAGGACCTACACATATTTTTATTAGTATCGGTTTTTTTGGGGGGGAGGGCTGAAGGTGGTAGGAATTGGAATTGGACGTACAGTTCCGTAGGCAGCGCGGAAAGCCTCGAGCTTAGGCTTGGTGTGGTTCTCGAACATCTCCTTGGGGACGGCACCGGCGGCAACAAGACCCTCCATGGCCTTGATGGCGATGTCCCAGACCTTCTGGTGCTCCTCCTTCAGCAGGAGAACAACACGGGAAGTCTGGGTGTTGAACGAGCTGGGAACGTGGAGGACGGAGGTCTCGACGATGGACTGGATGGCATCGTCGGAGATAGGGCTCTCGGCCTTGAGACCATAGTAGGTACGGCGGGCCTTAACCAACTCGAGGAGAGTGTTGGTGGAGGTGCTCTTGAATTCGACCTGAGCGGAACCCATTGTGACGGTGTTGGTGGATATTGAAGAGGTGGTAACTGTTGGAGGAGTGTTCGATAGGAAGCTGATGAGATCTAAGCGTCTATTGGAGAGGAAATTGAGATCTTATATACGCAATCTCGCCATTGCAGATTGTTTGGCACCCCGCGATTTAGTTCCATTGCCATAAAAAAAATTCATAATTATTTCTCTCAAATGGTCCCATCAGCCGCCAATCACATTGTGCCCTGGAGATCCATTTTTATCGGCAAGTGTGGCTTTGTAAGACCGCAGGAGAAATTTATAAGCGACGACAGTCTCTCTTGCGCCTGCTTATTGGCCGCGCGGAATTTTAATGCCACTGCCGTTGAAAAAAGTGCGGAATTACGGATTACCACCGACCCAGTCTGACAAAGATTCGATCCACAAGGCTACCCCTGTTGAGCTTAACTGATCCCGTAAAGCTGAATAATTGCCCCTGGATCTTGTCGTCGGCAATGCTATTCTTAGTGGCATCCGGCAGAGTTTGTTACGGTGGAAGAAGAAGAATCCCCTTAGGGTCCCCCTGGTGCACGTGACACGGCGGCCTTTCACTACGGCCGACACCCGCTTAATCAGCGGTTGAGGAATGAGGCATTTCGAATGGTAGGGAAACAAGACGACTCTGTTTCTATGTTGATTGTTAAGCTCTCTAATCGTCTTATCAGGATGCCATAATTTTAGCGATAATGCTCTAGGCGTGCCCTACGGTAGCTCGCCCTTTTGGACACTACGCTAGATGCAACTTCATGCCAGCGATGCAACTATATATTTTACCGATTGGGGATTGTCCACCAGTGTCCCATAAAGAACATGCAATTTCACAAAGCTGCCATTCCTAATGAGAAGTAACTGAAATGTTTGAGGTATATTTTGAAGTTGAGTACCATTTTTCCTCGATCATACACTGGGACAGAAAATTGGTAGTGAATATAGCTGTATTGTGGCTGCTCATACGGAGCTCATATTGGAACGTCATATACAGGACGTCTCAGCGATGATACTAGCGTTTGATCAAATAAGACAGGACAGCTTAAAATGGCCCTCATGTTGGCATGCCATCTACCGAGCAGAATCTAACGCGTGCATCGTCAACTTTTTATATGCCCGAACCCCCTCCACCAGCTCATCAATCTCGATCTGTTCATTGTCTCCGTGCGCTACCAGGATAGATCCTGGCCCATATAGGTACTTCTTATGATTTCCCTTGAATCGTGGAACATCAGTCCCATACGAAACAGGGGCAGTTTCGAATCCTAGATACAGGTGTCAGCCCGTTGCTCATATAAGTAACCACACCCAAAGTCAAAGGTACCTTCAACATCATGATCAAGCAAGGTTTCGGGATACTCAAACTTGAACTCGAGTCGCACATTAGAATGTCGGGCAACAGTATCCGAGACGATCTGTTTGATCCCGGCCATATCCGTCGCAACTCGGACAGCACAAAGCGCTTTACTGGTCTCCGGCACGATATTATAACTCACACCACCCTCAATTGTCCCAATATTAAAAGTCGATGGCCCAAGCAGCGATGAACCCGGAAATTGCGTTTTCACCAAGTCATTCAGCGTTTCGATAAGTGCAATATTAGCATTCACCCCATGCTGAGGATATCCAGAGTGACTATCGCAGTCAGTTCAGGCACAGCCTAAGCCAGTGCATAAGTGATGTAAAAGGAAGTAACATACCAGGCCTTGCCCTCCCCAATCAATTCAAACACCAAATGCCCCTTGTGTCCGATGACTAATTTCCCCTCGGTCGGCTCCCCGAATATGACGCTCTCGAAGCTGAGGTTCTGGGTATTCGCTGCTATCATGCCGGGTCCACCTTTTTCTTCCCCGACTACAAATAATAGCCCTACGTCGCCTTCGTTGACCGCTCCTTCTGCCCTCAGCTCTTCTAGAGCGCAGATCTGCGCAGCCATGGGCCCTTTATCGTCGCATGCGCCCCGCCCATAGATTGTAGATCCCTCAATCCGTAGCGGGATATAGGGCGGGACGGTGTCCAGGTGGGATGTGAGACATACTCGGGTCTTTCGCTGGGTACCTAGATAGGCATATACATTTTCCCTGGTTGAGCCTTCGGCGATCGGAAGGCGTTCAACGGTATAGCCGAGGTTGGTGAGGTGGTCGTCTAAGAAGTAGGCGATTTCTTGTTCGTGTTCACTTGTACTCTTGGTTTGCATCAGAGAGGACAGAAGTGAGATGACGCTATCAGTGGCCATTTTTCTGGTAACTATCTTGTTGGCTCACTAACTTTAATTATGGTATTTGCGTTGAAGTAAAAGTGATGCGAATGACCCTTAATGGGTGCGGAGAAGTGATATGCCCATGTCGTCATCGGTCCGATCAACCGATCGGATCGGATCAAGATAAGATAAGAGATGCCCAAACCGATAATTCCTGGGGATAATCGAAGGCATTGATGGAAAATCAGCGCGAAGGTCGGAACTGGGATGGCAGATAACAATTGTAACGGACTAATGGGCTACCACGAGGACGCGTAAGATAGAGCAGAGTAATAGCCTCGTGCAAGAGGCTTGGGACAAGAAGAGATATTCGATCGGTAAGTGGTACCGAGGAGCTAAAGGAGGATGCTGCAAAGCTTGCGTGAATCTATGATCCCTGTTTCCCCAATGCAGAGCTACACAAGATGGATCAGCTTCTTGGCTAAGGTGAACGGGATGGTATGACCTGCTGCATTGGATAGTCTTCCAATCCACCAGCAACCTTCTAAAGAGGCCATGGAGGACCATTCGTTGATTGGTCTTGATTGACAAGCTATTTCTGGCAGGAGAATTTTGAAAGGTGAAGTTTAACCGAGCTGTTCCCATGCGTCCAATGTTAAGCTACCGGCATTTTACGGTCCCAGTAATACCCGTGCCCATAGCCCGTGTACCAAAGCACGCGTCGACCGCATCTAGGAGCACCAGACATTCCAATACCCCACACGGATCCAACCAATCTCCTATACGGAGCCCTGGTTGAAGCAGAAGTTAGAGCAGATTCGAAGCAGGAAGGACAGGACAGAAGGAGTAAGACACTGAGAATGGCGCGGTCAGAACGCGTGATCGAAGTAAAGGTGAAGGTTTCGAATAGTGTTTCAATGCTGCACTGTATTTCTTGAATCGGCATGTTTAGAACACCAAAGGAGGCTTTCTTAACGCAACGGCGAGGCCTGGAAATATTGATAGCGTTTGAGCTCAAGGAACATGACCAAGCATGTGGGAACAGAATCCTGCATTCGGCCAACTCTCGTCTGTGTGTACCTCAACATGGCGAGGTTCGCCGTAAAAGACAGCAAGCACAGCTAAAGCGCCCACGGAATTAGCAAAGTATCACTCTCAGTTACTTGAAAATATCCTCACTGCCTTCCGCGGATGCTGGATAGTTCTGGTTCCAATGGCAAAGAACAATCCGACACGGACAACCATGTTTGGTGGGTGGCATTGGTTGCTTACATCGATGGCTTTCGCTTTGGCTACACCACATGGCCTATATTTGCTATCCTAGTACACGAGCTGGACGGCCTTTGTGGGCCTTTCGCGGGCTCAGATTGCTACTTCACGATTGACGATGCACTTCGGCCGTCATCGGACATCGATCGGCGTGTAGTTGATGTTTCGATCGGAACCAATGAGCAGAACCACGGGTCCTGAAAGGGGATGTCCAGCCACAAAGCAGCCCCCACCAATAGCCTATACCTCTGAGGTCACCGAAACAAACATCCTTTATGGCTTTCTTAGAAGCTCACCCAGGTGACAATTTGGGCTTCCGGGTCATATGATGAATCATGAAAAGGTGAAGCGACCCAGGCAAATAGAGCGTTTTGAAACCCCGAGAGATCTTACTGTGAATCAGGCTCCCAGATGTGTCAGGTTTTCATGTGAGCTTCGAATATCATGTGGTCATGACTTTTATCACGCGGTGGTGTGCTTGTTTCTTAGAGTCTACTCAGAGATTGGGGTCGTTCCTCTATAATTCCAAACTCGATCGTACTGCGCTCACTAGGCACCCGAGCCTGATTTTCCGATCGCATCTGCCATTCAGATCGAAGCCCGATCATTTCTAATAGCATATTAAATACCGGTTTGAACCGAGATAGCGTTGGGCCAACTTCAGCATCGCGTCATAAGTCCCCAAATGCCTACCCCGGTTCCATGATATCGTGTGCCAATCTAAAATATACAGCCTTAGGAAATAGAAACCAATAGATGGCAGTCATTCATGGCATGCGTAATGTTGCCCATGTTATGGATTGGTCAGATCGTAGCACGGGGTGTTCTTGTCGGTGGCGGTTAGCAATGACCACCTGACTTTCGAAGAATTGACAGATATGCGCCTAGGGCCAGTGCGTTAGAACAAGACAGTAGGCGAAGGTTTCAGTAGTCTAGCTTACGCGGAGCCGTCCATCTCGTCCCAAGAACTTCAAGGATACTCTGGATCTCATTCGCCATTTGTAAGACGTCTGAATTCCCAGTCTCGCGACTCTGCCACATAAAATTTGCTGTAGCCTGATATAGACAGTCAAGTACCAGGGGACTCATCCTGAGCGACCCACCAAGATCCATGGCCGCGCGAATGCCTTTTGCAAAGTGAAAGACCGCCCGAGATACCTCATTGATACTGGAGAGTGCCATCTGTTGTACTTCTACATTCCCGGCTACCCCGCTAATACCGCTGCAACAATATCTGTCATACAGGAGAAGTAACGCACTATAGCAGATTCCAATGGCAGAAAACAGTGGAAGGTGTGCGGTCGGATCGTATGCTTTCTCGATCCATTCTTCGAGTTCGGTTGAGAGTGTATGTGATAGCGCCTGGGCGGTGCGATGCAGCTGCATCGCCTCTTCGTATCGAAATTCGACATCGGAGTTGCAATCGTTCAGGTGGCCAAGTACACGGGAGAGGACGTGCGCTGCTTGACAGGTACGTGTGAACGGACAGACTTGGATGGTAGTATTGGCGCGGACTGCGAGAGGTTCGACTACCGTGATTTCCTAGTGCTATTCAGTAACCTGCTTAGTCCGCTTAGGGCAAGGGTTGATGTATACACCACGATCCCAGGACTTGTCATCTGCAGGAAGGAAGTCCTCTGGTTGTGCATCTTCACATGCAAGCGGGCGGTCCCTGCCGCCTAGATTAACATATCTAGATTAATGAGTCAGTTCGGGCTACAGTGTACCAACAAGCGTAGGAGTGTTTTCGATAGAGTTTACCTGTCCAATATGATTACGGCCCACCAAGTACGACGCCTTTCCTCAAGTTCCACCCATGTACCTGTGTTCTTAAGCACATTAGAACGCCACAAGTGGGTAGATCTTACTCACCTACTCGGTTAAGCATCTGCGGCGCATCACTGCGCTGGTGAACTCCCATAGCATGTCCGAGTCGTGCGCAATGTCCCACTGTTAGATATGCCGCGGGATAGATAGAGTTTGATATCTCATATAGTGCGATCAGAAGTAGCGCCTGTAGCACTTTAATGGAGAAGACATTGCTGCTCTCAACATGCACATAGCAAGCTTTTGCAGACCTGTAAAGTTCTGCATCACTAGATTCCACTTCGCTACACGGTTGCGAATGCAACTGCATCGCTATCAATAGAAGGCAAAAATCAGGTTCATTCCTACGATCCGCATCCGAGAGTTGCTGGTACAGCCGCAACTTGGAAACTGTCCAGAAACAAGTTTCAGTCTCCATCAAACAGACCACCCGGTGCCGGGCCCGGCTTGGCCATGATCTTACCTATAGGGAAGAATGTGTGGACACTATTCAAGTAAACATCAACCTCGTATCGAACCTGTGCAGGACTCCGGAGATAACGGAGGTATTCAGGCGGCAGAGCGATGCGTGTGTTAGACTCCAGATAACTTCGATCCGGAGAAACATCGGAGTCGAGGAACAAGGTGGAGAGACCGTTCATGATGGAGGAACCCGCACCCCTTGCGCTTTTCTCATATCCGTTCGGATGAGTACGTCTGCGGGGTAAAGGGCCATTTTCACCGGTTTCTTGGGAATCCGGACTTCCAGTATTGTCTGCAGCTGTCGTGGAGCTCCTGTCAATAGGGGTGTAATCGCAGGCCCTCCCAGTCTTGCGACAAACGAAACATCTAGGCCTCTCTTTCGTACACTTTCGTTTCTGCTTGCGACAAGTGAGACACGCGTTAATAGCTCGCGGGTTATAGGCTTCTGGATCTGCCATGACTTTGAGGATGTTGAGGTAGAACTTCCCGTAGACGCGGGAATTGAATGCGGGCGGGCGGCCGCCCGGAGACAAAAGTGGGCGAGGATATCACATGATTCTTGACCAATAGGAAGCACGTGCAACCTCAAAAGTAACATTCAATTGGCCATGTATCACGTGTAGTATGACCCGCTTGCCAGTCACGGGTTCTTCGTTTCATAGATTTAATCCGCCCGCATTTGCATCCGCATCCGTATGGGGCCTCAAGATGATACTATTCAACGGCTTTAAGGACGATCTAACTCCGCAATGGACCTCTACAGCGTCAATCGTAAAATTTGGCATGATGCTGGGCATATTGGAGCATATAAAAGGGGCGACAAATCCATATCTTCTAGAGCCATTCAGTGCAGCCTCAATTTGAATTTATCCAGTTCAAGATACATAATTGACCCAACCCTAACACCGTGACCTATACATCAACAATTTCCTTCACGATGTCAACCACCAACAGCTCACTTAACAACTCCAAAGGTGGCACCAATTGCCATCCCACCGCACTGGAGATCATCAAGAGCAATGGCTTAGAAGGCAAACTCCAGGGAAAAGTCATCCTCATCACTGGCTGCTCCTCGGGCATCGGCATTGACACAGCCCGTGCCCTGTCCGTCACCGGGGCTACGCTCTATCTCACCGCGCGTGATTTGAAGAAGGCCGAGAAAGCGTTGGGAGATCTCATCAAGCAGCCCAACGTCCACCTCCTAACCTTGAACCTCGACTCGCTGGTCAGCGTGCGCGCCTGTGCGGAAGCTTTCCTGTCTAAAAGCTCCCAATTGAACATCCTGATCAACAATGCAGCGGTCATGGCGACACCGGAGGGCCGGACGCAAGATGGATTCGAAACTCAATTCGGTACCAACCACTTAGGTCATTTTACGCTGTTCTACCTGTTGAAACCTACTCTGCTCGCGTCCTCAACCCCGGAGTTTCACTCGCGTGTTGTCAATGTCTCTTCCATGGCACACCGCTGGGGTGAGCCTGTCTTTGAGAACATTAACCTGGAGGGAATCTACGAGCCGTGGAGAGCATACGGTCAGAGCAAGACGGCGAACATCTGGACGGCCAATGAGATCGAGAGACGATATGGGTCTCAGGGCCTTCATGCTTTCAGTGTTCACCCTGGTGGTATTAGGACTGGGTTACAGCAATACGTTCCCCAGGAACAGAGGGACGCATGGGATAAGGATGATGCGATTTCTGGTGTGTGGAAAACTTCGGAGCACGGGGCTGCCACCACCATTTGGGCCGCGGTGGCGCAGGAGCTAGAAGGCAAGGGCGGGAAATATCTCGAGGATTGTCAGATTGCAGACAAATATGATCCGAGTACGGGAACTGCTGGAAAGGGATATGCTCCCTGGGCGTATGACAAGGCAAAGCAGACGAAGCTGTGGGAAATGTCATTGAACCTGGCAGGGTTACATGCCTAAATCTGATATGACGTCGGAAACTACCAGTGCAGGGCGAATAGAAACACTTGATTCGTTATTGGATACCATGTACCGTTGTTAATTTCGATTAATATGCAGCTTCTTGCAGGATAGACCAATAAACCAACAATTGCCAAGCATGTTGCGTCTATCAACCGACACTAAAACCACCAGCCCCAATCAAACCCACTCAATGCTGCAGATCAGATCAGCGCGTGGCTAGAAGGCGCATTATGATTCATGCGTGCAATCAGCCGATAAACCCCGCCTGATAAGCTGCTATTATAAAATCATGTCTTTCTGCCTTCGTGTCCTCTTCGACCATCACGAAAATACTTACTCGACGTAAAATGGCCTCTCTAACTTTGTCTTCGGGGATTGAATCGCCTTCAGAGCGAGAGAACCAACTCTTTGCGATATTGAATGAATATGCCCAACCTTCTAGCTCAACCACAGCTTCCGCAGCCGCACAAAGTATCCATGGTTTCGCAGCTCCACTTCTGTCTGATTCCAATGCGGATAGCCTAGAGAACCTGCTTTGGCAGGTTTGGAATATTGTTATCAATGTCGCGAAACAGATCCCATGTGACAGTCCATCGCAGGAACGGTTAGTGGAACTTGTGAAGGCGCTGACCGACATACCACCGACAACGATACAAATTTGGGGTGTGAGTTATCCCTCATCTTGAGCGCTTTGGATTGGACTGAATCTTCTAGAATGATACTAAACTCTGGGTGGATTTACCTCTTCTGGGGCCCGAAATGAGAGAAGCCTGGAACCGTACGTGTTCACGGATCATAGGAGAAAGACAAAAATATGCTGATGGAATTTTAGTCACTCCAACAGGCAACGAAGCCGAAGAGAAAATCAAAGAATGGATCAACCTTAACTCTTTCGTCGCACGCCTACTGAGCCTTGGCCTCGCACCATGGACCAATCTCGCTGTATGGGCTCTCCGGGATGCCCTCGAGGAAGAATCGTCGGGGAGGAAGGTGGAGTGTGACATTGCCGTGGCTAGGGAATGGTTCAAACATGGTGGGCCTGTTTTGCGACAGCAAACCATGGCTGCAGAGAACAAGGAAGAGCGGATTATGGCTGGTGGATCATTGTACCAGGGACCGGCCAAGCTGTGCCCTGAACGATGGAACTTCTGGAAGGAGCGTCTGAGTCAGATGAGCGATCAGGGAGGTGAGCTGGGACAGGTTGCGAGTACAGCGAAGACGGCAATGGATCACCTGGAAGGTAATGAATAGTATCGGAACCGTAGGTCTAGTATAGATATCACCCCGCGGAACTTTCTCCCGTACTCATATGTCATCACTAGAACCAGGGAAGATATGAATCACGGAAGTCAAATATTAGTTGGACGGCGGTGCGAAACGCTGGATGTTGACCTCCCCGATATCTCCCAATACCCTATTCGGGTATGAGGCAGCTTGGTTAAAAGCCATACTTCCCTGGACCATGCTACAAAATCTCTGGATATCCAATTGCTAGGCTGGCTATTCTCTGACATTTTAAATATGCTTTTATTTCGACCTTTAAGCTGTCCCATAGTTGTTGACGCCACGATAGGGCCTTAAAAGCGTGACATCACGACTTCTAGAAGGTTAGGAAAGATAATTAACTTCTGATAATCCCGGTACCAGATCCAAGTGATCATTGCTGACGCTACGATCGGAAGCCTTATTACAGGCAACTCCACTGTGTAAATTTCTCAAAACTGTGGACTTTACTGAGCTACGTGGGTGCATGGTGAACGCAAGTGGTAATTCGGCCATTAAACACGAGTCCCATTTACAACAATATTATACTGGGCATGAATGGAGCAATCTGGTAGCTAATGACCAGTCCAGAGTATTGGAGCCGGCTACTTATCGTCCTCTCGATTGTTGGGGCTGTGGTAGCTACGCTCTTCTACCTTCTCCGGTTGTATAGCCATTGCCTTGGTACCGGGAAGCTGGACGCTGGCGATGTACTCCTAGGTTTAGGACTGGTATTATCTTATGGCATTACCATAACGACCGTCGTCGGTATGTGCAGCGATTCTTATAGGTAATGGCTTCATTATTGACTGTGCTAGCTGCATTGGAAGGCGTTGGTATAGACCTTGCAACTCTGTCGTGGAGGACTCTTCGTCGAGTAACATTGGTATGAGCTACCCGCCATTGAAATGACACATTCACTAACTATTAGGAGATGTTCTGGATCGCCCAGGAATTCTGGCCAGCCGTCCAGGTCTGCATCAAGGTGTCCATCATACTTCTTCTTCGGAGGTTCCTGGGATCTGTCAAGAGCGTACTTCCTCTTACACTTGTTCTCGCAGTTTTTACTATCGCATGGGGATTGGCAGCTCTAGTTGCGAATACCTTCCAATGCTGGCCACCGCAGACTTTTTGGAATCACGAAATTGGGGGCCATTGCGTGAGTGGACAGAAGGCCCTTTTTATGGCTCTTGGATCCGTGTCATTCCTCGAGGATATAGTGTTGTTGGCAATCCCATTTGCCATAGTATGGCAAATGCAAATAGCGCCACGAAAGAAAATACTGCTTACCATCTTGTTCTGTATGGGTGGAATGTAAGTTCATACCAGGCTGAACCGCCCTTTACTGACATCAACCAGGGTTTGTATTTTTAGCCTCTTGCGCCTGATCGTATTCAGGTATTACCCAGAAACCAACCTCACTGGTGAATAGGCCCATATGCAACCTTATTCTAATTTCTGCTAATCTGTGTAAGAAAGCGGCACAAAAGAAAGAATCTGGACGCTCCTCGAAATTGATATTGCGGTCGTCTGCGCCTCGGTCGTCATGATGCCACCCTTGTTTAAACGTTGTACCGAAACCTGCAGGAGAACCTACCAGCAAACAAGAAGTCGCTGGACGACAGCGGAGTTTCCTGAACAGACGGACCGTTGGCCACTTCATAAGCACTGCACGAACCTCTCCCTGGATGGTGGCTCCGAAGTGCGATCACAGGCTTACCCTCCTTCGACTGTAGATGTGCGCGATCGCAGAGCAAACATAGCAGGAGGTTGTATCAGAGTCGAGACGACTATCCTTCGGGACGTTCATGACCGCGATATGCTTTGGCCGCAGCCTGGGAGAAGCTCCTCGACCTCGGGGGTACCATCGACCCTTGCGGGGGAGGATAAGGTGCTTGATGATATGTTGAACGTTGACTTTAGTGGTGTTGGGTGGGTGAGAGCTACCCATAGACACCCATCTAGATAGTAAATCTAACTGCGCTTGTTGAGTGAGCACTCACCAAATCGGGAATGTCAGAAGCTCAGGCCGACAAGCACTATATATTGGAGACTTCCTGCTATTCAGGCTGAGAGACTCGGAGAACTGGAGCTGCCATGATTATATCAGGCGAGAAGCATGGCTTGACTCGGCGTTTTTGAAATTGCTCTGTATCAACCTCTATTGTCACATTGATCCCTTGCCTCTTGAGACAGCCGAGAAATATTGAAAGCTTCGCGCACATATATCCCGTATCTGAAGGATGTTGAAAATCTCCAGTACGACAAGACTGTCGTACTGCTTTACTACTCTTGGTCGAATATTGGATGGATTGCCCAAGATGCTGGAACATGCCTAGCAGCTTCTAAGACTCTAACGGGGAGAACATGACATGGTCAACCGACACTGGAAAAGTGTACTCTTGGTTGTCTGGTGAGAGTTTGACGTCATTAACTAATTCATGCCCAAGCGGCTTGAGACACACGCTCGGCTTCTGACTGCGGCCTGATAGCCACTTCATGGTGAGGAAAGGACTGCGATTCCAGAATATCCCGTCGTATTCGATACGATACGTCGCCAATGCTGTGTACCCGCATGTGTTATCTATACCCAGTATCAAGAGCATGTCCAATAGGCTAATGTTTAGAGTCTGTTTTTTAATAGCCGAGGGCTCTAATAACCAGGGTCTGCACTCTATGCATTAGTCGTCAAGCACAAACTCTCATTGTGCTGGTTACAACCAGTTAGAAGACAGACATATGTGCATAGGCCCAATGCTATACGATAGGCTCTCGGCATTTGAGCGGTAGATCCTTCAGACTACGGCAAAACCAAGGCTCAGATCTCACTGATCGACTCCTCGTATGATGTCGGATTCGTCTATCCGACAAATATCATTGCGATGATTTGCTAGAACCCACGGAGATACGGGTATTGAGAGCGCCGTGAAGCTGTTTGTGCCTCCATCGGTTCGTGCCCTTCACGGCTGATCGACAAAAACCTCCCCGCACTCCACATCCTCGGTCCGCCATAAGTTAGCATGCCTTGCACATGATTGCTACTGCTACACAATCTCATTGTACTTTCACTGCAACAAAGTGGTCTGACAGAGAATGACTCGCATCCGGGGGATAGCCAATGCGCTCATGTTATTGGCACTGCAAGATGGAAAGTGCGGATGGGGGGGTATAAAGAGAACTTTCTCGGGCTCTCTGATGAGCTTTAGTTGCCGTCAAAGAATACTGCGCGAACAGAAAGATATCCACCATGGAGAACCCGATTTCCCGTGTACTTGCATTATCCAACCGTATCCCACTGAGAAGAGCGTTGGAAATACTATGGGCGAACCCTAGACGACGCGTTGCCACTTCGGCAGGCCTGGTCGCAACATACCTTGTCCTAGTGGCTTGTTTACGGTTTCAGAGACTACGGAGACTGCATCGTCAGTATCGGCAATACTCAACCCGTCAAGGGATGGCCTATATGACGGACCATGATGCTTGGGCCATTCAAAAACAGGTTCTCCAACTGGAGTTCCCTACGATATCCCTGAAGGCTCTACAGTTTGCGCTCTTCCGAGTAAAGAATACCAGGTCAAACCCAATATAGATAAAGACTGATGGACTGAGCAGACATATGGTATCCCCACAATCTCGAAACTATTGCTCAAGACATCCCAATTCTCCGACCCGGCTACCTCGTTCAAGCGCTATGCCGACACCGGTGCACTCATTGGCCAGTTCATGTCCTTTGAGCCAACATCTGACCGTGCCCTTACGGCCATCGCGCGAACAAAGTTCCTGCACACCGGCTATCGAACCAGTGGTAGCATTCTCAACTCGGACATGCTATATACCCTGAGTCTGTTTGCGACCGAGCCGATCCGCTTCGTGGAGACATTCGAATGGCGTTCCATGAGCGACCTGGAGAGATGTGCTATCGGCACGTATTGGAAAAACCTAGGAGATGCACTTGAGATTGACTTCACAGAGTTGCCATCTGCGAAGACGGGATTCCGGGATGGACTACATTTTCTGGAAGAGATGACCGAATGGAGCCATCGATACGAGGAGCAACACATGATGCCCAGCCCCGAAAACAAGGCCGTCGCAGATAAGACTATGGACGTTCTGGTCTATGCTTTGCCGGCTTGGTTGAAGGGTGTTGGGGTCAATTTTGCCTCTTGTATGATGGATGAAAGACTTCGGGTGGCAATGATGTGAGTCTCGTCTCCTTGGGGCTTTGGTAGCGAGATGCTAACGAGTTAGGTATGACGCCCCCGCTCGCCTATACTATGCCATCTTCTTCTCTCTGGTAGCTGTTCGCCGGTTCTACCTCCGATATCTGTCGCTACCACGGCCGAAGCTTCTCCGACTGGATGTGTTTTCCGCGGATGCCAATGAGCACGGTCGCCACTATGTTAGTACCTGGAGCGGAGCACCGTACTACGTTCAGCCTACCCTCTTGAATCGCTGGGGTCTATCGGCGTGGCTTAGTCGGTTGTTGGGCCTACCACTGCCTGGAGACGAAGGAGAAAAGTACTATCCCAAGGGATTTGATACAGCCGACCTGGGGCCTAAGTATTTCGAAGGGAAAGGGCACAAAACAGTCCAAGACTATTATGCTCAATTGGTGAAGGGCAGGAAAGCAAGGCCATTTATAGATTGATAGATTGAACGGTCTATAGAACACCTCGGTCTCTTTACCCTTTTAGGAATGAGCTGCTACTAGCATATACTGAGAACTTATTTTCTTTTTATCACAATCGTGCCTGGCACTACATTCCCACTAACTACATAATCCTTGGGAACGCAAAGGTTAGAAAAATGCCGCGTGCAGAATCGTTCTGCCCAGAAAGATGGCTGTCGTGGCTGTCGTGGCGTCATAACGGATGCGATCCAGACTCTGACATCTAGCGAATCACCCCAGCATTCCAGGCCTTGACCTGCCCGTCCCACGGTTCTGACATTTTAAAGCTTGATGGATCAAACAAAACAAATATCGCTCTGACATCAGAAAAATCTCATTGCCACCGTGCGCCTAGAACCCCTTCAATAAAAGTCAAGTAAACTTGCAACTTCCGTGACTATTTCTCAACCCCTTCCCTAAGCCAGACCAGACGCCGTCCCTTCTGCCCTCTCCCTCTCCCTGATTATTGTCATCATGCCCAGTCGCAAATCATCAAGATCTTCGTTACGGCAAAGCGTTGGACGGGGGCATCGCCCGCCCGACAAGCTTGACGTCTGGATCCTCGGCAGTGGCATTGCCTCCCTCACAGCTGCCGTGCATTTAATTCAGGAAGCTAATGTGCCTCCGGAAAAGATCCATATCCTGGAGAAGATAGTTGTGGCTGGGGGAGGTACGATTAGCGAAGGGGACCCAGTGAATGGGTACAATTACCGGGCAGGAGGGATGCCGTCTTTCAACGGCTCGGCCATGCAAGAATTGCTCTCGGTGGTTCCCTCCAGGACGCGAAAAGGCAAGACAGCTCTAGACGATATTGTAGAGTTCGGCAGCCACGCTCTTAATTCGACCTCCCATACACGCCTGCTCACTCGGAGGGCCCATGACCTGGGTCGTATTGATCCGCGAAAAGTCAACATAGGGCTTCGGGACCGCATAGATCTTTTTGTGATGGTCTCGAAAAGTGAAAAGGCGCTAGGGAGAACACGGATTAAGGATCACTTTAGTAGGAGCTTCTTCAAGAGTAATTACTGGCTGGTCCTGGCCACGACGTAAGAAAGCGCAATCAGCAACGTGAGGCATTTTAAGACTAATCGTTTGCTAGATTCGGTTTCCAGCCGTGGCACAGCGCTGCCGAATTACGCCGATATATCGCCAGTTTCATGCACGATATCCACGATCTAAACTTCCCGCGCGTTCTAGACTGTGGTCGGTATAATCGCCATGAAGCCATCGTTGCGCCCATCGCCCATTTCCTAACATCGCAAGGTGTTGACTTTCAGTTCAGTACCATTGTATCCGATATCATTATGGACCCGACAAACGAGAACCGCGTCTCAGCTATTTGCGCGCACAGGGAGAGCGAGCCTGACCACAAGATTGTGCTGGGACCGAACGACATCGTCATTGTTTCCGTTGGCTCCGTCATGTCTGGGATGACGGTGGGTAGCAACACCGAACCGCCCTCATTAGAGCTTATGGAGATCGATAAAGATCTTGATGAGAACTGGCTGCTATGGCTCGAACTATCGACGAAGAACCCCAAATTCGGAAATGCATATAATTTCTGCACGCGCATGCCGGAGTCCCGCTTGGAATCGTTTACCGTCACGCTCAAGGACCCCGAATTCTTCAACCGATTCTGTAAATTAACAGACAACCAGCCTGGCACAGCCGCGTTCGTGACTCTGAAAGACAGTAGCTGGATTATCAGCCTGAACATCCCGCAACAGCCACTGTTCCCCGACCAGCCAGGCGATGTGCAAGTTCTTTGGGGGTATGCGCTTTGTCCCGAGCCAGAGGGTAACTATGTTAAGAAGTCGATGCTGGTCTGTTCTGGGGAGGAGATTATGACAGAAATACTCCGTCACTTGCAGTTTCCGGTCGAGACGATATTGAAAAACTCCATCACCATCCCGTCTGTCGTCCCACGGATGACGGCGACATTGCTCCCGCGGGCATATGGCGATCGACCACAAGTGATACCGGAGGGAATGGAAAACTTGGCACTTATTGGACAATTTGTGGATATACCGGACGAAGTCGTGGTTTCTATGGACTATGGTGTGAGAGGGGCGCAAATGGCGGTGCGTCGATTGATGGGGTTGGACATTGAGGGTAAGAAGTCGAAGAGAAATTCCGCGGTCAGCCTCTTGATGTAGTTTTAGAGCGAGCTGTATCTATGTATGTATATTTCCACGGCTGAATGAATGGAACTTCCGGATGTTTCTTGCTGGTGCATCATCCTGTTGGCCCTCGGATCCTGGCTGGGCGGGGGGATCTTAAGGGTTTTGTAAATCTCTACCCAATCCGGTAATAGTAGGGTGGACGATGCATCCCCGATGCCTAATCGCATTATATCCACGTCTACTGGCAATGACATTACGCCATGACCCTTGATATCAAAAGTCATTACCACATATCTACATTAGCCTGGCGAAGAGAGGTTGCGTTAGCTACCAAAGTAAAGCACAGTAACGACTCTTTTGCGCATGTCGATTGGTAGCTTCAAAATGCCTATCTTTGCCTCCATTTTCAATCATGGTGGGCCGGGGCTAATCTGAAACTAGTCCAATCGTATACCCGCAGGACACAGAAGATATGCAAAATAATATAATATAGCTTATCACCGTCGGACAGCGCCGCAGAGGGATCCGTGGCGTGTATAGAGAGGCCGCTAATCCGGCCTCTTCCGGGAAGTTGAGGGGAAATTAAGTCGCCTAGCATTCAAGCTTTCGACTGGGGTCCATAATTCAGGGCTTGTTCATTCCCGCTCATATTTCGATCTGTTATTGGCCACCCACTCATTTCTCCGAGGCTTTTGTTCCGTCCTGGAGCCATTCGCGATAAGAGGCCTATTTGACTCCACATTCTCTCCTTCACTGATTGAACAATTCCATGGAGCGGCCCACAACCTGTTAGAATGTCTCCCAACCTGGGATTGTCGCAGCTATGCTTGCGCATGCTATACCGTCATGCAGGCCGTGGGCTCATCCCGGCCTGATGTTTATAAAGGCCCCCGCACCCCAAAGGAAACGGTCTTCTCTTACCAATAACACACTATAAAAATGCTCTTTAAAAGCATCGTGTCAACGGCTATCTTAGCCGCCGCCCTGTGCACGGATAACGTATCTGCTGCCAAACATGGCCGGTTCGGCCAAAAGGCCCGCGATTCTTTGAACCTGGCCAAGCGAGCTGCGGAACAGCAGAAGTCGTCATTCAAGACACCGCTTGACGATTTCCGTTTCCTAACCAATAAAACAAAATGTACGTTGAAAAATATCACTCTCGTAACATAACTAACAGGCAGGCTTGGTTCCAAATAGCCTACCGGGTCGACCACCTCCCAGATGTTCCCTTCGATGTGGGCGAGATGTACTCGGGGTTGGTCCCCATCGACAAGGATGACAAGTCAAGAGCTCTTTTCTTTGTATTCCAGCCCACTCTTGGCGATCCCGTTGACGAGATCACAATCTGGCTCAATGGAGGCCCGGGATGCAGCTCTCTGGAGGGTTTCTTTCAGGAAAACGGCCGGTTTACATGGCAGCCTGGCACCTTTGCGCCCGTGGAGAACCCATACTCGTGGGTGAACTTGACAAATGTGCTTTGGTATGTTCGCGCTTGCTGTATATGTTGTAATAGTCGTCTAATATGTCTTGCGACAGGGTCGAACAACCAGTTGGTACAGGATTCGCAATTGGCAAACCCAACGCGACAACCCAGGAGGAAACTGCCGAGGACTTTGTGAGATTCTTCAAGAATTTCCAGGAGCTCTTTGGCATCAAAAACTTCAAGATCTACGTTACTGGTGAAAGCTATGCGGGCCGTTATGTGCCGTACATCTCCGCTGCCATGCTGGACAGGAACGATACGGAGCACTATGACCTGAAAGGTGAATATTTGGCGTGGATCCGAACTCACTATCGAATTTATGCTCACAATGAGACCAGGTGCCCTGGTATACGACCCCTGTATCGGCCAACACGACTACGTCCAGGAAGAAGTGCCAGCCGTGCCCTTCGTCCAGCAAAACGCCAACCTCTTCAACTTCAACACCAGCTTCATGGAGGAACTGGAGAAGCTTCACGACTCATGCGGCTACAAGGAGTACCTAGACGAGTACCTCGTCTTCCCCCCGGCCGGCGTGCAACCCCAGAAGTCCTTCAACTACACCAGCGACGCCGACTGCGACGTCTTCGACCTGATCAGCAATGAAGCCATGGTCGCCAACTCCTGTTTCGATATCTACGAGATCAATCTCATGTGCCCCCTGGCCTGGGATGTTCTCGCCATGCCCACTGCATTCAATTACCAGCCCGCCGGGGCGACCGTGTATTTCGACCGCCCGGACGTCAAGCGAGCCATGCACGCGCCGCTGAATGTCACCTGGTCGGGTTGTTCAAGCGAGAACGTCTACGTCGGCGGCGACGCCGGCCCCGAGCAGGAGGGAGATTTATCTGCGAACCCGATCGAGCACGTCCTGCCGCAGGTGATCGAGGGCACGAACCGTGTTCTGGTTAGCAACGGCGACTTCGACATGATCATCCTCACGAACGGGACGCTCTTGGCCATCCAGAATATGACCTGGAATGGGCAACTCGGATTCCAGTCTGCGCCTGCCACGCCCATCGCCATTGATCTGCCTGATCTCGCGTGGGGCGAGGTGTTCGAGGAGAATGGCCAGGCCATGCTGCAGAGCCAGGGTGTAATGGGTGTTCAGCATTATGAGCGCGGTCTTATGTGGGCCGAGACTTACCAGTCCGGACACATGCAGCCGCAGTATCAGCCGCGGGTGTCGTATCGCCATCTGCAATGGCTGCTGGGTCGCGTTGATAAGCTTTAAAGTCCTCAAAAGGGACTAATTATGCATGGAGGACGAAAATGAATACATGGTGTTTGATGAAACTCGCGCCTCAAACGGCAGCGAAGGCGATATGTACATATAGTCGAATAGGTACCGAATGCTACCACAGCTTGGAATATAATTCATAGGATGCCTCTCTGTACACAATATGCGAAATCACTATTCTTGTTCTAGAGTCGTATATCTAGGAGCATTTACTCCACCTCAAAAAGCATCAACTAATTCTGTTAGTCAACTATTGCAGCCTGCAGGGTATGCCCAGGCTTAGCGACAAATACTCCAGCGACAGTCAGCAACTCTGATCCCCGCAATCCAGTACTATTGTCTGGTTCTTGAGTGGAGGGTTACATCCGGAGGGGCCGCTCAGACTCTGGCGTGGCATTGCTGGGCAAACATGCATAAGGCTGCGAGAGCGCAGAGTGTGGCTTTTCATACGTCTACCATGAGCCGGTTCCCCTTTACATGGATCTGGTGCCTAGTCGCGCATTACTAGCCGCTTGGCATTATATCATGGTCAACAAGCACTGGGTCGAGACGTATTCAGCTTGGTTGTAGTTGAGGACCCAGTTATAAATGCGAGTCGGGGAATATTTCTTCGACTCACGACAGAATACGTATCAACAAGTACAGAGGCCAGGGTCGTTGATAATTGTTTCTGGGGTCTGCCACCCCCGAGTATGTCGCACTTAGATCGACCCCAATTGATAGTCCCCGGTATTTCGCGCTGCTGTGGATGGACTTTTCAGGACTTTCAGCTTTGGTGTTTCTACCATCACAGGCTATATTTCTCGCTCCCGCTTGGCGAGTCAGTTGCAGGGCGGCCATGCAGTGGGTGTAGTTGGGACGGATGCGCCCGAAGACCAGTTGCGAACTGCCAAGGAGTACACTCATAGGGTAATGGATTTCTGTGCTCAAGACCCAGAATGTCTTCTTGCCTTTGCTGCTCGGCTTTATCACAGGAACACTCGTGGGCAGCACTTGAAGGCGAACTAGAGCCTCCTGTCTGCGGAGAGCGGGGATACTGGCATGGGAGTAAGTGGGCGTGAAATTATCCTGTCTATATGTTTACGTCGATGTATGTATCTTGACTTCTTCGTACTTTTGAATTAATAGTGAATTTCACTTTTATCGCCTGATGAAACAGACAGATTAAATACATTATATCAAGGGAACAGTGATTAAAATAATTGTGCACTGTAAACATTATTCAAAACTAAAAATAGGTATCACACTTCAATGCTTGAGAAATTGGCTTTCGTCCCTCAACCAGGTATCAAAATCCTTCAATCCCGGATGGATCTGTTTGACCTGCTTGATATCCGCACCATAACCATGATTATGGAACCATTTAAACATAAGCTTCAAATCCTTGGCCATCAGCATAATAAAATAGGCCACGAAACGGAACGTAGTTGGCACACTTTGCCCCGTTTGGGTCTTGAACTTCTTCGCCATCTGCTCGAAGGTAAGCTCATCGCCTGCCAGGGAGAGACACTGGTTCTTGAATCGGTCGTGCTGCAAGAGGACCTTCGCCGCAATGATGCCGATATCGCTAGTCGCGATGCACTGGAGCGGCTTTCCCTGTAGATATGCGTCCCAGGCTGTGAAGGACACTTTGCCGATAAAGTCTGGTGTAAGGTTGTCGAAAAAGAACACGGGTCGCAGGACGGTCCAATCCATAGAACCGTCTTTGGTTTTCTCGAAGAGGTGCTGTTCGATATTGTGCTTCGTCACGAAATGGGGCACGTTGGTGGGGTTATCGGTCGATGCATCGCCACCGCGGTCCACAGACGTTTGGACGAAGTGTTGCACACGCTGTTTGATAGCCTCATCGATCAGGGCCTTGCCTTGGCGTTCTTCGCTTTCGAGACTCTCGCCCTTGGTGAAGGGACTCTGTTGATTTCGATCCCCTTGGTTAGCCTACCCTATTTTTTTGTACAAGTCATCCCTAAATATTTCCTTACCTGAAGACTAAAGACACCCCAAACCGGTAAGGATGAGGCTTTCTTGGCATTTTCAAAGATCCCGGCAGGATTGTTGAGATCGCCCTGAACCAGCTTAACCTTGTCCGACTTCTGGGCCAGTTTCTGGGCCGATGGGGATTGGGCATTCCGGGTGACGGCGAGGATCTCCACATCTGCGTCCTCGGCGAGTAGCCCGTCGACTACGGCACCACCTTGTTTGCCGGTGGCGCCGATGATCAGGAGAGCGATGGTCATTTTGTGGAAGGCGTTCGAGGATGTTGAATGACGCTGTGATGATTTGGTTCCTGACGGTTTGGGGCACTGTCGTCCTTATGTACCTTGCAGCATTCCATTTCTGATCTGAGGTCGAGAATGTAGGTCTTTTCACACATTCAACCCTAGCAGGGGATAATCGTGATGTCATGTTGGTCAGCAGACCCCGAGGCCGAGGCCGAACGTGACTCAGGCAGCAACGGATGACTAATGCCGCCCTGCGTTCCATTTTCTTTTGGTCTCCATAAAACAACAAAGCAGAGTCCCTCTAGCTGTAAATTCTGGATAAGAACTGAATCTCCGTCCGTTAAAACAGTACCCAAGAGACCACATTAGAAGAGTGGTACATAATTGCCGTCATAGCTTGGGGAGAAACACATATATCTGTACCACCCTGGGTTCCCCATTGCCAAAATATATATCCACCTCCCGTGTCACAATATTGCTCACCACTATACAAGAGAAGTGTCGTTTTCAGCTTGGGACTCTTCAGGAATCTCATGTATAGACTAGATCCATGGTAATCACAGAGCCTTTCTAAATAATTAAAAAAAAATACTATTACCTGAAGCTACCAACGTGTAGATGAACTCGCCATCTGGATCCTTGGATTATTGTTTAATTACAATATTAGACGAGAGTAATATGTCTGTAGTCGCGGCATGTCCCAATCCGCAGAAAGCAAGATTAACAAATCGGATTTCTCGTTAAATATCACACAAATGGTCTATAGTCGGGCTGCTTGAGGAGAGCTCCACCACCGAAGCGCCTCAAATGTTCATAGCCTCCTCCGGCCGTAGCATACCATATTTCTCTCTCATGCGAAGCTTACAGCACTATACTGCTTAGATCGTTACCGATCCCCAGGGATTAGAGCTTACAAGCACGGCTGTGACATAGTATCCTCGCGTGTGGGTTCTGTCAAGCGCAAGTTCGTTAGGGCGGAACGACAACTATCTTGACTACCAACACACAAGAATTTTGGTCTGGTCCCTGGACGATGAGGTGTAGGTGCTTGAACAGCTATGTGACAGAAAGGCCCATATCCGGGGTTCATGGTCCCCGCCTCCATAGCAGTAAGTAATCTTTCGTGCGAGAGATTCGACGAATCTCCCTCGCTCGGAGGCGAAGAAGACTCAGGCGCGGTATCGTATTCAGATTCATCAGGTTCAGGAACCGATCCGAGGAGTTCATAAATGCATCTCGGAGGATACTTCCTGCGCTTGAGGATGTTTCGACCGCGCTCGTCATCTTCAGCCTCGTATCCGGGATCCTCCTCAGCGGTGGCTGCGATGTCCTTAGACATAGTTTTGATCCTGCGGCTCAGACAAGGCACGCGATGAGGTGCAACTGTTGAGTGACGGTGAATATCATTGTTGCGCCTATGCTTTCTGCGTCTCCCTAACCGACACAGCTTGCTAACGCGTGACGTGAAGGGCGCAGGGCGCGCGTCCGAGCCGGAAATGTCAGCATCCCAATCTGAGAAATAGCTGCTCTGATTCATAGATGCTATGACCACCTCGTTGCTTACGATGGGGAAGTCTGCCGTGTCCCCCTCAAGCGGTATATATTTCGAATCTGCTGCTTTCACCGACTCGTTGCTGTTGGACGATGGTGTGTCTCTCAGGTTCCTCTCACACTTGAAACAACGATGGGGATGCCTTGCATTTATCAAGTCGAGCTTTTTAATGTTCTGATGGCTAAGTGGGTTGATATTTGCGCGCAGAAAGTTGGTTGTATCGATACAGCTCTCAAAGGTGAACGATGCAATGTGTCCGCAGGGGTAGTGGTGGAATGTACACAAGCACATGGCAGCTCGTGTGGATGATGTAGACGCTATAGGAGCAGAGTAGAGAGGGATGGTAGCTGAGGAAGGCATGGGAAAAGGCAATACAATCACTTGTGGAAGGTGTTATATACCTTCGACCAACAATAGTGTTCACTGCGAAAGCAGGGGCATGGGAACAAAGCCATAAAGAAATATCCCCCATAACAATTGATGGTCCTTAGCTTCTTTGTTCCCAAGCTTTGGTGGTATCAAAGAAACAGGAACCTCAGAGACATCTCCATTCAACACGATCGTCCCTCCAACAACTGTGTATTCCCCTTAAGATCCAGCAGATACTTGACACCAGAATCAATCAACCACCATGCAGCCATTTCATGGAGAAACCTCAGCACGGGATTCTCTAGTGGCACGATGGCCCTCTTTCGTTGTCCGGGGTTTACCTTGCTTGTCCACATGATGGTCTCCGTGCAAAATACTACGTCCTCGCCTTCTTCCCAGAACCGAATGATCAATCGTCCGCTGACCTCCCCGTTGAATAGCAACTCCAGCACGGCTTTGTTAGGCGTCCGTTCTTGGACACGGTAAAGCCCACAGACGAGATCACCTTCTTTGAACTGTAGTGATCGGATATGAGATGCATGGAAGGTTATACGGTCTGCAGGTGCGACAGTCAATCTCAGTATCCAAGCTTGTGGAAAACGAGAGAAAGCTGTCATGTTGCGACGTAGCAGCAGTGAGAATAAGTCTTCCAGCCTTTGCGCCGGAAGTAATTTGCGCGCAACGCGACGGGAAGCATGGTCATAGAATGTGCGACATTCTCCACGAGACACCTCTGCGGGAAGCGATACGATTGTAGAAACGGATTCAGGGAGTTCGCTTTGGTGAAACTCGTGGTGGATTCGATGCCCAAGAGAACGGTGGAGGAAATAAAGATATGTCACTGTGGCAGAGGACGTGGCTAGGAAAACGGAGGAGACATAAAGAAGACTGGGCATCTTGCCTACGGTAGGGGAAGCTCGGTAACGAGGTGGAAAGGCAGTGTGAAAAGAAGAAAATTAAGTATTGTCGAGCGATGAGACGTTGATATCAATCGGTGCCACAATCTCGTATTGCACCCACGAATGAAAAGCGGCAGTGGCTATATTAAGTATGCCAAGCAAACGGTCTCATGACGGGTCGTATCTGCGCAAATCCAAGGTATTAACCGGAAATAGTTCGGATCCATTTCTGTCGTGGATATGTTGAAGAACAAGCTCCCAGATTATCATTATAGATCTTATCAGATATACTCGTAGACGACAAACGAAATGCCATATACCATATGCCTCATTCACCCAATATTAATCGTCCACCGTGAGTCTGCAGCCAGGCTATATCCGCAAATAAACAGGGGTGGGCATTGCCAATGCCAGATTGGTCAGGGCCAAACGGATATGAATCACATTCCCGTCAGATGGGCTTCATGCCTTTGCTGTTCATTCTCACTATGCGGTTGGTTACTTCCGTTCCTGCACTTCAAAGGACTGCTTCTTTGCTTTCCGTTTCATCCAAAGTCGGTATGCGAATAGAGAAACGATGCCAACCGCCACGATGAAGACGATACAGAATACTAGGATGACACCCGGATTCTCCCCAGCCCAGTTGCTGCGTTTCACAATTTCATCCCGGATATGGGGGGTTAGGGCTTGAATTGCAGGCATCGTCTAACTCCGTGTTAGTTCTCTCCACCGTTCTGGGTATAGAATTCGCGGTGCTTACGAAGTTGGTGGGAAGCAATATCCCTTAACGCACGACAGAGGGGTAGTTTATATCCCGTCAAGAAAATTCCAGGAAACCAACGACGTGTCAAGCAGACCACAGAGAGGTCAGAGACAGCAGAGACGTGAATTGGGGCATGTAAGGGAGAGGCCTGTTGCACATGTCGGGAGCCGCGGAAGCTGCGATGGGAATGACGTGGAAGAGACGAGTTTATGCAACCTCATGGACTTGGTATTAAGGACCAGGGCTGAGAGCTAAATAGAGCATCCCAATGAGTATCAAAGCTTAAGTGATACAGTTAATGGGTTTTGTAAGGTTATACTTTTATTTTACAGTTTGTGATGTTCATGCTGTAAGGCCATTGGCGAATTGCACCCTGCCTGGTGGAGGCTTCATGGAAGGCTATTTCATAGAAACAGTAACTACTCGACTACCGTCAGAGTATATCCTGCCACTTCCCCACAAATCGAATAACCTTAAGAGTTGAACTGCTTGACCCTCTCGGGCTATCCGCGCACCCCACTTGGTGGTATATATTGACCACCTCTCTGGACTTTTGAGCTCCACACGAGGCGGACAGGTGATAGCCCTTCCACAAGTTACTGATGCCAGTCTCTCACACGTCACTAAACAGAGAGTATAATGTTGACTTTCCAGAGCAAAGCGGCGGTAAGCTTCGGGTCCCGTAGGTCCCGCTGGCGTCACCACTGCAACCATACCCATGGATAGTGTCATAAAGACATAAGGTGTCAGGAGAGGGGGCTTGTTAGGTGAGTGACCGGTTGATAGTCGAGAGTTTCAAGGCTCATATATAACAGGGCGGTTCCTACTGTCCCCTGCAAACCGATTTGTGGCTGTCAGTCTGGTTGTCAGCGTATGCGTGAGATAGTGACGTCATTGACGTAAGAAATACTACGTTAGCTCATCGCCGAATCCTGTCAGTTGCGTGAGCGACTCGAGACAGCCCCTCGAATCTCTCATCGATCAGTTGGATGATAGAAATGCATACGCCTCATAGGGCTCAGGGCTTTATGCTGAGGCCTTCCTGTTTGGGCATTGATGCACGTGAAGCATGGAAGCGATTAGTCATGTATGCAGATCCCAATTCGGCAACATGCTAGCATTTCAACTTCAATTTCAACTTCAACTTCAACTGCGGCATTCAAACTTTTCAAGAGCGTTGATCTCTTGACAGCTGGGGGTGTTGTTCCCACTGTCCCCTCTGATAGACCCATTCATTTCCCCGCCTAGTGCCAACCTTGACGGAACCTCCTTTACTCAATCCACCCAACTCCCCTTCAAACTTGACCTAATTGAAGGACTAATATCCACCTTGCATCCAGTCCCTCGTATTCGGCAGATCAGCCACCAATCAGCCCCTTTGCCAATGCCAGTTGCAGGGCCAAGAATCTTGTATAATAACAAAAGGGACAAAACACCCACCAGACCGCACGAGGGGTGGCCTCGGGCTCCAGTCGCAGACCAATAATCGGAGATCGTGCCCTGATGGAGGCTCTTCCCGTCTCCGAATGTTACCACGGTTAACCTCGCAACAATTTCTCGCCTTGTGATAATAATCACCTTGTATCTGCATGAGTGCTCGTGTGCCCGCGTTTGAGAGGCCGTCAAATTTCTGGGGATTCCGGTTTGAGTAAAGATTATCCACACCATGTGCCGTGCAGACATTCTGCACGCATCTCGGCGGCCTGCGCTGGCAAGGCCTGGTCCCTGCGCAGGGCAGCATGAGAGTGCAACCGTCTAATACTTATCCCCAGACCGACCCCACTAATCTGCCGTCAGAAATTTACTCACCAGGACCCAGGGAACCGACTTCTTGGCCACAAGCATGGCTCGTCTGTCAATGTTCTGCCTAGCATACATCACAGTTACCCTTCTCTCTTGCGCGAACGCATGGACGTTAACCTGGCGAAATGACACTGGCGCCCAAATACTCGATGGTGACTCGATACAAAACTGTACCAGGATTTACCACCAGAAAGGCGAGGAGTTCTCATTCAACCCGGAAGGCAAATGGTGCCTGAGATTCTGGGACGAGGCAACATGCGAGAACCAGATCGGAAAGACGTGCGAGGGGACGAGGTGGAAACAAATTGCATCGCGCAATATTTCTGCATTCAACGTCTATGCGATGCCGCCTGCTGACATTAGCGCGAACGGTATGGCGAGTACCAGTACGACATCCACATCGAGCACTTCATCCACGATGGCCACCACGTCTTCTGCGACTACAAGTGCGGTTGCAACTGAAACAGGTCAATCCGGAAATGATGATCCCCCGAGTTCCTCGCTATCTGGTGGTGCAATTGCGGGCATCGTTATTGGCGCCGTTGCCGGCGTTGCAATCCTCGCTGCGTTGTTCTTCTTTTGGGGTCGACGAAAGCGCAACGCTGCTACCCCGGCTCCGGCTGATACCACTCCAGCTCCTGGCCCAGACGAGCGAACTTTCCCCGAGGCCGTGGATCCATCGAAGCCAGCCATGTCGGAAACACAGACGCAGGTGTCCTCGGTGTCTCCATATGGTTATCCTGCCGCCGGGGTTAAGAGTGTGGAGCTACCCGGGGAGAAGGTGGGCGCGGAATTGAGCAGCAGCCGCCAGCTGGTCGAAATGGGCAATACTCCCTTGGCGGAGATGGATGGAACGAGTACCGTTAAACGCCCTTGATGATGAAGCTTGGGGTACTATGAGGGAACGGTCGTCCAGTACTATCAGCCTGGCGATCTTTTCACGGCCTGTCTCATCCATATGCACAGTCTTTGTTAGATAATCTATAATTTCGATATATGATACCAATTTGAATTTTGCGTTTTATCATGAGATACCATCTCTATCTGTGTCTGCAGCGAATTGCTTCATGATGAAGGTCGCCGTCTTATTCCCCCTTCAGCCACGGTACCTCCTCGGGTAGATACTTGTACGCTCTAAATATAGCATTGCTCTCATACGCGAAACCCATCTTCCTCATCTCCTCCAATTCACCCTCTCCAAGAACCGCGGTATAATCACTCAACTGCGGCACCACAAACTCCCACACCACGTCTCCGGACTCAGTAACCTCCAGGATTCTCCCAGTTGCCGCCTCGCAGAGCACCACATTCCCATTCGGCAGTTTCTGTGCAGAGCCCATGAACGGCGTGAACAGTCCAATACCGCCTGTACTCCGATCCGTGTATTCCCAAATGATCTCCTTCGTCTCGCGCGCCACCACAATAGCCCGAGTAAATGGCACCGAGATGCCAGGGCGAAAGACCCCATTATCAAAAATCAGGAGGTCACCCGATGGAAGCTGATGCGCACAATGTTGCTGGTTCACCACGGGCTGAGTCAGATGCCAAAGCACTTCACCAGTCTCCCGGCTGATAACCACCACAGATGACGTGTTTCGCATCGAGGCGATGATATTCCCATCCGAGTCAAACGAAACACTATTGACCAACGGCCAATGCTCCCGCGGATAGTCCTGATGCATACGGAACAGCTCGGGATCAAGATGATCGATTGCCCGCCAAGACCACAGAAGCTTTGCGCCGCCTTTCCCATCTCCCTCGAAGTCCTCCGAGGAGGATCGATTCGAGCTAGACCACGGCTCAACCAGCTTGATGCAATCGCCGTAGACAATTCCACCGGGCGCTTCGCTACCTGTAATCCCTCCCTGTACTCTCGCCGCCTCTTCAGGCGTCAACGCTTCCAAGGTCGTGTAGAGGATCTTCCCATCTGGCAGATGGTGTTGGTCATGATGGGCCTTTGGATCGCGGTATTCCCGCAGGACTTCGCCAGACGGCGATACTTGGATCATTGCGCCGCCGTGGTATTTGGCCCACATGGGGAAGAGGTTTGGGGCGTCGGGATGTGCGCCATTGTAGGCCAGGTTGCCGTCTGGGAGTAGTCTGGCGTGTCGGCCGGCACGGTAGGGAAGCGTCCATTTGTGGATTTCTTTTCCGGTCGTCGAGATGAGGTGTGAGGTGCGGGATGTTAGAGGTGTGTAGAGGATGTAACCGGGGGAGACTTTGGGGTCGGTGCCGCGCAGGCCCAACCCGCGGCGGCGGAGGGTGTGTTGCTCCATTTTTGTTTAACTGGTATTATGTATGGGAAAGCAAGAGTTTGTTTGTTCTGGGTGTTCCTGTGCTTCATTGGGGTTTCGGGGTATATATAGCAAAACTTTTGTGGATCTTGACTGGTCGACCGGCATGCCGCGGTATGCCGCGGTAAGATAGCCTCGATCTACGTAACTGATATGGCGTCAATTTGGCTATTATCGTGTTATCGGGATGCCGCGGTGTCTGGTGATATGAGCGATATGCGTGATCTCAGATATAACTGAGGGATAAATTAGCGGGAGGGTGAGTATTTCGTTTGAAAAATTGTTGGGATTGTTCGGTGCTGATCAACATGGACCAAATCTCAGATTCACATTACAAGTCTTCCGCGAGCATAGAAGCCGATGAGAAAACCAACTCAGCATGGATACAAGCCCTTTCTATCGAGAGAGGTGGTATTGAGCGTGTTACGCCGGATCAACGACAGGAAAATGTCACCCATTTCTGGAATGCCTGCACGTTCTGGTATGGTTTCATTATCCACTCTGCAGTCCCGAATCCTTACTGACTGACAGAATCAGGCTGAGTGCGAACATGGCCGTGGCCACGCTTACCACTGGAGCCCTTGGAGGACCTATGGGTCTGAAGTTCTGGGATAGCTTCATCGTCATTCTCGTGGTTAACCTCGTCAGCGACCTTCTCCCAGCATGGACGGCGGCATTCGGACTCACGGGGCTCCGCATGACGACTTTCTCGTATGGCCTATCCATCTGTATACTGGAAGATAGCTAACACAAACCAGGCGATATTCATTTGGCTACTGGGGCAATCTCCTTGTGGTGGTCTTTTCCATGGTCGCCACCACAGGCTGGAACGCAATCAACTCCATCTCTGGCGCTGCCGTGCTCAACGCCCTCTCCGACGGACGCTGTCCCACCTGGGCTGGAGTAATCATTATCTGCACAGTTGTCTGGATATTCTGCGTCTTAGGAATCAACTGGATCCACAAAATCGACACCTTCATCTGGATCCCACCGCTGATCGTCTGGTGCGTAACGGCCGGCACAGGCGCCTCGCATTTCAGCAGCGCAGAGCCCAAGGAATTCAAAAGCAGCGAGGATAGGGCCGCCGCCATATTATCATTCATGGCTATTATCTTCTCCTTCTCCGTCTCATGGGTCAACTGTGCCGCGGATTACAACGTTCGTATGCCGATTAACACGTCCCGGGCGAGGATATTCGGCGCCACATACGTTGGGATCTTCATTCCATCGGTGCTGGTCCAAACTCTCGGCGCTGCGTTATTCAGCGCCACCGTACATAACCCGGAATGGAAAGCCGCATATGCAAGTGCAGGCGTAGGTGGACTCCTGAAAATGGCCCTCGAGCCTGCTGGTGGATTTGGGAAGTTCCTCATGGTTCTTGCAGCGTTGAGTTCAATCCCGGTAGATACCTCTGTCCATATCTCCCAGCTACGACAACATCCAGAAGTAGTGAGCTGACGTGAACTGAACCTACCAGAATAATATCCCAAACAACTATTCCTTCGCCCTACACGCTCAGAACTTCGGTCCTTGGGCCCTCCGCGTCCCCCGTATCGCCCTAGTCACCTTCGGTTTCGTCGTCTCCCTGGTTGTAGGCTGTTGTGCAGCCCAGTATTTCAAGGACACACTGCAGACCTTCTTAAGCGTTATCGGCTACTGGACTGTCATTCACATCGTCATCGTCGCAGAGGAACACCTCGTCTTCCGTCGCGGGTGGCAAGGCTACGACCTGGACGCCTGGGACGATCCTGCGAAGATGCACTTCGGGTGGTCAGCTATTGGAGCCTTTGCGGCCGGGTTCGTGGGCGCTGCGCTTGGGATGAAGGTGGCGTGGTATGTCGGGCCCATTGCTGGACTGATTGGGTCAGGGGCGAACGTGGGCCATGAACTGACGGGGGCATTTTCGGGGATAGCGTTTTTGGGGCTGAGATGGGCCGAGAGACGGGTTTGTGGGATGTGAGCTGATTTCTGAACCAGGCGTTTAGGGGGGTGGGTATTTGGGACAGGACGTATATATAGTATCAATGGTATATTTGATTCATTTGCAATTGTACAGACTATGGAGGGCTTGAGAATCCCCAACTAGGCATCAAATCCCAGTTTCCGTCTTCTGTTGTCTCAACACCCAAGAACTCGGGGAAATAGCCCGCCAAATCCTGTCCGAAGAATACTTCACTTTGTTCTGCAGCCAGTGGCTGAGTGACGACCGCTGGGCGCAGCTTCTGATGAACCTTTCCAATGACGTGGCCGAGTGTATGCGCTGCGTGACAAGGAAGACCGATTGTCTGCATCCAGCTTACGAGGTTGAGTATCAATGAGTCTAGTTCGTCTAGGTCGTATATCTGTAGTAATTGGTCCTCGTATGCGCTCAGCAACCTGCAGATGATGATTGCAGCGAATGTGATCATGTGGTAGATGTGGTCAGTTAGATGGCGCGTACGGTCGTCTGCGGTGTCGATGGCAATGCGAATGATGGCCAGTGAGTGGCGGACCATTTCGGAAATGACTGATTCGCGGGCTCGCGCAGTTTTACATTTGAGACATTGATCGTATAAGAGAAGGTGAGCGAAATGGAAGCCCATCAGCAGGAATTGCGCGCGGGGTTGTTCTACTTTGGTCAGTGTATGTGAGATGTTGGTTCGAGGATGTGTTCATACCAAGCATGGATTGCCACTCTTTCTTCCAATCCTGTAGACTAGCCATGGACTTCAAGAGGTCGATTGATTCGCTGGATGTGTGCTTGTACAGTGTCCAGTACAGGTGAATCTCAGCTACCATGCGCAGTTCGTAGTTCGTAGCATGGTCGGAGCCCACTATCGCTCGGCATTTCGGTATCTGGGAGGCTTGCAGCATGGACCTTCTGCTTGTGCCGACGCAATACTGCAGGTGTGCTAGACAGAGGTGGTTCCAGATACACCAGTTATCGAGGGCCGTTTTCGTGAGTTCCGTGGGCGCGTTAGCTGTGTTGACTGCATCGAACAAAAGGCTGGATTGGCAATGTTGCAAGGCAAATCCGCTGAGCAGCCAACTGTCGATGCTCAGCGGAACTTGTCCCACCGTCGTGGACCATAATGAAAGGACGATGGCAGCTTGGAAGAACTCTATCGGCTGCGGGGACACAAGCAATGCTGTTGAAACCAACGATCGCGCGCTCTGATAGAGCTTCGGGGCTAGAGTAGTCGCCAGGCTTTCCGTTGTATGTCGGACAGCGATTAGGCAGCAAGCGGAAAATAGCAGTGGTGATCGATTAACCTTGCCAAGTAAGACCTTGGGATCACTCTCTGGGTCGAAAAGCACCCATCGACCGTAATGCTCTAGAAAGCTTTATCTGTCAGATTTACCACAGCATTTGGGGCCTCTGTAACGCACATGGTGATGAGATTGAGTGCTAGATCGGCCGATATGAGACCATCTAGTACTGAATCGTGGGAGTTGGCATCTGGCGATTTTACTCCCGCATCCGATGCTAGATCACGGATGACCATGACCGGTGGAGCCGAGGGATAATCTGACTTGGGTGCTGGACCCACTGCACTCTTGTGCAAGAAATGTCCTGGGTTATCGGAGCGCTCGATGGCCGGAGTCATGATACTAGAGGAGTCCTCTCCCAAGCGCTCTAATAACGCCCCAACTGTTCGTTCGAGCTGCTCTATTCTGCATTGTATTAACGAGGTCGTCTTGAAAACCTTCGACAGTGGAGCTACCTTGCGTCTACACTAGGAGTATGGGAAGCAGCATCCTCCCGGGAAAGGGTTGGCTGATGCTCAAATGAACATCTCTGCTGAAGGCGTTCGCATCGAAGACACGGTCGCCCGCCAGTGCCTGATTCATAGCATCTGGTCTTCTGTTTTCGGCAGGAAACGCACGCCCGAGAAGCGCGGCCTCGATCTGGGGGCATTGGGCTTGCGTCAGTGGTATGACACGGACATTCGCATGCAATGAAGTGAGTGATTCTGGGTGGAAAGTCGCCATGATATGGGGAAATGGCGCCAAATCTTATCGTGACCACAGATAAGATTTAACGGATGCAAAATGATCTTCAGTTCTTGGCGCATTTCTTCAATCTTCGCGCGCCATCTTCAAACGCTTCTAACTCAGCCAATTCTTTATTAAACTGAATTCTGATGGAAGTTTTATGATCAGCGATAGCCAAAGGAGAGGCAACCTCTATCTTAAATAAAATCAAGGTGCATACGCCAAATAAAGCCTTGGCTTTGTGAGCTTTGCCGGTCGCTACGTTGGCTGAAAGATGCTTGCAAACAGTACTAGAAGAGACTGATCATGGACCATATTAGTATCGGAATTCTTTTCAGCATTATTGTTCGCATAGCACATGCTCTCTCCTTAATATAAAGATGGTATCAACCGCGAAACACATCCCCCGAACGCCGATCGCAGATACGAAAAAACCAAATAAAGGACAAGGTCAGGCCAACTTCATTGCCTCACGTTCTGATGCACCTCGACTCTTCCACTGTTATGCCATGTGGCCAACATTGTGCCACACTGGCCGCAGTAATGGTTGTAGTCTTTCAGAGAGGACATCAGGTATGGGATACATCCCAGACAGAAACAACAGCAAATCACCGCAGCCCAACCACTATTCTTCGTTAGCTTTCACCCTACTCCGAGGCTCTTGATATCACTATACGTACTGCGTTGTGTTTCCTGACTCTGCCTCGGTTCTGGTCATCTCACGGACTCCGCAGATTGGGCAATCAACCGGGGTAGGGCCCCGTTGTAGAGCATGTAAGGGAGTTGCAGAGTTATATCCACTTGGGTGACCGGCGGGAGGATGGTAATATGGCTGCGGTGCCGCCATGACGTGGGGATCTTGTACTGGAGACTGGACGTGCGCATTTGGAGGAGCGGTTGGCTGGTGGTGGTAAAATTCGGGCTGTTGGTCGTAGACGGGAACGGGGGCTGTCATCGCTAGCGTTAGTATAAAAGGTAAGTTGACAGCGAGGGTAGAAATATCAACATACTGGGTGGTACTTTCTCCATGGTTAATGATGACAGTAGCGAAGGTTATATTCTCTAGCACTTTGGATAGAACGGGGCATAGGGGGGAACGAGGGTAATTTGGCGGAAGACTCAGCGGACTACTTGTGCATTTATATCACAGCTCACTTGGAACACAGTCCTGCAGCCCTTCAATCCAACCTAATCATAGCCGCAGTCCCTACACATCGATGCTATTTCTAGAAGCCCAATCAGACATGCTTCGGGCGTAGGCTAATTTCCTATCACGAACGCCGCCTCGGGCGTGGACCATTAAGAGGCCATGGTGGACCCCACTGATATTCATTAGAAGTGAACTGTCAGAGATTGGCGCGGGATTTTACGAGGCTCAAGCAGGGTATGCCTTGTGGGCGCGGGCGATTAGGCTTAGGACTGAAAGGCTCGGCTGAGGCTGTACGAAGTATCCATATAACGGAGTACTTTCTTAGGCCGATCTCTTCCCTTTTGAGATTTGGCTTGGGAAATACGAAGCCAAGCATGTCGTTTGACAAGTGGTCAGAACGTAAATTTGATTTTGCTTTAGGAGTCAGTCACTGGGCGAATATTCTTCCATTTGAAAGCGACTCGTGTTGGCTCTAATACGAGTTATCCTGCATTAGCAGAAATCCTCAGAGGCCGGGTCAAACGATTCCCAGGTAGGATGAGCTGCCCCTTTCTTTTTGGCCCCCGTGCACGATCTTCTTCAGTGTGGGTCTGGCGCTGAGCGTTATCCTCTTTTCTGACTCATCTTGCCACTATAGTTACCTTGACTGGTAACGCTCTTGCATGGGGGCGCAGTTGCACAGGTGCCCACACCATATTGTCGCGGGATGGTTTCACATATCAACTGGGTACTTTGGAGGGTAGATGAAACTGCGACGTACCTGAAACGGGGATGCAGCGGACAGTACTGCATGCAGATTTCTCCAGCAGTAAATCGTTATCCCGAGCTTCCTAGGTGGTGGTTCCAAGTGTTCGGAGTCACGATGTAACTCATTTTTAACTATATGCGGATGGAAGCTTGGCGCACATCTGCCCAATAGTTGAGACCCCTATCTTTGTCGTAAGAACCTCAGAAAGCACCTACTTCGAATGGAACTTTGCCAACACGATCCTAGCTGTGCTCCGTGAAAGCCGCATCAAGAGCGGGCGAGTTGAAATAGAAAGCGCAATAAAGAGAAGATTTCTTTGAACTTGATCGGATTTTCTGGTTCCCCTATTACTAGAATTCGTTGTTTGTGGGGACAATATAAAAGATTCTCTGGTACATGCTAGTCCGTCGAGCTGCTTGGTCAAAATTGCCAAAATCGATCATGGCTTCTCAGCACATTAGCTCCGGAGCCTTCGTGGAGTTTGTACAATACAGAACGATAGGAGGATTGTCGTTGGGGCCTAGATAATTTCTTAGGGCTGAGTTTCAACATAGGGGCTCATACCTGGAGCCCGAACTCATCTGTATCTAGTAAGTAGCATTGAGAGGCTCCGGAACCAGACTACTGTGCACTAGATAGCTACTAGCTAGTGATAGCTCCGAACTAGGCAGCATGGATCGACCGTTTGAGCACGTGTTCTAGACGTTACATAGCACCAGACATCAATCCAAAGTCAAACTCTGGGAGGCTGGAAATCGATTAGTAACTATATCTGCCCACTGTAGTGTAGTGGAGCTCTTCATTAAATGGTCCATGAATGTTTGCAAGGAAACATCGTACCCACATTCTATGTAGTAGAATGTTAGATTGTACTTCGGATTCGAATCATAGGAGCTACGGCATCCGGCTTCGCTCGACAGTTTATCAGTAACGTTAAGAAGCCGCTATTCCAGGAATACCCAAAGAGTAAGGAATGAGGTAAGGACATGAACATGTGTAACCTGTATGGAAAGGAGATGCGACTCTTCCTTATTAAAATGCACACTATTAGGAAGATCCACTTGCCGGCCTACATTTGGATTGCTTAAACAAAGCATGATTAAAGCCACAGTGTAACAATCCCGCGTTACCCAAGACCACAAAAAGGTATTGAAGGATTCCAAGCTTGCTTGAATTGCCTCTTACCCAATTTCAAGAAGATACACGGGATATCTATTTTGGCATGGGCAAATATCTCTCATTTGTATCCAGACCCTCTTGCAATGGGCATGGCACTCTATAGTAGGTATCTTAGTCAGTGCACAAAGCTGCGTGAAAAGGGCGTAGACGGTCTGTGGTCTCTTCATTGTTCATTTCCCTTTCTCTTTGTCGCTAACGAGATGTGTTATCTGGCTCTCAACTATGTTATATCCATGGTGGATAGCATATTGATTTCCCGGATTTTGACTTAGTAAAAAGTCCAATTACCATAAGTATAGCCCGATAGAGTTAACCTTTTATCATTGATTAAGATAGTCTAGAATATCGATAGTATCTCAGGCCACCTCAAGTTTCAACTGAACATTCTTTCAGGCCAGTTGTATATCCAACTACGCAGTGGGATATTTAATTTCCTTGACAAGGAGTTTCCTCAGATACCAGAGGACCTACTAATAGTGGCAGCGGCTGGCTGTCTAGTCGAGGGCCAGACAGAACTGAACCTCACCCTTCATTACAGCCCACTCAAAGTTTAAAGGTATTCCTGTCGCAAAATTCGGAAGGATGATCAGAAAATCGACCAGACATATTTCAGCTAGATCTTAGACAAGACATTGTTGCATCTAGACAATTTTCATGAGCACTCCGTGGGACACAATAACATGAGGGATCTCGGTATTTAAGGCATTAGGGTTCTACCATGCTTTCCCGTAGAGAGGACGAGAATATGCTGATAGCCCTAACAAACCCATCATCACGATTGTTTGTTTTCTCCTCCTCCATGTTTCCGTAAATTTATCGTCCATACGAAAGACTAGTAGTAACGTTCCCCCTCGGAGGTCGTTGATAACCTTATCCCATTTAGCAGTCAAGGAATGCAGACTATTGGCCATGTTCTCTGAGAGGAATTCATTATTGGTCACGGAGGAGTGGCGGAATGAATCTAAGTTTCTGGGGAAGTGGCCGCGTGACGATTTCCCCAGGAAGGTTTACTTGGCTCAGCGGCTGGAACCACGATTGATGCTGCTATAAAACGTGCCATGGGGTCCATCTTCTCCCCGGGCCTGATGGGACACATTGGATGCGTTAAGACACCCATAATGCCTTCCGGGCTGTCTGTCACCCCGTCCATCCCCCTCGCAGCATGTCCCATACGGAGCCGACCTCGATCTTCGGCTCGGGCCCCGGCCACGAGGCTCTACGCATTAGCTTTATCGTATTTATGTCCGTCGCCCTCTACAATGCCCTCGAGCTATCCATCCTCATCCCATTGAGCTTCCACCGGTACAACAGTTTATATTTCTGGGCGCTGATGACATCCGCCGTACTCGGTGTGATCCCCTCCACCATCGGACCGTGCTTACAGTTCTTCGATCTCATACCGTTATGGCTGAGCATGCTGTTGTCGAACATTGGGTTTTTCATGATGGTCCCAAACCAGTCGGTGGTGCTTTACTCGCGATTACATTTGGTGTCTCAGAATAAACTGGTGCTTGCTTTCGTGCGCGGGTTGATCGTATGGGGTTTCTTCATGGTCGCGGTGCCAACGACTGTGTTAAACGTCGGCTCGAGCTACGTGCCACAGTCGCAGCCATGGGTGCACGGCTTCGAGGCGATGGAACGCATCCAGGTGACTTGGTTTACCGTGCAGGAGACCTCCATTTCCCTCATATATATCTGGTACACCATGTCCATGATTCGGCTTAGCCCTGACGAAGATAAGCGGCGACACAAGATCCTGTACGAGCTCGTGATTATCAACATTATGGCCATTGTCATGGATATAGCTCTCGTGCTGCTCGAGTACCTGGGATTCTATTTCATGCAGGTCATTCTCAAGGCGACCATCTACAGCATCAAGCTGAAGCTCGAGTTCGCCGTGCTGAGCATGCTGGCCTCCATCGTGCATCCGCCCAGGTCCGACCCACCCACCTGGGGGACTAACTGCACCATGTCGACTTTCTCGTAGCCGGCACTTTTATGTGGTCTGTCTGTATATTAGAAAACTTACAAAAATTAATGTCTAGAATCAAAGGTCTCCATATCGCTTCGACAGTCGTAGTACCGTCAATCATTTGCCTCTCATGAGACAGAGCACAGACCCCTGGTCAGTGCGTCATGACTGCCGCCACGATGTGTCCCACCAAATCACGAATCACTGCAGAAGTCCACCGACGGGAACGATTGAGTATTTAATCGAGGTATTCTTTTCTGCACTGCTGATTAGTGGTAGCTGTTAATCACAACGTTGGCATCGTTATGGGTACTGTTTGTTTTATAAGTTCGAATCGAATTTTGAAGCACGGGACGGGAGTCACGGGAAAGATAGTATCTCTGCACATCACGTCGCTTCCCCTGATATCACAATACCATTCTGACTACCCTTGCCCATCATAGTGTATTATGATACCGTAGTGTTGCCTTCATTGTCACTCAGCCCTAGCCGAAGACCTAGTGGCGATCGTGGCGGCCATAGACAAGAGGTGAATGTCCGCGGGGAGTGTTTTGCCCCTGAACACGATTCCCCGATACTAGACAGGGGCTGATATTGACACCCCTGCCAATAGAAAATTCCAGATTATGTTCTCGACGGTTCGTCAGAAGGCGACCGTGACTTCTGTCAGGGGGCATAGATCAATGGGTCGCTGAAGGTGCGATTATCTAGGCTTTGAATGTTCGCCACTGGTTGGGATTTGGAAACTGAACGATCGGATGAAGAAGTAAGTGTATGAAGGCGGCTTGGTAAACCTTCCAAGTATATCGGGCAGTGCAGGATCGAGGGAAGGGAAGATTAATCTGAAGTGTTAGCCGGACGAACAGCCTTCCAAAACGCCACGAACGGCAAACATGCCATATCGGAGTAGGCGCTGAGGCTTGAGTAACTTTAAAATTTATCGGCAGCGTTCCCGACTACACGCATCGGAAGGGTTCCCGGCCTCTTGTACGGAGTAGGACGATGAGATATGCCTAACTATCCTGAGATGACTTCATCTTGAGGATCTGAAAAGACGGCAGTTCAATCAAATGCCTCAGTCACTGTGGTAACCAGTGTATAGAGCAATCAAGATGTACCCCACTTTTTGTTCGTTCCAGTAGTTCTGCGACTGGTTTGACATGGATCGAGTTGAAATCCAGTACCCGGCCATTATCTGCGTGTGACCCCACATTGATGGTCGAGCATAGGTGTGGTGACGATTGGTTGAACCTGTCTCTAAAGCGCGTGGACTAACTATTACCACTCCGGATTGCAAAGAGAGAGGGTATACAGCTGCTCTACCGAACATTATGCCCAAGTTTGTCTGTGCTTCCACCGCAACATTTCATGTGCTCCCAGTCGACACATTTTACATTGCGTAGTATCATATTACGTACACCGTTATCGGCGTAAGGTAAATCAATTCCCAATTGGGAATGACGATAGGCTGAAACGTCCTAATTATCGATAGGAAGCCGGAGATTCCTCTTTGGGCATGGCTACGTGAGAGGTTCACAATATATCGAGACTTGTCCGCACCGGCGTATATTGCTCCGTACGCCAGAGAGCTCGAGAGTTGAAGTGGAGAATGGTTCTCAGACCTCTCCATTCTCTACCCCACAGTTGACATTTTACCCACAAGACATTCCCAACATTCAACAGCAACCTAGACCCACCTAGAGGTCACTGCTTTAGCTATGACCTGGGGTACCTCGAGGCTGGCCGACGTCATTCCTTTTGGATCCAGCTACCAGTGGATCCATTGCATGTCTTTGGAGGTCAGACGTTGTCTGTTTTGACACATGACGTAGTATAAAGAGGGTCCTAGCCCTGACCCCAACAAAGCTATTGCGGCGATGCTGCCAGTACTAAATGAACCAATGGTCACCGTGACACTTTCCTCTGGAGGCAGGGGCTTGAAGGGATATGTTGCTGACACTATCTCGTCGGACGGATGAGGTTCAATTCTCGCAGCAGTATGAAGCAGAAACGATAGACCTGCTTTTTACTTTTTAAGTTAGCCTCACTACACAGGGTCGCCTTCTGGGAGACGACTTATGTGCATAAAGATGAGGTAAGCAACTTCATGTAGTTCACGAACGATGGTATCGTATGATTTTCCACATTGGTTTTAGACGAGACGAATTCTCGGGAACGCTCCCGTAGTTCGTTCCGCAGTGGCTATCTGTGCAGACCAACCATTCTCCGTGGAAAACTCAACCCTATCTGTTAATCAGAGTTGCATCTTCAGTGGCGGGCGGTAGGTCAGGCCTAGCCGGCCGACCGGCTGGCTTGCAGGCTTAGTGTGCCATTTAGAAAACTTAAACCTGCACGAAAAGTCGGTGGGAGTAGAATAGCCTGAATAGAAAGAGACCCCGGCCGCACCGCAAAGCGGCACTCGAGAGGCTGGACCTCGAATGTCTTGTGGTGAAAACCAATGGCTGATATCCCGAATTTTGACTCGTTAGAGTTCTGGGCCTGCAAGGGATGCATACCAGGGAATTTCTGGAAGTAACCGTCGAGGGCTAGACTGCGGCGTCTTGGTCTCATGGAGTAAATTGTACACAGTCCTGTGGCGAGTTCGCGCCGTGGTGGCTTTCCTGCGGCCGTACAATCATCTCGAATGATCTGACTAGGCAGGCTATTCCCGTCAACTGTTACCTGGTGCGGTGTTTCTACCCCAGAGATGACGGTTCCGGTGGTCCTGCCGAGGTCGTCCTATCGTATTATTCGTGGGGTCCCCCGCAATCACCGGTCCGGTTCATCTGGGGGATCTTCGCCACTGGATACGACTCTGAGAGTTTTAACTCGACCCTAGTCGGACACGCCCCATACTCGGCCAGGAGACATCATGCCATCCCTCTGCCACCATTCGCTGGCGAGTCTGTATGGCCATCTGGAAGACGGCCGGGGGTGGTACCCATCCCTCGTCCACGCGTGCCATGGACTTCGTATGAGGGTCAGCACCTGCGCTGCGTGGTGTTAGCTCTCCAGAAAATCGAAATACAGCGAATAAGCCTGCTGAGTCCTTCAGCCGCACACCGAGATGACATAACCTGCGGAGATAAACCACCCTGGTTCTGTTTTCCAGGGCGGGTTGATTTTAATTAGAGCGTACACTTTGCGGAAGCTTAAGCGACGGGATTGGGCGTTAGGGTTTTGGCGTTCCGCTCTCGTGGTGGTCGAGAGTTAACGCGTTCCCTGGGAAGGATGAAGGCGACAGTGGCAATTTAACTTTCCTGGCATCTGTCGCTGTATGTCCTGGGCGCTGCAACTGGACGCTTCAAAAAGGATACCGGGGGCATAGGGATATAAATACTCCTCATAAAACACCTGTCGGTTGTTCCCTTGGACACTAAATTGAATTATCCTGGGACAATTGCAACCACAAGTCTTCGATATGTCCGAGAAAAAGCAAGACGAGATCTTACCCCCCGAACTGGGCCACATCGAGTATATCGAGAAGGGTCAGGGTCCCGATGAGGATGCGGTTTTTGGAGAAATCACCGAAGAGGGTCCCAATTATCGCAATGTATGCGCATCTCGGGATTAGATATCATTCCCTCAGGGAATTAGCTAACCGTTTGATTAGGTAGGATGGCTGGGCACCACAGCCCTCATGATGAAGACCCAGATCGGTCTGGGCGTTCTTTCGATCCCGTTAGCCTTCGACACCCTCGGCATGATCCCAGGAGTCATTGTCCTCTGCGCGATTGCTACGATTACAACATGGTCCGACTATATCGTGGGTGTCTTTAAGTTGGCCCACCGGGATGTGTATGGGATTGATGACACTGGGGCCCTCATGTTTGGGTATCCCGGTCGGATTCTTTTCGGCGGGGCATTTTGCCTCTGTGAGTTTCTCTGTAAAGAGTGAAGGATCCTGGCCCTTCTAACGATGGATTAGATTGGATTTTTGTCGCTGGCTCTGGAATGCTTGGGATCTCCATCTCGCTCAATGCAGTCTCCACCCACGGCGCTTGCACGGCCATCTTCGTGGCTGTCGCCGCTGTTGCGGGCTTCATGCTTGCGAGCATTCAAACCCTCGGTCGTATCAGCTGGATCGCATGGGTTGGACTGTTCGGCATTCTTACATCGAGTAAGAGTTATTCTGCCCGGGTGCTTCAAATGAATGATTTCTCACATTACCACAGTCTTCATCGTCACGATTGCTGTCGGACTCCAGGAGCGCCCATCTGCAGCACCACAAGACGGCGTTTGGGTCTCCGACTATAAGCTCGTGGCCAGCCCTACCTTTACCCAAGCAATCACAGCCATCTCCTCGATCGTCTTTGCCTATGCAGGTACCCCGGCCTTCTTCTCCATCGTCTCCGAGATGCGCGAACCCCGCCATTATACCCGATCCCTTGTTATTTGCCAGTCCGTGGTGACGGTGGTCTATATTGCCATCGGCTGTGTGGTATACTATTACTGTGGATCCTACGTTTCCTCACCAGCCCTGGGCTCCGCTGGCCCGACGGTCAAGAAGATCAGCTATGGCTTTGCGCTACCGGGTCTCCTGATGACCACACTGCTTGTCATCCATGTAAGTTAACCGTGAAGGGCAAGGGTTGACAGAGTCTTGATTTACTAACATATTCCCAGTTACCCGCCAAGTATATTTTCATCCGCCTCCTGCAAGGCTCGAGGCACCTGACCGCCAATACCATGATCCACTGGGTGACCTGGCTCAGTTGCACTTCGGGTATCGCGATCGTCGCATACATCATCGCCAGTGCGATCCCCGTGTTCAATGACCTGGTGTCCCTGGTTGGCGCCCTCCTGGGCACTCTGATGTCCTTCCAACCGATGGGCTGCATGTGGTTATATGATAACTGGAGCAAGGGCAAGATCAGCAAATCGCCCAAGTGGATTTTCATGGTCTGCTGGAGTGGCTTTGTTATTCTGTCCGGCACTTTTCTGATGATCGGGGGTACGTACGGATCGATTGTTTCCATCATGGACAGTTATAACAAGTCCGGTGGCTCGGCAGCCTGGTCCTGCGCTGATAACTCCAATTCGGTCTAAGCGGAATCAACATTGAATCCGAGACCGGTGCTCTTCGTTGCACCTAACCCACTGGGGGTGGCTACTTCTAGATGTCTATACAACTTACAGGTGATTGCAGCCGGATTTGGTTTATAGATATAGAGATATCTCGATCTATATATTACAGCCACATAGACGAATGTACATATTTAATCAAGTTCAACAATATCCCATATTCTATAGTTCTTTGTTTTACTACCCTCAAGACTAGTAGCATAAAAGGTGTCGCCATGTTGGTACTACTCAGGACAGTGAATGGGCTGCCCCAGGCACCTTGCACCCATGGAAACTTCACATGACCTGCTGTTTGCTTGTTTGCTGCTTCTGGTTTGCAACTCTCCTTCTGTTTCCATCCCCTCAATGCCTCTTTCTCCTTCCCATTCTCCACAATAACTGTGCCACGATCTGGCCGTCGTAATGCTAGCAGCGCATAGCTGCGTGGCCTAGTTGCCACCACCATTTTGAGGCATCGTCCAGTGTGCGAAGGGCATCGCTCTGATGACAGAGCCTGGGGAGCTCACCATGAGCACTCTGCCCAACGGGCCGCTTCGAGCCTCAATCGAAACAATGTCGTTTCTTAACAGGAGCCACGAGGCCGCCACCCTTATTTTATCGCGCCGTCCAGGGGGTGAGGATGCCCTGGCGAAGCTCACTCGGATTGAGAAACCATCGGTGAGAGTGACTACGTACCGTTGTTTTTCGAAATGATTGTGAGCCTCGTGTTCTAACTTGTCGCTGTTGACTAGTTGTGCCTCCTGTGACGAGAGCCACCTGGAGCGAGTGTGAACGCTCCTTGCGCAGTCGGAACTGCTAGACCACATAACGATGCCTCTATGTTCAACATAGACACACACCTACATCTGCGCCAGGGAGCAACGATGAGTTCAAATCTTGGATCAGCCAGATGTTTGTCATGTTGTGTGTCGGGTGTTGCCCCCGTTTGACAGAATGATTATTTGGGGCGGAGATGGGGATGGGGACTTTCAATTGTCTGCGACGTTGCCTGCAAAGGTTCCTCGTCTACGCCATATAATACAGGCAGGCTTGGAGTTGCAAGCACATAACTTGCCAAGTGCTAGTCCCCGTCGGATCTGTCACTTGAGACCTGCTTGCGACAGGCACTTTCTTACCAACGGGCACATTGCACAGGCACTGGCAGTTGCTCACTTGAGTGGCTATTGTTTAGGGAGGCAGCATTGGCTGTGACAACCAGTCATGTTCCATATTATACTGCATGAAGACAATCTACATTCTATTAGCTCTATACCGTTAGAAATAGATGTGGGGATTGGATACCTGGGCGTTGCGCAAGATTAGTACGTGTTTCATGTATAATAGTCCCAAGATGGAAACCCCGACGATAGATATTCTACATATATATTCTACCTACTCAATAACACAATGGGCTTAACAAGAGAGTCCTACATGGCCATGGGACACTCCCTCAGGACTCATGCTTTATCAAAAGAGACGTTGTCACGTGCACCAACAAGTGGCCGCTGTGTAGAGACTACGACGATAACGATGGATGGATGTGGAGTATACCACCGAAGGAAACCACATGACTACCCTTGACCACAATGCTACTGCACCATAGATGTGTTTCTAGGAAGCATGCCAAGGACTTAATGGCGAATGTAGCATAGCTGCCTATGGGTTTCTTGTCAGGTCGTACAAAAAGACCACATTCAATCCTCGCAGCTTTATGCTCAGCCATGCATAGCGTCACGTGGTCCAGTAAAGGCCTGTGCCTTACATTAAGATTTCACGGGAGAGGAATATATATCTGCCTCATCCTGCGTAAATCAGAAAATGCCGAGAGAGTAAGTCGTCAGTCGGTATTTATCAACAAAGCTTCCATTCATAGTCCCCCCTTTCACCGCGCGTATGTATGTATAGCTATTAGTTGGCTTCACCGGCGAGTTGCTGGGGAGCGTGCGCCTTCTTTGATTACAATGATATCCGATGCATTATTCTCATGGGTGGCCAAGACAGGCTGATAGAGTTCTTGACGCCCCAATACATCAAAAGATACTTAGATGTGCCTGGTAGCACAGGGTAAAGCAAGCTCTATACCAGCTCGAGACAAAGTACAGTCATGCAGGTCAGTATTTATTCCTGATTTAAGAAGTATACTAGGTGAAGGAAAGATAATAGACAATAGATCAAGCAAGCCACGGCACACCAGAATGCTATCCACAGATGGGGTGGCGCAACACGCTCGGTACTCGCTCAATGTCTAGGTATGCACCCGATATGGTCATTATAGCTCGGCGTGGTAGTTTAGACATATCAAGAACATTTCCGCGTTTCGGAAGGTCGGTGTAGTCGCATCCGCGTTTTAGATGTATCACCTCGCTTGTGTGGGAGTCTCCATGGGTTACGCCATGGTGCAGCGTGGTATTCGGGTATTCATGATGCAGCCACTACTCTCTGTCTAGCTCATATGAGGTCCCTGTATGCTATGGCTAACCCAAAAGCTTAGTTTAGGGTTACGTCCCACCCTGTATCAGATAAACCCAGTCACATGTATTTGTCAGTCGGCGGTTCTTCTAAATCGATAAATAGGAAACATTGCACGTTGGCGATAGACCACTCGGAGCTAGACAGACGTCAAGGTTGCCCACATTAAAAACCCCGTGTGATATCCAGTATGCATTGTCACCATGAGGGCGGCCGTGGGGGTGTACAATGACTATCAACGACAAGATAACTATATGATGAGCGGCAAACATCCGATGATCTAATGCAAGGGGCGGAATTAGTACGTAGGGCACCGCATTGGCGATGGCATCTGGCCCAAAAAGGGACTATCGGAGTAGACGTATCATCATATTCGGACAGAGTATGTGCAATCGAGCCCCTGTTCTAAACACAAGAGTTTAATTACTAGTATCGCACCACTCTCCGCGATAAGCTCACTCATTCCGGGTCCTGGAAACCTAGAGCTAAATATCCCGAATTTTCTGGAATTCATCTCTAGCAATCCATAATGTACAAGCCGGGGACCCCTTTCCGATGTAGCGAAAGAATATTCACACGAATAAGAACTATATACAATTAACCCCTAGCCTCCAGCCCATCAACCTCATGTTGACTTTGCTTTCGACCCGTTGCCCGTATCCGGACGAACAAGGTAAAGAAACTTGAAGAAGTTCAAATAGGCAAGCCCCGTATAAGTCACAGGCACATAGCACGCTCCCCGCCGAATCCACCACATCGCGACACGCGCCGCCCAGTCCGGCGACACAATCGCCTTGCCCATCTGCGACTCAAACGCAGCGGGTACAATATGCCGGTAAACAACGCGTGGATCGTCGTACAGCGCACGCGCGTAGGGCATAAACGCGCGCTTGGACGCCGAATACCGCTGCATCTCGGGAATGCCCCATGCAGGATGGATCTCGATCTCGCTGCCGACGTACCATATCTCCGGGACGGTCTTCCTCGGGCGTGCTTCCCCAGCCGCGTTCTGTTCCAGGAACAGTTCGATGAGACGGATCGTCGAGGCACAGTTGGCGTCCATGGCGTCTAACCCCTTGGTGCCGTGGGACAGTATGAGGATATCGGCGTCTTCGAGAACGGGTCCGACGCGCGAGAAGTCTTGGTGTGTCCAGTCCCTGCCGAACCCTAGTTTCCGGACTTCTTTCACCCCTTCCGCTAGTAGTTGCTTCTCGATTGCGCGGCCGAATGCCCCCGACCCGCCGGTGAGCACTACCCGTTTGTTGCGGACGAAGTATGCGGTGCCTGCTACCCAGTCGAAGAGCTTCACCATGGAACCCATGTACCGGTCGGGGTACACGTGGTGCAGGGCGTGGAACTCGGGGCCGACGAACAGCCAGCTGCGGTCTTTGGGCACTGTGTCGAAGGCGATGTGGTTCGAGTCTCGTCCACTCATGGCGATGACCACCATCGTCCGAATGAATTCAAAGGCGGATACCACGATCAGCGGCGTGCTGTCCGGGGTCCCGTTGTTATCTGTGATTAAGCTGCGGGCAATGAACCAGCCGACAACGCTTCCCAGGATCTTGCTGAGCATCTCCAACGGCAACGAGATCCAGGCATTCTGTCGTAGGTATCGGTCGTTGAACTTGAGGGAGCGATTGTAGTAGAGATGGTGGAATTGATGGCACCACGACAGCCATCGCAGGAATCGCCATTGCGACTTGGACCACTGGTGGAGGAGGTAGTGCGCCGTATCGAAGAAGACCGAGCCGGTGATGTACAGGTAGAAAAAAGACACGGCAAATGAAAGCGGAGACATGATTGACTAACAATAGACTTGTGCTTTACTGGTTTCATCCTTCGAGTTATTCTGGCGAATTGATATAAATAAGGGCTTTGAGGACAGTAGGGCAGGCATCGCAGGTGCAGGGCAGCTTCAGGGACTTCTGAGACACTAGCATCGCCACGAGGCGTAGTCGATACCAGGTGGTCGAACCCCATTGTGAGGCCACTGCTCTGAGACATGCCCTCTTGGCCTTCGTGACGTGATCCACTATCGCCGGCTCCAGTTTGGTTCATGGTGGCCGTACTGGGGTTTGGGGACATGTGCTAAAGGTAACTCCATGATGCGGCAGTTCTAGGTATCGTTGAACTGTTCTAAGAACTTGGTATTTCTTAGGTCTATCACTCTAGTTATAAGAGCTATGGATTGAAGCATGTGTTGGGATACCATCACGCTACAACGATCAGCCAAGAACCTTGTTCGGCCACCAGAACTACATAAAAAATTTGCCAAGTTGCAGTAGGGCTCTGATCATCAGATACCCCACGAGTGGTAGAATCAGAAGACCGCTACAGGGGCATGTTTGCTGTGTCAGGAAGTACTTTCCTAATACCAAACCCAACCATAGCGATGCCTCAATGGCGGCATTTCGAAGGAGGAAAGAGATACCGAGCTACGCCCTTCCTTTGATCAGAACCCACAGCATGGGATTTCTTTGTCACAGTCCCATACCGATTGATAGTAGCCTAGCAGACTTATAGCGCCATGCATCCCGCTAAAGGCACCACCCTACCCTTCATATTCCACCCAGGGGCCCAAAGACTCCACTCACTTTACATGCTAAATGTAGTTAGTGCGATGTATTACTCATGGAATACACATTCCGTAGTTTGGCATGGACATGTCGCCATGTTTGAGATTCATTCCGATACGCAGCACCCCCAGAGAACGAAGTCGGCACGAACAACCATGGAGCAGTTCCGATCTCCGACCGCACGTTACTGAATCAGGTAGAACGACCAACAAACAGGGATCTGCGACGCGGTTGATCGTATTTTATGCCTGTTGCGGATTAGTTCACCATGGGTTACTAGGTTGTCAGAGCAGGGTCCAGAAAGCCAATGTTTTAGTGGCTTGGATCCGTTTCATATCCAGAGAGAAAATTGGTTGCGGTGAACCCCATCCATTTCCCAGGACGTTTCGGATTTTTCCCGTTGGGCGAAATCAGCCTTACTCCACCAATGTGTTAGTTTCTAGAATGGTATTTGTCTAGTGTCGTTGCTTGATCTGGGGGGGTTCATTCGGTGCGTCCACGTCTACATGTTAGGGCAATACCATACAGGCGAGAATTAACCAAGGTGCAACATGTCCCCAGCCCACAGTTAGTGTAAGGGGTTACCCAGAATTATTCCTCGGTATTAGATCTGGGAAATCTCGGGCTTGTTTTTCGCAGACCAGGAAGCGAAAAACCATTCAGAGCCAAGGGTGGAATAGTATGCCCCACCGAACGCTTAATGGTGGAGCCAAGCTTAAAATAAGTCTGTTCAACGGGAAGCCGTTCGGCCTATCGGAGACTCAACCCATTTCTTCAGCCCTAAACACCTCGTGGCAGTGCATACGAATACGAATGCGGATTGGACAATGGCTACCTACTGACGAGGAAGACTTCGATTCAGTAGGGGGGTGGCTGTGGTGTGACGGGCATATATGTTGTCAAGGCTGCGATACTGATTACTGATAAGATGGGTAAGGGGCTAGTCGAGGTGGGAAATGTGGGTATCCGTTACTCAATATATGTTAACTAGCGCCCAAAAAGGGCGGAGGGTGGGATTGAAGGATCTATAATACGAGTCCGTATAGCTTTCATGGATGTCTACGACAAAGTCGGAATGGTGCAGGTTAATCTTCTTGGCGGGATGGTTAAGGATCAATTCCATGGCTGCCTGGGATGAAAGGTAGTATCTTGTAAGTCTCTTAGGCTGCCAGATGCAACATCTCATTTTTTCCCGCTCCCTTCTGTATAGTCCCTTTTCCTTTCTATATACCAAGAAAATTTCGGCGCCAGTCTGTGCATAAGCTACGGCGTACCAGCTTGCGAGAAAGTACGAGTACGAGGTGGTTCTGTTTGTCACAAAGTGGATTCTTCGTGCCGAAGCACATCTCAATCACGAATCAACAATACAGGATATACCCCAAAATCATTGGTCTACAAGCCAGACCAAGGCTGTCCCTTAGCCCTGTTTCTTCCTGATATGATAACCTTTCAGCTTAAGGAACGGATCGAATGCCTTTGGCCCTAGAGTGTATCCCATTCCTGGGTTCTTCCACCCGGTCCATTCCTGATCCTACATGCGGTGGTTAGTTACTTCATTAGCGTAGGTACGAGGTGCCATTTGAGAAGATAGTTGAGGTTTGTAGCAATCAGGAATTCCAAACTGGCTTCACTTTGCAGGGTATTTTTGCCTCGCGGCGCTAGCATAATATCCGTTATTCTCTGGAGTAAGACCTTGAATTCTACCACAGGTCAACTATTATCCTATATTTTCCTGGAGTTTCATAATTTCCTTAGATGTCATGTATACTCCAGAGACATTAGACTTACGCACGGTTGTTGGGTATACTCCAGTCCCTTGTATGGTCAGTTAATGGTGAGATGCAAAGAGTACGTGGATGCTATCGCTATAGGCCAAATATATATCCAGAATTGCCACACGAATTCAAGTTCTTCCCTTCTAATGTAGGCAAGAGACAATGAGCTAACACAGAACGGGGGAAGGAACAGCCTGTTAATCGTGGCATATGATAAAGTCGCTTCGGTTTTAGATATGACGAACTAAAATGGTTTCGAACGATCTATAGTAAATGTTTTACTACTGGCATCACAGGATGTGTTCATTACAAATCCATGTTCAATCTGGATGATAAATAGCATCCTTCAATAAGTGCGGTTTACATCTGTTTCAATCAATATACATCATGTGTACTAAGACAATCACCAGCCCTTCCATGGAATCCAGGTATCGCGCACAATGTCATTCTCATCCACCACATAATACACGTGAAAAGCAGCCGCAGTGATGCAAGCATGTTGACAGTACAGGGTTATCTTTTGTCCCACCCGAAACACATCCTCAACACTCTGTGTGTCCCCAGCCACCGTCGGTTGGTCCAAAGGAAGACCAAGGATGCCATGCTCTTGAGATAAGCGGACCACGTGCCAATCAGGTTGCTCAACAACTTGACCAAAGCCTGGAATCGAACTGGTCTCTCGGGACAGGGCTATGGCACCGGCGTTGATGAGAGCTTCGTTGCGCTCAGGATAGACGCTACACACGTCGGCTAGGATACGCACTGCTTGGTCTGTCCGGTCTACTAAACCGGTGCATACTTGCTGAAGGTCAAGTGCGGGAAAATTACCTAACAGAATAAGTCAACTGACGTGATAACCCATATAGGTGTAAGGCGTGAATACCTGCATGTAGTTCTATGATACATCCCTCGGGGATTCTGTCTTTGATAGCTTGGATCGCATGAGCAGTAGGCGTTGATCCAATAGATAGAACAAAAGAGCGATCAGTCGATGGAACCACCTGTGAAGCAGCTAGAGCACCCTCCAGCTCAGACTGGAGGACTACATCCACCGATTCCCGATCACGACATCCATATGAATGACCCGCATGGCAATAGAATCCATAGATCGATACTGCGAATGAGCTCTCCGCGCGTTCGATGACATGGCGTAGACGCGGGGAATTGTTCATAAGACCAGCGCGGTGAGAGCCGACATCAACCTTGATGAAGACATCCCATATCTCGAGTCCTGGATTCTGCAAGGAGAATCGCTCCAAAAGTTCGATCTGCTGCTCATTGTCGATCATGAGCAGGATTTTGATTGATTGCCTGATCTTCACGAGCCGTGGGAGGATACTGTCGGTGATAGGCAGCCCGTAAAGACACTGTCGGTAGTGAGCTCGCTGGTTCAGCTCTACAGTTCGGCGCGTACAGTATTCTCACCTCGTCTAGGACCCCTTCTGTGACCAAAGGCAAAGCACCTTCGATTTCGCAAACTGTTGAAGCGACGATCTTGCGGTATTTACCGCCTTCTAGCATCATCCGCGTCACTTCAAGACTCTGTTCAATATGTGTTATTTTATATACTTGTACCCTGGGTATAATGTCTATACTTACCTTGAGCGTCTTAACGTGCGGTCGAAAGGAGATGCCAAGCTGCGAGACATCGTTGTGCAGGCGTTTGATGTTGCTCTCTATGACAGGACGACTCAACACCAAGGCTGGTGTCGGCAGGCTGCAAATAGGTCTATCCAGATAGGACCTGTGGGTTTGAAGAGATACATCCATTTGAACGCTCAAGTATGATACGCAATGTGGTCGGTTGTGATGGTCAGGAAGTGAAACCCAGCTCGACAGAACTGACGTTTCCCGACCGGATTTGCTTGGCGAGAGTGGACCGGAAATCAACACAAATACGGAAAGGTGAAAATAGAACAGATACTAATTATTGCACTAAACTGAGAGAAGCCTGTTGGAGCCATGACAAAACTATTGTCAAATTGATAGCGGCTACGAAGATGACAGCGCGGTAATCGGCCGTGCCGGGACGGACCAATGAGACGTCATAGCGCGGTGATGATCTAAAACAATGGATGTTAAGATGAAGACCTAATTTGACATCCCACGCTCTCGAGTATCCACTTTGTGACCACGACCCGTTCCGAGATAGCATTGACCTCGCTATCTACTCAATATTTGGGGAAATCTAAATTATCTCTAGTCGTGCGGGGTAAGCACCGACCTTGGTGATCGCATGTAACTTCCACAGAACCCTATCCTTCGAGTCCCCAGCTTGTACACAAGGAAGAGTATCTACTGCTGTTGATCTAACCTTTCAGCTATCGTAGGCTGGGTCATATACCTTGTAACAATGCATAATGATGGAATTATCATCTCCGCGCTATATACGTTTCAAATCATATAGTACCTCGTCGAAAGAGTCCCACCTAGCCTTCTACCATGACACTGGGCAAGGCCACCAGCAACCAAATACAGTTGGCAAATATGAACAATCAGCCAAGCGTGCTATACAGGACCACACGTAAATGCACCATGAACTTTGCCGGTTCGGTAGTTGTTCCTCTTTGAGAATAATGTGAGTACACCAAGATTCTAGCGAAGTGTGGATTAACTTACTATATCATCGATGCTGGAATATAAACCACAGACCAAGACAGCCACACCGAAGAGGAAAACTAGTCCGTTGGCGATACTGCGGAGTAGGTTCTCCTTGGAGTACCATTTCCCCTTGCGAAGGAGCATGAACCACATTACTGGAGGCAGGTAGAAGGAGAATCCAGAGGTGAAAAGCGCTGACACGATGGATAGCAAGTCTGAGAAGAAAGGAATGGCTTCGGCGATGACCCATGCTATTATTGTAATAACGCTGATTAGGGTAAGCCATGTAATCCACCCCCCGGTCGTATTGATATACTTGGTGACACTGTTGGTATATATCCGTTGATGGATTAAGCGACCCGCGACGATCGTGTTGATGGCTCCCGAGATGAAGATCACAGGTAGTGCTACGCCAAATGCAATCCTGCTCACTAGCGGGCCGGCGGAGAGAAGCGCGGGGGACTCGACGTCCGGTCCGACGAAGGCATAGATGGTGGCCCCTGTAATGGTGTAGATCGCTATCTGCAGGAAGCCGAGCGCCCAGATTGACTTCTTGTAGTCCTTTGGGGTGTGCATTTCATCCATGAAAGAAAACTGAGTGGTGGCGAAGGAGTAGGCAAATACTATGTTGCTGATGGCTATGAAGCTTGGGAAAAGCTTGGATTTCCTTGAGATACTGCGGACCAGTTCACGGCTGACAGTCCACCGGGTGCATCCGAAGACCTGATTCCTGTTGCGATGATAGTAATGCCAATTGCGGCAACGATGGAGGCGAAGTCCACGTATCCAAGCCAGGCCATATCGGCAAAGGATGAGGGAATTGACAGCAATAGAAGGATGATGGCAGAGACACCACCAAACAGAAGTGAGCAAATATCGCTTCCCGTGATGTGGCGGAAGGCAATGGTGCCAGTTAAGCAGTGTGAGCCTGTTACAAAAATGACCGACAGAACGAGCATGATTGTGAGTACTTCGTATCCAAAACGACCTGCCATCAAAGTCCCTACATCCCCATAATGTCGTATGGTTGGATGGGCTAGCTTCACTTCTCCAATAATGTACGACGTGTATATCGCAAGCATACCAATTCCAACCGTGCATATCACACCGGCAACCATACCAAGGGTAGCAAACGCCGCGGGGAGTGACAGGGCCCCCAATGCAATCGCTTCAACGATTAATAGGACCGTGAGCTGTACCCATCCCACCCGGTGGTACTTTATTTCACCGGCCTCAATAATCCGTTGTTCGACATCGTCCACCTCCTTAGTGATCCTGCCATGGGAAAATGAAACTTCAGAGGTGGGAGAGTCCGGCCACTCGAGCTTTTCCTTGGGTGTGCTGGTGCGGTCTGCCTCATGACTGGCGACATTGTCCGTGATCTCATCCTGGTTCCTCATGCTGTTAAGAGATTTTTAACATGCGATGTAGGGGAAAGAAAAGAAAGAGCTGAACATAAATTGCAACCCAACTGATCGGAATTCGAAACATGGACGAACGAAACACTTTTTGACGGTAGCATCGAATTACCCCGACCAGATCGGGACACGGTTCCACGGAGATCTCCGGGGGTTTGATGCATTTCTGGTACTGAATACCATCTCGTATCGCCTGTATGCAAGAAATCCCTTGCATTGAGAGCAATGGCCTCGATTAATCACGACAGGGCTTTGAAATGACGTATCTGACTCTGCAGATATTGAGCTCATACTCCGCATCCGGGGTTCTTTCCAACTCCTGAATCAGCGCGGTTCATCATCTGATTGGTTTCCGGTCGGATGGCATCGCGGACCGACCCACTAATCTAACCTGACCAGGAATAGCGCATACCTGTTCAATATCCGCGCCTGCAACCGGCCTGTTCACTTCGCTCTAGATCTGGTGGACTTGCACGTTTTTATGTAAAAGTTGAGTCTTAACATAACCTCTGGATAGGTTGGAAATTACCGGTACTGTTTTCTGGATTCCTTGGGCCATGCTCACCATCCCTTGCAGATTCTATGCGGCCAAAGAGTACGACTCCAGCTTGCCCAAGTCACCGACAAAAATATGCTAAAGTTGCCCACAGTGCGCAGCCGTGCGGATGCTGGCCCTATCATATCCGACTCGCCGCGGATACTAAACCTTCAGTCCGCATCCGCACCGCGGGGGCTCGGATCGGATTCGGGATGCGATTGCGGTGCGGAGTTGCAACGATTAGCTCTACTACATCACAAACAAGATTCATGTCGTCTATCAATTTCAATAGCGGATAGCTGGAACCGATGCGGGGCATGAAGCACGTTACTAACTATGCGGTAGTATCCAGAAACTCCAGGATTTCAATGCGGGGGAAATGGACCCAAAGTCGTATCTACTCTGACCATGCTCCACTAAACCTATCTCGTCCTGTTGAGGACTATCACACTTTCGGGCAATGTCCGTTTCACGCCTGAATAATATGGATCATTGTCGACAAAATAGGATCGGATAAGCAAGATCGCTACACCGTGAGAATGAAATAGGTAAAGGTGACACGTAACTCTCAACTTTATCTCTGAATTTCAATTGTTGAACTTCAACATCCCACAACTCGGGCTACCTTGAGTCAGCCATGCTTCCTCGCACATCCCTTACGTATACATATGTGATCGCTGATCTATCTCCCTTACTTCCATCTTACACGTGGTCAAAGAAAACTCTGCGTCTGCAAAAGCTTTCTTGGCATTTCTTTTGCTCACGCTTAGCCATCAAGCCCCTTGCTTTAGGTGATACGATAGTTTGCCTTCCGGTGGCCAGTCTTGTTTGCTTCCGTATCTACGTTAAAGCTGCTATCAATTCCTCGCAGTCAACTGAGTTTCCATTACAAACACCACACGAGGATGGCTATCGCCAAAGCTAACTGTTCCAACATACGGAGTAGATATACGTGCCTTTTACGGGCCAGTAGTACCTCGGCGCATGCCACCCGCTGCCTAAACGTGGCTTAACCTTCTTCTTTGTTACTGATTCTTGCTTTTTTTTTATCTTTTTTGTTTGAAGTCGAGTTTCCTGAGAGGTGAGGGTACATCGAGAAACGGTACCCATCGATCGAGTCCTCGTATTTACCTCTCCTAGCGTCGGGCCATATTGCGAGGAGAATATATAGGCCGAAGCCAGCCTGCAGCTGCGATTGGCCTAACCCCTAAGAAAAGCGATCCGTGAAGTGACCTTTCTACTATGAATCGGCTACGGACAAGCATTGATGTATCTACCTGTTAACCTGAGGGGGCTTTGTAATGCTGGACTACACACCCGTTCAGTGACATAGATCCAAATGCAGAAATAAAGGAACCACATGTCGTGTAGATCGGAAGAAGCTGTAGGTACTGTCACACTAGGGATATAATGTCATGTGGTGTCCCAGCGCTCAAGTTACCATTACATCAAAAGTAGTCATCAGATGTGACTCGCCTACAATGACTCGCGTCAGTAATGTAATTATTGCACCTACACAGATTACAAATGTCAAACACTTCTTCCTGGCACTCACTTTTCCACCCCATCTTTTTCCTCATCGCGTCGCTGAGCACCGAGCTTACATTAAAAAGGCCCATTCTATAGCATAGGAATTTCATATATTAAAAATGGATTTCCTCGCTGAACTCGAGAATCTAGCCATCGAGGCTGAGAACGAGGACAACAGTCCCAAGACTAGGCTAATCGATATCCACAGACTGCCTACTCAACTCAAGGCACAGAAGCGAGATTATACAACGACCTATCTCGTGAAGCTTGAAGGGCTACTCATTAGCCCCTCAAATATACAAGAGATCGCAGGGCTACTAGCACCACCACCACTAAAAACAGGAGAAGGAGAACTTGGCGAAGCAGCTTCTGTCTTATCAAGGGCACTACCAGGCTCGCAATACTCTCAGCGTTATCTAACTATACACCGACCTTTATTCGAATTAATATGGCAGATAAGCATCTGTCCCAATACAGCATGTCACCATGCCTTGGTTCCGATATTGATCCCACGCTTCCTCATCATCGAGCACAAAGTATGGATGAAATATTCCTTCCTGCTCAGAACCAGTACCCCGTTTGGTACTTCTTTTACGGGACACTTGCCGACCCTGAGATTCTTGCGCGGCAAACCTCTCGCTCGGAATTACCGGTTCTTCGACGGGCTACTGTCAAAGGTGGTATTATTAAGATGTGGGGTGGAAAATATAAGGCTCTTATCGATGGTCCCTCCTCAGCGATTGTTGATGGGTGGACATATGAAGTTAACTCGGGAGAGGAGGAAGAACAGCTCCGGTACTATGAGACTGACCAGTATGAGGTCGTGAGGTGCGAGATACATATATTGGAGAGTGGGGTTCTCGTCAAAGGTCTTACCTTCAGATTCATTGACGATTGATACCAGCTAGGAGTGCCAGTCCTACAGCGGACTAAACGAAGTAAACAGAAGCATCGACATTTTGAGATGTGCTGCTAACAGTGACTCATTACGTCTAGTCATACAAAGGCAGTAGATTACTTATATTTCCTGACCGGCTTGATCTACTGGGATTGTTAAAATTGCCTAAATCGCTTAATATTTCAATTGGCTTATTGGCAGCGTGTACCGACTTAGTATACAGCTTAATACTTAGCTCTTTAGGCGACAATAACCACACGGCCTTGGACACATCAATTACTGGGATTGAATCTCGAGTGCTGCGCTTATTACTTAACATTTCATAGAAAATATATGAAGTCACCCAAGTACCCGTTTCACTACCAACGCTGTCCGTTCAACGATCAAATCGATATCCGCCTTGGTAGCATTGTACGGCGGCGCAATCTGTATAATATCGCCATTCTTTCCATCGGCAACTCCGGTGCCAGGGATAAATGAAATTGAGTACTCCGACAGTCCGGTCTTGTGGATAAGAGGCGCAATTTTCTGCTCGGCCTCAAAGGGCTCTTTTGACTCTTTGTCCTTCACAAATTCGATCTGCGCATGGTATCAGCAACTGCTTTCCGACTCCACATCCGCATTACTTGGATTAAGAATGACAATACTCACACCCCAGAAGAAGCCACGACCACGGATATCACCGATATGTTGGTGGTCGCTAAGTTGTTCTTTCAGGCGGCTGCCCAGATACTCCCCCAAGCTCCGGACGTTCTGTAGCAGATTCTCCTCCTTAATGATATTTTGGACTTCATAGGCCGCTGCGCATGCAACTGGGTGGCCTTGATATGTCTGACTATGGATGAACCCGCCAGTGCCTTGCTCAAGAGCCTCGACGACCCTCTTGTTAACCAGCAAAGCCCCAATGGGGGCGTAGCCACCTCCCAACCCCTTGGCAACTGTCTGGAGATCGGGCACAACGCCTTCTTGTTCCCAGGCGTGGAGCGTGCCGCAACGGCCCATGCCGCTCATCACTTCGTCGAGGATGAACAACGCTCCGTGGCGATCACAGACTTTCTTCATTGCCTGATGATATCCCGGCACTGGGGGAACGCAGCCCAATGTCTGTGAATGCATGGCTTAGATAGCCGAATAAAGTATTTAGATGGAAACTCACTGTTCCTGAAACCGTTTCTGCGACAAACGCGCACACGGTAGTTGGGCCGACGGCTTGGAATTCATCCTCCAACTCTTGTGCCAGTCGCGCAACATAGTCTTCGTCTGTTTCTTCCGCTCGCTTTCCTCTGTATGCATAGCATGGAGATACGTGGGAAACATTCGTAGTTAGTATTGGTGCATAAGGTGCCCTACGACCCGCATGTCCTCCCACTGAAAGCGACCCAAGCGTGTTTCCATGATAGCTTTGACGACGGGCGATAAATCGGGTCCTGGAAGGTTCCGGGTTTGGCAGTTCAAGGAAATACTGACGTGCCATCTTCAACGCAGCCTCGATCGCTTCGGTACCTGGTGGCACTATGAGCTACATGCTCCGATGAATTGGGATAATTCATTACGTCATACCAGAGCTGACAATGAAGGCTTTAGATAGTTGATTTTGTGTCGATTCAGATAACAACGTCGCCAGTTTTTCCGATGCCTTACTGGTGAAGAATGGAGCGTAGATATAGCTGAAGCTTTGCAACTGACGCATTATGGCATTATTGACGCGGGAATTGTTGTGGCCGATACATGCGACAGCTGCACCACCACTGGCGTCAAGAATCTCCCTTCCACCCTCGGCAATGAGGTAGTTTCCATTGCTGCCTACTATTGTCGGCGGTCTGGTGTCCAGCTTGGAGTGAAGTATGGCACTTTTATCTCCTCTCTTTGGGTGAATAGGTGTGTGGTTTTGTTCGCCGTCGCGCCCCTTGTCTGCCTCTGCCTCCAGCGGCTGATGTCTTCCGACGGTCAGAGAAAACCGGCGAAGAGAGATGGACCCTTTCCGGGCTCGCGTTGCATCGGACATCGACCGGGCCACTGTGGAACGCATGGTCATGGTAATATCATGAAAGAAGATCACAGATCAAGCGAATGAAAGTAGAATCGACCGGGGCGAGGACGTAATGATATAGTTAGCTTGACCCAGGGTAGTATTAGGCGACTGGAGCACTAAATCACATATCTTGGTCCCTTAACGGGCTGATTGCACCTCTTAGATTCAACGGGTGTTGGGAAGGCGTATCCTTTTTGGTTATCAAAGTCCCTTGCGGGTCCGATTTGTTGGATCGCCGAGAGGACCGCAGATAGACGAGAGGCCTGAAGAGTCGGATAGCTCCCACTTCCGAGCATCCGACATGCATGCATTTGCATTCTCCGCACTGCCCCTCCCTCTTTCTCGTTCCAACTCTTCAAGATCCGAGCAGGGAGGTCTTTGATAAGAGGAACTAGGCGTCGATCATATTTCTCACCTTTTCTGAGCTACTAGTACTCATGCAACCACCTTGCATACAGTCGGCCAGCTCCTTTTTCGCCGACTGCCCCTCGTCAAACATGATGGCCTGCACAATGCTTGATTTATGTCAGCCTTTTATAAGCTTGATGGAAATTTCTCTCGATATCCTACTATCAAATCGATAAAGTACATAAAGACATAATTCTATCAGACTTCTAATTAGACATTAGGCCAGCGTAATACTACTTTAACTGTGATCTCATTCCCTGCAACCAACACGGTGCTTGGCCGCCCGTCAAGCAGAGCTGCCACCTGTTATAGGCACTTCCATCATTCCCACTCCCACACAGGTCTTCTAGCTGACGACGGTGGATTCGCCGAGCGTTGTCCGTGGCAGCAATAGCTCGGCCATGGCTGTGTCGTGAAATCTCGCGGCGGAACATAGGTATACTAAGTTTCTTGTCAGAATATCCAGGGCACATAGACAAGAATCAGGAACCAACAGTCTGTATGACAGCCCCCTCCCGGTATAGCCCTGTCTCCAGAATGATTCCCGGATGCCCGAACGCGAAACGACTAGATCTTGGGTCGTTGGATGGGCTCAGTGCGGAGGACGGGTCAGCTCGTTCGAGTTCTAGAAAAAGAAAAGAAACGGCGTTAGCACCATGGAATGGCCTGCATGCAATACGAGGGGAGCTAACTATCACTGGCACACCGTCTCCGTCTCCGTCTGATGTACTTCCATATGACTAGGAATGCTGAAGGACTTGTTACAAGGAGGGTAACTAATGCGATGATAGTCTCTGGAGACCACGCCATCGGCAATGATTCGAATGCATAGTATAGGACCTTAAATCGCAGGTCTTCTTTACGATACTTTATATATAAGACAGACCAGGCTAACCGAATTAGGTCCGAGTTGTCCCTACATGTATTGTAGTACAAAACCACCAAGCCCACCTAACTTAATGACAGGCCAGAAACTAGTCCCGTGCTAGGAAATTTCTTTTCGGACCACAGCATCGCATCCGCAATATGATATCATTATACTCCTTGACTCTGGCCTGTCGCTTTTTTCCAGAATCGTGGCGGTGCTGTCGTGTTTTCTGGAGGGCCGCGCGCCCCATCCTTGAATTATACTTGAAGAAATAATTAAATATTAAATGCTTACAGGTCGACGAGTTCTCAAGTAGTTCGAATTCTAACTTCTCAAAATCAGCACTTCAACAAGTGTTTAAGCATCCACTTTTCTTACCGTTTAATACGGGATTAAACCCAGAAATTTGGGAATTTAACATGATAAGTTTCTTAACAACATCGACTCTTGAAGCTATTCTTTGAAAAAAGATTATAGATCTGAAGGCAGCAATCTAATAAGAACTAGTTAAGTCGGAAAGGTTGAACCATTAGGCAATTTCTCTTCAAGTGTACCAATGAGTGTCCTAGATGCAAGCTCCCGTCCCAACTGCCAGTTGGCTGCACAATGTGGCTACCCAATGATAAATGAGGGTCGCATCTTAACATTAATACTAGTACCTACTATAGAGTTCGGCGCCCTGTCGACCACTACCTTTCCAGCTGCAGAGTCATCGAGGCCGAGCTGCCTGGGTCTCCAGTACTTCAAGGGACTATGTCCTTCCTTTGCTTTGATCACCGAACTTTTGGATAGCTCAAAGTTGTATATAGGTCTAATGACCGTTAACTTTTGAAGCGCGGGTATCGCTATTCGGTGCAAGCACACTAAAATAGGCAGATTTAGCAGAATCAGTTATCCACCTTGATGATTGAAGCTGTTTTCATAAAATACATTTATTCCTTAGGAGAGGGAAATCAATCCCTGTTATCCAGGGATATACCTTGCTACCCCCCCTGCGCCAACACTCTCATCCTTGAAAGTCCGTCAGACGCATGGTTTATCAGAATGGGTGCAGCCAATGAGCCCTCTTGTCTTCATACACGATTAACCCTGGTAATATTTTGTTCCTGTCGAAATTACATCTGCAGCAAGCATGTCCGTCACTCAGCTGTGCAGGATAATAAAATCCGGATGTTTCTCTCGATTGGCGCTGCACGTCGAGTCGGCTTGCTAGCTGTCTTGAACCCAACCTTCCGCCCACAGAAGGATATGTAGTACATACTCAGGCTGGACTCTCCGCTTCCGCAATCAGTTGTTCAGTTACCAGTACCAGCACAGCCACCGGGGCCATAGACATGAAACCCGAAGGCCCAGGCTAACCTTTTTGGTCGGGGTGCAGCGACCAAACCTTCACTTTCTGGCTCACTAATTACGCCATCTGCAAGCCACCTAGGATACTCAGGGGGATTTACTAGTACTGCTATCATGGAACATTCGCAGCCGTCAAGATCTCGATAAGTCCCTCACCCCAAGCGGGGCACCCCTTCATCGTACCTACATTACGATGTATTGTTGATGGGACCGACGCAGTACTAGTAGATCTCATACAATATCCAAGACCAGATCCGCAAAGGCTGCCAAATACCACCTCAGGTTAGCTCTCATTCTGTACTGCTCTCCGCGTCATACAGTTGTCAATCACCCCATAGCAATCATAGCATCCCCGAGGAGCGAATCATCTGCACCATCTGTTTTGCCAGTATATGAGTCCTGCTCTTAATGGGCGTCATGGCAGCGATATCATTTTGTTACAACAAATTCAATTTATGACATACTTATAAACCTTTTCTATGCGTATTGTATATTTTCTTTAGTTTCAGAAATTTACTACTACTAATACTGTATTTCTAGACTATTTTAACTATAGTTTTATAGAGCTAGAATTATAGATTTAGAATAAAATACTAATATTCTGAGTCTATTCCTGATAAATTAATGGCAAATACTATACTGTTTGTTATATATTGCCTAATCAGGCCTAGTATCCGCACACGTGGGTCGTGAGGAAACCCCGAAAGAGGACAGAGCGGCGAACGACAAGAGGCGGAATGACACCAGGAAGAGGAAAGACTCATAGTGGCCACTCCGCAACAACGGCTCTCCTCACTAAGTCGATTTACCGCCTAGCAATATACTGCATGGCTCTCTCTTTAAATATAAGATTATTATATAAAAGGGCTTGAGAAATATATACTATATATATTTCTTTATATTAATTATAGAATTAAGTACTGTTTCTAATAAAATCTAGATAAAAATACTAAATATACAAATATAAGTGTAATACCGATATACAGTATGTTAAGTCTAATATTAAATACTTCCCGCTAACTCACCGCCTTTTTACCAGACTCAATTTAGGGGCCGTAGTACCTAAATTTAGGGTATACTATATAGTTTTTAGGGGCCGTAGTGCTAAGATTGGGGGGCTACTATATTTAAACTTGATTCTAATTCTATATCTAGCAATACAATCTATTACATACATTATATACCACTATTTCCCAGTTTTTTTTGTATATGTAGGAGCTAGACTTTATAGAGAAATATATAAACAATATATATTTCTTAGTATTTATACCGATTGCTTATATATAAGTACAGAAATATTAAATACTCGGTATTAAAACGGGAATTCTGCTGGCAGAAATCGATAAGAACCCGTTGTTGCGGAGTGGCTGCTATGAGCCTCCGTAGACGCGCACGGGAAGATGCAGAACGGCGACTGCAACTAACTACTACTCTGTTCCACCTCCTTGACCAGTGCCACGAAGATCTGTCACGGGAGATCCGAGTCGAGACAGATGCGGCCTTGACAACCCAGGGCAACGTGACTGACCCTGTCAATCGACTTGGACTGAGTTCCCTAATCTCCAAGACCGAATCTGGGAGAGACTCGAGCGTGCAGTTGACTTTACCTCACGCCCACTCTTTCCCTCCGATACCCAGTTAGACTTCGTCGCAACAAATATACGGGACCGGCCGATTTACTCAGAGACAACTCTGCGAAATTTCAAGCGAGACAAAGTTGATAACTTTGTTGGAGAGATTATCGAAGCCTTACAAGATGATGAAACTTCGCGACGGGAGTTTGGTATAGAGGGTCGAGTCGCGTTCTACGACCGCACGAACTCAACCTTGCTGGATGACAGCCTGGAACAGATGCGTCTCAATGACGCACCTGACGCGCCCCATCAACCACCAAACACCAATCGCCGGGAAGGCGGAAGAAAAAGAAGGGGGAAACAGGTGGCACAAAGTCAGATGATGGCACATCCAGGATGGCGACGCAATCGCCGGGCCGATCAGTTCTGTGTTCACCTCGTGGCTGACGAGCGCCAGATACCAGTTTATGTAGTGGAGTTCAAAGCACCTCATGAATTAAAGGTCGCTGAACTTGTTGTTGGCTTTCGTGAGATGGACCTGGGGCGCGATATTATCAATCAGGAAGGGGACACATTCGAGTGTCATGCTACTACTCTTGCTGCTGTGTCTGCTTAGATATTCTTATGCATGCACTGGCTGGGGAGACCACTTGGATGTATTCGGATGGGAAAGACTATTGTCTTTCGACGTATTCAGGCGAATTCTACTGTACTTCAGTACCACTTGTGCATCCCAAACCAAGACGTGCAGACAGACGATAAGAGCCGTCTTCACCGGACTGTTGTGAATCAGATGCTTGGATTCACCCCCAAGCACTGGCCGCCGAAGCTCCATCTTAACAGTGGTATGATGCAGTATATAAAATCCTTTCGACTTGGGAAATCGAATACAGGACTATCTTGCATGATATCCTTCAAACGATACGCAAGGAGCCGCCGTTCTCGAATTATCGGCCTTCACATTGGAAACCAATCCCGAAGATGTACAATACACGTTCCCGCGCTCGCTGTAATCCAGATGTATCTACCCCGCGAGACTCTCCAAGTGAAGATAGCGACAGTAACGATGGGATGCCTTCGTCGTCTACCGCACCAGCCACGCGTACATCGAGCCGCAGACAAGGGAGTAAACATCAATTAGCTAGTAGGCGAGAGCAGGCACCCCGTGACCGGAGGAAAAAAGAACGCCCCTTCTAGAAACAACGTGCAGAGATCATACTGTACTATAGCTTGCATCCGCGGTATGGCCAACCGAGGTCGCCTCGATACCAAGTGCCCCAATCGGAAACTCTACGGTGGTCAGTGGCATCCAATGGACACGCGTGGGTTCACGCGCAACCTGTATCGTCAACTTGTCCAGAACCGAAATAAGGATTTTGAACCACTCCACATTCGTGGTCGCACGGGATATCTCTTAAAAGCAACTCTATTGTCTCACGGATATGCCGTGGCTATCAAAGCCACAACAGAGAAGGAACATACCCTTATAGCAGAAGCAGATAACTATCACGGCCTCCGTACCTTGCAAGGGCATCAAATTCCGGTCTGTCTAGGCAGCTTTGTGCCAAACATCGAATTATATTGGTACCATGGTGAAATAATAACGCATATAATGATCCTGAGTTGGTCTGGAACTCGTCTTCAGCGAATACCCAACAATGAAAATTTAGTCTGCTTCTACGAAGAGCGCAATCATTGCCTGTCCATCCTCCAGTCACACGGCGTCGACCACAAATACAAAGAGTGGCGTAATATGCCAAGGGACGAATCCACCAGACGTTCGGTTGTCATTGATTTGGGGGACGTGGAGTGGCTCAAACAGCCCAAACGGCCTCAGGCACTTCAACCAACAACGGGCAATTTATGTCGTCATGCCGTGAGGGCGCCGAAAAATAAACGGAGGCGCCTTCCCAGTCTGCCTGCTGCCTGCAACTCGTGATGGCCCGCTTAGAGCAGCTGGGTCCTTGTTCGAAAACGATTCCTCTCTCTTGGCAATCGAGTACCAAGCACTAAATCTCCTTTGTCTCTTTCATGCTATCCGAGAGAGGGCGGGCGTGGGATTGCTAGCCGAGGATTACGGTAAGGGCCACAGTTCAGCAGCGCCTGCACCAAGGTACCAGAAAATCTGGAGGCTTTTTGATGGAGAAATCGTCCTCATCCACATTTCGTGCCAGAGCTCAGCAGTCTAAGCCTCACAGGCCCTGAACGTGTCGCTTGGATAACTGGCCTTGATGGGGAGATTCACTTGAACGGTGGAGACTAGGCTAGGTGCTAAGAGCCAGTCATTCCTCGTGCGCAGTTCTAGTCCTACCTAGTTTGAAGTAGCGGGTGGCATCTAAGGCGCTGATGCAACGCTATGGTCATCTTCGCCACGCCCTGATGAGAGCTCCTGGCTAGTATCAACGCCAAGGATCGCGGAAAAGGTCGATATTTGGGGCAGTTTGGATGAGAATAAGCCCTTTCGGTGGGCCAGCCGCACTATGTCATTTATCCGTGCTCGACTGTGCTCGAACCGTGTCGTCGGCCAGCTGGATATGAACGAGCCGGGTCTGCCTTGAACTAGGGAAGGTTGAAACAAGGATAGCCAGCCAAGCACTTTCCGTGGAAGGGGTAGTCGCTCTGGCCAATCAGACACCCCGCCGGCCACCTCCGACCGGCTCGCTTTACACCGTCCTAGGGTGCTGGAATGCCCGGCTACTAGCATAGTAGAATCTACGGCTATAAGAATCCCCCACCCCTCGTCTGTTTTGCTCAAGTCTCATTCGCCTACAGCAATAACCGATTCTTCATTCAAGCTCACTCAAAACCATGTTGTCAAACAATGTTTATTCGTCCGATCCAATACTAGAAATTAAGGATGAGCTGATCACGCTCCTGGAGTTTTTTATTCATCTTATTGCTTCCCACGCAGCCATTGATCTTCAAGAGACGCCCAAGGTACGCTGATTCACTGAAATTCAGGAACATACTACGTGCGACATAAGTTCCAAACAATACTTCACGAACTTTGCGAGGCAGCCCCGAAGTTGCACGAGCCATTGCAGGAACCATTCAATGGAGAAACAAGCCGGTCCCATCCGAACAGCATGTCAACGCGAACACAGGCATCCACGAGCCCTTTCTTATCAGCACCATTCTAAACCTGTCAGCCTTGCTTGCTGCGGTTCTCTCAATCGCACTTGTGCACGTTACAGGGCGGCGGACGCTCCTCCTCACCTGCGTCGCCGGGTTCGTGGTCTGCCCGTTCATCTTCTCGTCCGTGGGGACAGCTCACCCGCGAAGCGTGTGATCGCAAGCAAGATCGTGATTACATTCATGGTCCTATACAACTTCCCGTTTACAATCTCACTCGTCGTCGTCGATTCGATAGTGATTTCCGAAACGGCCTGGAGTGCGTCATGTGGACCGCTGTGCTGTCCTACCTAATTAATCCGAACGCCGCGAAGATTGGGCTTATGTATGGTGGGTTTCGTGTGCGTATTTGGGTCTTTATCTTTTACTGTGTTCCGGAGTATCTGAGCCGGGCGTTGGAGGAGATTGATGAGATGATTTTGAAGGGGTCTTCCTGCGGAGGACCAGCGGCATGGAGATATCGACCGTGCGTCACGTGCGCCTCAGGCTCAACATCCACTGAGGCCTGAGGCATCACATTCGGTTGTCCTCAACGCAGTACATACAGTGTCTAACAGCAGCGCACAACCACACTTAGTTCTCCATGCGTCCTATTTTATGCAATACGCACCATTCAGTTGAGATTGTTCCTAGCAAGTGCGCGATTCTTCCGTTATTTCGACTCGACTGCTTGTTGGACTGTCATCAAGCGCTTCCTCCTCACAGTTATCCTTCGAGTCCGCCTGGACATCTTGTCGCCCTAGCAGTAGCCTGACCACCGCTTCATGTCCACCTTCAGTCGCACAGGATAATGGTGTCCGACCCCAGTTAGCCTTGGAGTCCACCTTCACATCTTGTTGGTCCAGCAGTAACCTGACCACTGCTTCATGTCCGCGCCACGCCGCATATAATAATGGTGTCCGACCCAAGTTATCCTTCGCGTCTGCCTCAACATCTTGTCGGTCTAGTAATAGCCTGACCACCGCTTCATGTCCACTTCCGGCCGCAAAGGATATCGGAGTCAGCCCGTCATTATCCTTTAAGTCTGCTTCAACATCTTGGTCCAGCAATAGCCTAACTACGGCTTCATGTCCGCTCCAG